AAAAAAAANNGCCCATACCCCCACACCCCCACCACGCGCAGAAGAGAGAGAACCTTCCCACACACCACCACAGGAGCTGTGTGTATTCCAAACGTACCCGCCCTTTATTGTCGAGTCTCTGTTTGTGTTTTACCGGTATCAAGGCTGTGGGGGGAGGGGTTTATATACAAGGGATATTGCGGGAGGGGAGAGGTGAGGTGAGGGAAGGGGAGGGGGGGTGAGATGAGATGGGGTGAGATGAGGGGTGAGATGAGATGGGGTGAGATGAGATGGGATGAGATGAGATGGGATGAGATGAGATGGGATGAGATGAGATGGGATGAGATGAGATGGGATGAGATGAGGTGAGATGGTTTGAGGTGTATGATACCCCTTTCCCCCTTTCCCATTCCATGAGCGAACCAGGAATGCCATACCAGATCAGACATCCAATTCCCACCTCACCCCTACCCCCTACCCCTTTCAACCCCCCTCAACCATCCACCACGTTAACCACTCCTCACCACTCACCCCTCCCCACCCCCCATCCCTCAACCCCCCCCCTTCCCCATCCCTCAAACCCCCTCCCCCCCCTCCACCCCTTGCCCCCCACCACACACACACACCACATCCACCTTTCAAATCCACACACGACATGCTTCGCCCCCCGAAAGAACGATCCGTTCAGTAGAGGATGGGGGTTTTATCCTCTCCTCACCCCTCGCCAAGCACATCTGCTTCTCTTCGCTCCTGGACTTGAGGTTATGGGGGTGATGGGTGATGGGGATGGGGATGCGGTTTGCAAGGGGATCGAAGAGAACGGGGAAAGAGGGTGTCGGGGGAAGAAGAAGGAGTGAAATTGGACAAAAGTCATTGTGAGTGTCTATTATTCGTATGCGTATGTATGTATGTATGTATGTACAGTTTGTACCCCCCATCCAGGGCAGCTAATATACACAGCCACAGCCAGCGGGTTAACTTCCCCCACCTGGCCATCTTTCTCTCCATCTATTTTATCCTCCTTCCCCGCCCCACCTTCCATTGAAGATTGACGTTTGTTGAAGTTTAAAAAAACAGCAAAGCCCACAGCAAGCAACCATTCTCTCCCTTTTGGTTCCCGTAAAAACAGCAGGTGAATAATCCGTACAAACCCCCGCCCATCCCAGGCACCCAAAAAATCCCGCATCGCCCAATCGAAAACAAAAAACGAAACGGGTAAAATACTCCGACAACCCCCGCACTTGCACGCCAAACACCCCATCCATCCCATATCCCACCATCCCCCATTCCCCAAGCCCCCTTCACCCAACCAAAGAAACCCGTAGACGAACACCCCCTCACCCCTCACGCAGCACCAGTCTCAAAAACCATAGGCGTCCCCCCCAAATGATGCCCCCCTCCCACCCCTCCATACCCCCCCCTCGCAGCCAGAACACCCATCCTCTCCCTCTCCACCTTCTCCGCATCCCTCCTCGCCCTATCCGCCTTCGTAACCCTCGGTTTCCTCGTCGCCCCTCCCCCCCTAGTTTCCTTCCCCTCCTTCCCCCCTCCATCTTTCCCCCCCTCCTTCCCCGCAGCACCAGCATGGCCACCACGTGTCCCACTCGCAACCCTCGCACCCCCCCGTCCGCGGGATCCTCCCCTCCCCCTCTTCCCCCCCTCCCCACGCTCAAGCGTCGGTTTCTCCCCATCCGGCACAAGAGGGCCCGAGTAGACAAAAAACCCATCCACCGACGCCGCCGCCTGCTCCTCCCACAGGAGATCCGAATCATCCACGAAATCATCCTCCTTATCATAATCATCCTCCTTCATCTTGCGCTTCTTCACGACCTTCTTCCCCGCATCAGTGCCGGTCCGGCCATCGCTCACGCCGCCCATCTCGACGTTGGAGTTGTCGCCCTCGTTGTCCGACATGTCGAGGGACATCTCATCGCCGCTCTCCTTATGTCCTGACTTCTCCAGCGCGGCACCCGCGGCAGCGACGCGCGCGAGACGTTCACGCTGCGCCGCCAACCGGGGGTGGAGAGCATCCCATCCGTACCGCTCCTCGGCGAGACGAGTGAAGTTGATGTATTTATTCGATCCACCGTTCAGCGGGATGTGCAGCACGATCGTAGGAGCTCTCGACTCCGTCCCGTCTTTAGGGGCATTGAAGAAGCTGTTTCCTTGTCCTGGGAGAGGGGGAGGTGTGGCGTCGATGGGTTTGGAGGGTTTGGGGGCGGCGGTGATGGTGGAGACGGGTTTGGAAATGGATGTTATCTGCGCCGGGTTTGGTGTGAATGACGGCGGTGGCGCAGGGGCGCGGACGTATGGTTTCGCCTCTTCCTGGCGAGAGCGAGTAGCGGATTGAACACCAGACGATGGCGAAGGCCCAGTAGAAGGGTTGAGAGTAGGCGAAGGAACGACGCGATTGGAAGTCGGCGACGGCGGGACAGAGGTATGCATCTTCATCTGGTGCTGGAAGAACGACTGCGCAGCCATAGACGGCGACGTCGAAGCCTGGTGTGGTGGATCGACCAGACTCGCAATAGAAGGCGACGCGCTGGCGCGATTCGACGGCGCGGGCTTGGGCGACATCTGCGCGTGGTATGGGTTATGGCTCGGCACGTTCTCGCGCACCGGATCGTAGTTTGAGCGGATCGGGTCGTAGTTCTGGCCGCTCGACCTCATCGGCTGCGACTGTTGTGGTTGTTGCGACGGCTGAGGTTGAGGTTGTGGTGGCGGCGCGGAGTTAAAGAACGAGACAGGCGTGGACTTCTGAATATCCTCAAACTTGCCGTTTTGGGGTCCTGCTGCGGCAGCGGTGGCGGCGGCGGCAGCGGCGTTGTACTGCTGCTGTTGCTGCGCCTGCGGCTGGAACGGCTCGTTTAGGATCCTGTACCCCGGCTCGTTGGCCGCCGGTCGCATGTTCATGTCGGTCAGCTTGGACTGTCGTGTCGCAGCGTGTGCTGGTCTTGCTGCGGTGGTGGTGGTGTTATTATTATCCTCATCGGCATCCTGTGTCGCCGTCGTATTATTCGAGGCAGTTACTCTCTTCTTGCGCGGGACGGGAGCGGCGTTGGGGTCTTTGGCCTCTCGTGGCTTGCGCGTGCGCTTGGGTTTGGTGTCGGTGCTAGTTGCCGAGGCCCCATCGGCGACGATGGGAACCTTTGGCTTGCGGCCTGGCTTTTTTCGGGCAGGTGGAGCGGAAGGTAGTGATGCTGTAAGGTCGGGAGATTAATTAGTTATTTTCCTTTGTACTGTTGTACCGTAGTACCGTATGTGAAATTAAAATTGTTTTGTAATGCGACAAAAGAATGTGAATGTGAATGTGAATGGTGATAATTGAAAAAGTGGGAATATCCCCATATGGAGCCGTTGTGGTGGAAATAATAATGTGGTTGGGGGGTACAAAGCCAAAAGTAGCGATGTGTTGTGTTGTGTTGTGATGATCAAAAAGTAAAATTAAATAAGAAAAATGTGGACAGGTTGTCGTTCGTTACTTACCGCGTTCGTCGACAACACCACCACCAGAACCGACGATGTTGGAATCCTGAGCGTCGCGTTGATCCCTCAGCAGTTGGCGAGCGGCAGGTGACCCCGGATCGGATGGGGAGCACGGCGGCGGACTCGACAGTTCCGGGGATGAGCTGTAACGAGATATTCCGTTGTTGGAGGGACCATCAACACCAGACATTTTGGGTCTGGGGGGAGATGAGATGGATGATGATGGGATGGGGAAAAGGCGAGAAGTCGAGTTATAAAACGCGATTTCCGGGTTTGGATGTATGGAGATGGAGATGATGATCTGTTATGCCGGCATATAAGAAGCAGATCAAACAGACCCAAGAAGGGGTTGGCGTTGGCGTTGGAGGTAAGAGAGAGAGAGCTTCGTTGGAGCGAGCTTGCCGGGTACAGAAATATCGAAAAGAAGGAAGTACCTCTCAAAAATAAAGAACTTCAAAAAATGAAAGACCTCAAATTTGAAATCACGGGCGCAGATCCGAAAGGGGAAAGAAATTAATGATCCGTAGTTTCGTAGTCGTTGTTGTTCGTTGGGGTGGCGAAATGGGGGTACGGCGTGGGAGAAAGGACCACCAGGCAAACGAAACGTTGCCGAAAGAGAGATGTGAATAGCTTCAACTCCGCGACGACACCTTTTTGCGAAAAAAACGGCGAACGAAGCCGAGATATCGTCGGCGTGCTAAGGTAATCCGGTCGTCTGTATCGATGAGTCGATTGCTGCGAGCTGGGCGGATTGAAGGGCGGTGATTTGAGGGCGGTTTGGATGGATTATGATGGTGTTTTTGATGGAATGAGGCTGTTGTGATGAAGGCGTTGGGGGTGGAAAAGAGGATGAAGATGGAGAGTTGTGGTGAGGTGGTGGAAGATGGGTGTTGAGTTGATGTGGTTGTTGGGGCGGCGGGTATTGGGGGGGGGGGCGAGCGTTTATGGATTATGGATTTATGGATGGGGGATGGGATTTATTGGGTCTATGTATAGAGTAGAGGAGAGGTAAAGAAAGGAACTAGTCGGACGAGGAGTGGGAGTGGGAATGAATTGGGGGGAGGGAATGCGGAATGGGTAAAGGAATTGAAACAGACGGAGGGAGGGAGGGATGGGAGACGAGAGACGAGAGGGAAGGGAAGAAGATTAGCGGGTACGGGGGACGGGGGGAGTAGAGGAGGTGGAAGAGGAAGAGGAGGAAAGGCAAAGGGTGGGAGTGGGAGTGAGGGATGGGAGGGAAGAGAGGGAATCAAACCATCTGGGGGAGAGAAGGGGGGAATTAATTGGGAGAGAGGTAGAGACGGCGGACATAGTAAGAAAAAGGGTAGAGTGGTGGAAATGGGTAGAGGTGGTAGAGTAGGTAGAGTAGGTAGAGTAGGTAGGCAAGCAATAATAAGAAGAATGGACAAAATGACCAAGAAGGGTTTAGGTCGGATGGGGAGATGGGAAAGGGCGGATGTGAGAGAGTGAGAGGCGGGATATGGCTGGACGACACGACACGACACGGGGACACGGGGACACGGGGACTGGGGACTGACAGTACCGCTGGCTGGTGGCTGGTACTTTTTGTGAGGGATACCTACCACGTACCCACACACGTATAATCCCATATCCCATACCTATGCCGTGAGTACCGGGGGCTGGGCGAGAGACGAGACAAGAGGGGATGGGGGATGGAGGGACAAAGGGAAGAGGGTGGTATCGGGGGTAGGAGTGGGTGATATGTAGTATATTGTTGTCTGATGAGTCTTATTAGCAGGGGAGAAGTGTGAATAGAGGTACAGCTGGTGATGGCTGTGATGGTGATGACGGGACAGTGCAGTTGCAGTCGTAGTCTGTATGCGTGCGGTGTGTGTGTCTATTTGTATCTTTTATACCTCTATTTCCCCTAGTAATATCGCCATCGACGGAAAGTAAGAGATGTGCACGCGGCCATATAGAAGATACATCCCTTAAGTACCATAACATACCAGTAATTAAATCACAAGCGGTAAAAAAAGTATCCTCTGTCGTCTCCCTCGCACGTGATATATCAACGATTCATGGGAGATGGGCACCAATATCCCGATGATGCATGGTTCCCGATGCACAGTAGAGGTAGGGGGTACGTACCTTAGCTCTTTTTGTCTTTTGTGGATGGATGGGAGTGGTGTGGTGGGTGTGGGAGGATGCAGGGGCCTGGGACACACACAGAACAGAAGGTACGAACGGGATTATGTAAGCGGCAGTGATCTGTCTTTGTGTACAGCGTAGGGCTTTACACAGAGGATGTCTTATCGATGGTAATTAACCACGATACACAGAGTATGCCAGTACACATACCATACACAGTATAACACACAATACAATACAATACAATACACACTCCTCACTCTCTAACAAACAGTCTATATATATCCCACACCCATCCATTCCGCCCGTCTCCCTCCTCCCATCTATCCCAACCCCTCGGATCCCCCACCAGTAGTCCTCCCACTACCCGCTCTAACCTACCTCGGTTAGTGGGAACGGGTGGCAGTCACCGATCCACCCCGGTTATTAGGCGATGGGTGTGGTGGGTGTGGTGTGCCACAACTTTAAAAATCCCGTGCTGTGTGTGGCTGACTAAGGGAAGATGTACGGGGAGGTGACGGGTGTGTGGCTTACCGTACAGAGAGGGAGGGAAGGCTGACTAAGTGCGGCGCAGTAGGTGTAGTACGGCGAGGGAGAGGGAGAGAGGTGTGGCAAGGCTCGCGAAATTTGTCGGTGTTTGTGGACAGCCTTCTTCACCAGGCTGAACCGATTGTTCCGTTGGTTGTAGAGGGTTTTACGACGGCGACGGCGACAGATACAGCAAACAACCTTCAATATCTTCGCGACTACTGTATTAAATATACACCTACACCTACACAGTCTCACCTCACCTCACATTACCTCACTTCACACACACACACACACACACACCACCACCACAACAATGTCCGCACGCGCCGAGCGCTTCATCCTCGATCTCTCCGACGACGACGAAGGCGAAGATTCCCCCACCACACACCCCTCCAACAACCAACCTTCCACCAACACATCGAATCCCCTCAACCCCACCACCGCCTTCCAAACAATTGCCACCCCAGACTCATTTATTAAAGACATAATCGAACGCACACCCTCCGCCCCCAAACCACCTTCTGCACCAGTGTTCAAACAGACTACTACTGGGTTCCCGGAGCATAGGAAGAGGGGGAGTCGGTTTAAAAGTTCTAGAGGTGGGGGGGCTGTGTCGACACCGGCAGCGGCAGCGGTAGAGGGGAAGGATGGGATTTCTCCAGCTTCGTCGCGGGGGGGAGGAGGGTTAGGTGGGAGGGGTGGGGAGGATGTGGTGGATAGAGACGAAGAGGAGAGGAGGGCGATTGACCTCGAAAACCAGAAGAAGATCGCTGCCATGTCACCCGAAGAAATCGAGACCGAACGCGCAGAACTTCTATCCGCCCTCGACCCGAATCTGGTGCGCATGTTGATGAACCGAGGTGCGAAGAAGACAGCCCCGGAAAAGGTGTCTGATGCGGCTTTGGTTCATAAGATGAAGGGGGACCTGACGGGAGATAAGGGGGAGAAGAGGGAGATGGGATTAGAGGATTACCTTAAGAGAGCGAATATTGATGATGGGAGGGGGGATACGTGGGTTGAGACGCCGGAGCCGAGGGTGGTTGATGTTACGGAAGATGATACATCCGCTGTGGTGGCGGCGGGGAAGGGAGTTGACTCAGCAGCGACTGCGGCGGCTTCGATACCGGCGGGCAAACAGGCTACGGATGGAAAGAAAGAGGAAGGGACTCGGATTCCCAAACCAAAGGGTCGAAGAATCGAACCCACGAAAGCAGTTCACTGGCTTGAAAACGATGAGGTTGAACCAAAGGAGATACCTGAGTTACAACCTGTGTCGGAGTTTAAACCACGGGGACATACACACGCCTCTACCTCCAGCACCACCTCTGATCAACCTACCGACACCACCACAGATACCACCTCCGCCGACCGACCCACCACCGACTCGACAGAAAACATCGACTCTCTCCACTTCCCCCGTCCCCCAACATTACCGGATTTAGACCCCTCGTCCCCGAATTTTTTGCAGGATCTACATACAGCCTACTTCCCCTCTCTTCCGTCCTCGTCAGCTTCTTTAGCGTGGTTGGCTCCTTTACCCACCCCTGGGTCTGCGGCGGATTTGGAGTCAACATACCATCCCTCTCAGACTTCGATACCAGCTTCGAGTCTGCGGTTTGATTTCAAAGGCCAACTTCTCCCTCCTCGGATATCCCGCGCGATGCCGGTAGATCGCGGGTTGCATCACCATGCTGATGCTCCGGAGGCGGGGGGTTACACGATATCTGAGTTATCCGGGCTGTTGAGGAGTAGTGTGCCCCAGCAACGCGGGCTAGCGGCGATGGTACTAGGACGGATATTGTATAGACTTGGGAAAGGGGAGTGGGGAGCGGGGAGCGAAGTGACGATGGGGCTTTGGAGGTGTGTGGAGGAGGGGGGGGTGGTGGGGGGGTTGGTTGGTATGGCTGGTGGGGAGAATGGGGATGAGGGGGAAGGGGGACAGGGGGGTGAGAGGCATAGGAGTGTGAAAGCCTACGCCACCGAAGCAGTCTGGCTCTGGCGAATGGGCGGCGGAAAAGTGATGGGCGCCATCTAAGACGTCTCTATACAGCCCTATGGGATATCCCAACCCATTAATGAACAAATAAATAAAAATCACATGAATATCCTAGTTCAGTAGTTTCCTTCACCAATCCCTGGACTTATTCATCTGAGCTCTACCCCACCCCATCACCGAGATTCATAGTATATAACACCCCCCCCTTGCCTTCCCGGAACTAGCGAACACAGAAATGTATTCAAGGACAATACGACCACTCTGGTTACACCATCCTAACGAGTACGTCCAGATACCCCTCCACCCACGCACGACGGTTCTTGAAGCCCGGTAGAGCGGGAAGACTGGGGATGAGATGAACCGCCACTTAAACCACTACCACAACCAGCTCACTCGACTCAGCCACTATATAAACCCCCCCTTTCTCACCCTTCCACTGTCAATCGGCACAGCAGCATAGCAATTCGTTGGAAGGAGTGCAATGGAAGATGTGGCTGGACCCCCTGGTGTTGTGAAATACAACAAACAACCCTTCGCCTCGCGCACCTCATCCTCCCTTCCTAGATGCTTGAGAAACTTCTGTACCCCGGTGGTGACGGGGTGTGCGGTGACGACAGGTGAGCAACGGAAGCGGCGAGAGTAGTGGTGACGAGAGATCATGCGGTGATGAGGAACCCCGCCTCCCTAAGCTCATCTAGCTGCGTATTTGGGAAGGAGGAGCTGCCTATTTCTGCCCCGGGTATGTGGCGCAGCAGCTCGACTTTGAATTCGGTCATTGTCTGCTGGTATGTTATATTGTGTTGATGTGGTTATTTCTGGCGGCCGGAGGGCGGTATTTATGCGGCACGCTGGTGTGGTAAATGTGAAGCTGGAGGGGGTTTTGCGGGGTTTTCTGGGGAAAGTGGGGAGGGGGGGGTGGGGAATGATACCCACCCCGCAGTCACATTTCCCTCCCTGTGAGTTTTAAAATCCTCTGTTTAGCCCCTATATTAGAGAAGTAAGTCTAATGCGTCATCTGCCAAGCAGCACCGGAAATTTTGAACGGAGGCAGGGCAGGTTGGTACAGGTGGCGACAATATTGAGTTCGTCTGGTCGTGTGTCCTAAAAGTCTCTAGAGGAATTGTGCTCAGAGAGCATTAATAGTGAGAGCCTATAACAGTTGAAAATAAAGACTCTTAATCACCACAAACTATAAGATTTATATTACAAGCATTTGTAAGAGCTAGCTACTAATAAATTTAACAAAAGAAAAGAACTCTAATAGCTGTAATAGCTGTATTTGCTAGAATAGCATCTGTCATACTACTTAAAATGCACAGACTAGGTCTGTTAGACCTCCGCCGACATTTAGGCGCCATGAGTAGTCAAGAATAATCCCAATCGTTTCAATCAGCTCAGCATGCGCGGTTTGTCGAAGTCCAACGACCAACTTACCAAGCACATCGCCCTAAAAGACTGTTTGGCCACGCCCTGATGTAGTATTTCCTTCCTTCTTCCAACAACAAAATGGCCAATCCAAACGCACCGGGAAGGAAGAAATACTCCACTGGCACTTCCGCAGTACCCAGCACGCGCTGAAACTCGGGGACATATAACCAGAAAAAAACCATCACAAGTGCAAAGCCCATCGCTGGGAACAGGAGCCAATTCTTGGTTTCCTTGTTGAATAGAGGCGGATGCTGAAAGATGCTGAGCCTGCGTGTGCGTACTCCGAGGAGGTTAAACCACTGCATTACAACGAGATTGACGAAGTAGATCGAAGATGCGACGGCGAGTTTCGAGGCGACGAAATCAGCATCGAGGTTGTCAGGGAGTGCGCCATACTGGAACCAGAAAACAGAGAAGGGGATCCCTTGGCGCTCGAGATACCAGAAAGCCATGGCAAAGGAGGCGATCGATTCGAGGACTCCGATGAATGCATAGGTTTGCACCATGAGCTGCCAGTTGACGAGACGGTCCAACTTGGGCTTGCGCGGGCGGCGGAGGAGGACGTCGGCCTCTGGTGCCTCGTACGCAAGAACAATCGCTGCAGCGCAGTCTGTGAAGCAGCAGATGATAATCATCAAGAACGAAGACAAGATTTGCGGGAGACCGAAGATGACATTGCCGAATACGGGCCAGAACTCGGAAAAGGATCCCGCGGGGAGTAGGTAGGCGATGGTCTTCTTGAGGTTATCAAAAACGACGCGGCCGTACTGTACTGCATGAACGATAGCCGAAAAGGATTCTAGCAATACCATGTCCGCAGCCTCGATTGCTATGTCTGATCCGCTGCCGAGTGCGATTCCGATGTCGGCTGCTTTGAGGGAAGGGGCGTCGTTGACTCCGTCACCAGTCATCCCAACGATTTCGTCACGGCTTTGGAATTCCCGCACAATGCGGAGTTTCTGCTCGGGAGTTGTGCGGGCGAACACGATCTCGTCATATCGACAGAGTTGGTCCCATTGGCATTCGTTGAGAGTGATCAGCTCTGGACCGCTGACGACGATTGAAGTTACAGGTTGGGGAGTCAGGTCAGATGATTTGTTGATAGATGAGGGTGCGGATACTTCATCGCGAGTGAGTGCGGTGACAGTCTTTACTGCACCTGGCGGGTTGGTAATGACGCCGCATTCGGCAGCAATAGCCTGTGCAGTCAACGCAAAGTCTCCAGTGACCTGAATAAAGCGTTAGAACCTTGCTCACTAGAGTCTTTGTATAGAACGCTTACCATAAATATGCGAATACCAGCTCGTCTGAGAATGCTCACTACCGAGGGTATCTCGTCGCGAGGAGGATCGACTATGCCAACAATCCCAACAAAGGTCAAGCCAGTCCTAGAATGCTCCATTATCTCGTCTTCGAACTCAGCATCAGCAGGAGTTGATTGAATTTGCTCATGACCTAGAGTTTTGCGAGCGAGTAAGATTACGCGTTTGCCCTGAGAAGACCAGCGGTCCTTCATGCAAGATATGCTAAAGCGGGTGGCTTCATTGAGGGGTTTGCTAACACCATCACGGTCCACGAACATAGAGCATCTACTGATGAGGACATCTGGAGCTCCTTTAATCGTCAGGAGGCTTATAAGGTCAGCATTTGCTGTATTCAAGACACCGATAAACTTACGTGGCATTCTGTCGGAATTCATTCGCCTCGGTGAGTGATAGAGCTAGATCCAGACCGACCTTATCAGCTAGAGTAAATGTCCTAATCATATACTTGTTCTTGCTATTGAAAGCGAGCTCGAAAGTTTTAACCCATGATTCTCGGACCTCTGTAACCGGCCCAAGGGACTCTGAGAAGCGAAGTATAGCCTGATCGGTGGCATCCCCATGTATTTTCCGGTCGTGGAGCGGCAAGTGGTACGTAGCTGCATCGAAGTTTCCGGAATTGCACAACCCAGCAACGGTCCGCAATTGAGAGACGGAGTTTTGGCCGTCGTCTGCATTTTTCTGACGGATCATTTCATCACGGCTACCTTCGACACTCATGTCAAAGGCACCAATGGCAGCTTTGGTGACGTACATTTTGTTCTACAGAGTCTGTTAGTTTCATTATGATATCGCGTTAAATACAGGACTCACCTTTGTCAAAGTACCAGTCTTATCTGAACATATTACAGAAACTGAGCCAAGGGTTTCCACAGTCTTGAGGGACTTGCATAAAATCTTGTTTTTTCGCATGATGTTGGCAGTGATTGTCAGACTGGCAGTGACTGCGATTGGTAACCCTTCGGGGATGAAGGCAATGGCGACACTGACGCAGCTTACGATGAGCGCAGGCACTGAGATCCAACCAGGGTGGTTTTTACGAAGATATGCAGCCCTGATACAGTTAGTCGAGGATTACCATCGTGGATTTGCGAAAACTAACCAGACAATAATGAAAAGAACTATCATTGTCACCATGATGGAGATAATGACAAAGACAAAGTTGAGGACTTCCTTCTCTAAAGGTGTCATACCGGTCGAAGGTTCGTTGGTTAGCTTTGCAATCCGACCAAAGACTGTCTCGTCGCCTGTGCTAACAACTACACCGAGACCACTTCCTGCTATGCAATGAGTGCCTTGTAGTCCAATGCATCGGGTTTCGAGGAAATTTGGATCGGTGCTGTCAACCGTTCCGGGAAGAGGTGCAGATTCACCTGTATGTACGTGTCAGCTGCTGTATCTTTTTGTACCGCTATTAGACGTACCAGTCAGAATAGACCTATCAAATCTCGCATCCGAAGAAATTTCGATGAGTCGCACATCAGCGGGAAGTTTGTTGCCGGCCTTGATATACAGAATGTCTCCAGGAACTATATCGCTAGCGAGTACTGTAGCTTGGACGCCGTCCCGCAATATGATGCAGTTATCAGGAAGCATAGTAGTGATTGATGCCATGACCCGCGACGAAGACCAATCTTGCCACGCGTTAAATACAGCCTGGATAACGAAGACAGCGAGAAGGACAATAGCGAGTGCTAGGTTAGCAATAGCCGGTGCCGGTTCTCCGAGCGGCTTCCAAGATACGAAGACGAGAATACCACCAACGAGGAGGATGCTTCCAAATCCCTTGAAAAAGTATCCAAAAATTTGCTTTGTGTAATGGGTTGGTGGGTGAGAGGGAACATTTTTGCCGTACTTGGATATGTTCTTCTTTGCCTGTTCTGCGGAAAGACCTCGAGTCTTTGAGGTCGAAAGACGCTCGAAGATTTCTTCGGGAGAGACTATATGCCAGTCGAGGTTCTCAAGCTCTACAATGTTGTTAGTTTCTGGGTAGTCACTCGTATCTCGCTGTAATACCTTTTGTGGCAGAGTTTTTATGCTTCTTGGCCTTTAAGAGCTCTTGATCAATACTCTCGTCGATTTGAAAAGACCTGTACAGCGTAAGCAATCGGCCAGTAATAGTATATTACCGCAACCTACACAGCTCGGTATTGAATAGGGAGTGCGTGTGAAGGATCAATTGATCCCCGGCGGCTGTGGCTGCTGTGAATCGAGAATTGCGAGTTTGAGCGATAGAGCGCGCGAGGCCTCGAGGCCGATTCCACATCATCTGCGGTCCATTGAATGCGAGGCCCTTCTTTTTCTGGAGGATTCGCCATGTTGACTTGCGCTTTGAACTCGAAGTTTCGGCGCACGATATGGGATGAATGGAAAAGGGGGATGGGTGGCTCGTTAGAAACAAATATGATGGGAGTACAGGGCGTCTTGTACTCGCTGATGAAAGGCAGGTACCGGCCGGTTTTCTAAAGAATCTACTCACTTTGAATGAAAATGAAAATGAAAATGGAATTATACCTTTTTGCCTCCTATCATCCATCGATATGCGAGATTTAGAATTGACCTACCATATACTAGTGCTTTTCAGTGATAGTCACCTTTTGAGCTGAAGTCTTTGGCGCCTCATCTTCCGACTTCTTTTTGATAATGGGGCACAGTTCCTGACATGAGGGATTTTTAGCATGTGCGGCATTTCAGGTCTTCTATTGTTTTCTGGTTTTTGGCATTGTTATCTCAGCGGTGGCATGATGGGTGCGGAGATAGCTGACGTAGAGGGCACAACCAGCGATAAAAGCCTCATAGAAGAATGAAGCGACTAAGAATTTGCACAGCCCCTGGGAATCTTAGCTAGCGAAGTTTAGAGGGGTAGCTGGACATCAAGTCTTACTCATGACATCCTTTCGATAAGAAAATAGGTAACGGTGTGATAATTTTTTAACAAATCGCTGAATGTCCTCTTTGTCTGTTGTTCTCCGAAAGTGGCAAATCGAATGTCCGGTGACTCTTTCTGTGTTACGTGTAGGCGAAGTCGGAGATATTCCATATAGTTCCGTCACAAAATCGCCTAGAACACTGCGAGGCTCTCGAATCGCTCATGAATGGCTAGTGGGCTTTAATTGTGCTTACGACCAAGCAATAACCCCAATAGTGCTCGCAAGAATCACATCAGCACAACGTACGATAATTACTCCTGCCATCTGAAGGTCTGCGGAGGCGCCGTGCCTAGAGTATTAATTATGCGAGCTTTAGAATAGCAAAAGAGGACAATGAAGTTTATTAATTCCCATAAGCTGTAAGTTTTATATTATAGGAGGTAGCTACTAACAATTTTAACATGATCGATCCTCGTATCACTGTGCTCAATAGAGATCAATCCATTCTCAGGGGCCAGTGCAATGTCAAAGGGTATGCTCGGTCCGAGGCCAACCTCCGATACTGCCAGCGACAAGCCCTGCCATAACTGCTACAGGTTTTAAGCTAGATTTTCTGTGCGATTTGTTTCGCCGATTATACGCATGAAAACGTCCGCCATGAATCCACGACAGAATTTCCAACTCTTCGCGAATTTCCAGGAGCACAGAATTCCAATCCTTCAGTTGGCTTTCATCAGATACTACTAGTGCAGAAGTGGTTACCTGCGGTTGCCATCTATATGGAATGATCTTCTGAAAAACGTCATCTGGAATGAAGCGAGTAATAACTGCCACTGGTATCGAGAGGAAACCGAGGACAATTGAGTATCCCCACTGAGCCCCGTTGAGACGAACCACTTGTAATGCTCTACCACCAATAAGGATGATGATGACTTGCCCAACAATCATGCTGAGGTTTATGCCTATAAATAGCCAATTCCGTGTGATACCCTCGAATATGTTGAGTTTATTATCAATCCGACGATTGCTGTTATGCATCAGTTTAAGTTAGACAGTGGAGAGGCAGTTAGCTTACTTATACTGGTTGAAAATCTGCATCCATACAAAAGTGTTAAAAACCATAGTCCTTAGCTGCGCTCTTTCACCCTCCGAGTGGTATGAAAAGATGGCATCACCACCAAAATGTATTATCAGTAATACAACGAGCTTGTAGATAGACTGGGCAAGAATCATCTTCCACATTGTCACTGTGATCAACGGCGACGATTTTGGATCCGGTTTCCGATCTAGAATGCTCTCCGCTGGAGGGTCAGTGGCTAATGCAAGAGCACCCATGGTGTCCATGATCAAGTTTACCCATAGCAGCTGAACAGCTGTTAAGACAGAAGTTTCAGTGTCGCTGGCAACAGCAGAAACAAATGTTAGCACTACTGCGGCAATATTGACGGTGATTTGGAACTAATGAGATTTAGTCAGAGAGTAACAATTGCAACGGACACAGAATACAGCTCACTTGTAGAAATTTCCGAACGGCATCATTAACAGCTCGGCCCCACATGACTGCCTTGACGATAGAGGAGAAGTTATCATCCATAAGGACGATATCAGAGGCTTCTTTAGCAACTTCCGTGCCGGTGAGGCCCATGGAAAATCCGACATCAGCCGTCGTTAGGGCTGGTGCGTCATTTGTGCCATCCCCAGTAACTGCGACAACCTCACCTAGCTCTTGAAGGGCCTTGACTAAGATCTTCTTGTCTTCGGGACTGGATCGTGCGAGTACTTGCAGACGAGGAATGATGCGGTTCATCTCAACGACGCCCAACTTCCTAAAATCTTGACCGTCCATCACCAAATCATCGTCTGTGAGAATACCACATTCCCTGGCAATCGCTTTAGCGGTCAGTAGATTATCACCTGTGACCATCCGGACTGTGATGCCAGCTGCCTGACATCTTGCAACAGAAGCTTTGACACCCTCCCGCAAGGGATCTCGAATTCCTACAATGGCAAGTAGCGTCATGTCCTTGAACAAATCGTCAAAGCCCGTTTTGAGGAATTCGTTCATGGTTCCAGCCGCGTGGCATGGCAAACTCTGGAGATCGCGGTACAATAGGGCAATAGTTCGCAGGGACCTGTTGGCAAAATTCTTGATATTGCGATTCAAATGAATCATATGTTCTGACGTAATAGCTGTGCTAGAAGCGTCCGAAGCCACATTTTGAAGGATTTGGGCACACCTTCCGAGCATCACCTCTGGAGCTCCTTTGGCATAAATCCGGAAGCCATGCTCTGTCTGAACTATAGTAGCCATATACTTTCGAGCAGAATCAAATGAGACCAGGTAAACAGTACGGCTGTTTGACCGCTCTAGACTGACGGGGCCCATGCCTAGAGAAGTATGCGCGAAGTCAAGGAGGGCTGATTCGGTTTTGGAGCCAGTAAAGGCCAGACGTCCTTTATCTTGGACCTCGAACGCCGTAGAATTGATCGCGATGGAATCTTTTAAAAGGCACTTGACAGGTTTGGAAATTGCGTGAACAGAAGCAGTCAAGCTTGGCTCAAGCTGTCTCTCCGCTAATGGTGTATTGTCCTCGCCACCGGCAGAGCTGTTCTGACCCATGCAAATTGCAACTACAGTCATAGTATTCTGAGTCAGTGTACCAGTCTTGTCAGAACAGATGGTTGTCGCATTGCCCATCGTCTCGCACGCCTTCAGATATCGGACCAGGTTGTTATCTTTCAACATCTTCCTGGTAGCAAAAGCTAGAGCTAGAGTGACCGCAAGCGGTAAGCCTTCCGGCACGGCGACAACGATGATTGTTATGGTGACGATGAGGATTTGCATGAACTCTTGAGCTTTCTCAGAGGCATTTTGAGTACTCCCGGGCAATTGAACAAAAAACTTAATCAGCAAGGTAACAAATAATAGCAATGCCGAACCAATTCCCAGTTTTGCGATCTGGTTAGCCAGGCGATATAGTTTATACTGAAGAGGAGTCACTTGAGGGCCTTCGTGAAGGGATATCAGAGTCTTTCCGTAGCTCGAATGGATTCCAACGGCGGTCACTAGGAACGTACCGACCCCTTCGCTGACCTTGCTCCCCGATATAATAAAAGGATCCATCTTGTTGAGATCCTCCCCAGCTAGTATAGACTGAAATACATCTGCAGCAGCGTGTTTTGTGATCAGGCTAGATTCGCCCGTGGCCGAAGACTCGTCGCATCTCACATTGTACCCATCGATAAATATACCATCCACTGGTATCACGTCGCCTGGTTCAAGGTGCATCACATCTCCAACAAGTACATCAAAAACCGAAATCTCCTGTATCTTTCCAGATCGAATGAGCTTCACGGTGCGGTCTTGCTTCTTCTTGTTTAGTTTACCAAATTGACGTTCTTTCTGCCAATCGTTCAGAGCACCAACTACCACCACAATCAAAATAGCCACCGTGATCGCCACCCCCTCAATCCACTCAACAGCTGCCTCGCCCTCTTTGTGTGGCTGACCAAACGTTTGGTACAGTCCGACAGCTAGCGATATGACAGCTGCGATAGTCAATAAAATTAGAACCCTGTCATTGTATGCCATCCATGCAAGCTGCAGGATGTTTTTGGGTTTCTTTTCTGGTACCCTATTATCCCCAAAGGTTCTCCTCCTATCTGAAAACGACTGGTCTGGTCCTTGAGCCTTAATTAGCGGCCTGGGAGATTCGTATTCCGTGCGATGTGTCATAGGAGGATGTTTCGATGGTGGTCTGGTAATTTTTGCTTCCTCTAACGAGATTGTCCCATATAGAAAGGCTTCGTCAGGACTCAAGCCGCCTAGTCTGTCCGTCCTCAGTCCTCTCTCTAAACCATCTATCCCTCCAACAGCGTAGAAAGCTGATAAGCTCTTCGGGTCTATCAACTTCGACATTTGACCTGGTACGAAAGCAAATTTGTTGTCCGCTACTTGGAAATCCTCAACTCTGTCCGAGAGGGGTTCAAGGGCCGTTGTGTCATATATGATTCGGCTGTGAACGGGTGCGCGCTCTAAGGGAGATGGGTGTTGCCCACTTGTGGTCGCCCTGTCCTCAACTTCGCTCATCATTGTTTTTACTGAAGTAGGCTCGTCCGCAAAATGGGCCAAAGTGGAAGGTAAGATGTTGTCACAGACGCTCCCATCTCCATGATCTGAAGATTCGTGAGCCATATTGACTTGCAGGTGGGGGTTTATGAGCCACAGGCTAGGTTGAGGGTAGCGCTGCTATTCATTGACAGCAGTTCGATGCCGACGTTCTGGCTGTAAATGACAAGATATTAACTTTGGGTGTAAAATCTTAATAATTAGTGTATTGTCGTAAATGCATCATAGTTGAGGTAATAACATACTGAATTCAAAGTTGACTAAAGTATAAGTTATATATTTGAGAAGTAGTGTTCTCCAAGCTCTAAGCGTCTGCTTTGAAAGAAATCACTACTGCCGAACGAGGTGTCCGTTAGAGGCGGACTTCATAATTATCTGGAGCCTAGCCATCTCTGGTCACCAACGCCAAAGAGGGTGGTGAGTTTGATGGCGCTCATACAAGCCAACCAACCTGAAGCCAGAGAGGGAAACCACCTCTGGAATTTAGTGGGCGCCCTTTCTAGTACTGGCCCCATCACGTCCGGTCCAGAGTGCAGCCGTAGATAAGCAATATGGCAGTGCAAATAGGACTACATCGATCGTCCTTACATTGGTTGTCCACTCTTCAGGCAAACGCCATGACAACCACACTCCAGCCTGTACTCTATCTTTACCAATTATTGCAGGTTGGCTCATCTCAAATTCCCTTGAGCTTCTTCTGACATTTTGTCCGCAATGCTGCGGTCAGCCAAGAGGACAAAGATATGGTAGAGTGTGGCTTAGACGATGGACTAGAGCAAGTGGCAAAGGCTAAGAGTGACGGGACGGGACCGCAAGCTTGAGGAAATCATGTCGTCATCTGACATTAAACGGGAAACATCACACATCCAACAAAGTCCAGAGCCATTATGCCAAATTAGGTATATCTATGCACAAGATACTAGTACTACTACTGTCTTCAGGGTCCTCGTTACGATGCGAATCATTACGGTTTCTGGCGCGTCTCCAACGCGTGCACAGGCCCATCCAAGGGGTTACGAAGGTTACGACCCAACCCTCGAGAGTGAGCCAGAAAATCAGGTCTACGACGTAAGTTAAGTGACCCTTATGACAATAGACTCAAAGGAATTCCTTGATTATGTTGTTTTTGTCAGATATTTCGCAATCCTCTGGGTTGAGTCGCGCGTCTGGCAAATTCAGAAAGCGAATATCTCGAGCCCCATGGGGCTTGATACAAGAAGTGCGACGTTCCGAAGGTGCCTAACGCACGACAATTGATGATAGACATCACTCAAGCGCCTCTCAACTGGAAGAATTAGACATCTAGTGTGCCTCCTTACGGCGATGCACTCTAAGCTGTTCTAACAGAGTTACGGGCACACTAATATAACATCAGCCCACCACGCCCCTCTGTATCAAAGTTAATAAATAAATATATTGTATAAAAAGTCCACGATTTAACACCATCTAAGTAGAATGTAATGATTGTAACCCGACTGGTGGAAGTTCCAATTGCTAAATTACTCCCTTAGGTAGCCATACAACCTGGCCGATAATCCACTGGAAGATCCAAGGTTCTTGAACTATTCCGAGTCACCCAATACGATGCTGAAGAGCAAGTGTAAAATGGTAATGTATGTGTGTGAGGGGAGTGTGTGAGGTTGAGTTGGGTGAAGTGGAGTTCGTGGTCGTTCGTATATATCGTGAGTTAAAGTGTCTAGTGTGAAGACTTATGATGTGGATTGCCTGCGGTGGTTGCGGAATTGATCGAATGAGCTGGCGTAGCCGCGGAGTTCGCGACGGGCTTTGTCAGAGAGTTGGACTTGCTCGGAGGAGGTCGACGAGGAGCTCTGCATCGAGAAGAGAGAAGATTGGGACGACGACGGGGTCAAGACTGGCCTGGTGTAGATGGGCTGAGTTTGAGGTCTTGGGTGAGACGACGAGGTCGACGGCCTCTTGGTGACGTCGTAGGCTGAAGGGACGTAGAAGTTGTTGCTTGGTTTTGAAGGCCACGAGATCGAAGCCTGATGGGAGGCAGGCGAGCTGGCCTCTGAGCCTGTGTTGGCTCCCCCGTACTCAGCCAGACGACAGTCCTCTCCGCAGTAGGCATTGCCACTAGTCTGCCTATCACAGGCAAGGCAGAAGGTGGGCGACCAATCCATATCTTCTTGAGACATTGTACGAGGTTATGATTGGAAAGTAGCCGAGGAGGTCAGGCTGGAGGTGAGAGAAGGGAAGGTCAGGCTGAGCTTGGGATATCGAAAGCAATACGGAGTGGAATGGCACTAGGGTATATAACAAACGATTGTTTTGCCTCAGCCTTCAGAGATCGGATTCGAGTAGTCTAAAATCCGCATTGAAGATTGCTTGGTTGCTTGGGCGAAAATCCCTCAAAAGCTATTATTGTGGCCTGGATGGAAGAATTTCTGTTAGCGGCAGTGCCGTCGCCGAAACTCTCGCCCCTGCTCATTCCGACTTCCCCTCCAGCTTGCTTTATCAATTGGGGTCTACAGACGCTGGTTTGTGTCAGTTTTTTGATATTTACTCATAATGACGAAGATCTGGGCTTGCGCGATATTTTGGTCCCCGTGTGGATGCCGTGTGGATGCCGCGTGGATGAGCGATTTCCCCAACATGAGACTTGCAACTTCCCTGTTCAATGCTTTCCTACTTGCAAGACGTTGGTGTCCTGAAGAGCCACTTATCGATAAAGCTCGCAGATTCTTATTCACCCATACGACTTCTACCACGGCCATTTTGCTGCTTTCAACAGCTCCACACACACCGTGCTTGACAAATGCAATGCACTGAAGAGTATTTCGGCGTCAACAGTGCCTGATACAGTGCAATGGAAAGCCGAAGCCTCAGCGAGATGCGGTCGTATGAGGTAGAGGAGATATCGCTAGGAGATGAAGAGGCAATGGATGCGGACGGGTGCGTAGGTGAAAATTGCCAGCTACTGGGCCAGCATTTCACACCTAATCCACACACTGGATTGCCGGTTTACATGACGATACATCGGTGAGTGCGACCACCCTGAGAAATGGAGTAGATTGGTGACTACCATGAGGACTATAAATCCCAGCTCACAGCTTTGTTTAGTTAATGTGTTAACCCCGTCCAGGCTTTTAACACGAGCCTGACCGATACAACGTGACGATGTGCAAAGCGCCTGCTCCTTATCCCTCATATTGAAAACATTGAAACACATTTAACTCCCTTCATGAAGACACCGAGAAATCGAAGGCAAATATCCCCTAAACGATATTTTAGAGAGCGCAGAGGTTGCCACATTCGAAGCTCAACGTGCCAAAGCTTCTGGCGCATCGGCAGGCTGCAAGCATGGTTGGTTGCGTTTTGGTTATCAGAATGGCGCTCCCCCAAGACTGCTACCGTGCCGTTTATATGATTCTTTCCCAATACCCCAACAACAACAAGCTGAGCTGATAGGCTGCTTACGTAACCCTCTGTCCCCACGTCTGCTCCAGACATCGTTGCTGAAATTACTCTATACAATTACTTTGAGTTGAGGCATACACTATCTACGAAGGTAAATGTATTCTTCATTTTTGTTTTTTATTTTTTTACTTTCGTGTCAGGCCCATGCCGTTCAGACGGGCCCGCCACTTCCTAACCGCCGACCGTTGCTAGACTGTCCTCTTTACCTAAGCTATTCTTGCCAAGAAGCCCTTTGGCCAAGTTCTTACTATCAGTTTCCTGATTTCGTCCATAACGAGAATCCCTAGAGCTAAGGGAAGAGGAATGAACCAGAACTCGATTTGAACCCTTGCTGTCCCGAATATCCTCTAGATCCCTAGCACCTCTGTTACGAAAATTGTAATGGCTAAGCTCATACCCATGCCTACGAGCAACTAACGATTTCTTCTCTTCTGCTAGATAGGATCTGCCTAAAGGATTGAGAGCCTCTTGTTGCGGATGCTAAGGATATTACCCCATTGCAGGAAGGCGAGAGTGACGAAGTATACGCTCTGACTGGATGGTGCTCTGCGACCTCGAGTTTGATGTTGTCGTGATGAGATGGCGCCAAAATGATATTGCGACCCACCAAAAAGGATGACATAATCCTTGCATCATCCATTGCAAAGCATTATTTCAAACGATATACATAGTACTGTATCCGCTACCGTACTGTATGCATCCTCTAAAAGACTATATGAGCCAATCCTAAGAAGCGGCGGCCAAGGAGGAGAGAGCGACGTTTTGTCCATCTGGTGGTGACATAGATTGACCTCACGGTGGGGCTCAGATTGTAGGTAAAGGACAAAGATTGCCAAAGTAGGTCGTGTGACGAGTCTTTGCATACACAGGCAGGAATGCTTCATGTACAGTACTTATGCCAGTCGCGAGATGGGGGACACTCAACTGCCACTTGCCATTGACTGTGGTTGCGACACAGGTTCTAGACGCACCGTCAACAAGTCGACCTCCACCGTCTTGCCCAAGATCGCTTCAGGGGGGTCCGTCTCAAAAACCGCCTGTATGTCTCCATGAGGAGAAAATCCAGAGAAAGTCCAGGGGAAAAGCTTGCTGCGTTTTGACGGGCCACGAGGTTGGCCGTTGGGTGCCCGCCAAAGTTGATGCCGCTCGTAGAAGCCAATGAGCAAAAGGATAGGAGAGTTATGGATGCGAATCATTGCAACATTTACACTGTGGAACCATCGCGGAGAGAGGAGGAGCTTCAATGGAAGGAGGATCAGCAGTGCTACAACGTTAAAAGGCGGGCGATAGGCGAATATAGAATCGCTTTTCACGCCCTCAAAGGTGAGCACTGCGCGCCGGAAATGGATTTCGGCGGTCGCGTTTGCAACAATCTTGGAGAATGTATTAGTGAGCATCGAAACAAGAATGGTCAGAAATAGCGTATTGCCTAGAAACGCGAACGCGATCATGAGCGACGGCCCGAGGACAAGGTGGAAGTCCACGGAGCGCTCGATTCCGGTCCCATCAAGCCCAAACCAGATCCAAAGCATCCATTTAGAGATGGTGGCCGGGTCGGGTCCGTCGCGGCTGCCATCATGGTTGCTGACGTCGAGGAGCCACTTCATGGAGAGGAAGAAGCCGGCAAAACACCAGATTGCTAGCAGTGTTAGGACGGAGAAATCTCTCATCATGGCTCGGAGCGAGATAAAAAGCATGTTGTCTGGCATTAAGTTGAACGCAAGACGGGGTAGGAGGACTGGAGCCGCTATAGCTAGTATGTTGAGTGCGGTTTCTCCTAGATAGGTCTGGCCGCTCGACAATGCATACATCCGTGTCGTGAAATAAGTACCATAGATGACGAAGAACGTAATATCCAAGAATGACCAGAGGTTCTGCGTATGAACCTTCCATCCGTGCTCTATGATTGCAGCAAACTCCTCTAGGATCCAACCAGTAGCATAAGCACAAAAAATGACTTCATAGAAGGTAATTTTAAGCCCTTCGCGGCTGACCATAGTGAGGGCGTAAAGGGCTAAAAGAATTGCAAACTGGCAGATTTCAATCATGCCGCGAAGCCGTGGGACGATCAGCCGGTACTGATTGAGAAGAGGTGCTTTTCGAGGATTGTAGAGAGAAATTGGGTTGTGCTTGTAATGATCCGGTAAGATATCGACAAATGATAGCGGCGTATAAATAACCTGTCCTCGATAGATTGCATCTACCACCTTCTGGCAGGCGGAAGAGCTGAGGAAGGTTTTACTTTCAGAGATTATGGCCACCTCTAAGGCCGGTAGCTTCCTTTCATAGCCCCCTCTCCTCTGAACTGGCCATTGCAAGGCGCTGGGATTCTCCCGCAGGACCTCAATAGGGGCGTTTTGAAAAGGCTCAAACCCAGCTACGAGGATATTAGCTAGTAACAACAGACCCTCACGACCTGGGTGGTCATCGTCGAAACGTCGGAGAACTCGGGTTGCGACTTGAGTTCATATAGTCAGCATGTAGGAGGGAATGAAGCAAAGCTCTAGAAATCTGCGTACCGAGCTCACAGAGAGTAGCGCGAGTGATGTTGACTGTCTGTAGGTGGCCTTGATATGACTGTTCGCGAAGAAATTGCATCCGGTTGACGAGGAGACAGTACACTTAAGCTCAAAGTTAATTCCACTCTTGGTCAATGAGGATAGAAGCAGCGTAGTGCAGAGGTGGGTGTCTCAATCCACAGGACTAGAAGCATCTGAGATCCAGAAACAGGATGTGTACCTACCAACAGACACGTCGCTGGGGTTGTAGAGTCGATCCACGAGGGCCCTCACGATGAGTATATTCATCCGTGGCTCCTTGAGCTGCTCCAGGGAATACGGATCATCTGGCCAATTTTTTTAGATTTCCGCCTCTTTCCTGTCAAAGATGCCGCAAGAACACTGACCTATACTAGAAATGATAAGCTTGCGTATCCTACAAGCAGTCAGCCAAAAACAATCCGTGAAGTGGTTATGATTGCCCTTCGAGGACACACCGGTGGATCGTTATATACACTGGCAGGTCAGCATGCGGATCTGGAGTGAAATGCTCGCCCGGAGCGCATTCCAGAAGCGCGTCACTATCGTCGAACGCAGACTCCATTCCCACGAAGGCAAGTTTGTAAACGCCGAGTTATACTCGAACACACGGCGGAGAGAGACAGGCGAGGGCCTCATGGCGCGGAGGATGGTGTAAAATGAACTTCTTGTGCTACCAAGAATTGAGCTTCTTGAACTGTTATGGAATAAGTTTGAATAAGTTTAAAGCTAGCTATTTTTGGCTGACAACTCTACAGCGAGCTGCAGTGAGAGATAGAGGGTATTCTACTGCGAGATTATTGTTGCACAAATCTCTCACTGCAGCTCGCGTGGAGATATGCTAGCGTAGATGGCGGCCCACTCTGTGGAGAGCCTAACCCAGAACGTGTGCTCGTGTGGTCCATGCTGAAACTCTGGAATCTATATGGGGGATTTTAGGTGAACAGACATCATGACTAAGCATTCCAAGACATCTTGACCTGCCACCCCACATAATCATGACTGTACCTGTTCCTAGTTTGTATAGTCTATTCTGACCTCAGTTCGAATATTGACGAAGTAAGTATTCCGAAGCGTACTTTCCAACGACGGTAAATCTTTATTTCGGTTGTTTGAGGAGCTGTCGCACTCTTACTCGCGATGAGTATTCTGGAGGAATCCTACCACTCTATGGAAATTTGCGTTTTCTAGGTAATCCGCTATAGGAAAGCCGATTAGCGCGTTCTGAGGCATTTTGGCCTGCACCAAACAGAATTTAAGTAGTCTCACCCACACCACCCCCACATTCGTTAAACATTAGACGATGCTTTTAATCCCCTGTCGCGAGCATAATACCAAAGTATGACATCCTTGTAGCGCCTCAGTAGCTTTGTAGCAATATGCACGCTGCAAATGCAGTTACGGGTGGGTGCACAGCCTCCGACATGTGGCAAGCTAACTCAAACCATGCTTTCTCCATGCAGCATGGCTTGAATGATACCGCGTAGCCTGACAGTGAGGCAATTTGGCCTCCTCGAATCTGGTCTTGACGATAAGGTGGCTAAGGAGCCGGTCCTTTGTCATAGGATTCTATTATGTCAATTGGGATGTCTCAGATATGGAGATTAGATATCGCCCTTGTTTTTGTCCTCCTTTCCCAGTTCTACAATCTCAGAACTCGTGAGAGCACTCACAAGTTCTGAGATTGCTCAAATAGAAGCAAAGATAATATGACCGTATATCCCTTGCTTTAGAATGACATGCAGGTACTCAAATGCTGTGCAAACCAAATCGCGATAAACCTCTGCATTCTTAATACTTAATTCCAACTGTCCACGTCCCCATTGATACCAAGATTTGCGAGAGACATAAAGCTGGCCGTTTGCAAATCACAATTGCATAATATTGCGCATTTGTCCTCAGAACTCATCACCTTTTGTAACCGCTCTCAGAAGTAGCAGCCTGGCATGGTTGACATCAGCACTACTCCGGGCAGTCAATCTGGGGAGGACGTCAACCTCGCACAGAAATCTGGAGATGTGGCCGAACATAAAGATGCATCTCTACCAGAAAAGGCCGATGGCTATTCCCTTGACGAGGAAGCTGCGCGAATCGCTGATGAAGATTTGAATCGAAAGAAGAAGCAGGTATGAGACTACTTGAAGGCGTCGCAAGCTTCTTGTATACTAATCACGGTGCTCAGACATATAAAGGACGAATGCTCATATGGCTTGCACTCCAATCAACTGGAGTTATATACGGCGATATTGGAACTAGGTATGTATTTATTCCCCCGAAGACTCATGTGCTTCTTGAGCCCTGATTTTGTCTGCAGTCCTCTGTATGTTTACTCGTCTACCTTCTCGACTCAACCAGCCTACGATGACCTTGTTGGAGCCCTGTCTATCATCATCTGGACATTGACTCTTATGGTTACAATAAAGTATATGTTTATAGTTTTGTCAGCCGATGATGACGGAGAGGGAGGGACCTTTGCGCTATACAGTCTCTTAGCACGCTACGCCCACATCGCCCAGCGAGACCCAAACACTCAAGGTTCTCTGAAACTGGAACGTTATAATACAGGGGATATGAAGGTTGCAAATAAGGGCATTCGGACTATGATTGAGAACTCCCAGGTCGCCAGGGTTTTCCTTAAGATTCTTGGGGTCTTGGGAGTTGCTATGGTCATGTCGTAAGTTCACACTTCTAAGGAATTTCCGGCAGGGTGAGAAGCTGATGGTCTTCAAGCGATGGTGTCCTCACTCCCGCTCAGTCTATCCTGGGAGCCATTCAAGGCCTCAGGGTCGCACAACCAAACATTTCATCTGCTACTATCGTTGGGGTATCATGTGCTATCATCGTCGTACTTTTTTCTGTGCAACCGTTTGGAACCTCTAAAATTGCATCCTCATTTGCACCAATCGTCATGATATGGTTGCTCTTTAATGCTTGCTGCGGTATATACAACCTAGCGAAGTTCGACCACTCAGTTCTCAAAGCCTTCAGCCCATTCTTTGCCGGTTCATTCTTGGTTCGTAATGGGACAGATGGATGGCGGACGCTGAGCGGCTTATTACTTGCCTTTACTGGAGTTGAAGCCCTCTTCGCCGATCTAGGCGCCTTTACCAAACGGGCGATCCAGCTTTCCTGGCTGTGCCTTGCATTTCCATGTCTGCTGTTGGCCTGTATGTCTTTAATTTCTATTCTTCGATCCCTGTCCTTGGATCAATTATGACTACTAACTACGATTTTTCCGCAGATATCGGTCAAGCGGCATACATCGCGCAGGATGCTACGGAAACGGCATTCACCAACCCATTCTTCTATACAGTCATTCCAGGAACCTTCTACTTCAGTCTCGTGATAGCAGTTATGGCTACAATCGTCGCCTCGCAGGCGATGATTACAGGCGCCTTCCAGCTCCTCTCCCAGATTATGAAGATGTCATACTTCCCTCATATCAAGACTGTGCATACATCCAAGCTATTCCATGGTCAAATTTATATGCCATTGGCGAACTGGTTACTAATGATTGGCTGTGTCATTGTCACTGCTGCGTACAGTAATGTAAGTCTGAAGAGCGAGCCACGCCGGCCACCTCACGTATTAAGACTGTGCTGATCCATGTAAAGACCACAAGAATTGGAAACGCCTATGGTGTATGCGTTATCTTTGTGACGTTTATCACAACCTGTCTGGTCTCCCTCGTTGCAATACTTGTGTGGCGCTTCAACATCCTCATTGTCATTGCCTTCTTCCTCGTCTTCGGCGCCCTAGATGGCGCGTATCTCTCGGCAGCACTCATGAAAGTCCCTAACGGGGCCTGGTTTACCATCATGCTTGCATCTATTCTTTCATTCGTATTCGTCCTATGGCGTTTTGGGAAAGAGCAGCAATGGAGTGCAGAAAGGGAAGATCGTTTCCAGCCTTCGCATCTGCTATCTTCGACTGACAACGGCGATGTCAAACTCACCGCAGCTTACGGTGGTAGTATTGTCTCGAAAACCCCAGGTATAGGCATCTTCTTCGATAAAACTGGCGATATGGTCCCCATCGTATTCGCACAATTTGTGAGAAAATTCAGTGCCCGGCCAGAGATAATTATCTTCTTTCATATGCGCCCTCTATCCATGCCCTCAATCCCGGAATCCGAAAGGTTCGTCATCCAGCGTACTTTGATTCCGGGCTGCTATCGCATCACTGTACGACATGGCTATATGGATTCAATCGTCTCTCCTGATCTTGGGCAGCTTCTTGTCGGGCAACTAACTTCATTCATAACCCGCGGCAACTCGTCGAATACATCACTTACAGAGTATCCTCCGGCTGTTCAGAGGGAACTCGATGCTCTAAGTAGCGCTTCACAGTCACAACTGGTGTATGTGATGGGCAAGGAAGAGATGAAGATTAAACATGGGACAAATATTTTCAGAAGGGTGCTTTTGGCGATGTTCTTGTGGTTGAGGGAGAATAGTAGGACAAAGATGGCGGATGTAAATATCCCGACTGATAGCTTAGTTGAAATGGGCTTTGTGAAGGAAATTTAGATGCCGTGGGGTTTTCGTGTAGGTATATACCAGCGGAGATCGTACGTTAGGTTTGAATTCAATCTGTCCTGAGGTCATGTAATATTGTCTAGGCGCGTGATTCCAGCTGATCAAATCTCCCGATCCAGCATTTTGTTCATTTTTGTTTTGGTGACCATAGTGTGTGATTACGTAGGGTCACAGGGAGAGTAGAAACCACCAGGAGCAGATATTCGAATCGAACCAATGTATAACCGCTCTCCCTTTTCGTTTCGTTTTATATGGTAGGTCGATGCAGATCTCGATCCCTTGGACTCCCCTTCTGATCATGATTGGATTATAACAATTCAGGCTCGGCTTACGCCTTAACGAAGAAGTCGAGCTGGTCTAGGAAGCGCTAGGACAAAGCTTAGAGATGAAAAGGCCTCTTGTAACGGTTTTCTACTGTAAACGTTTGAGTTAGCCAGACTGTCACTGTTCCTGGCACTCTTGAGTACTCTTGAATACTTTGCCAACGGGAGATGGCTTACCATAATGGGCATGTTCCACTCTTATTTAAGAGCCACGGATCGATACAGCGTTGGTGATAGATGTGATTGCAAGGCAGTATGCGAACGTTCTCGTTCTCAGCGAAACTCTCTATGCAAATAGAGCAGGTGGCAGGATCAATGGACGACCCAGATTGACCTCCGGTCTGCAACGCGCTGCCTTTTGATTTGCACTCGTTCGTGCTACCCATTACTGCTGCTTCAGTCTGTATAGTCCGCTTCTTCTCTCCTTTTATCGCTGGTTGGAGCTGTCTTCGCGGCGAATAGGTATTCCAGGCAGACTCATTCGCATGGCCATGTCTTTGCTGTTTCGGTAGCAGCCCCGTGTTATATCTCATGACTGGTAATGAGTCTAGGAGGGACGTTCGAATTTCTTTTTGAATGCTCTCTTCTTCGCGCCTTCGATGGTTTGATACAGAAGCAGGGGCGGTGACAATAGGTCGTACTCGATTCATGTACCTAACAACGACTATAATAATTACGACCATTGCTCCGACAATGGCTATCGAGATACCCACTTTGCTCTTGTTTTCAGTGGTGCTACCTTGCGTATCGGTTCCTTGCGTATTGGTTGCTAGAATTAAGTCAAAACCACATGTTTGACTAGACTATGAGATTGGCAAGACTTACTCGCCACTGGCATATTGTGCAGCGTCAGGTCCACCCTTACTTAGAGCTCACAATGGGCTCGGACTGCAATGCTTCGCATTCTGTCATAGGGGCGTGTAGCGCTCATAGATGTGTAAAATAGCATTGATCTACCTTCTACGGCAACATAGACACTACCAACGTATTATATTCGAGCATATCAAGGCTTGCTGGGCGTATTCACGTTCCTCGCATATTTTGAAGTCACATCAGTCAAAAACATGTGAGGATTCATCACTCGGTGACGAGATCAGATTGGAGTAGGCCAAAATGCCTCAAGTCGCTCATTACTCTCAGGAGCGAGCGACCTAGAATTGGAAATTATGCCATGTGCAAGTAGCCATGAACACGAGCACTCGGGTCGCGCATCCATAACTCCCGTTCATTTCATTTACTTCCCCACAAAGCTTTGGCATTCTCCTCACACAGTTGGGTGGTAGCAGCGTTCACTATGGAGCAGTTTGATGCACTTCTTTACGGTAAGCCGTGATACATGTCGCGCCAACCCCCTAATTCAGGGATGTGCAGGTCAGGCTAAAGAAGCATCCCGTTCATACATCGTTTATGTGAACCCACAGCTCAGGCCCAACCAACAAACGTCTTCCATGGTTAGAACTGAGGTATTTAATCCTCCTCCAGTCTGGATGCTGGAACTCTATTTTGTCAATTGGTATAAGGTAACAATTATATAAGACCAAGATGTGGATGTCACCAGCTCCTTTGCTGTGGGGGTTACTGCGACTGACTAGCAATGGGTAACGGTATATGTGTACATGGCAGATGATGCTGTGTCAATCCTTCCTCCTTGCAATGGCCATGATAGCCTTTTAAAAGGAAGTTCTTTGCCATCAGAACGAAAATATTGAGTATACTTGGAGAGAAGCTGGCATTATTCCAGAATGGCATTATTCCATTTAGTCATTTAGTCGTCAGAAAGTGCCCCGTACGGCTGATGGACCGTCAACCCCATCATCCTTAAACCGAGGTGACTGATAACTACCCGTTTACAGCAGCACCTCGCTCATCCCGCATAGAGAGAAATTAGCGTGGGCGAAAATACCTCGCCATTAAAAGTTCCCAAGCTTATAGTTCAGGCACACCAAACGAACCAATCAGAGCCGGTTTTTCAAGTTTTATCAGGGGCAAGTTTCTAGGTACGGAAGCGAGACCAATCTTTTTCAGCCACTTTCCAAGTCGTGGGGGAATGTCTAGATCCCTCAACCATAGCGTTCTCGAAGCTTGGTAAAGCACATGGGAGCGTACACCACGATGACGAAATGGCGAAGACGTAACAGAAATCGAAAATCCTCCGGCCATTAGTATTTGTGGATGGTAATTTCGAGAGGAAGAAAAGAGAGCAAAACACTAAGAATACCTTATTAAGGTGTTCTCCCTATGGTGGTGCATAATAAAAAGCCTCGGCACAATTACATCCCTTTTTGATAGACAAAGACAGCACGCCAACTCTCATCTATCATTTATTTCCTAGAATCAGGGCGATTCTACCTCTTCACCCATAATGGCTGGCCCGGATTACTATGCCCCAAAGGACGCCGATGCGGATCAAGATCTAGAGAGCGATGAGAAGCAGGCATGCATTAGATTCCACGATCGTTCTGATGATGTAGCAACGCAAACTAGCGCCGGCCATCGAAAGCGTAGGATGTCTCGAGACAGCATCCGCCGACGAAGCATGTCAGCCGCCAATACTGGCATCCCTTTGGAATTCCAAACACTATCCATTGGCCTCTCGGAATCGAAACAAATTTCGCATGACGATGACAAAAAGGAAAAGCTCAAATCCGAGGAACTTGATTACTTTGCGGGTCTTAATTTCCACTCCCTCGCACCGGACCAAGTCTTATAGACCTTGAATACCTCGGAAAAGCATGGCTTGGACGCTACAACAGCAGCAGCGAGTCTTGAACGCGACGGCACGAACACGTTACCAAAAGTCCGCGATCAGTACTGGCGCAAAATATTTTGGTATATCTTCGGCGGGTTCTGTTTAGTGCTGTGGTTTGGTGTTATTGTCTTCTTCCTCTGCTGGCAGCCCTTGAGCTCCCCTCCATCGATTCCAAATTTGGCAATGGCAATTGTAGTCATTATTGTCATTCTTCTTCAAGCATCCTTCTCGGCCTTCCAAAACTGGTCTACTAGGCGCGTTATGAACTCGATTTTAGACCTGCTCTCTGCTAAAGCTATAGTGGTCTGCAACGGTCAGCCTAAAAAGATGCTAGTAATAGAACTTGTAGTTAGCGACATTATGTAGATATTAATTAGAAATAAGGTGCCTGCGGATTTACAACTTCTTAGCACGTTAGGAGATGTTTGCTTTAATCAGTCTATCTTAATAGGAACTATTATTGCTTTTATTCTAGAGGGTCTGCCTATAGGAGTGGCTTTAACTCTTATAATAGTTGTAAATTAAATAAAGGCTACTAATATCCTTCTTAAGGGGAGTGTTAATGCCTTTAAGGGAAAGTTTAAAGAAACGTTACTAGGTCTTTAGGGTAGTGGCTAGGGCTAGCTAGTATAGGATGTTAAGACTAATCTCCTTAAAATTATAACTAGTAAAGATTAAGACATTATGCCTAAGGGTAAGAAGCTGCTACTTAGAGTAGATATATAGGAGCATATATACTATCTCTAGTACTTTAATAACAAGAAAGAATATGTTACTAGCATCTAGAACGTAATTAATTAGACTGTAGTAGAGAAGCAGCTTAGGAGCAACACTAACACTATCTTTAGTGTTGTTAGCACTCTTATAGTAAATTTATAGTTAAGCTACATACTACTACTAGCATCACTATTTAGCAGACGACTAGCTAGACTTTTTTAAGTAATTAAGGGCTAAAGATTTCACATGGTCTAGGTTATAGAATATTAATTAGTCTAAACTAGCTCGAATCCCGCCCCCTATTGTTTATATTTCTAGCACGTGCTTTTTAGTCCTCTCTTAGGCCTGCCTTAACCTAATCTAAAAATTTCACCTTAACATAGACTAGTAATGATTATGCGTAAGTGTTTAATCCTAGAGCTGTTAACCTTAGCCTCCTATATAGTAATTTATAGCATGTAGTCGTAACGCTAACCCTACGTAACCTATTATCACGCTACATTAGCCTACTAAAACTTGCTTAAACGTTCTCTAAATTCCTTCTACTAACTAAAAACACAGGAAGGCAAGAATTGTCATTATTCACTTTCAACATTAGGCAACGTCCCTAAAAATTATTCAGTCTTCGTCCTATATTGCCTTTAATAAGACCAGCCTAGCAAATGGTGCAGATAAAGAAACTAATGGCTTAACCTCGCCATTCTGTTATGTAAGCCCCATAGTCTATATCATGGCTTCCCCTGCATTTCAGATTAGAACCATCATTAAAGCGGCACTTGTAGTCGTAAATCTTGTTTTGTTTTCCTACAGATACCCTAACGCATCACAAACAGCCCTATAGGAGGAAGGAGGGAGCTAAGGATTCAATTTAGACCTAAAGATTTAGATATATTTCTACGTAAACTATTTAAAACCTCCTAAGATCCCCTTTATATAGTCCTAAGAGTAAGTGAAGAAGTAGTTCAGCCCTTTAGAAGCAGTTAGTAGTAGGGTTAGAGTCGTCACGTTTGTCTAATAAAATCATAGGTTCACTGACTCCAACCTTAGTGTTTCAATTCTCACCCTGTTACTTTTCATGACACAGACGAGCGTTAGATACGTAGGTGGCACAAACAAATGTACTGAATTCTTCTTGCAGTGCTATCTCTTCTTTTTTTAGATCTTGTGTCTTGCTTGGCAACAATCGCTAGACTATTCCGACGGGCAACACCCAAGTCGCCTTCCATGGTATTTAACGCACACCTACGGTGTAGCACAGTTAGCGAACCAGACAGTCTGCCGTATAGCACAAGCTTCCTTTAGATTTAGCATTATCACTACATAAGGTCTTAGACAGCACTATACTCTTTGTAGGCTTACTAAGACTATTAAGCAGATTATTTTATAGATCCTTGATCTATATAACGGCGGCGTGCGAAGGCAATATTTTTCTTAGCAAACGCGAACGAACGAAGACCAAGACCAACCCTTTAGAGCGGAATGTCTATAATACACCAAATGAGATGGATTTAATAAACGAGCAGTTCAGAGACGATTGTCCTCTAATGCATCATTTAAACATTTGATCAGAAGGTTCTTGTTAGGGTTCATGATGATATAATCGGAACATTAGGGACACAATGCGAGAAATTGAAGATATATATTATCTGGGTTGAATAACCCGAAGTCCTGCACAAATATCCAAACCTATCTTACTATGAACGGCCCATGATTAGCATTTCAAGGACAAGTCATGGAGATTCCAGGCGCTAGCATCACAAGAAACAAATCCTTAACGCCTGCATACGATTAAAAGAGTGGACACGCAAAGTTTAAGTTCAGATCCCTGCTGCGGCTTTGCTCTGGAATTATTATGACAAACATCTGCTGAATATAGACGGATCATCTCATGCCCACGAGAAGTGCTCTGAATGCAAATAGACCCCACCGGACTTGGACCCTTTGAGGATATTTAAGTTCTCCTCTGCGACGGCATTCCGTACATCGTTCTGCATCGTGGCAGGCCCACAGACGAAGACGCTCAGCGATTGGCCTGCTTCCGCCGCCCGCGTTCCCTCTTCGTGGACGATCAGCGGCAGCTCTGGTCGACCGTAGAGCTCGTTGCCCGGCACAGTGACCTGTTGTCCCTCAGCCTTGACATTGATATTTTTTGATGATGAGGCAGATTCGCTCAAAATCGTTGCATTGTCTACTGTCTTTGGCATGTGGACATCCCGTTCCGCTTCGCCAGTTAGGTACATTTGGACATCGATATCGAACGAAGAATGCGGTGTTGAGTGTTTGGAAAGCAGCTCGCCCACAGCTCGGAGGAACCATGTACGGGTGCTAGCATCACGCGTTGCGAGAATAACGCGCAGTGAGAGAGGCCCAGACAAGCTGCGTTCGCGATGGCCACCGTCAGGCTGTGTCTCACTGTCCTCAGTCTCTGTGTCTTTCCCCTGCTCTTCATCAGCAGCTGTAGAGTTCCATCTATGGAACAGCTCAATGAACGGCAGAATCCAGCCGGCGCCTGAGCCGCCTGCAACGACGAGGAGACGATCCCCTTGGATATATCTTTGCATATTGATTCCTCCATAGGGACCGTCGACATGCACAGGTACAGAGGCACCAGGCTGTTTTAAAGCATGACTGTAAAGCTTCTCGGTAAGGCCACGCTGGTGGCGAATGTAAAACACGAGCTCGGACTTTTCATTTGGCCGCGCCGAGGGTAGGGAACAGATGGTAAACGGATGAGACGAAAAGGCTTGGAAGCCGAAGCTTGTGAAGCGTAGGAAACAGTGTTGTCCGGGTTTCCACCTCATATTGACGGACGGGATCGTAATGCGCGTAAAGCCATTATCTTCCACGTGAACATATGCTTTTTGGGTGAAGCCGTACTCGAAGCAGGTCCTGAGCCAGGGATAGACGAGACAGGGAACGTATACGGCCGCTGTCGCTATGAAGTAGTGCCTGTAAAAACATCAACGTCTGCAACAAAGGCTGACCAGACGGCTGGTTGGTCTTACCAAGACGTGAGAGTATAGTCGCAATGCCAGAAAAAAACTATCATAAAAATAACAACGGCGAAGAGATGCGTCGCCTTGAAGAGTTCGTAGCCGAGGTTTCTAAGCGCTACATCAGCCATGTCTTCAGAAGGATTGCATTTTCTGCATTTCGTCCATAACTTACCGAATCACACTGTGGGATGCAAAGGTAAGCCAAGCCTGGAAAACAAGCGCAACGATGCCAGTCCAGTAAAATAAAGTCCCCATCTCCACTTGCATGACCATATCATGGAACCGGATGTGATAGACGATAAATGGGAAGGTGTGCATGAGCGCAAGGAGGAAGAAGGCATAGGAGGTCCATCGGTGGAACACTTGGAGCTTCTCATGGGAAACTCCCGTGAGGAGCGTGATCCAGTTCGTCTTAGTCGCGGTCGCGCTGTAGAGTGTTAGTGCTTTGAAGAATGCCAGTGTGCTTGAGTGACGTACAAGACAAACGGCATGCATGCCAGAGCCATCCATCCTGATCTGGTTCCCAATGGTGGTGAACCACCAAAATCCAAACTTGACCAGTAGTAGGGCTGGGGAATTAAGTCCATACCTGCCGTGCCATCGTATTAGTCTTGATTTATTCGTATGTAATTCGTATGTGTAGCTCACAGAAGAAGTAAACAGCCCCAACAGCTCCTAATAGCAAAAGTCCAATCGGTGCCGAGTTCCATCGCAGGGCCTTTACGTAGAAGCCACGATATGACAAGTATCGAACCGCGGCGATCAACTTCTGCCATATGGGGGGGCCTCGGAACTTGCGATATCCCAACACTTGGGAGGATATAACGTGGCCAATGATAGAAATACCCAGGGCGGTCATGAAGAACGCTATTGTTGGCAGCGCGTAGACATAGTCAGCAATGTACCTAATTGAAATCCCGTTAATTGACTGTAAATGTAGTTGATATGGTCTTCTGAACTGAACGGTAGAAGTTTCGAAAGTCTCTTACCAAAAGTGCCATCGCTGCTGATAGAATTCGCATTGCTCCGGCGTGAACCCGGATCCGTCACAAGTGAAGTCACGACTCCCAGTCAGTTGAAGGGGAGCAGTGAGCCAGGCGGCACTATCCATGGCGATTAATTATCCAGGAATGTGATGGCCTCTTCATCCACGTCGTGCTCTTCGTCTTGTGTTCCAAGAAGATCCAAGAAGATCCAAGGCGAAAGTTCGGCCAAGCTTCGCATGCGATGATAGGATGGGGATGGGGATGGGGATAGACCAGTATACGGCTCGAGACTTATTCTTTCTCAAGCCGTGGACTGGTCTCAGCTCAGAGCTAAAATCGGTGGATCTGCGCCTGGGGTGCATGTTGGGTGCTGTCTTGGGGCGTCTGGGGTGTGCGTCTGGGTTCACAGCGCATGTTGCGGGAGCTCCTTCCCATCCGCGCCTTCCCATTATTTCCCCCCAGGCTCGAGCCCTGTGATGAAAAGCAGGCGCAAAGAGGCGCAATCTCATTTGTCGAATTCAGTAACCCACAGGGTAGCAATGGGGATCGCGGATCGCTAAGATAATCCGAAAAAATACGCGTTGTGGTGATTGGCCCATGTCCACCCTAATCTGCTCAAAAGTTGAGGCGAACTTTTGAGCAGATTTGAGCTAGTTTGCGTTTGCATGGGATGAAAATAGGAGGACTGGCATCGTAAAGGGCATCGTAAAAGGGAGCAGGGGATCAGGGGAGTGTCCCTTCAACATTTTGCTTCTGCTGATAGCCTAGTGTTCTAGGCATTCGCTCGCATTTCAGTCGTTCATTCCTCGGACAATGGACCACTTGTGCACATCGCGGTCAAGATATTTCGAGCTCTGTTCTTGACAATCTCTCGGTCTCTCCACGGCTCGCAGCATAATAAATACACACAAATACACACGCCAAATCGCCAAGATGGACATGAGCTCGATGGACATGATCATGGCCAGCTCAACAGGGAGCTCCTCCCTGTCCATGTCGACATCGCCCTCCGACACGACGACGATGGCTGACATGGATCCAATGACCATGGTGTTCTTCACGTCGACAGGCACTTCTCTCTGGTCGTCGACATTCACGCCGAGCACGACAGGACAGTATGCAGGGATCTGCATATTCCTCATAGCGTTTGCGACCATCTTCCGGCTTCTGCTAGCATTCCGGGCCAACTTCTTCGAAATCATGGCCGCCGCCGAGCAGCGCCGCAATGGGGGCCTGTTGCACCCATATGCGACCGATGCCAAATCGAAGGCTCGTCCGTGGAGAGCGAGTGAAGCGGTGATGATGGCATCCATGGACGTCATGATTGCGGGTGTGGGCTATCTACTGTCAGTGCGAAATGTCGTGTCGAGTCTTGGTACGGCGGCTAACCTCGTCATAGCATGCTCGCGGTGATGACTCTGAATGTTGGCTATTTCCTGTCAATACTTGCTGGCGTTTTCCTGGGGAGCATGGTCTGTGGTCGCTTTATAGGCAACTCTGCGGCGCACTGAATTGCGTATCATATATGTGTGCGTGTGTATTTTACATCTGAGCAGAAGTGCTTGATCAAGTCTCGCATCCTCGAGTTCTCTAGCGGGACAAAGGACGCTACGGGTGGACTTCCGTACTAGGACGCTCAGTGGTGAGCGTGGAGACTAGTATTTTGAGATTAGAAATATCATGGTATTTCTACATGTTGTTTTAACGTTTGCATACCGTCGCGAATTCTGACATGGGCTAATGGTCGCCAAATTCACTGCTATTAGTGCATCACCCATCGTGCCTCGCATACTTCACAAACTCCTCATCGACCCTTAACTGCTCCATATCCTCTTCTCGTAGACACATTGCCACCGCGATCTCGCCGTCACACGCCCGCGGCATAAAATACACAAAACTCTGGAGCGGCGCGAACCGTGGCCGCCTCACCGCCTCCGGGAAGCCGAGCCCCAGATTAAAGTTCAAGCTATAGCAATCAGTCTTGGCCCATGAGCTCAGCATAACATCGACTGATAAATCTATCGAGGAAGCAGGAGAGACCATCGACTTGTCGGCCTGGGAGTGCAAGTATGTAGCCAAGGCGCGCGTGTGGAAGGGCAGAATCGTGGTCTTAAGATCCAGAGCGACGCGCAACGCGGATGCTATCTCCCCCAGGGGCAGCGCGACGAGCTTCCGCAGCTGATACGTCGTGTACGTCATGTTCTGCACTATGCCTGTGTACGTGGCTGGTACGTCGACATAGCGCCGCACGTCGACGGCGCGCGCAAAGGTCGCTTCTGTGGTTGGTGGTAAGCGGGCGAGGCGTGCGCGCATGATGCTTTGCCAAACAAATGCGCTGAGAGCGTCATCAGTAGAAACGTAGCTGGAACCGGGCGAGCGCGTTTCGAGAGCGATTGACTTCAGAGCTGCGAGGGATGCAGGAGACAAGACAAAACTAGCCCAGACGCATCTCGGAGGCGGTGCTACAGGAGTTTGGGTGCTCCCGCCAGTGCCTGGTATTGGTTTGACGAGATGAGATGCAAGCTCAGGACCTTGTTAGTAACTGTCAAGTAAGGGGATGACGTTTCGTCACTCAAGATTGCCAGAAGACAGCTCGTCGCTTGTGAATTGTTCATTATGGCAAGCCTTGGAGAGGAGATGGATCACCTGCCCCTGCCCTGTTATGTCCATTGTTTGGTGCTGACCGAGGAACGTGAGCACTAAACCGCCGACGATGAAATTTGCCTGTAAAAGGAACACTGGCGAATTTGACTCGGTTTCTTCTGCTACATCCGTTCCGGGAAAGGTGTTTCGAGGTGCGATAACGGACTCATCCAACTTTTTCATTGGGAAATTGGCTTGTCTGAGGGCCTGCATTGTCGGAGCCAAGGGGTCATTTCTGAGGTCCTTGACCACCAAACGCGGTATGTTCCCTAATGCCTTGATCTTGAAGACACCAGTATTTCCATCGCCTGAGCCTTCGCCAATGACCTGACCTGCTACCCATGGAAAGCTAGCTGTGAGGCGCTCGAGGCCAGATCTCAACGTACTAATGACCCTGGATTGCGCGAAGGCATCGGGTAGTGGAAAGCAGAGGCATATCTGAGTGTGTATATTGAGTCTTGGTTGCTGTCCAAAAATGTCCAGACAGACGTCAACGTCGGTTACAATCGCCGAGCTTTGCATAATCGGTTACTTTCAAGACCATTTATATAGAAGGAAATTAGACGGGCAAAAAGAATATTGAGTCTGCGGTAAGAGCTTATATGGGATTTATTCAGCAGACAACTGTTCTAGCATGTGCTCCTAGTGGTACAGCAGACGAAGGTGCGAAGTAGGGTGTGGAGAGTGTCAAAGAGGGTCCAAAGCAGATCGGTTAAGCTTTTGCTTTTTGCTTGGTAATTCCTTGTTACTTAGCGTTGCCGCCAGAGGCCCGTCGAGGAGGGCCTCTACCAACATTGATACACAATTATTCCACGCCGCGCGGTGGTTTGTCGTTACACATATTGCATGATAACGAGAGTGCGAAGAATTGAGCGAATTTTACGGGCAGGCTAGCCACCGCCTTCGCCAAAAAAAGCTCGTTCTAGTCAACGATGGTAGCAAACGAAAAAGATTATGGTGCCAAGGAAACTACAGCACATGCATTCAGGCCCATGACCGGCATTTTCTCATACAAGACCGCCGGGATGCATATGCGATAGTTTGAGAAGGTGTGTAGTAGAAGTTGGCGGACGTACGAGTTCGAGTCCATGAACGATTGGCTTTTGATTAAGCCATCGTCTTCGTAAGGACATCCAGCCCCGGTTATTAATGTTATAGCTTCGAGGGAAAGTTTGTTTAGCTGGCAAGTAGCCCATATAGCTGAGCATCTGTCTTGGAATACAGGTTCCCAACTCCCAGCTGGATTTTGAAGGATTAGCACGTTCAAAAATTTGTCATGGAAAATGTAGCTAACCTGAAACTCTTTATGGTCTTATCCTCTAATTGCTCGAGTAACCTCATAGCAGTAGTTGCTAGGTTTTGGAATTTTGTTCGTCCTCTAGCTTCCTTTCTTCCAATTCGTCGCCGAAATCATATTCAAGCTGATCATCAATATCCCTGAAATGAACACATCTCTCATCGAGATTTTTATGAAAAACAGCAAAACCCAGGTGGAGACCATTTGGCGATGTCACATCTGGGTTGTTAGAAGCACTGATGAGATCATGACGAAGAGGTTGACAAGCTGCTTGCTGTTGGTTTTGCGCTAGCAAGTAAGCATCGTTTCATGCAAGCAGTTTTGGGGAGAGATCATAAATTCAAAAATGCCCAATGTCAACTATTGACAGATATAAGGAGCATGGTACTCTTGTAATCGCAAAGTACTATCCACGAAATTTATTGATTTTCGAGTTCTCCTGCACAAAGTCACTCCTGGGGAACGGCATACTACTCGTAAATTGCCTTGACTTTAGACATTATGCGATATCGTTCATAACTGTTGTACTCTTCCCTCCAAGTCCACTCACTCCATAGTGTATATGGATTATACCCACAGTCGCCTTTTTGAGGATCTTCTGGATTATAAGGCAATTGGTGCTGGTGGCGGTCATCAATCTGCTAAGCCGTACTGACTTGACCGATGCTTATATAAGTCCCAGTGTAAGAAATTATAGAAACTCTTTCGTCCAAGCCCCCCTTCGAATCACTATCAAGCCTTTAGAGCGAGGCTCAAATATGGACGACATGGATTTGGTAGAGAATACATCGAATGCAAAACCTTTCCAGTGTGACTGGCAGACCTGCGGCAAAGTAACTTCTTCAGTCACTATTTTTGAGTGGGATAGTCAGCTGATCTTGTACCATGGAGCTTTAAGCGTAACCTTGGCTTTCAAGTACACTACCGGATTCACACCAATGAGAGGCCTTACCCTCTTATGACACCTGGCTGGGGGAAGCGCTTCGTCCAGATAGGTGCCTTAACTGTTCACATCCGAACCCATAAGGGGGAGAAGCCTCATCAGTGTAATCACATTGGATGTAGAAAACGGTTCGCTGCTGTAAATACTACGGCTCGTCGTTTCTATCCCTTCTAATTTAAAGAAGACTTCAAGTCTTGCCAGACATCGCCGGATACACATCGGGAAGCGACACGAGCGAATCGGAGAGTGGATCCCATCCATCACGTCAGGCACCGGCCGGTCAACCTCCTGTCATCGACATTGAACAAATGAACGAGCTCGACGCAGCTGAGGTCATTATCGATGCTACGATAGTGTGCCAATCCAGCAAGATTACGCTCCTGACTACTACGTTCAGGATTTCACAATTTATACTCAATCGTTTATCAAGGAGAATCTTGCCGAATCTCAGACAATTACATAATTAGGAAGAGAGCGATTCTAAACGACCCCAGGCTTAAAAGACAAGACCCTTTGTCTGCTTGATACCAATGACATTGATGTCTCGCCACATGATAATTGCAATGAAACCAAGAGCCCAAACGGCAGTACCCGCAGTGAACAGGTACATCTGTGCATCTCCGTACGCATGCTGAATGGCTGAGCGAGTAGGTGTACCAACCTGGAACGACAGCTGTGTGACGATGTCCGTATAGATCGTGACCAGGTTTGGAAGTTCTTCGACAGGAAGGTACAGGGCGAGCCGGTTAGGCATGACATTTTGCCAGATGGCGGCGGAAATAGTCAAGCCAATGGCAGAGCCAATGCTTCCAAACATTGAAACCATAGCGATGCTAATGGCAAAGTATTGTTGCTCGGCAGTGGCGGCCAAGACAGCAATCTCGTCGGTGATCATGACAACACCGCTGGCGAAAGAGATGAAGATCTGGCACATGATGATATAGCCAATCGCCTGGTCAGGCTGGTGGAAGTGGATCATCAAGCCGAGTCCCAGAATTGTCAGAGGAAGAGCGAAGTAGAGAGCGACGGGTTTGTAGCGTCCGGTGTAGGAGATGACTCCGCCAGCGATCACAGCAAAGGTGAAGCCCCCCACGGTGTTTATCTGGGAGACGTAACTAGCATGTGTGACGCTCAGGTCATGAACTACCATGAGAATGGAGGTGAAGTACATGGCCCAGGAGGCGTAGCTGAGAAAGAGTGTGAAGGAAAGGAGACAGGCGCCGGCGACTGTACGATCTTGAAGAAACCTCCATGGAAATATGGAGACTTCGGCGAAGGATTTTTCCCAAACCGCAAAAGCAGCCAGAAGTACAATGCCGAAGACAAGAAAACATATGACAAGGGCAGAACCCCATCCTTTGGCTTGCATGGTGTAAAGGTTGAATGGCAGGAGAACAAAAGCGACGCCGACGGATAGCAGAAAAAGTCCGACGGCATCGAACTCTCGCAGGTAGTAGGCTACGGATTCCCATGGTGTGCGTCCACTCACACGCTTCGGAACAAGACCCTGCTTCTTTGCCTTCGAGAAATGAAACATGAAGAGACCGAAGAGCGGGAGGGTGGCGCAGGGGACGATGATGCTCTCCATTCCAAAGGCCCAGCGCCATCCAGGTCCGTTCAGAAAAGCCGTAGAGACTGGTCCTCCTAGCCAGGCAGTGATCAGATATGGTGAGCTGCACAAAGACTGGATGAGACCTCGATTGCGCAGCGAGGTCGTATCGGCGAGGAAGACGCTCAGACTGTATCCGATTCCATTGATTCCCACCGTGTAGAAGACTTGCGATGCAGCGTAAGCCTCGACGTTGTTGCAGGCAGCCGACATGATCAGACCAGCACTCGCAAATAAGACGCAGAGAAGAAATCCTTGCGGGCGGCCAAAGATGTCCAGAGTTTTGGCAATGCTGAGATTCGTGACACCGCCAATGACAGCGCTCATGACACCTGTGGTTGGCGTGAGGGAGTGCTCGGCGAAGGCAGAAGTGACAAAAGGAAGAAGAGCTGCACTGATCCCAGCAACCAGGCCTTGCACAAAGTAGACGAGCCAGATGAGAACAAAGGCAATGATCAGTGAAGTGCGTGACCAAGATAGGGTCACAGCCCCGATATCCTGGATACCACGTTGATAGTTGGCGTCCACAGAGCCATCGCTAGAAGGGGTGTCATTGGGATGGCGCATGGATTCGTCCGAGTCGTGAAGGGTGTCCCGAACGGTCGGGTGAACACCATCGTCCTTTTTCGTATCATGGTGATCGGCTTCGAGGTCGGTTGCCATGTTTGTTATTGATGCGGATGTTGATTATATCGGCCGGATTTCCCACTCGAGTAATGAGAAAGGCTATGAAACCTTGAAGAGAGAGGGCGAGCGAGTTGAGGGAGAGGGGAGAGGGGAGGGTAAGCGACGAGATCGAAAGAGAGAGGACGACGAGGGAGAGGGAGAGAAATAGCGAGGTAGAGAGGGAAATGCAGAGGGAGATAGAGGCAGCCGGGCAGCCGGGCAGTCATGATATCGTGACCGCAGGGAGATTTGCAGTCTCGCCATGCGTTGGTTTTCGTGACAAACATGGGTGCGAATCAGCTCTAACGTGCTCGTTCTGGAGCAGGCTTGCTGCGCCGGTGGGGGGCGCCTCTGAGAACGAAATGGGCCGGCCGTGATTCCAAGACAACTTCGGATCCACGTAGTGTATGGAGGACTCTACCCGAGATGGAGACGGGAATAGAGATGGAGATTCACTTGAGTATCGCGAGCCTAGCTTGAGTGGGTTTCTCGCTACATAGGGACGGACGTTATCTTATAACCAAAGGCAGTCCGTGCATCGGATCTGTTGTAATCCAGCCCCAATGGCTGGCACAGCTGAGATAACCAGTGGCGCACCGGCCAGTCAGCAGCTGAGTACCCCGCCTTTTAGGTGCTCACGCACGCGATACAACATGCATTTATAACATACCATAGTGTTATGTATTTCTTACGCCCCCAACCCTTAAAATAGGCAATCCTTCCAAAAATGTATACGCGACACCATAGGAGCAGTCGATATCCTAGTTCATAGCTAGCTTATAACGTCAGATTTAAGGGCAGTTTCAAGAACCAAGAATATGAATCCCAAGTTCTCTAAAGCGTCCTCACCTCCACATCAAGAGTCACAAACATGGCGAAGACAAGCATCATCTTTGTTGCCGGCGGCTGGCACACCGAATTCCACCTCCAGCCAATTACCCCCTACCTCGAAGCCCACGGCTACCGTGTGGTGCCTGTCAAGGTCCCCACGGGCGCAAGGAGTCAGTGGGAGGTGTGAGGGCTGTAGGGACAACCACGCCGAGTTTAACTTATCGTCTGGCGGGCGTTGCTCTGGCTCCACTTGTAGCATCTTTTCAGAGTAAGACAGAACTTTGTGGCACCACTTATCCGGTTGAAGCAATGGCTTTAGTGTCTATAAACCGGTGTACCTGGTCAACGGATTCTGCATATGAACGACCGCCCCGAGACGTTAAACTCTCCTCGAGCATTTCACGCTTCGAGGGATACAGCTCGGTAATACTGCTTCTTTGACTTGACAGTAGCGTCGAGGTATAGGACCTAGAAGCAGGCCACTGCCTTCACCACGTGCTCCGGAGGCGGACGGTACGCATCGTCGACTCCCAACGCCTCGCTCCAGCCGGTGAGACTGCCCGCGTCGTCCATCTTGGGGATCTTGGTGAGCTGGTCATCACCTGATTGATGGCCCCGATGATGATCCGTCACCCAATAGTCTTGATGATCTCGCCATAGCCGCTGGACATTTGGGCATCACAGTACTGCTGGCTAGCTTCTGCTACTTATCCCTTGAAAAGTGGAGCAATTCTGCTCCAGTAGCTGATATCACGAAAAGCATGGCTCATAAGTACTAGCGGGATAATTGAGCTGTGAGTATTACCTTTCCTCGCGGGGAGGTCCAGAAGGCGCAAGGGGGGCGCCCTTGGGATATCCTCTCTCTGTTGCTATTCTTCGTTGAAGCTTCTGTACCTGGCATTAGCAAGATGATCTTTAATTGGCATAGACAAGCCGCTTTCCCTTCGGTGTCCTCTCTTCACATTGAGAGATTCACTGGCCAACAACATATGTATTAGCCGCTGTTGTAAAATTGATTTCGAGATTCCTTACAGTTCAGCCTCTGTAATATCCAGCAAATCATGCCACGTAAAGAAACCAGCTGCAATAAAGTCATCAAAATATTGTGAGATTGACAACGAGCGCAGGACATCTGTGAGACTTTCCATAGATGACATAGTTTGAATGTTCGATCTCTAAATCTTCACTAAACTTGGATGTATTTGCTGTTGGATGCGATAAGGAATTTTCATCAAACGCATCTCTGACTGTTGGGATGGGATATGCATCATCAAGGGTTATTGCGTTCGAACTATACGCAGGCCATCATATTATGGTCAGGCCTTTTCAGGGGCAATTGGAGACAACACCTTCAATCGAGTCGAGACACGCCGAATCGCGAGCTTGCTATTGCTCGGATCCACAGCCTGCTCACAATCTCTGTCACCCTATCATATGCGCCTGATGCCTGACCACTCCAGTTCCCGCCTCTCATCCTCTGGCGTGATCCTCAGCCTCATATCTCGCTCCTGGCCCAAGCTATCTCTATTATTCTATCTGCAAGAGCACTACTATTAGACATAAGTATCCTTTAGCTATATAAATGCAACCCTAAGACTTTCTAGATAGAATAGATAAGTTCTCTACTAGTTCTAGCTATGTAGCTAGGCTTATTATAATTAAAGTAAAGGCGTTCCTTAAGCTGTTGCTCCTTATTTAGGTTATAGGGTTAGTTGCCTTATTTAAAGGTAGCGTTAAGTTCTATTAGCTAAGGCTAATAGTTCTTTTACTTAGGCTTCTTCTAGATCTAGGTAGGTTTTTACCTACCTTTCTTAAGTCTATACTTATAATAACAGTTATTAATTAACATAGTAGTAAGGATTAGTTTCTCTAAATCTTCTAGGTAGGTGCCTTAAGTAATCTTATCCTTAATAGAGTCCTTTAAACTATTATAGTACCTTACTTATAAGGCGTTATTATTCTAGTTAGTTTATCCTATATACTACTAGAATTCTATAGTATAGGATGTAACTAATCCTATATGTTAGATCTTTAGTAGGTGTTGTTCTACTATTCTCTTAGCGTCTAAGTTACTAAACACTTTAGTAATTTAGGCCTTAAATCCCTTCTAGGTCTTAAAGATTTCTCTAGTAGTAACTAACATATTAGTATAGAGTTGTCCCTTAGGTCCTTTCTTTTCTAAGTACTTATTAATAAAGAAGTTAATCTAGCTAAAGGCTACTCCTTTTAAGAGGGTAATAGCCTATAAGACTTAATTGGCTTCTCTTAATAACATAAAGGAGTTAAACCTAATGTATAAGTTATACTTAAGGAGAAAAGCCTTAAGCTTATGTTATTTACTACTATAGGGTTTAGGCATCTAAACTTTAATAACTTATTTACTTATAGTTAAGGTTACTACTATAGCTATTATAGCTAAGGGGGTAGTTAGCTCTAGGAACTTACTCTTTCTAATAGAAGATATGTTACTTTATGTATAAGCTAGTACCTTATAAACGTAGTGCTTAAAGTATAACACTAGGTCTTAAACTATAAGACTTATAGAGGTTTTATTACATAGTTTACTTAATAGAGGAGGTAGAGGATTAGACATAAAGGCTTCTATAAAACATATTACTAGTATATAACAAATACTATATTAAGTTAAGTATAAAGCTCCTATTTAAGAACTATCTACCTACTTATATAGTAGCGTTATACTAAAGTAAATAGTTAGAATAGTAGACTCTCTAACTATTCTTATTATTCCTACTATTCTAAATTACATATATGTCCTATAAGAGGTACTATACTTATTATAGGTACTAATTCCTATAGGTAGAAGGGGCTATAATTTTTAGCATGAATAACACTTATATATAGATACTATGAACCTATAACTAAAGTAATCTAGAGCATCGCGAAAGACATACATGATGATGCAGAATTTGTCTTAGACATGAATTCTCCGCGCCTCAGGAGGTGACTACTTAGTAAAATAGGCGCTGAAAAGCCACCTTCCATCATGCAGCAACCTCGATGCCGGCTAGGAGTTTGCGCTCGACGTGCCACTATCATTATTATAATCAAAATATTTTCTCAGACACGGCAAAGCAGCCACTTACCATTTTCCACGGTGCGTTCCATGCGAAAAGTATTGGAATCGCCTCCTTATACGCATCATTCTGCACAGATTGCTCGAAACAATCCATACTTTCCCAACCCCTCGCAATAATAAAACACTTCGCCTTCTCATCTTCAATGTTTTCATGCTCTTGCTCTTCCAGAACCCAACCAGACGACAAGCCGAGATCTCCCTTCACACCCTTCTTGTAGATCTTGTCAAATCGCGCAAAGTCCTCTTCGATTCTCCTCTGGAACTCTGGCGTGACGCGAGATGCTGGGAAGTAGCTCTGTACGAATTCCACGACAGGAGCTGCAACAGGCCCGTCTGAGCCGAATGCCGGGCGGCTGAGGACGACGTGGAAAATGTCGTCTGGCTTGCCACAGGAATTGCACACACTATCTGTGAAGGAACTATATTCCAAAGTAGCTTCAAGGTTTGCGTAGTTTTGAATACCATCCCATTCTGATGTAATCTGAACGCTGCGCTTGTCCTGAACCTGTGTGCCAAGAGCGAAGTACTGGGGGATTTTTACTCCTTTGAGCGCAATGGCAGCATTCTGAATCGTATCGTTGATTGTTGTTCGTAGCGCGTGGGAATCGAGTGATGGTTTCGCATTATACTGTATGATCTCAATGAGAGCCATCTTGTATAATGATATTTCAGCTGTAGTGACTCCTTATAAAAGTTCGTGGTCGAAGAAGTGATAAGTCTTAGTCAGCTTGGGAAAGGAGAATAGCGGTAAATTTTTGGTTACATTGGAATGTTTATATAGTAGACAGTAGCCCCGAGATATTCATTAATTTATAACCTGCCTTCCTATAAAATACCAAAACTAACGTTGTTGCCCTCGCCCGAGAGATAAATCCAACCCCGAGCTCGGCGGACGAACTAGCTCTTCCGCTGAGCTCGGCCAATCAGGGTCCTCAGACGAACCAGCATTAACTCCTCCGCTTTATAAGCAACTGGTCGGTCGAATTCCATATGAACAAACGACTCAAGATGGAATCTCCGAACGCTTGATCTCCGATACATAATGAAAGCGTCGGAGAAACAATGTCATCCTGACGTTTACTCGGTAGCTTCGTTGATGCACCCGAGAACATGGATGCTGATGACCATGGGAGCCTCGAGTCTGAAGCTAAGCGACGGAGACTCCGGAAAGGAACCCACAGTTGCTGGGCATGCAAACGGAGGAAAGTCCGGTGCACTTTTGCATCGTCGACAGAGGCAACGTGCATAATTTGTCGCCGGCGAGGTACCAAGTGCATCAGTCAGGGGCTTCCTGAAGACCTCAGTCAAATAGAGGATACTTCTAGTCGTATTGTGCGCGTTGAAGCACTATTAAACCAGCTTGTCAAGGAAGTCGACCATAGCAGCGCCGCAAAAGAGCAATATGGGGCTCAATCAAGGTCTAAAGATCGCGGAGGACCTCAATCTGCAGGTTCCACGCCTGCAGTTTCTACGCCTGGTAGTAGGTCTGAACAAACGACGTTCATCCCTTTGCATCACGGACCTACGCAGGAAAGGTTCCAAAGGGGAAGCGAAAATGGAGATACAAGTGCATATCATTTAACGCCAGAATTTCACACACCATATACGCTCTCGCCTGCCAAAGTTGTCCCACCTAATGCAGGCAAATATGAGAAGTTCTCGCGAGCCCTTCTTGCAGGATTTCCCTCCCAAGAAGACCTTGATATCCTTGTCAAGGCGGGAAGCGGAATTACAGTGTTTTGCCACCAAGTCAACGTTAAACTACGCAGCCAACTGGTTCGCGAAGGACTTCAGGACGAGACTAAGATAATAGAGGTCCAGAACCTTCAAACCCATCCGGTCCTGTTAGCAAAACAAATGCTCATGTTTTCTTCAATGTTGCTGCATCTTCCGCCCAATGAGAATATACCCGGTTTATCTGAACACCATCGCGTCATCATGGAAAGGCTTGCAGATACAGCGATCAGTGAGGTGACTACCTGCGAAGAACTTTTAGGGACTATGGAGAGCCTGGAATGCATCGTACTTGAGGCATTCTACCACCTAAATTGCGGGAACATGCGGAGATCCTTGCTTGCATTTAGAAGGGCCGTGGTAGCTGGGCAATTTATGGGCATGAATCGCCCAAACAACCTTCCAGTGGAGTTTCTTGATCCCAGTACAAATATTGATCCACAAGTTATATGGTTCCGAATTGTCTATATGGACCGCTTTCTCTCTCTGATGCTCGGTCTCCCTCAAGGCCACAGTGATACCAGCATCAGTTCCGAAACAGCACTGGAGAGAGGCGAGCCAAGTGAGCGCTTGGAACGCCTCCACACCATGATCTTTTCAAGAATGCTTGAACACAACAATCTCGGCTTATCCCAGTCCGCAATCGAAATGACTCACGAAATCAACGCGGACTTACTAAAGGCTGCCGAAGGCATGCCGGCCAGGTTCTGGGGACCACCAAATTTTGCTGGTTTGGAGAAGGACTCACAAGAAGCGTTGTGGGAGAGTATGCGGGTCAAAGACCAGATTTTCCACTACACTATGCTAAACCAGCTTCATCTACCATTTTTATTGAGCTCTGGCGCCGAGCGCAAGAACGAATATGCCAAGATCACCTGCGTCAACTCCAGCCGTGAGATCTTAACGCAATTTGTTGCATTCCGTGCCTTCAATCGTATCTCGGCCTCCTGTCGTCTGGCTGATTTCCTTGCCCTGATAGCTGGCATGACTCTAATTATCGCGCATCTCTACAGCCATCGCGAGAAAGAGACAGATAATCTCTTGGCCCATCAGCGGTTAGGGGATCGTGCCACAATGGAGCAGGCGCTAGAGAGCATGGAAGAGAGTTCCAATATAAACGAAGACAAATTGGCGGCTAGCTGCGCGCGTTTACTACAACATTTGCTGCATATCGAGGCAGACGCAGCCCAGGGGCATAATTATAGTGTGAAAAAAGCCCAGTTGTCCGATGGCGGCCATGGGGATGGACCTAACGTGCTGCTTATCACCGTACCGTACTTTGGCACCATCAGGTTTACCCGCGATGGCATAAGAGTGGTGGAAGTAGCCAAGGTATCGGCTCGTCATATGCAAGAACATAGAGAGCATGTCACTATCGGGGGCATCGGGTCAGTCCAGGTTGCCAACCAGATACCAACAAATGATTATGGGCGGCTATCCGGTAATTCTCGGGAGTACCTTGTTGATTATGTGGACTCTGGCAGTCTTTCGTCTCCGTCGCAGGAGCGGGTGGCACAGCCGCCTGCTGGAGAGCTATACACTGACCTTGACGCTGCACAGGCTAATAGTGTCATTATCGGAGATGATTTCATGCAAGAGCAAGAGCTATACCCTGGTGTTGCCGCAGGACAGGCTGACTGGGTCTTCCAAGGTTTCGATACCACGTTTTTTGACAACTTAATGGGAGGGGAAAGTCTTCAGTTTGGTGACGGAGGCTTATCGTCCAACTAGGGCCAAGATTAGAGTAGTGATCTAGGTAGATCATAAGAGATATTGTCAGAGACAGAGGTGAGGGATAAGGCTTTATAAATAGTGCTACGATGCGGTGACATAAACTCCGACTTCTCGTATATCCTGCCCTCAAATCCCAAGGCCCAAGATCCCAAAATTAAAAAAAAATTAAGAAAAGCACCTGTGTATATAGACATACAAATGTGGGCACAGACTAAACAGTTGGGTGATGACGATCGGCCAACGGCGGTGATGACGAGAAGTGGAGTCCTACACCGGACCACCCAAGATCGAGTTCGAGTAGCCCAGTCTCACATAGTTGGCCTCCATTAGTATCCTTTCTTTGAGATTTTTCAGAGCTCAGGGGAGGGGGTAGATATTTGTCCACGAAGCGATGATAGGCGAGCAGGTAGGAAATGATTGGAGAGTGGAAGGGGAATACAATATACGGGAGTCTGCGTTATGACAGAGGGATCGGGATTCTCTATTCCTTGATATTTATAGAGGAGGTGAAAGTTTGGTAAGAAGAGGAAGCGAATATCACTTTGTTTACTCACTCGTTTGCTCACGTATGCAGCTACAATATAGACAGACACAGGCTCAGCAACTCAAATACCCGCAATCTCGAGGGGTTTCACTTAAATATGGACTTGGCGCGATCAGTGCAGGCTCAGCTGGTCTCAACTTGATTAGGATATGATTAGACACAGGCTGAGCTGTCTGTAGGCCACAGGCGGGGTGGGAGCTTAACCTGTCTTATGGGTTCGAGATATATTTCAGAAGTTCGGGAAATATCGCCCTAAAGACCTCGCCGATGGATTCAATAATACTGCCAAATTCTTTGGGGTTCATTAAATATTCATAAAACTATCGATTGACAATGAGCTTTCTCTTCCATCTAGGGCCGCAGGGCAATCCCTGCGCTATCATGCAATAGGGTGAGACACCAGCGACCCGATCCGAAAGTGGATTCCGGAAGATCTTATAAACAGCAGCTGAAACAATAATGATGAGAGATTATTGAGACAAAGGCGGTTCATTTGTCTCGGGGTTCTTGATTCACTTGTAGACAATAATGTGTGGCTATACTACAGTAAAATTGAAGGGTATAAATAATATCGTAATATCCTAATATATCCTTATTCATCTGCAGCAAACTTCTACCCACCTTCGAAAACGTTATTTACCAACACAAAAATGCAATTTTCCAAGCTTCTCCCGCTTGCCGCCCTTTTTTCATTGGCAATCGCTCGTGATTCTGCTGATGTTAGGGCTGCTGACGCATCTACCAGCATCGCGAAAGAACGTGGTGGAGATTTTGACCTGGAAGGTTGGGAAGATTTAATCACTGTTCGGCATTTCGGTCTCTCGAACTCTCTTGCGGCCTTCAAGAATGACATTGTTGCTACATCGTGATGGCTAATCTACTCATCACTCAAAATGCAGATCTTTTGATGAGTAATTTGGGGTGAGCACGGGTGAGAGAGCGGTGATGATGGGGGCAGAGTGGCGAGAGTCAGAGGAGGGGCGGAGGCTACAAGGGGGCTTGGGAGGTGGGAACTTGGAGTATGGACTGGTGAGTGCGTGCCCATATTCCAATTGATCAGCTGGAAGCTCAATCCCGTTGCTGTGTTGCCATTGCTACAGTTGCTCGGAGTGGTACAGATGAGGATATGGCTAGCTATATATGTGCATTGTGGTTGGATGGATGAGCAGGGGATTACTGTGCGAGAGGCTGGGTTGAGATGGAGGAGGTCTAGAGCCCCCCCCCCCGGAAGCCCGTGATAGAATGAGGATATAATTAAGCACCCGCTCAGGCAACGCCCATATCCCCAGATCCTATGGAAGGAGGAAGCACAACGCACTTCAACCCATAGTCAGCCCAAACGAAGGTAATGACCGTCGCTATCCCATCGTCACTGAACCAAATCAGATCAGATTAGGGAATTAGGTACATGTTGCGACTTTCTCGTATAAATATTACCCTGCTCGGATGATGCGCAAAGGAAAACTAAGGAATCCAGTGATAGGTTCCGGACCTTTCAACATCGGTGTGGGTACCAGAATATGGTAGTATGAGCGGTACGGTGGGCGGCTCGAGCGAGGGGGAGTGTATGGATAATGACAGAGACGGCCCTGCTGATGGAGTGGGAGTGACGGTGGCGACAAGAGCAATGGTGGTAACAAGCATGCAGTGGTGGGGAGATAACGGAGGAGTGCAAGCCGGATGTATGGTAGGGAGAGTGGCTGGGAGGGTGTGTGGGCTGGATTAACCGGACTCTAATCCGACCCCTGTTGCTCCGTTGTTGTTGTTGTTTATTTGGCATTGGAGTGTTGTAGGTGAGGGGTGCTGTGTTATATATGTGCATTGAGGTGGTTGGGGAGGCCAGCCGGGGAGAGTCGGTGTGGGGGACAAAGTAAGGAAGGGAGCACAGAAACTCAAGGGCTCAGCTCATGAGATAGAAACTGTGTGGTTGCAACAGAAAGGGAAAGATGGTTGATGCAATAGATACAAGGAGCGACTTTGTAATACCAGAAGAATAGTAAGTACGTTCTCATTCCAACCAAAACCATAAACCCACCCCATGGGCGGTAAACTCGCTACCCTGCCCTCCACCCAACCAAACACTATATAAACGGCAAGTGCACTGGGCAATAACAGATAAACCAAGAAACTATTATTCTACTCGGCGACCTAGTGGTCTTCCTGGTACGAGGCTGTATGCCTGGACTGGGTTTTGCTGCACTTTCAGAATGCATCGCTGCTCGAGCTACTAGGGGGGGGTGGGGGTTGTGGAAGCGATGGCAAGAGAAGAATCAATGGTGCCTGCGAGCAGTTTTTTCTTGCTTCTATTGCTTTTGCTTTTACTGCTGATGTTACGAGTTAAGGGGCACAGGTGAGAAGTGGGGATAAACTTGTGTCAGGTTTGATGGTATAGGGGATTTTGGGGATAGGGGTATAATAGGGGTAGCTAGCAATTAATGCAAAATCTAGTAACTAACCTTAATGAAATCAAAAGCAAATGCTCTAGAATTTTTACTTTGCTAAAATTTACCTAGTTTTCACTCTTAATGATATCCATAAAGATGAAAAGTCGGCATTTCTGGAGCTCTGTAAAGGAATACGGCGGCGCGGATTATATCGCCAATGTCAAGGCATTTGCCAGACCACTCTCCGCAAAAACCATACAGAATTGCAGGGATGTCGCAAAAGTAATCGTTCCGAAGCACATCAGCTATCCGGCTTTCAGAGCGAAAATGAGATCGAAGAACGAGAACCAGCGCGTTGCCTACTTCGGAAACCTTGCTACACCGAGTATGAAGCATTTCATTTTCCGACATCATTTCAAGGCGCTGAATTTCGCCTACATATTCCACAAGGCCTCAAGGCCAGTACGGTTGAAGGAGACGACCAGACAGAATCTCCGCCTTCGCATCGACTTTATAACCGCTACAATGTTATACACGACGTACGCCCATCGCCTTCAGGTAGAAGCCTGCAAACCCAGATGTTAAGAAAGAAGAAATTCCCGGAGCCAACGACACCGTCCTTCTCGCATATAAGTTATGCACCAACCGTGGGCCCCTTACTCACCTCCCAAAAGACCTCAGGCTGTTGCCTGTAACCAGAGAGATCTTATCGAAGAAGAATCTTACGACACCAAAGAATGATGAGGCGGAAGCCTTCCCCGAACTTGACGACAAATTTAACTGGAAGATGGCCTTTGATGCATAATATGGTATGGTCTTCAACTTTACTATCGAAATGTCTTCAAAAACCAATTTAATTATAAAGTTGAAGACGTTGCAATGCCCGCCTGTGGCACCCGATGTGCATGGGTGCAGCGCTAATGGAGTCGGGTCAAGCAGGATTCGAACTTATGAGATCGCCTTCAACGCCACTCAGCTATCTCACTGGTCTTTCAAGGTAAGTTCTTCATGTTTACTATATGATCATTCGCAAATAGTTCTCAAGCTGATATCTGTTTGTCAAGTTGATGGATCGTTTGTGTTTCTGTGTGCGCTTCCTGATGGAACGGCGCCTTCAGCTCCCCATGCGTAGAGCTCTGATGCACGCTGCTCCCATGCACACAGCTCTGATTCTGATGTATCTCCCCGCTATCCATTCGAGGTAAATTCATTAAATTTACCATCAGAATCATTTGTAAATCGTTCTTAAACTGATTTGTTTGTAAAGTTAAATATATGCGGCAACATGCACGCGCCAGGATTATTTGCAAACGGGTTTTTTTTGTGTCTCAGGATGGATGGTATAGAATGAGACAGGATGGAGGTAGGCATGGACAGGTACATAGTTGACAATCGAGATCAGAATTAAAGTGTTTCTCCCATCGCTATATTCGCCACCTTCACTTCCACCCCAACCGAACAGGATATAAAAGGCAGCTATACTCGGTAGAAATAACTGAACCAATAAACTATCATCGTAATTAGAGACCAGGTGGTCATCATGGTGCGAGGCCTTATGTCTGGAGTGGGCGTCGCTGCGCTGTACTGAACGCGTCACTCGAGCTACTGGCGGACATTTTGTGTGAAAGCGGTGGCAGGAAAGGCTTCATTGGTGGGTGCAGGCGGTGACATGTCAAACATGCTTGTTGGACTTGTGCCAATACGTAAATCCGGGTTCTTGATGACGGCAGTATCTGTTGGGAAATTCACATCGTCAGTGGTGCCCACGAAGGTAAAAAGCTGGCATGTCTGGAGCTCTATGGGAATATACCGGTACGGATTTTTCGTCGCGGGGGGAGTGAGGTCCATGTATGAAGTGACCGAAGTATTAGATGGGGCTGTACATTAAATCGAGGTGGCAAAATTCTTATGGGATGGCTGAGCTGGGAAGCGATATAGCATTTGGCGGATGTTTTACGGTTTGTAGATATTACCAACTTACAAAAAAATGACTGATTCAACCATGCTCTGCTGGATTTGCTGGTGGAGGATGAGATTTGAGAGTATTAGACCCAGTTCTGTTGCATTGGCGGTTAACTGTGATAGAGGGAGAGTACCGCCGGTGACGAGACTTCCTGGTGGTGAGAGGGGGCCGTGGTGACGAGAAGGGGACGCCAGCAATAACTGAGCAGTACGAAGATGACCTGTGAGATGTTGACTTGCAAATCCATATTCATTAAATCATCCTTGCAACACCCATGTAGAAGTAGTCGAGTTAGGATTCTTTTATCATAAAACAAGTCGCAGTCATGTAGGAGGACCCCCGACCAATTCGATTTTCGGCTCTCGAAAGTCGGCATGAAAACAAGGAGATATTGTGGATATATGAGGATCTCTATGTGCTTGAGGCTCGGATATTGTTGGGTTTCGATGAAGGATTCAGGTTTGGGGTAGACGAAACAATTATGGCGGCGTGGAGCAGATGGTGAAAAAGAAAGGAGTCAATCTAGACTGTTCACTGTTCCTCTCTCAACTATATGTACTGGCATGTAATTACTCTTTTTAACTTGTACATTAAACCGAGTGCGTCGTCTCTGGTTTACGACCAAAGACCACATAACTAAATAATAGTCAGTATGGAATGAATCCTGTATAGAATGCCACACTTACAAATGATAATAACTGTGAATTGATTTGTCTTTGGTGGCCTTCCTTACCTCCATAAGAAACATCAAGACTTCTTCTCGGGTCCATTTTAGTGCTCTAGTAAAGAGCATCAAGCTCAGACTTTCCAAGCCCTCATCCATGTTTACCATTTCGAACAGTCCTACATTCTTGAGCCTCTTATCTTTAGGCCAGGGCCCAACAGGAAGCTTTAAGATGTGCTCCTCAACATCAACAAACCCAGCATCAATCATCAAGCGTTTTAGATTCCTGGGAGAGGTTGCAGAAGTCCCAAAAATTTCTGCAGCCTCAAAGAACGTTGTGCCCCATTTGGCAATTGCGCAATCTTCTTTTAAAGAACCATCGTCGCTGAGAAATAGGGGGTGTTTCTCATGCCACTCGACCCACCCGCCTGGCTTCACGTGGCTGTTCCGGATCATATTAGCTCATGTAAATCTGAACTAGTATGGCGCATAAGCACCTACCGGAATGCCTGTCCAACAAGACGCTCCCAGTTCCGGATAGCGCAGACGAAGTTGCGATTGTGAATGAAATCAAAAGAGTTGGGTTCGTACAACCAATCCTGTTCCGCATCATCAATTTCGAAGGAACAATTTGGTCCTACCCTATGCATGGTTAGTAATACGGCATATAGAGGTTCTCCGCGGCTGAAGTCTCACCAATCTGGTTGTATAGCGCTGACGTCTGTGCCGATTACCTTGACAACATTAGTCTATTTCTAATGATATAACGTGCATTGATCTATACCTCCGCGGAGGGGTACAGGTCCGCCACCTCAAGAGCCCATATTCCTTCATAAAGGGGTTAGCATAACACATTCTGCAGTTACGGTATATATGCTGTGTTACCTGTCCCAGTACCCAGGTCGAGTATTCTCTGCGGGGATGGCCCAATCGGACTCCAAAACAGCTTGCCGTTGAGCAACATAGTTTGCATGGTATGCTGCATGTCTAATCTCTCAAGCTCACGTTCGTCATTGGGAAAAGCGTATTCTTGCCATAGTCAGAGGATCGGTGATTCTCGAGAAATGGATATTTATTGATACATACGGGATTCCCCATACGAATGATATCTTCGGCCATTTTCGAATATGCCTCTAGTAACGCTTGACGCAATAGAGGTCATAAAGCTTGAGCGTCTAAATTAAAGCGCAACGAGCGAGTTAGCACTAGTCATACAGAGTATATCGTACCACGGCAGAGAGTATCATTTACGTTGATTCCGCATACGCCGAATCGTTCTCCTCAGACTTAATAGGAGCAAAAAGGTCAGCATGGTCCCGAAAAAGGGCATTGGATGAAGAGGGGCCATCCTTCCGTCCTACGTACATCGACTTCAAGCTCTGTGTGGTCCTGTCCAGGATGTGGGGCGGCCAGCTGCGGGGCCGAGGGTTCCTGGTCCGTCGACTCCATGGCTGAGGGACTCTGGTAGCACCACAACTTGATGCGGGAAGAGAATGAGTAAATAGAGCAGCAAGAAATATCTCGACACACTCGTCTAGAATATTAGGGATATTTCTAGTTATATATGTGCACAAAATGAGGTATTAGTGTGTAGTTTGCGATGATGATGACATGCACACGTATCTGTCAAGTGGGTCTCGGGGAGCCGGCTCAACGTCCCGTGCCGCAAGACGTTGAAGTATCCCCAGGCAGGGGGGTTTCGGTATTTACCGCAGTATGATACTATGTATGACCTCTTTACCGCTCTACCCCTCCTTTGTTGTCGGTTTGTAAGTCAGTAAACCGATTTTAAAGAGTTGAGGAAATCCCCAGAACAATGTCTGAAGATATACCCTTTCGAGTGCTCGTGATTGGAGCTGGTGAGTCCGCTTAAGTGACATGTCAGTTTGTGGTGACAAGAGATTTGACACCAGGAGCAGGTATTACTGGCCTGCTTATTGCCCAGGGTCTAAAGAAGGTATCATACAACCAGATACTCGGGTCCCAACTGCATATGTAGTTGCTAATACTCATCACTAGGAAGGCATTGCATGTACCGTCTTCGAGTCCGAGCCTTCTGCGTCGCATTATAGAGCAGCGGAATGGGGGATGTCGATTCAGTGGGGGATCCCATTACTACAACAATGTCTTCCCGAAGCCCTTTTCGATCGTCTTCAGTCTGTCGCAACTGATCCGTACTTCACCCCGCCTGACCCAGGACTTCTGCCAACTCTAAATGGGAAAACTGGCGAGTTACTTAAGGACGTACCGCTGTTGCGGATGTTCCGTGTATCTAGAAGGAGGTTCAGAAGCCTCTGCGCAGAAGGTATATCAGTTGAAGTACGCGCCGTGTCTCGTCAAACAAGTGCCTGTGAAGCATGTACTGACCCTAGCCGCAATATAGTACGATAAGACTTTGAAAGACGTTGTTTATGACGATGATAAAAACACTGTTACAGCCATTTTTGCGGATTCTTCGCGAGCAGTTGGTTCGTTGCTTGTAGGCGCAGATGGCGCCCATTCAGCCGTCCGAACCTGTATTTTTGGACCGGAAAAGGGGCGTGCATCCAGTGTGCCATATTCAGCAGTGAACATATGCGTCAAGTATAACGATGCTGAGAAAGCACGCTTCGTGCGCCAGCTCCATCCAATAATGGCCATGGGAATCCATCCTGATGGGCATTGGCTGTGGATATCTAGTGCGTTCTGTCCTAGACTCTTCCAGCATTGCAAAGTTTGACAATCTTGGCAGTCCAGAGCGTCCCTGATCCCAACGACCCAGCCACTTGGAGCTTTCAACTACAGACAACATCGCACAAGGGCAAAGATGATGTTATGTCGCTCGAAAACCTAAAGAAAAAGGCAGCGACTTTTGCAGAACCATTCCGCTCTGCAAATCTCTGGATTCCAGAAGGAACACCAATACATGAGAATAAAATCTCCTACTGGATGCCTATCCCTTGGGATGATCGTAACGGCAGGATCACCCTGGCTGGAGATGCCGCACATCCGATGACATTTCGTACGTTTCTCCTACTATCTATCATGTGCTTGTGCTTGTTCTTATTCCTGTTTACTTTCTATTATAAATTTCCTTCGACTGGAGTGCTTGTTACATCTTTGAGTTCTGGTATATCTAGTAAAAATAAAGAGATGTAGAGGGGGCACTGACTTGAGTTATACAGAACGCGGTCAAGGTATGAATCACGGTATCGCCGATGCCGCCAGCCTTGTCACAAAGTTGAAGTCCGCTCTGGACGGCCATTCCAGCGTCAAAGATGCCGTCAAGGCATACAATACTGAAATGATTGAACGTGCCGGTGACGAGGTGGCTACCTCGAAAGAAAACACTGAAATGCTTCATGACTGGTCTAGGATGATGGATTCGCCAATTATGCAGAAAGGGGGTCATCCCAGATCACAGCAGCCACCTGCTGTCGTAAAGCGCTAAGCCAAATGCATGCTTCATGGGTTGGGCTTGGGTGAGTCGCAAGACGACTGGCTTCGGCAATCTTGGTCTTTCCCATCACCCTGCTTTGAGTCTGGACCAGGGTTGGGGAGGATCCCGGGAGGGACAGAGTTCCTGGGACTGTTGCGCGGTTAGATATATAGAATATGAGGGGTAAATTATTATATCCACTGATATACATGGGAGCTTCGTGTTTAAGTCAATATGGCATTCGTCATATACTCGAATAAAGTGTCTTGATTGGATATCCATAAACTGCTCTATTCACCAGGACTGCAAGTGAAGTTTCATATGCAGACATTTGCTGTCTGGGATAAACTCACTTCGGATGATTGCAATATCACTGTCGCCTTTGGCTCCGGCGGCATGCTAGGGGCTCGAAATTTCAACTTTTCGCTGGCGACAAGCATTGAGACTCGTTCGGTGGTGAGAATGGTCGGCAGTGAGAATGGTCGGCAGTGAGAATGGTTGGCAGTGAGAAAAACCAGGCAGTGGGAGCATTGCAACGGCGGCAGGGCAAGGTGTGTCTGGGCTGTGTGTCGGTGCTACTTCCATCTTTTACCTTTTACACTATTACCTTTATCATCATCTTCAACCCCAGAGCCTGTGAAGCAGTCCCACACTACGCATTAGATACACCCGAGAGATTTCGTTGTGAGAGATGCTGGATAACATTTATACATAGGCATTCCTCCCAATCGTCTCTCTATCTGTCGCTAGTGGCTATTGTATCATACACTGTTTCTCCGTAAACGCCAAGCTATACCATATATTCCCCAATAACTTTCTTCTCATCTCAACCTCTCTGTCTTTTCGAGCCTTATCCTGGGCCTACATCGTACATTTTACACAGCTGGTATCGTACATCCCCCGCCACATCGCACCTAAGAAAATCTCAACAACCCCGACAGACGATTTTTGATCCGTCCGAACATCCCGCGGCTCGGCGCAGCATCAATCTCCTCGATGATATCGTTATAGTGGTCCGGGTTGCTCGCTGGACGCATGAGTAGGTTCTTGCGGGGTTGGTACTGCGATTGTTAGCTATTTCTCTACCACACACCAGGCCTTGCGCTGCTTCTTCGTTCTACTGCGGGCGCGATAACTTACTCTCAATGCATAGCGGTTGTCGAGGAGACTGTATAACGCGTTCGCGTTCTCGAGCTCGGCTCTCTCGTTGATAGTTGGCGCCGGGGCGCCGATTGCGGAGGAGGCGGGGACGAAGGTCTTCTTTGCACGCGCGAGGAGGATATCTTGGAGCTGGCAGTCTGGGCGGAGACGGTCTTTGGGCCAGAGGGAGACGGCGCGAACGAGGTGTTTGTAGGCGACCTGAGAGAGTTAGCTGGATTGAATGAAGAAGGCCGGAAGATAGAGCGTACCGATTTAGACATTGTTGCGGCTGAATGAGAGACAGCTGGTTGTGATCGCTGCACCGTCAAGGAGGGATTCGGAGACGAGGCTGATGGGATTGAATCTCGAGGCGTCAGAAATATCGATGTGGTCCAGCCAATCAGCGTCGTCGGAACGGAATATTGTTCGGTGGCGAGACTCCGACTCCGTCAGCCCGAGCATGCCTGGACTGACACCCGCCGACCCATTATGACACCAGTGCCACTCCACTAGCCGCAGCAAGCCTTACGACGCTCATCCGCCTTCTGGAACCAACACCAACCGGCGGACGACGACCCCAGTTATCTAAACCACCTCCTACCTTTTTCTTTGATCCTGATGGCATAGCCGTTTGCCTGTTTCCGAATTCTCCATTTGTCTTCACTGTCCTTTGATACAACTTTCATTTTTCGTTCTTTTATATATACTTAGGTTGATAGCGAGGAGAGAGAGTGCTGGGGCAAATGAGTTCCTCACGATATGAGCGGGTACGTCAGGACCCTCTTCATGGTCTCGACCATGCGGATACCCTTCACCTCACAGTTCATTCACGATGTCGCCGCTGCAGTCATGACACTCTACTAACGAGACCTCAACCACAGGTAGCCGCAGCAGACGACGATTACCTCCCTACACCGACAACCCCCAACTCGCCACCCCCCTCCTTCCGCTCCCACGACTCATCTCCCAACCGCACCCGATCCTCCAGCCACCCCGCCCTCGCAGACCAGAACCTCGCCGATGCCTTTGATGCCGATGGCTCAGATAGCGACGATGATAATGACGGTGACGACCGGCAGCGGCTGATGCGGGGGACCCCGACGGATTCGTCATCAGCACATGAAACACCAGGAGAAAGCGAATCCGATGCGCCACCCAGGACAGACGGTGCGATACAACTCGCTGATACGAGGGCGGCACATACACCGGTTTTTGCGCCCACGATTCAGGGGAGGGTTTATGGCGGTGGAAGCGGCAGTGATGGTGTCTTTGCGAATCTGAGCGCCAAGCCCGAGAGAGGCGAGAAGGTGGAGGAACACCCTCCTGTACGTCCACATCCTTTACCAGTCCGAAAACCGATATACTAACAGAGACTAGACATACGAACAGGCCGCCGCAGATGCAGCGCCCCCATACTGGGAAACGACGATTGTCGCCCCCGGATCATACGACCCGAACGAAGTGTACATCGACGGCCTCGCAGTTGGCTCCTTCTTCTCCTTCGCCTGGAACGGCATGATCAGCATGTCCTTCCAGCTCGTCGGTTTCCTCCTCACCTACCTCCTCCACACCACCCACGCCGCCAAGAACGGCTCCCGCGCCGGCCTCGGCGTCACCCTCATCCAGTACGGGTTCTACATGAAGGGTGCCGATGACGGGGACTCAGCGGTACCAGGAGACTCCTCTGGCAACGCGCCGCAGAATCCGGATAACCATGATTTCGAGGCTGGAGAGGGCGGGCTGAATGGCTATGACTGGGCGGCGTATATTCTGATGGTGGTGGGTTGGTTCATTCTCATAAGGGCTATTAGCGACTTTTTACGGGCGAGGAGGCATGAGCAGCTGGTCCTGCAGAGCCCGGATAGGGGGCTTGGGACGGCGGTGGTGGCGGAGGGCGAGGCCCCTGCTACGGCTGTTTAAAGGCGTTCTTTTGTTTTACTGGTGTGAGGCTATGGGGTTGGTGGGATAGGGGGGTAATTGTTCATAGATACCATGCCTTAACTGTGATTATTTATTTTGTGTTCAATAGCTTGTGACTTGCTGTGGAATTGTTGCTTTGGGGGGTGAGGGTGCATGGGAGTGGTGATAATTTGAAGAGTATAGCACAGTTAAGCATTGTTCACGTTACTAACAAAACATCTATAAAAGGACGTCCGGTGATGAAGACCTGTCCTTCCAAGCCAAGGCGAGGGCCTAATACTCACCATGGAAGGCTTCAGAGAATGAGTTTGTTGCTGATAATGTTACGTGAATAGTTCCTACTTCGTCGACTGGGGGGCTTCTCGCATCTTTCTCGCCGTGAAGATAAATCTATGCTGTCACCGTGCCACTCTCACCACTGATAGGTTCTTCATGTCGCCCACCTGTCACCCACCTGTCACCCCCAGTCGCAGCCGTAGGCGACTTACCCAGCTGAGTCCTACAATGCCGGATGGGGGAGGACATGAGGCGTCTAGCCTGGATGGTTGAATTGTCCCAGCGAGCAGAGACTTCATGCACCGTGGCATTTTCGAACTGGCGAGAAGGGCAGCATCTTGAGTACTCAACTTGGCAGAATAGAAAAGCGCACTTGGTTTAGATGACAGGAACTTGACGCAGAGTGGGCAGGCGGATTGCTCTATGGTGAGCTTGTCGAGGGGGAAAGGGTCATTATATACTAAATTACTATCAATGCCAATAATGTTGTCTCGCGGCCTCATAGATTTTGAGACTGCGCATTAAGTTATCCAAGCATAACTAAAAATGAAGTTTATATCAAGTGATATTGTGATATTTTCATTTAAACTGTGTCTGGTTCCCTTCCAGCGGGTTTTGGTTTCTGTGTCCAACAGCTGCCATGAAATTAAATTATCGGATTTGGCAAGGGCTACGCCACAGTTTCAAAAAATAGAACTCTTTGTTCCAAATATTCCGCTGTGAGAGTACAAGTTTCTTTGTTCTTGCGTGAGAGTATTCCGGTGTTGGGGTTTCCAAGGGATGATCCAAAATAAAATCGAACAATGGCCCCTGCCGCATATTCGCCTATCGCCGTCGACGAGAACGGTCAATGCTTTCCAGTTCACAACAACACACCTTGTCCTCAGAACCCCTCACAATACTCTTTTTGTGCGCTGGGCCATTGGTCCCCGAGGCTCTTGGATCTTTGTTGGGCGTTCTTTATTCTTGCATATTTGGCTATTATAATTGTGTCCCCCCGAGTATAGCAACTGGAAGTTGCGCATTCATTCTCCAGTGACCCTGCCGGGTGCCAGCAGATCTTCCCTGGTTATTCTCGGAGCTCAGCGACAAACGAATGTGTAGAGAATAGAGGACTTCACTTTTACTTTTGCTTTTATTATATGAAATATTTGACGAAATTTACAAACCGTGTGTTATAAGTACACTACAATCTCACCTACGGAAACTGGAATACATGAGTTCCACAAGGCTCAGGAAAGTGGTTCGCCTATAAATGTGTTTCAACCCACAATGCCCCCATGGATAACTGGCAAGTAAACTTACAGCAGACCAAATTGTCCGGCTATAAGCCGCAGATATATATACTAACATGAAATTGCCTACAGAAGACGACGATGAGGATGGCGAACACGGCCATATCACCCCACAATTGTCGTTTACACCGCCTTCTCCTGGTGGATCTGACGACTCGGAGCAGGATGATGATCCAAGCCCATCACCGGAGTCTCCTGTGGAAATGTCAGACTCCTTCCTCGAGGATGACTCTCTCGTTGAGCTAATTGACACCGCTCTTGATTTACAACCGAAACCACAAAAGAAGGTCCTCCGCCACCTGCGGCAATCTGAATTCATATACCCGTTATCACGTTATCAAGGCAATGCACCACCGCTTCCCTTGTCCAAGGAGTGGCAAGTGGTGAAGGAATTCCAGGAGTTGGTAAAACAAGAGAATTCGACTGGGCTTAATGCTTCCTATGGCGATGACAAATTCCTCCAGATCGAACTGTCTCAGTTCTTTATCTATCTGCCAGGAACGAATGGCCACCACGCCTACGAGATGACTGGTCTACAGGACCTGATGACTCGAACAGGGAACCCATCGTACTGTTTTGATGGCATATTGAGTGTCGGAGGACAGAAGAGATATGTGCAGGGCGTTCCGTTCAAGCTTGTTTCGGTTGCTGGGTATGGGATAGAATTCGACGAGGTCGAACATGTATGGATCAAGTCATGCGCAAACTCAAGATCGAATGTCTACTACCGACTGAAGGACCCTCACCCACACTATAAGAGATACCATGATGGGTACCTGTGGCTGGCCAATCTATCGAAGCACTTTGTCGACTACGCTCTGGAGGTTGCCGAATCGGGTGGTAAAGTGTCTATCCACAACTTCAGACACGATTTTGCAGATTGGATGGACAAGGAACACGACGAGTCGGTCTCATTCCAGGAGTGGTTAAAAAAACATAGTGGTCGAGATTTCCGGTCGGCGCTCACGTCCAATATTGATTTCGTCGCCAAAGACGCCATTGGAACATATATGTTGGACGACTTGGACATATGGGCTGAAGTAAAATACAAGACAGCCATTCCGTTTCATCAGCCGAAGGAAACTATGACAGTCGTCACCCCGTATGTGTATGACTGCTTCGAGCATATGAAATTCGCCAGCCATCTGAAGAAGGTCCATCCATCCACTCAAAGCCAGATTCGCCGCGAGTCTCAGGGAAATGCGCTGCATCTCACCTTGGATGCAGAGTTCACCGAAGAGAACCTTGACTTGCAAGCTCAGACAAGCATCACTCCGACTGCCAAGTCTCTCAGAGTGAAAAGGTCATTACAACAGTTCTGTTCGAGGCCATTCAGCATTAGATCTATTTCTGTTGGCGATGTCCTCGGAGTGAAGACAGATGGAGTTGGTAGTAGCTGGAAAGACGAGGAAAGCCAGTGGAAAGAACCAGATGAGTGCTGGTATGTTTACGTCCAAGGGGTTCACACCACCCAGAGCGGAAACCGGTCATTCCATGTTCTTTGGCTATACAGACCAGCCGATACAGCCTGTGCGCTGATGAAGTACCCACACGACGACGAGCTCTTTCTTTCGGATAATTGCAGCTGCAGCACTTCTCGGATATCGGAGGACGAAGTTCTCTGCAAGGTCTCTGTCGCCTGGAATGGTAGTCCAGGCCAAACCGAAGCAGACTTCTTTATTCGGCAAACCTATCAGGGCGACAACTCGTTTGTTACATTTAAGGAAGAGCACAAACAATGCGAGCATTTGGCCGTCGATGTTACCACCCCCATAGAAAAACTCGCAGAGCAGTACACAATTGGCGACACTGTCCTTGTTAATCCCAAAGGATGCTTCAAGTCAAACTTCGGCCTGGAGCCATGTGAGATTGTAGGGTTTGTGCAAGGGAGAATAAGTTTTGTTAGAGTCCGGAGGCTGCTACGGCGCCACGAGATCGAAGATGACACGCTTGCAAGACCAAACGAACTGGTATATAGTAACGATATGGCCAGCATTGACGCCAACGAAGTTGATCGTAGGTGCTTTGTGCGCTTTTACAACCAGAGCCAGGTCATAAATAAAGAGGTCCCTGCCCCTTACTGCCGTGACGGCACTGGCGATATGTTCTATATCGCAACCCGTCTAGTGAGGCTAGATGATAAAAACCACCTGAGAGAGATTGATTCAACCAGCCGGCCACAATCACTAATCCAAGGTTTCGATCCTACACAGCCTCCACCATTCCGACGCCTGCGTGGTCTGGATATGTTCTGTGGCGGAGGGAATTTTGCCAGAGGTCTTGAAGAGGGGGGTGCGATTAAGTTCACCCATGCAGTCGATATGGCGCCAAACGCGATTGCCACCTATTATGCCAACGCCGAAGATCCAAAGACAACCCAATTCTTTTGTGGCTCTGTTGACGACATGCTTATTAAAGCCTTGAGTGGTAACGCAGAAGGAGCACCAGAGATACCATTGCCGGGGGACGTCGATTTCATCGCAGCAGGTAGTCCTTGTGTTGGATATTCAATCCTCAACCCAAACAAAGACTCGCCTCAGGGCCTAAAAAACCAATCCCTCATTGCTGATGTGGCGTCGATGATTGATTTTTACCGACCCAAATACGCATTGTTGGAGAATGTTCTAACAATGGCGCAGAAAGGCAAAGGAAGAAGTCGTGATTCTCTGTCTCAGCTCATTTGCTGTATTGTTGGTATGGGGTATCAACTCCAGGTCTACGTTTTGGACGCATGGAGCTTTGGGAGTCCGCAGGGTAGAAGCCGTCTTTTCGTCTCTGTTGCAGCCCCTGGATTTAAGCTGCCACCACGTCCTGAATGTTCTCATTCTCATCCAAACGGCACGAGTGATCGTGGTTTAGGGACGATGGCGAATGGAAAGGCATTTGGCGAAAGATTGTTCGTGGAGACTCCATTTAAGTTTGTTTCTGCTGCTGAAGCTACCGAGCACTTACCAGACATTGGTGATGGTCACCCAGGCCACTGCTCCCAGTATCCAGACCATCGCCCATCGAGAAGCCCGAGAGAAACGCTGAGACAACACATGAACATCATTCCCTTCAGCCCCCCTGGTATGAACTTTATCAAAACATGGAAGAATCGACATATCACCGGTATGACCCAGCACGACTACGAAAATTTCAATACCGTAACGAAGAAAGGGAAACAGCGGCATAGTGCAATGGACTTTTCGAGGGCCTACGGACGCATAGTTCCCACCTCTCTGTTTTCAACTATTGTCACCAGCTGCTCGCCCGAGAATGCCCGCTCTGGCCGTGTCCTCCACTGGAGCCAGCCACGCCTGCTTACAACCGAGGAGGCGAAAATAGCACAGGGGTTCGTGCAGGGGGACGCCTTGACCGGAACTCGTGGCGAGCAGTATAAAATTACTGGCAATAGTGTTGCGCGTACTGTTGCGCTGGCTCAGGGTCTCTCTTATAGAGAGGTCTGGCTTAAAAATTGTCCTGAAGAAGATGATACGGGCGAACTCCCTGTTGCTGAACAGATCCAGAAGCAAATCTTTGCTGACATGATGATATATGATGACCGAGCCGGGTTGACAGTCATGCCTGACCCACACTCTTCCTCCGGGTCTGAAGATCGGTACTGTCAGGCGTTAGACAAACTTAAGCTCACCTCTCCTGCGAAAACAGACGAGGACAGTTCATCACGGACCAGTTCAACGTCCGGGGTCTCACAGAACCCACGCACGCCGTCCAAGAAGTCAAGCAAGGCCACCATGCGCGGCCCTGGCAACCTCTTAACTCCCCAAACTACTCACAAGCGCCACATTATCCAAGACGACACCCCAATCAGCCCAACAACTCCACCCCCCTCCCTACCAAAATCCCGCTTTCCGCCCACCGTCGCTGCGCGTCTCGGCGTAGACGTTGCAGCTGTACGTGCTGAGCACGCGATGGAACAGGCCGCAAAGCGGAAGGCTGAGCAAGTTGCAGATGCGTCACGATTTTCGATATGGAAGGCCATAGAAGAAGCGTTTGGGACTGAAGAGGAGACTTCGCGGGCGGGGAATGTATCGAAGGCTAAGCGCACGCCGTTACCAGTGAGAGCGCCGGCGAGGGCTGCGGTGGCGGATGAAAGTAAGCCGTTGTCAGCGAGAAGAAGATGGAAAATCGCTTTTTTGAAGAATCGTATGGCATCGACTGGGGAGGGTATAAGACGCCCGGATGAAGGTTTCAATTTGTGGCCTACTCCACGGGCTACAAGAAGTGGAAATATACGGGGGCAGATGCAAAGTACGGCTAGGAGCACTTTCCAACCAGCAAAAGCGCCAGATGGCGCCTCTGAGGATCAGACGTCTAAGAAGAGGAAGACAACCGCTGGTGATTCTGATTTGGCGAGCACGGCTCAAACTAGAATACAGACTGCAAAGACACCAGACGTCACATCTGATGAACAGAGACCTAAAAGGAGGAAGACGACCGGCGGCAATATCTCTACTCCAAGAACCCAACCAAGTGCAGCACACGCACCAAGACCAAGACAGCCGAGGGCAAAAACTCAGTTCGTCATTGACCTAACAGGGGACAGTGACGTAGAGAGGAGGGGGAACCGGCAGAGGCAGGTGTACGTCCCGGTTGACAACTCGATGTTTGGGGCTTATGAGATGACGTACAATTCGTCGATGGTGGGGATGCGAGACCCGGCGGTTGTGGTGGATGGTGTGAATGGACCGTTTGCTTATTGAGAGTTGTGAGTATGGGGTGTTTTTGGGGAATTATGTGCGGCGGTGGATATACCAAGGAAGGGAGGAGGATGGGGCGTCTGGTTAGGAATTAAATATACTCTGAGAGACACTATCGTCACGAGTCCATCTCTTACGCTCCTACACGTCTATTCCCCTGTCTAAAAATCTAGATATACACCCATCACGCCGCCTCCACCGCTCCCTCCCCCCCGGCCCCCTTCCAAAACCCCCTCACAGCCTCCCTACAATGCTCCTCCAAATCAACTCCCCAAATCCACCTAACCCTCCCATCCAACGCCTCCCTCAACTTCTCCAGATCCCCACCCACCCCTTCCCCCCTCATATCCAGAATCTTCCCCTGCGCCCTGCTCTCCCTAACCACCGCCTGCGTCCTCGGCACGCGCACGGCGTCGTAGGCGCGGAAGGCCCGCTGGATGTCAGAAGGGCCGTCGCAGAGGGGGAGGAGGCTAGAGAGCACGAGCGCGTCTTCGAGGGCCATGCCGGCACCGGCGCCGAAGTGGGGGGTTGATGCGTGCGCGGCGTCGCCGAGGAGGGCGAGGTGCTGGTTGTGGTAGGTGGTGGTGGGGGGGTGTTCGTAGAGGGCCCAGACGTCTGGGGATTTGAGGAGCTGGGGGGGGGGTTAGCTTCTGTATTGATATGGGGATAGGGGAAAGGAGAGGTAGGAATCGGGGGGGTTATACCTTTATAATCCCACTAGGCGCAGCGCCCCAACCTGCGAAATCCTTCTCCATAGCCTCCTTCTGATCCTGCTTCACCCACGGCCCATCCCACTCCTTCTCGGCCCCATGAAAAGCGACGATATTCATAATATTCCCCTTCGCCACCGGAAACGTAAGGATATGTCCATTGTCCCCAAGATACATCTGTCTATTCCTCGCCTTCTCCTCTCCCAGTTCCGCAACCGCCTCATCCATAGGAATCAACCCACGGTATGCATACGCGCCCGTAAACCGCGGTTGCAGCGCCGCATCATCGCCTACGACGAAGGCGCGACAGGCGCTGCGGATCCCATCTGCCCCTATCACTGCGTCGGCGCGCGCGTCCGTGCCGTCTGCGAAGAGGATCCGCACCTGCTCACCGGCGGGCTGCTCGATGGAGACTACGCGCTTACTCATCTCCGCCACGCCCTCGGGCAGGAACTTAACCAGCTCCTCCAAGAAATGCGCGCGGTGCACTGTACTCTGCGTCTCCTCGCTATCCATCAGCACCTCAATGATCCTCTTCCCCTCCTCCGGCCCAGCGCCGACATTGAAATCGAACCAAGTCCTCGACTTGGACGCCCAGCCATTAAAAGTCGCGCGCGTGCGGTAGCGCTCCCACAGCTGGGGGGAGATGAGTTGGATTGCCTTGTGGCTGTTTGCACCGAAGCCGACGCCGGCGCCGATTTCGCCGAAGGCGGAGGCGGATTCATAGATTGTGAATGTGATGTGGGGGGAGGAGAGGAGGCCGATGGCGAGGGCGAGGCCGCCGAGGCCGCCGCCGCAGATGGCGAGGTGGATGGGCTTTGGGGGGGGAGGCATGGCTGGAGGGTGTTGGAGAGAGGTGAGAGGAGGTGGAGAGATGGGAGGAGGGGAAGAGGGGGATAAGGGGGGGAGCTTGGGATGGAGTGAACCCCTCCCCCGCAGTGTGGGATCTGTTCTCACAGCACCTGCAACCCCCACTACTTCACGTGTGTGTCCCTTGCTTGATGCAACCCCAAATATCCCGCCTTCAGTGGCCGGCCCTCTGCCCTAGCTGTACAGAGTTGGTAATCAGCCCCCCAGCCCCAGGAGCGCCTCTAATTCCAATCCACTCCCACATCCGCTCCCACTCCCAGCACCAGCCGTTGTCACCCAATTCACCCGCCGCCCTCCCATGTCATTGGTTTCAGCCCAGCACCACTATCAGACAGGCACTCAAGCCACCTCTATACGAAGTACGAGACCCGACCCCTGAACCGGATTCACAGGGCTACTTGCCGCAGACCAGCGTTCACAGTCAGTCTCCACCACCGCCCCATCAATCCACCCCCCGATCGATCATCCTCCCACTCCCCCATTCCCCCACGGAAGCCAACCCCCTCCCGCGCCCGCGCCCCTCATCCCTCCCTCCACCTCCCCGATCCGACCATCCTCATTTTCGTAAAGATAGCCCATCACCTCCCCACTCTCCGCCGTCGTTCCTCGTACCTGCAATTAACCTCACTAAACCCACCCCCACCCCATCCCCTACACAGATCCCAGCCACATCCACCTCTCCGCCCCGTCCCTTCGCTCTAACCCATAAGACACTAGCGCATCCATCACATCTGCGCGCTTGGACTATACCCTTGACGCCCCCACCCAGTACTCTAACCACTCCATGAACGCTCCAACGCCCCCCCGACCCGATCACGGCACCACCACCCACAGCGAATTTAGATTTCGGTGGAACAGCGGCATGTAGCGCCGTCGGGGCGCCGTGGCTAACTTGCATACATAGGCGTCTCCTACGCACGGAGGTCTCGCGGGATCGGGAACGGACGGCTACAGGCGCTAACGCTGACGCCAGTAATAGTCCGAGCTAGGTGCCAAAACAGCACTAGAGGAGAGACATGGGGATGCCTGCGCTCCGCTGGCTGTTGATATGCAGACTTGCGGGGCGTGTTGTTGGATGTTGGTTTTTGGAGATTGCTCTGTGGACAGAGATGCTCCAAAGTGCAGGGGATGGGTGTTCTGTATATTGCGCTTCGGAGGAGGGGGCGGAATCGGGGAGGTTTTTCCACACGTGCGTTGAGAGGGTGGGAGAGAGGGAGAGGGAGAAGGAGCGGCAGTGGGAGAGATGGTTTTGTGGTGGTTTGGGGAAGGAGGAGGAGGAGGAGTGTCACGTGGTAGGTTGGTGAGAGTTTGAGACTCGAGGGCTTTCGCTCGGTTTTCCCCCGGTGGCCCCCCCCATGTAGGATTTGACTATGCGACGATGCGACGATACGACGCTGTACCCTGTTCTCATCCTGGGAAAGAACGTTCTTACGACTTCTACCTATTGGGATATCGCGGCTGCACTCCCTCCGGTCTGGAATCTTCCGTGTGTGTTGAGCCTCCAATGCTGGCTTTGCGGGGATAATCATGGGTTGGAGTCTTTGAGGGGGCATATGCGGTGTAACGTCGTTATAACGAACCTGTGGAGTATTGAGAAGGTTGGGTTCATGGGATTATAGAGATGCGGACCGGTGATGGTTTGTATGAGAACAATAGGTGGGTTTCTGTACAACGAGCACTTAGGCTCCTACACATACCGGTTTGTTGCTCTTATAACGAGGACTTCATCGTGATACATACAACCTATCAACCTATGAGTTCGGTATTTCTGAAGACGCGAGGGGTATATAACGTTCCTTTTCTGTTTTACAATACTCCCCTATACCTCCTCCAATGCCAAATTACCATGCGCTAAATAAATACTTTGACAAACAACACACAACCCCCCCAAAGCCCAACTTAGAACCCATACCTAAACGACGGGTGATCATCCCCCAAATTATCCTTCTCATCCCCCTCCAACAAATGATCCCTCTTCCCCGCATCCCTCTGCTTATTCTCCCACCACATACCTCCAACGTACCCCGTCGCCATCACCATCGCCGCGCACACCAGGCCAAGGTTGACGCGGTATCCCATATCGTAGAACGGTGCCTGGCTGCCCTGGAAGGTGAGGGAGGAGATAATACCGCCCATGTTCCCGAGACCCATCTCAAACCCGACAGCGAAAGCGATCTTGTACGATCCAGAGCAGTTGTTGACCAACAGCGTCCATAGTTGAGGCACGCTGATGTAGCCACCGATGGAGATGAGGTACAGCGCTGCGTAGCGGGCGTTGACGGATACGTGGCGCTGGTTGATCATGATAACGAGTCCGATCAATGTGAGCATCCAGCCGAACATGGCGAATGCGTAGCGATGGCGGAGCTTGTCGGAGGCGTAGGAGACGGCGAGCGTGGCGGCGCCGGAGGCGATGAAGATGGGGATGACGAGGGCTTGGATGTGGCGCACCGAGGCGGTGGGGTCGAATTGCTTGACGATGGTTGGGGCGAAGAGGTTGATGGAGTAGACGGCTACGATAGAGCAGATAAACATGAGGGTGCTATACGTAGTTAGTAGGTGTATGTAGGTAATAGTTTATAGGGGGCTAGGAAACGTACCAGATCCAGATCTTCCAGTCCAGGAGGATACGGCGCATTGCCTTTCCGTCGAGACGGTCCATGGATCCCACGGTGCCGTCGCCGCGGATTTTGGCCTTGAGGATGGCGCGCTCGGTGTCGGAGAGCCATTTGGCTGTCTCGGGCCAGTCGGACATGAGGAAATATGCGACGAGGGTGCAACCAGCTGTCATGCTGCCTTCGATGATGAAGATCCTGTAATTATTAGAGAGGCCGTCTAAAGTGTGCATGTCACGGGGAACTCACCAGCGCCAGCTCTTGTAGCCATTAGAGGAGTGGATGTCAGCGATGGCGAGGGCCAGAAGGCCACCGAAGGCACTTGAAATCGCGTTGCCGACCATGAGCATGTTGAGACGCCATTGCAGCTCATATCGGGGATAGTACTGGCTAAGGAGCAGGACGCTTCCGGGGATCAGACCAGCTTCGAAGATGCCGACGAAGAAACGCATGGCGACTAGGCCGCCCCAATTGGTGATCAGACCTTGGCCGATTGTGAAGATACCTAGGTTATATTAGAGACAGGGTGAGACATTGGAGGATAGTTGAAGCTCACCAAGTAAAAGAGTCTCAGCGCACAACACTGCCCGCGGGCTGACGCGCTTCATGAGGTAATTGCTAGGCACCTCAAACCCAACGAGGCCAATGAAGATGACCACAAGAGCAACATTGAACTGGTTGCTCTTGGGGTTCATATGCAGGTCCTTCTCGAGGCCTTGGATTTTGGCATTGCCAATGTTGACGCGGTCAATCAGCGAGCAGAACCAAAGAGCCCATAGCGGAGGAAGCAAGTGAAGATCCAACTTCCAGATCAATTTGCGATACTGGAAGGGCGTGAGGACGGGGACATCTGAGTTGACTGAGAGGGTCTCAGAGGATGTTGGGGACGAAGGCTTCGCGGAATCTGCAGCAACCACTGGGGATTTTTCGAGGTCTGACATCGCGAAGGATCTGCGCTCACTGACGCAAGGAGTGATGGGTAAAGAACGTTATAGGTTATGCTTTGTGATGTTGTGCGAAGGAAGGGGTAGATGTATTTGCGTAACGCGCACAGTCCTCGTGGGTGCCACGTTTTTGGCTCCTGTCTGACCTGCCAAACGAGTGTGAGGTGCGGAATGTTTTGAAGCCAATATGAGGGATGTGTCAAAGGGGATTGAAAAAGAACGGGACCAGCTGACGGGGCGCGCAAGACGGCATCGAGTGTATCACGGCAGCGTTCTATTGCCTTTCCGGTACCATGGTAAACATGGACACTTTGGCTTTAGCTGGGATCAGCCACAATAATGGCAGGAAGTCAATTTTACGGGAGTTGCATTGTGGTGGCCAGATTGGTCCTTGGAGGGGGGTGCATCGGCGGAGACCTCCGTTCTGATAGTCCAGAGCACGCATCGCTGCAGAGTAGTATGGACGTGCAGGCCCATTCGCAAGGTTTCCTCCAATGGAGTTAATTGCATTGTCTTCGCTGAACTGGAGGGAACGGTTTCAGGGTTAAAATCCCAAGGTCAAGGAGTGCCATCCATCCTGGAGCAGGAATATAGCATGGGTTGTTGTGAGAACCCACCCCCACTCTGCGCTCTGCACGCAGAATACAGGGACCCTGGCCGACGACAAGTCCGTCCGTCGCTGTATTCTTCAATAAAATTACGTGCCGGTAGCCGTATCCATGGGCACTGGGAAGAAAGCTGGCCACGAAGCAATCCGCCGCTTTTGAATCGTAGGAAAACTACACGTCCTGTGATCGACCTTCGCTGTCTCTTGCAGCTTGCACAGTGCGCGGGCGATGACAAGTCCTACGATGATCAGCCCCTGATTAACAACTTCTCGGCTGAATGAGTTAATTACTGGCAGAGTGAAGAATTTGCATTTCCCTTCTCAACGCCGACTGGGGAGTTCTGAATCGTGACAATAACAATAACAGGGGCGTTCGTAAGTGATGAAGTGGGTTTTCGTGGGTTTTTTGGTCCACTTTGGCGCAGTAGTCGCTCAGCTAGCCACACAGACAGCGGCTCGAAAGCCACAAGCAAATTCACAAGCAATCGTTGGCATTATAAGCGGCGACGATCCTGGTCCTGGCTAAAGTGTCCACTTACCACTGTGTATTACTGTGTTGATAAATCCACTCCCCTCTATTCTGCCGCCGCGTGTCGTATAATCTCTCCGGCGGTCGGATTCATGTCAACATTAACTTTCTTCGGAGGATTTCTTCACAATGCAATGCACTCCGCACACACGGTTAGTGTAAGTATTTGTTTAGAAACCTTCACAGGTAAGGTTATACAGCATGTGACTGATCATGCCGCCGGGACGGCAATGCTTCAATGGCCTGTTCGTCACAGCTACAGCGCGTGTGCCCGATAGAGTGAGTGCCTCTCATTGGAAAGCCATATGTTCCTTTCTTCCTTCTCATTCACCTGTTGGCTCTATAGTGCCAATGCAATCTCTGGTGAACGCATCCGAAGATGAATGTCTCAAAATAGTCAAGGGTTACCCCGGTACGCCGACAAGGCAGCTTCGCGGCCCTGTGGCTTCCTGCCATTGTTGTCCTCGGCCACCAGCCTATCAAATTCCCTTCTATTGATTCCCTCTCCTACTTTTCTCACCACAGACGCCAGTCCATCTTCAGCCCGGAAGCAACGATGCAGTGCCCGCCCCACTACTCGGTGACCAGCCATACGGGCCACGGAGTGTCTCGAGTTGTTTCCATCGCACAAGCCAGGGATGTCTCCAATGAGCCTCGATCGGCCCCTTTTACTTCTCCTTTCGCTTTGATCTCCCATCCCAGTTTTGACAGGCTCCACTGGCGATATAGTTGAGTATCGCAGGGATCGCGGGTTTCTCCTTGTGCAACGATGTCGATACAGATGCATGGCGGAACTCCTAAGTACCCTCGTTCTAACGCGGACCGAGCAGGCCACCACCGGGTTTACTCCTCATCGGTCGGTGTGATCCGGAGTAGAACGCAGGAACAGCTTAGATTTTGTTGTTGCCATCCTGTGAACGCTCGTTAATTTCCAAAAACGAGCACGCGGAGGTGGAAGCAAGGGTTCGCTAAACCGTGAACCAACCTTCCATATATTGAGGTCACGCACAAATGGATACTTGAGCCCGCCATATCCACCCTTTAAGCTTCAGCGCCTCGCCTTGGGGAGATCTTGGTCATATCAGATCCCACTGAGACACCTCTGGAATCGTCTTTAACTTCGAGGTCTCGCTCCTTCTTTTCTTCTAGTCGTTAAAGCAGCACACTTATCATGTCGTCGGCACACGCCCCAAACTTCTCTGATAATGCCGAGTCGACGGGGATGTTGTGGATTCATGTTGCGTTTCCGTTGACTTTTGTTGCGGGCATTCTGGTGGGAATTCGTTTCTGGTGGAGATATAGCCAGACTGGTTCTGTTGGGAAGTCTGACTGGTGTGTTCTTGCTGCGTTGGTGAGAATTGCTTTTGAAAGATTTTATAGACCTATCCTAACAAGTCTCTAGGTAAATGCTTTTATCCAACTCGCTGTTGGAGCCGTTGGTTTGTTGCATCTTGCCCAGCGTTGAACGAAATCTGACAACTCATTTAGCAATGCTTCAATGGGGTTTTGGTCACCACGTTCAGTACCTGATCAAGCATAATGGCATCAAATATGTCCAGATGTCTGGCATGGTAAACAGTATGCCTCTCAATTCTTCGTAACCCCACTAACACCGCCAGTACTTCTACATCTACCAAATCTTCTACAAAATGCTCGTCTCCTTCACCAAGCTCTCCTTCCTCTACCTCTACCTCGACATCTTCACCGGCCACCCCCGCTTCCGCACCATCTGCCAGCTAACAATCTACTCCGTCTGGGCGGCCCTCATCGCCTTCACCCTCGCCACCACCTTCCAGTGCGAACCCATCAAGTTCAACTGGAACAAAACCATCAAGGGCGGGCACTGCTTCAAGGCCCCGCCCTTCTGGTACGCCCACGCCGCCTGGAACACCGCCTTTGACATCTTCGTCTTCCTGCTTCCCATCCCCGTGATCCGCAGTCTTCAGATGGGACGGAACCAGAAAGCCGCCTTGATGGGCGTTTTCATCCTGGGAGCCTTGTACGTCTCCCTCTTCTATATTCCCATTTCCCCCACCCCGCCCCCCTTTCGAATATCTAATGAGATCCCATACTAACCCCCCCTCCCCACAGCGTCTGCATAACCTCCGTCATGCGCGTAATCTTCCTCGACATCGCCGCCAAAACCGTCACCGACGACATAACATTCAGCACCAACCGCGCCTTCCTCTGGACGCACATCGAGTCCTGCGTCGGCATCATCTGCGCCTGTCTGCCCACCCTCAAAGCGCCCATATCTCGCGCCCTCCCCAAACTCTTCCCCTCCTCCTGGCCCAGCGGCGATCGCTACAATCTCGAGGACGTGACGAAGGGGTCGGTGGCCGCCGCCGCGGGGAAGGGGACGTGGAAGGATGGGAGCGTGTTTGCGGGCAGTAAGGCGAGGGATTCGGATGGCGATACGCAGGGGAGTCAGGAGCAGATTATGGGGATTAAGAAGACGGTTGATGTTAGGGTTGTGAGGGGGGATGGGGGAGTGGGGGAGGAGGAGGAGAGGAGGCAGAAGGGGGGGAGGAGGGATCAGTTTGGGGAGCCGGTGTAGGGGTCTCGTGGACTGTGGTGCTGGTGCGCAAGTCTTGTTTTCTTGGGGTGGGCGTGTTTGGATAGAATGGCGGATAAAAAGGGGGACGTAGAGTGTATATCTCATGAATCGAGAAATGTCGATTGTGTAACTAGCAGGGAGAATAAAATGCGTGTTTTTTTATGTCATCTTCGAGCATTTTTTTGCTCCGTCTCATTGACGATTCTATTTACCGTCTAAGGCTCCCGTATTCTTCCCATTTCCCAACGAGATTACTATCATCCCGGCTTATGCACAGCCTGTGCGTTGCTGCTGCTACCTTTATCGCCTTGGCGGTTTCTCTTCCAGCAGCTGGGTTCTAGCTCGGACAGGGCGCCTGGCCTTCATGCCATCTCCTTCTTACTATTACGAGTAATGCGAGGGAGCCGTGTAACCTTTCCATGTAGTTACACAAACCCCCGGCGCGCGCCTGGCCACGGCTACTCCACTCCCCAACGTATTACGACGTTCGAGCCACGCCGTGGCCACGCGATGCACGCACTCCCCCCCGGCCTTCGCCGCAATGAAACCACATCCCATGAACAACCCGACCCCATAACCTTCATCTCCCAACCCCCATCATCCTACCTCCCCAACCCCCCAACCACCGCACTAACCATAACAGCAACCTCCCTCTCCCACTCCGCCATCCGCCTCTCATCCCTCATCTTCCCCGCCCCACTCGGAACCTGACACCCCCTCGCCACCGCCTCCGCCACCATATCTCTAACCGCACTCCTATTACTCTTGAGCGTCCTAGCTTGCACTCCCCCGGCCTTAACCAGCTCCTGCACGCGGGGCGACAAGGCCGATGCGAGGCTGCGCCAGAAATAGCTGGTTAGGCTACTTGTCTCTAGCGCTGCTAGGACGGGGACGAGGAAGTTGGGAGGCGTGGAGAGGGAGGGGAGGGTGGGGGCGTTGAGGGAGGAGAGGAGGAGTTCGAGAGCCACGAGGTTTTGGCACCGGGAGGAGACGAGGAGGAGGGCGTCGTCGAGGGTGCGGAGGACGCCGAGGGCGCGGATTATGGAGGTGGTTGAGGTGGTGAGGGCGACGCGGAGGTATTCTTGGATGGATTGGACCATCCACTCTGCTTCGAATCTTGTGCTTTTTCCTCTCTTCGGTGGTTGCGGGGAGAGTAGGTACAGTGTCTGTAAGGCGGAGGTGGCGCGGGACTTTGCGTCCTCGGCTTGTGCGTAGGTGCTCCCGGAGCCGGCGAGCGTTGACATGGAGAAATCCCGTACGACTTGTTGGGCTTTGGCGTGGAGTGATCGTTCAGCCGGAGCGATCAGTTCACGCTGCAAAGCAGCAATAGCGTGCACTTTCTCGAGGTTCTCGCCCTCTTCCCCAGGGCCGTTAGCGGCGAGCAGCGCGCGGCAGGAGAGGATTGTGTTTGAAGCCCGGACGGTGGAGCGGTGGTCATCTCGTGACTGGGCGTTGCGGGGCTGCTGCTCAGACATCTGGACTTCGAGCTGCCGCCCCAGTTGTAGGGCGCGGCCGACGGAGCGGCCTAGGCGGACGGTGTGCCATAAGCGCTCTGAGACGCGCTGGACTTCTTCAGCGGCTTCGTGGCGCGAGATGACTTCCTGCTCCAGGCGCTTGTAGGAGTCGTTCAGCGAGGCGGCCTGGGAGGAGAGCTCGCTGACGATGTGTTCTGAGGCGTGGGCTTGTGTTTCGGTGTGTGAGAGGAGGGGGAGGGCGGAGGCGGAGGTGAGGGTGTGGATGTGGGAGTCGACTTCTTGGATGTCGAAGAGGACGCGGGAGAGAGGGGTTGAGAGGTCGAGGGGGGAGTCAGTGGCGTTGTTGGTTGTGAGGACGAGGGTGTTGGCGAAGGCGGGGGCGGAGAAGGAGGGATCGAGGAAGAGCTCGTAGTCGATGTAGGAGGGGTCGGAGGCTTCGGCCTGGTTGTTGGAGGTGGAGGCCATTGTGGCGGGTGGTCGTGGTACTGGGATTGAGGTTATAATGGCTTTGGCATTGGGACTATGGGGAAGTCGAAAATGGTGAATGTGTTGTTATTGTGTTTCTGTGTTACTGTGTTAACTAGCCAGGTACATCAAAGATTTGTGAAGCTGTCACTCTAACACACACAGACCAGGGACCATCGGATGAATTGTTTCGCCGCGATCCGGAAGTTTATGGAAGCTTGGACCATGGGTGCGTCATGGCTTTTAAGTCCAAACGGCTTCTCCAAAGATCCTAAAAGGATGGAATGGTACGAGTACGAGAGGGAAGTTAGGGTTCAGGACGCTATATATTAATTATCGTCGAGATTATTAGTAGAAACAAGTCTAATTATCTTCTATAATAATTGAGATTTTGAAGAAAAACTGCAGCGTTATCATACTGTACATACAACAGTTCTGCACCCAGCCAAGACATCGACGGGTTCCCCGGACTAGGCCTGTCAGTAAAGCCTATCATAGCTTCCCCGACGTCAACTGTCAACACAACCAGTTCCCGTGCCTGCACCTGGCATTTCCATCAACAAATACCTCCAGCATATCATTATCACCCCTAGCAATCCCTCCAGCTCGAGCAATGTGCTCAATCGAAGAGTGAATGCGATTCTAAGCGCGAGACGACAACACTCATCCACGCCTCCGAAGCTCCGTCATTGTTACCACCACCCCCACCCACCACCAGGATGCCTCTCTTCGACGCGCGCGACATCCTCTCCTTCCCCGGCGGCAACAACGCCAGCGACACCGTCATCGCGGGGATAAACTTCAATCTCACCACTCTCCAGCACTGGAACTACACCCTCTACTCCAATGGGACCCTCTCGAACAACTCAAACTGCTTCCTCACCTTCGAGCCATACACCCCGCACCTCCTCGCCAACGGCACATTCCTCAACACGACATCATGCTACAGCCCCTTAAACGGCCTCGGGAACCGTGCGAAGCCCGGCATAGCCCTAGGTGTCTTCTTCGGCCTCAGCCTCGTCTTCACAATGATCAACCTGCGCAAGCACGGAAGGCTCTTCCTGCCATCTGAGAAGCGCTTCCACGCCATCGGGCGCCGCTGGCAGTGGTACTGGATGCTCTGGGTAGCCGGATGCGGGATGGCCAGCGGCTTCACCAGCGTCGACGTCGACCGCTACTACCTTCCCGAGTGGCCACTGATCCTCAACTCCATCTTCTGGTACCTGATGATCCCCAGCACCCTAGCCGTCGTATGGGAAAGCGTGCGCCACTGGGGAAGTTGGCAAGAGCGCCAAGTCATCGACCCAGACCCCTTCATCCTAAGCCAAAACGACAAAAGAGGCCGGAGGGAATTCTACATGCCCCTCGTCTTCTACGGCTTCGGCTTCCTCGTGAGTCCCCTAGCCTGACCCCTACACCCACCCACCCCCAAAATCGAAGAAAAAAATCACGCCACTAACACACCCCCCACAGCACTTCTTCATGGCCGTCCCCCGCAACTGGACACCAATTTCCTACCAACGCTCCCCCGACCAAACCCTCCAAGTCGCCGCTCCCCAAGCGACAGACGGGCGCTTCAAAGCCGGCGCCGTGTTCCTCTTCTTCGCCTGGTGCACCATCCTCTTCTCCCTCGCCCACTCCATGCACTACTACACCCCGCGCCCCTCGCTCTTCCGCACCATCCTCTCCACCCCCCCGGCCTTCCTCCTCACCCTCCCCCTCTCCCTCACAATAGTAGCCTACCAATTCCTCTCCGCCTTCTCCTTCGCTCACTCCCCGCTTAACCTCCACGCTTCCCCAGCAATAATCTACCCCCTGGGATGGGCACCAATCGTGTTCATCTTCATCATCCACGAAATAGCGGGGTACATCCACCCCAACGAAGACCGCGAACTAATCCGCCAACGCCGCCTCCGCGGCCAGGAACTCGACCGCGAAATGGGATATACGCGCAAACCCCCCTGGTGGCGCCGGTTGAACGGCAACCAAAACATGACCGTGCAGCAAGCCCTCGCCCGGAACGCTCAGGAAGTCAGCGGTACCGCTCCCAGAACGGCGGATGGCTCGGTGGCGAAAGATGATGTGGAGATGTCGCCTATGCTGCCGTCGAAGCGAAATCTAGATCGCGAGGTGAGGATTGATAATACACCCGCTGGTCGCGCGCTAGCGCGTCGCGAGGGCAGGAAGGAGGCGGAGCTGGATGAGGCGCTGCGAGAGGCGGCGAGAGCGCTGTTCCCGGCGCCGGCGGAGAGGAAGAAGACGGATCCGGCGTATTTGATGAGTGATGATTTGGAGGATCGCGGACGGCCGGGGGTGGGGACGGGGGCGGGCGTGGGGGGGGATGAGAGTGGGAGGAGTGGGAGTACGGGGAGTGTGGAGTCGGGGACGACGATGGTGGGGGCGAAGCCGCAGGTTGTTAAGAGTATGTTGGATATTTAGGGTAAAAAGGGGGGGATGGGGTTGTGGTTGGTCTTGATTTGGGGGGTTGGGATATTGGGATTTTGGGATAATTAGGGGGTATTTGGGATGGGATATAACTATGGCATAAAATGGTACATACACGGCGGCGGTTATGGGCGTGGGCACTCGAATTCGCTTTTTTAATATATATTGATTCATATACAACTTCTATACTTGCATTTTTTGTTTAGCAGCTGTGTATATAATTTCCTCTCTTCAAAAAAAAAATCTAAGTTCTTCTGGATATGCTGAATATAAGTAAAAATTCCCCTCCCACTTTCTACGCGTAAGAAACAACCGCATTCGGCGGACATCATATCATGTCCATCTCTTTAAATAATAAACCCGCTCAAGCACCCCCCTCAACACCCTCCATCCTCTCCCCCCTCTCCCCCTCAACATCCCTCATCAACCACCCCATCATCCCCCACAACGCCCCCATAGCCTCAACCCTCTCCTCCGCCTTAAAAAGATCCCACCACCTACTCCTCCACACCGTCACTCCCACCTCCCCCTCCTCCCCCCCATTCCCATGCCCATTCACCCCACCCCCCCCCGCCCCCGCACACCCCGGCCCCTCCCCCTCCCCATCCAGTCCCTCCAACCCCACCAAAACCCCCCTCCCAACCCTCAACCTCGAAATCGCAACATGGTGATTCAAACAACTCACCAAGAAAACATCATCCCACTCCGCCCCCGGTTCGCGGCCTATACACTGATAGCGCGCTTTTCGGTCCCAGGTCGTGGAGGGGGGGCGGAGCTGGCGGTAGGCGTCGTAGAGGGAGGTGGTTTTGCGGGTTGTGCGGCGTTTTGGGGGGGGGCGGGGGGCAGCGGTTGTGGGGGTGGGTGAAGAAGATGTGTCGGGCAAGTCCGAGGAGGAAGCGGAGGGGGCAGCAGCAGCAGCAGCAGCGAGAGTAGGCGCAACTGCCATACCTTCTTCTTTCCCAATCGGCCCCCCCGGTCCGCCGCCCCAGCGCGGTTTAAAACACCACCATTTCTCCGGATCAGCAGGATCGTATTTCCGCTCCTCCCTCCCCTCTCGATTTCGCTGCTGGGCAGCTACGAAGAGCGCGGCCGTTTCGCGTGCGAGATCGAGGAGTTCATCGAGGGGTTTATCGAAGGACGTTGCGTGCCGTGCGGAGAGAGCGGCGAGGGGTCCCTCGACGATGCCGCCGCGGGCGGAGAGCCGGTCGGAGGGCGTGCGGTAGATGAAGGATATATTTGTTGGAAACGAGGATGGCGGGGAGGAGTTGGGGAAGCTCGAGTTTGGTGGGGGGGAGAGGGAGGGACCGATGTGCAGACGCGGCTCGACGCGGGGGAGGGAGACGTTGCAGCTGAAATCGTAAGCGACTAACTTGACGAATGCGGCGAGGAGGGCGGCGCGGAAATCGGGAGGGGTTTGCGACCCGGTGCCGGAGCGGATGTGGATTCGTTGATGTACGGGTTCCGGGGCGTCGTCGGTGGCGAGCGGTTCGGGACCGGAGAGCGAGGTGTCCACCCAGAAGCCGGAGATGAGCTCGAGGTTCTTGAAGAACTCGTAGGCGTTGCCGAGGCGCGCGGTGGGGTGGGAGGGGGTGGAGGGGAGGCGGCGCACGGTGCGGAAGGCGGCGGGGTTGGGGGTGGAGAGTTCTTTCATGCGCTCGGTGTAGGTGGAGCGGCCGGGGGCGGGGCGGCCGTTGTTGAGTGGCAGCGGCGGGGTGGGCGGGAGGTCGTCGAGGTCGTCGGGGTCGGTGTCGGAGGGGTCGGGGAGGGGGGTTGACCAGGACGAGGGGGGGAGGAAGGAGGGGTCGGGGAGGAGGGAGGTGAGGGGTGCGTCGGGGATGATGTGCAGGCCGAGAGCTTCGAAGTGGGAGAGTTTTATGTCGGCTGGCCGCTGGATGGAGCGGATGTAGGTGCGGAGCGGGATGTCGTGTGGTGGGGGGGTTGCGGTGCCGGGGGCGCGAGGGAGGAGGGAGGGGAACCGGACGGGTGTTGGGGGGGGGATCTCATGCGGTTGGCTTGGTTCGGATGGTGATGCTCCTGGAGGACCTGTGGTGTGAAACGTTAGATGGGTGCCAAGCGCGTTTGAAGGGAGTGCGGATGCGGTATGCCCGCTGTATCCGGTGACGGATGCGGAATTGAGGATATGCGACGGGGGGATCCCGCGGAGATGGAGAGGGGGGAGGCGCGGTAATTCATGGAGACAGATGGCGGGTGAGTGCCGCGCGAACTGGAGGCCATTGCGGCGGTGGGGGAGGGAAGGGGGGGGTATGGGGAAAGGGAGGGGGGTAGGCGCATCGGAAGCCGGGAGAGCAGGCCACGAGGAGATGGTCACAGAACGGATGAACTCTCGGGAGTACCCTTCTGTCTATGAATGCTATGGACGCGCATTTATAGGCCGAAGGGCGGGGGTAGGAGGTAAAGATAGAGACAGTAGAGAGAGGTTGGTATGACATACCTTGAGCGGCTCCCGCTCCCGCGCTGGCAGCTTGGAGTATACCGCTGAACATGGCTGCGGGGAAATGGGACAATGACAGCTGGCAGTAGCTCAGAGATTGGCTGTCAGACAGAGAAAGATAACAGAAGCAATAGAAATCTTTTGTCTATATCATGTCGAGTAGCTGTGAGTATATGGTATATAGTATAGTACAGCCAGAGAGAGAAGCCGTTTAAATGTTTTTGAGGGGGTGATGTTTGTTGTAGTTCAAGAGTGTGGGGTTGGGCGGCGGTGGTGGCTTCGGTGTGGGACGGTGGGATGGCCCCACACACAGACACTAAGGTGACAACACCTGTATAGTTGTATAGTGGGACGACAGTGGAAAGATAGTAAAGGACCGGATTGGATAGTTGAGGACGGTACAGGCACAAGACTGGACAGTTAAGGATAATAGCTCCGACCGGGACGCCGGTTCACATCCGGGGACGCACGAGAATGCCAGATAGGGCAATTTGGTGTAATATATGCTGTGCGATGTTGTGCGGTTCCGGCGCGGTTGTACCTGCAGAGGCAGGGAAGGGGCAGTAGTAATAAAAAGGGTATTAAGAATCACACACTTGAGTTTCAATGCTTCAAAGAAGGGGTTCTGTGTGTCTTCGTTGAAAATTATATTTATATATCCATTTATTATTAGAAAATGTAAATATAAATGTCCAGTGTATATAAATATCTTTGTGATAGTTTGGTTCCTGGCGTCGAGGTGGGGTAAAATGTGTGCACGTGACAACCAAGGTCGATGTCGGCACAGTAATTACATTTCTCCGTCTTCCCCTCCAACATCCACCAACCAACCAACATATAACCACAAACATCAACCTCAAAATACAGTATATTATACGTATTATATTCGCATCAACTGCTGCTCGGACTTGTCTTAATTATGTAGTATTATGCCGTCTCTACCAAATTTTCATCTCGTCGTTGTGTGCATTTTCAACCCATTTAACCTTCTTCAGGGGCCTGTCAAGGATTATCCAGGATGCTTTGTTTCTGATTCCTCAAGCGAGGAGTCAAAGTGCTTCATGTATGTTACATCAACGCTAGTATTGGCCAACGTCACCGCCCATCTGGCGCTTCTGAGACGCCATAGCCCTCATCATCCCCTCACACATCCGCCATCCGCCCTCGATGTGACAGCGGCCTGTGACACTGGCCTCTGTCCATGACGCTTCGTCTGCGGTCTTGGATGTCTGGGGCGTAACATGGAGTAAGTAGCATGTCCCATTAGCGCTGATCAACCAGCGTATCTCCCCATTTCCTTACTCTCACTGTTGCTCGTCTTCTCTTCTCGTCAACGAACATGTTTATGGCCTCATTTTGACCGGCCTGTGTGCCTTTTTTCCATTTCTCAGCTGTTATCGTTCTTCACTTCTCACATAGCGACTGGTCGCTCTTTCTTTTTTCATCATGTCCCTGCCGGCAGGGGGGTTTATCACGACTCGTGATGGGAAGCGATGCACTGCGGTCCCGAAGACGATCAAGAGCAGTTCGAAAACGAGCACTCAGGCGGCAACGACAACCCAGAGTTCGGACAATAACAATATTAACGACGGCAATAACAACGCCAATAACGATTCCGATGATGTGGCCACAACAACGGTGAACCCCGCGGCGAATGTTGTGCTAGGCTCTCCCACGACAATTCAAGATGCTCCGGCGACGACGACAGTGGATCCACCAGCAACAACAGAAGATCCAGTCATCGAGACGCCGAGTGACACTGTGGTTCCGCCCACCACAACGCCAATAGCGGAGATAGATCCAGCGGCAGTTGCAGCTCAATTTGGCGTCACATCATCGACTCCGATATCAACCCCGACGCCAACAGAAACGCCAGCGCAATCAGCTCTGGCGCAAGCAGTACAGCCTGACCCAGAGTCGGTGACGGATGCTCCAATTATCGCATCTGATACGGCAACATCTGACAGTACGACATCTGATATCGCAGTCGTACCAATTGCAACCACACCGCCTGCGGCAGACTCTGCTGAGAGCGACATTGCATTCCCCACCGACCCAGTGGTCCCGTCCTCGACCAACAATCAACAGCTGATAGCCGTCATCCCAACCGTCCTAGCGGATACGCCCACACCCACCGGTCCCGGTTCAGCCGCCGAGTCCGCAACCCTCGAAAGCTCCAGCCAAACCGGCAAAGTCGCCGTCGGTCACCTAGTCGGCGGCATCGTCGGCGGCATCTCCCTCATCGCCCTCCTCGGCTGCCTCTGGCTCTACTTCATGCGCCGCCGACGCCGCCGCGACACCCTCACGCCCCTCTGGGTGCAATCCGAAAAAGGCCCCCCAGTAGCCTACTACGAGATCGACAACGCATCCGTCGGCCCCACCTCCCTCGGCTCAAAATGGAAAGCCAAAGCCACCTCACGCTACCACGGCGTCGTCGGCGGCTTCACGGCGCTCTCCTCAAAGATGGGTCACAAGCCCAGCCCGAGCGTCAACCTCAACCGCGGGAACTCCCAATTCCTCGCCCCATCATTCTCAACGCACAGCCGCTCATCCTCCTCCATCTCTCATCCCCCTACCGCCCTCACCCGCCGCGAACGCGCGAGGGATTGGTGGGATCGCCTCACCGCCGACGCGGTATTCAACTGGGCGCTTTCTCGCCACACTAAGCCTACCACCGCCGACCCACCATCGCATTTCACGCGTTCCCGCTCTGCGTCGCCGTCTTCAAGGCATCAGTCACAGGATCTAACACAGTACCTCGCCTCCAAAGACCGCGAGATGCGCGATGCTGGCGCCGCTGCAGGTTTGCCTGCTGATCACCGCCGGTCCATCTCCCTCCCGCCACCTACACGCTCGCGCGAGGACCTAGGGGATGGGAGTCTCGGAATCGATTTCTCGGACCTAGGGAACCCGTTCTCGGACCCGGCGCCTACAGCTGCTACACGCACACTAGCACCCAACCCCTTCGCCGACCCCTCGCCCGCCGCAGCAGGAGTATCACGGCCCCAGCCATCAGTGGGAACGACGTACGTCGCTGATGTTCGGAGAAGTAGGGGACAGAGCTTCAGCACACCCCGCCGCGCAAGTATCCGCACCAGCCGCGAGCGCAGCAGAGATCGAGACACCATGCTCAGCAGCGCCACGACCAACACGCGTCGCGGCAAGGGGCGGAGCGATCCCTTCGATCTCGAGCGTCCGGAACTCCTCCGCGGTGTCAGCGCCGGGACGAGGGGGAGCGTGTTGAGTGATGTCCAGGAATTGCCTAGTTCGGCGGGGAGTTCGTTGAAGGGGGGTGTTGCTGGTGGGGGTGGGGGGATGATGATGGGTGCTGTGGGGGATGGGGGGGAGAAGGTGTTGGGGGTGGGGTTGAGTCATGAGAGTTGGACGAGTAGGTATAGTCGCGGGAGTAGTGCGGGGTTTAGTGATTGGGGGGATCCTGGGCCGGATTTGGGACCTAGGGGTGGGTATGGGGGGGTGGGGACTGCTATGTGAGGGTTGAAGGTATCTTTTTTTGGTAGGTGAAGTGTTGGGTTGGGTGGAGTGAGGGAGTTTGGGGGGGGTAGGAAGGGGCGTTGGGGTGGGTGGGTGGTGGGTGGTGTACGAGGGGTGTACTGTACAGTACGGCTTCAAGAGGAGGATCCTGGGGATGGGGAAGAAGGGGGAGAGAGGCATATCATCAGCACAGCATGTTTTTCCATTCGTATTAATTGCGCAAAGAATTATTTCTGTACTCTGTACTCGTGTCTCTCCCTATCATATCATATCCCATCCCATTGACAATGTCCATGTGCAGCCCAATGCAGCCCAGCTCCATATCCCCAACTTATGCTATGCACAACATAAAACCAACGAACGGGGTATCCCAAATATACAACAGCATATGCTTGCTCTTCTGTGCCCTCTCTTTCCTTCCCTCTGCTTTGCTTGCCCCAAGATGGCGTATTGGCAGATACAGTAAATAGAATATATATAAAAACGCACCAACACCGTGCTAAATGATTTCCCACCCACACCCCTTACCCAACCCAAGCAACCCAGATCCCTTCCCCTGTTCATTAAAACAACACCACTCAAAATATCACACTCACGGCGGACTACCCGCCGCTTCAACTCCAATCTCAAAAGTAGATACGATACACCATCCATCCCCTTCTCCACAAACACGCAAAAAGCGCCAAAGCAAAAAAAAAAAAAAGGCAACAACTACGGATAAGCGCCCCTAATCTTCGAAAACAGCGTCGTGTCGAGGAAATTATAATTCGGATCCAACTCGCAAAACGGATGCTGATTCAGCAACGTATCAGCCGTAGGCCTTTCACCCGGAGATCTGCATTCGTGTTAGCACATAACTTTCTAAGAAACCTGGGCCAGGGGAAATTTGGGGGGGGGGGGTAGACTCACATCTGAAAGCAATCAAGCATCAAGCTCAAAGCATACGGGCTAATCGCATCACCAACATCATCCGGAATCGGCGGAGCCTCATTCAAGCTCCCCAGTTTATACATCGCCCCCACAGCCTCCTCCTTACTCCACGGTCTGCGCCCGGCGAACATCTCGAGGACCACGCAGCCTAGACTCCAGATATCGACTTTAGCGCTGTATCCGTCGCCCTGGGAGCGGACGACCTCGGGTGCCATCCAGAAGACGGAGCCTTGCATGTTATTCGTCGCGTCGTTGCCGTAAATGTCATCTGTCTTCTTGGAGATTCCGAAGTCGCTGATCTTGCATGTCCCGTCGAGGTCGAGGAGGATATTGTCAGCCTTGAGATCACGATGCAGGATCCCCTCGCGATGAAGGTACGCGAGTCCCGAAAGCGTCTGTCGCGTCAGCGAACTAACGACGGGCTCTTCGAATTTTCCGTGCTTGCGTAGGCACGACCCGACACTGCCACCGGAGATGTACTCGAGGAAAATGCTGATAGAAGTCTCCTTGCGCTCGCATCCGAGGTACTGCACGATATTGACATGATCAAGGTCCTTCATGGTGTCGATCTCGAGGTCAAGCGCAGCAACGAGCTCTTTCATCTTATTCTTATCGTTTCCTGCTGCCTTGGCGCTGACTTCCACTTGCTTGACCGCCAGGAAGTCGCCGGTCGTGGCGTTCATACCCAGGTAGACGCGGCCGTATGTTCCTTTGCCGATGAGCTGGCCCTTGAACCAGCGGAAGGTGGCTTGGCGCTTGGGGATCGTGTCCTGTGGGATGCTGGGGAGAACCATGCTGCCTCGCTGCGGCTTGATCTGGACGATGTTCGCGCCGAACATTTTGGTGCTCTTGCGGCGAAGGATGGTAGATGGTGCTTGTCCGCCCTGCTGGGATGGCTGGGTGAAACGCTTGTTGGCCTCATGCGCACCTCTGGCAACGTCACGGATGGACTTCATTCTGCCAAGTCCGCCAGATCGACCGACGTTCCTTTGGGCAACACTCTGGATAGATGGCGGTCGACGACTATCGAGTGTCTTTAGAGTCGATTCGTCAGATCCAAGCGTATCGCCATTACTGTAATACGACTCCGGGCGGTCTTCAGGGATGGGAGGAGGTGCGTTTGTAGGCATGGTCATCTGCGGAGCACCAGAGCTTGTAGGAGATGATGGTGGAGACGGTCCATGCCCTTCTTCGAGGACAGGCTGGTCCAGATCGAGATTAGGGAAGAAATCGTCGAGGTGGTTAAACAGCGCCTCAGCGGGAGGTCTGCTTGCCCAGACATCTTCCCTCGCAAACGATCCCCGACGAAGAATCCTACTCATATCCTCAGAACCTGCAGAAAATCCACCCGACGCAGCGGACCAGTTCTCAGACAATGCAGAGCCTGGAGTGCGGCGTTGCGGCCGCTTCCCACTTTTTGAACTGGATGCTTCGTTTTGTAGTTCGGGATTCTGTAATTGTTCAGCTGTAAGCCAAGCGTCTTTGTCTCGTCTCCCGCTACGCGCACTAGCAGTATTGCCGTCGTCATCTCCCATGCGTTTTGGCGGAGGTTCGTATGTGTTCTCGCCGAAGCTAACTTTACTCTTGGTTCTAGTGACGACCTTCAGGGCAGGGCGTTTGTCAGTATTCCGCTGCTCCGCCTCAGCAGCGCCCGAAGTGGCATCGTTCGCATCACCCCCGGTAGCACGGTTGGGGAGGATCTGGAAGAGGCCATCGTCAGAGTCATCATCAGAATCATCATCCTGTTGCGCCTGCTGGGGCCGCTCAAAGGAAACATGAGCCTCGGTAAAGTCAACGTTGGGCCCGTAAGATTTGCGCTCTCCAGCCAGGCTCAAGCCACCGCCAGGGGTACCAGCACTGCTTGGGCTAACATCCACCGGCGAAACACCTCTGCGCAGTTCCTCTTGTCTAAATTTAGCAATAGCTGCACTTTGACCATCTAGTGGAGCACCACCATTCTCTTCAAGCTTGTAGTCGGGAACCATAAACGGCGTATCTCCCTTACCCCATGTCAAGCTGCCTGGTGTCCCACTTGATGACCTTGGGCTGTTCCGACCTGACGCCGAAGGGCCAAACTCAACCGTTGACATTGCTGATTTAGACTTGTCGTCGGTGGTATTTGCACCTGGACTTGGTTGGCTGACATGGAGCAGATGGTTGCCCATGCCAACAAGAGCTGCTCCAATGCCGCCACCGGGGGATGCCTTTCTGTTTCGTCCAGTGTCCTGAGGGAAAGTCTGAGTGCGTCCAGCTGACGTTGCTGGTCGGACCTCAACATTTACAGGCCCTATAAACCCAGCAGATTGAGCAGTCTTCTTGCTCAGTGAGTTGGCCTTGATCAACGTAGCTGACTCTCCGGGTGGAGGCGGTGGCTTTCTCTGCGGGTAGAGGTTGTCCACCTTCTTGTCTTCGAAGGGCGAGCCTCTTGGCTTGTCGAAGTCAACATTCCTCGTGCCTACAATGCCCGGGCTACGTTCTTGTGTTGGATCCTCTTCAAATGAGAATTCCTTGGTTGTCTTCTTCTTAGACTGGAAGGCGTGGTTCTTCTTCTCGGTTTCGGCCTTGCGGTTATGAGGCGGCGATGAGTTTGATCGGCGTCTTTCTCCATTTAACTGATTAACTTCATCGTCATTATATGAGCGGCCATGGTGCCCTGCTTCCTGTGGGAAGTTCGAACTCAGGCCAGCAGAATCAGGCGGGCGCAGGTGTGTGACTGAAGCTGGTGGGGCGCGCACGAGTATCTTTAATCCTCCATAGGCATCTGCTCGCATCTTTTTGTTGACAATCAGTTTACTGTCATCCAATGCCTCCTCATGGTCTATTTTCCCCAGCTCAGTCATGTACATTAGGGTATGGGCAACATCCTGAATCCCAAGCGTGTGACAGAAAATCAGTCGAATATCATAAGCAGAGTCGGCATCAGTGATATCGCAAAGTCGGTAGTTCAGCCCGTCCAAGGTTACAAGGACAAAAAGTCTACTGGCCGGATTTGGGCGCTTTCCACGGTACGTAGTGTGTGGGAATTTATCGTTCTCCAAGGCAGAATAGCTCGATGCCTGTCTATCAAGAGATGTTTCGCTAGCCGCTGCCTTCGCGTTATGGCCATATTGCGGGGCTCTGAAGCTAAGAGAGGGACTTGTTGGAGAGTCAAAGTGGTGATCGTCAGGCGAAGGTAGTAAGCCCTCTTCCTTCGGCTTGGGCTTCTTTCGCAAATACTTGAGGAAGCTTTTCGATTCTTTGGCTGAACTCGGTGCTTCGGATCTGTAAGAGCCAAATTCCGACTCGAGCGGCGATGGGCGTGTTCCTTCCTGTCCATGGCGTCGCTGCGCAGCAGCAAACCCTGCTTCGCCAACTGCTCCTGCCATTCCGGATCTGAAGGCCTGGCTAATCGCTGGAGAGACCCCCGACCCGTATATTGCTGTGCTAGACGAGACGGAGTCGGTGCTATTGCTAGCGCGGTGCCCAAATGTTGCACTATGCGGAGAAGCAGACAGCTTCCCTTGAAATGTGGGTACATGCGTCGCAAACGATTGCCCTGGGCTCCCGCTTTTTGGGCTGCCTTCCGTGCGTAATGCAGGTCCCATAAAATGCCCGCTTTCCGACATGTCAGCGCTCGCATTAGGGCTGTGTCTCCGAGAGGGGTCACTGCCATCAAGCGACTTCAACATATTCCGATGGCCACGACTATCTACCGGGCTGTCGTTCGAGTGATAGAAAGTGCCGGTGTAGTTCGGAAGAGTTGTGCTTCGATTCTGAGATGTAATGCGCTTTTCAACCCCTGGGCTCGGCACATTGAACATGGATTGTTTATCAGGGCTCTCGTCGTCGGGGTTGGCTGTGCTGGGAGTTGTCACGTAGGTTTCCCGCGTCATATTTGGAGAAGACCCTTGAGTGTGATCAGCACCAGCGTTGAACGAATTTGCAGAGTTTGATTCTCGTCGGCCGTGCGAAGATCTACCAGCAGGTTTTCCGGTGGTAATCTCGCGTATCAATTTGCGCATCCGTTTGCCCTCTTCTCGTTCCCGAGACTGGTCCCAGCCTGTTCCGCTGGATGAACATTGCTTTGCCAGCCGGGGGTAAACCTGCTGGTGCATCATACCGAAATTAGCACGTCCGCCGTGACCAGTACCAAGTTCAAGGAAAGTAGAGCCGTGCACTTCTAACGCCTTGAATGTCTCTTGCCAGTCTGCAGAGAAGTGGTTCTTAGCTAGCCATAATAAGACACGTTCCAACGGCCATTGAGCAGCAAGCTCAATTTGAGCCTGTGTCAGAGCCGGGGCAGCATTGGTATTGTTCATGTTGCCAGGCTCGGCTACTAAATCCCCTGATTGAGTTATAGTATTGCTTGGCGTTGCTGTTGTCGGTCTGGGGCCATACTCTTGACCAGGCACGTGCGTGTTATTTTGTCTAATTGTGGACGTTTGTGTCTGATACAGCCTCTCGCGGTCGTTGTAGAAGCTGCTTGGCCCTTCATCCATAGGTGTCGTTAGGCCGCTTTCTGTCGCAGACCGGCTAGTAGCTCGGGAGGTTTCTGATACGGCAGAGAACTCTGAGCCGTCGGCACTGCCGAAACCAGGGATTCCGACACCAACACCAAACGACAACTCGCCCGCGTGTGGGATATAGGTCGCTGACATCTGAGTTTCATTTGCCTGTTGTGTCTGAAGTCTGGTCAGAGGTGCGGCCATGTTCATCTGATACTGTTGACTCGGATTGTATGTTTGGTACTGGTTATTGGCCGATGCTTGTAGTGGGGGTGGGCCGGGATATTGTCGAGCATCATAGGCACGACCCCAGGAATTCTGCCAGCCACCCTGCATAGGATGGGCACTTCCAGGAGGCGGGGGTGGTGGAGGCAGCATCATCCCGTTTGAGTGCTGTTGTGGTTGTCCTGGTCCAGGCCTGGGTGGTGGCGGCGGAAGCGCCATCATATGGGTTTGCTGGATGGGAGGTGATTGTAAGGGTGGTGGAGGCGGCGGGACATACCCTCCCGGCCGCTGCCCTGGTTGATACATTGGCATATTCGGCCCTGCCCGCGTCGCTGGTCGATATGAGTTGCTGTTGTTCTCGATGGTATGAGGAGGAGGTGCTGTCTCGGCTGTAAGCGCCCGAGGTCGTCGTCCTGTGCCGGGGGGGTAGATAGAGCTCGAGGCGCTGAGGCTAGGATATGGAGATCCAGAACCGTGAGACGGTATGAGAAGTGAGCTCGGGCTGCTAGCAGCAGTATAATATGTAGGAACGTCGTTCAGAATAAGGTCGTTCGGGAATGCCCCTCCTTCATTCGTGGTCCGGGTCCCAGGTGAAGCGCTGCGGTTTATGTCCGAGTAGTTCGAACGTGTTGATGATGATCGTTGGCGGGAACTTGTCATCGCAATCCATTCATCGTCGGGGCCAGCAGTACCAGCCTTTCCAGCCTTTGTAGTTCAGACAGCAATGTCCTGAACGGCTGTTGGCATAGCACGATGCGGGTGGCAGCCGCGTCAATATTTGACAGCGCTGTTTGGAAGTCAAGCAGTGGCGTTTCGAGCTGCATGCGCCCTTTACCGCGTCGGCGAGTAGAGTCGCGTTTCAAGAAGGTGGTGTTTGGTTTGAATCGACTATGCGATCCTAATTCTTCGATGTGACCCTTCAGGTCTCGATTCGTTTGACAGCGATTGTTGTTGTTCTCCCGTTTACAGAACTGGTGAAGCCTCGCTACGAGCATACTTTGGGTAGCCACTCAGCTTCTGGGATACCTATGGTTTCTAGACCGTTAGGCGCTTTGACCCTTAAAAAGGTGCACACGGGGGTTTCCGTTCGCCCTAGGAAACGAGGTACAGGGCCTTAACTAAAATAAAAAATAATTTCGTCCCCAAATATGATATTTATTTGTGTTAAATGCTAAAATCTAATTATAAAAGACGGGTTATTTGCCCATCGTTTATTAGTCATATTTATATATAACGCGCCGTTGTGGTACTGTTTATTTGAGAGCTAGGGATTTTGGCCACGATAACTACGTAGTATTTGATATTTTTTGCTGGCTACCCACATATAAAACATATCCCATGAGCCACTGGCCAGCCACAGAAACCTAAATTCTATCACACGTCCTAAGACATTCCGATTCAAGCATTTTCATGTTTGTCTGATATGTAAGGAAAGACCTGCAGTATCAGCTACTGGCTGGTGCATCGTAGACAAGACCCCTGTATCATGCCGGATTTAGGTAGTTCTTGTAGGATTCGCCAACTACCGATCGATGACTTCATCGATAACCACCAAGGTGGGGTGGCACAATATGGATTTACGGAGATGCAGATGTACTACATCATTAACTTGCCAAATTCTCCAACTCTTTCAGTTCTTCTTTCCACACATTATCTGGAATCATAGTTGAAACAAACTCTCTTTGTCTCCAGTGAAAACCTAAGACAACGCGAAACTATTCTCAACCAAATTCTCATAACGGTCGACCATGTCTTCAAAACCCGAGGATATCCGGACGGCGGATCTGCACAAACCCGTCGACATTGCAGAGTATCTATTTACTCGCCTCAAGCAGATTGGCTGTGATTCAATTCATGGAGTCCCAGGAGATTTCAATTTAGTCGCATTGGACTATGTTCCAAAGGCTGGTCTCAAATGGGCCGGGAACTGCAACGAACTTAATGCTGGTACGTGCTGTACAGCTTCCCCAACCCATTCTATAAATACTAATAGATCATATTACAGCTTATGCAGCGGACGGGTATGCGCGTGTCAAGGGAATCGCTGCCATCGTCACGACATTCGGAGTCGGAGAGCTCTCGGCGATGAACGGAGTAGCTGGATCGTACTCTGAGCAAGTCCCAGTCGTGCACATCGTCGGAACCCCTTCGACGGCCTCTCAGAAAAATGGGATGCTCTTGCATCATACTCTCGGCAATGGGGACTTCAACGTCTTCTCCAATATGAGCAAGGAGATCTCCTGCGCCATGGCCAAATTAACCCACGCCGATGATGCCGCGTCGCTCATTGACAACGCTTTGAGGGAATGCTGGGTCCAAAGCCGACCTGTCTACATTGCACTCCCGACAGATATGGTGCAAAAGAAGGTCGAAGGCAAGAGGTTGCAGACACCAATCGATTTGTCATTCCCAGAAAATGACCTGGAGAAGGAAAAATACGTGCTTGATGTTATCTTCAAATACCTCTATGCCGCCAAGGATCCAATTATATTGGTAGACTCTTGCGCAATCCGCCACAGAGTTCTGAAGGAAACGCACGATTTTATCGAGAAGAGCGGTCTGCCCGTATTCGTAGCACCCATGGGGAAGAGTGCTATCAATGAAAGCCATCCCAACTACGGTGGTGTGTATGCAGGCGATGGGAGCTTGCCCGAAGTTAAAAAGCGCGTAGAGGCTGCCGACTTGGTCTTGAATATTGGCGCCATTAAGAGCGACTTTAACACAGGTAAGTTACCATTAAATATCACCTGTACGAGCTTTTCGAACTGACTATCCACAGGCGGCTTCTCGTACAAGACATCACAGCTGAATACGATTGATCTCCACAGCACATTCACTAAAGTCCGCTACTCCGAATACCCCGGTGTGAGCATGAGAGGTCTCCTTCGCAATCTCGCCAAGAGCATCGACACAACGAAGCTTACCAGAAGCGCAATCCCAGTCCCTGTGCCCAAAAACAGAGTCGCCGAGAATAGCGGCAGGTCCGAGATTATAACACAGGCAATGCTATGGCCTACCGTTGGAGAATTCTTCGAGGAAAACGACATCGTCGTGACCGAGACTGGTACTTCCAACTTTGGTATTTGGGAGACCAAGTTCCCGCCTGGCGTCACGGCACTGAGCCAGGTGCTTTGGGGCAGTATCGGGTGGTCCGTTGGTGCTTGCCAGGGAGCAGCTCTTGCGGCGGTAGACGCAGGTGGAAAGAGAAGAACGATCCTCTTTGTCGGCGATGGCAGTTTCCAGCTCACTGCTCAGGAAGTGAGCACCATGCTCAAATTGGATTTGAAGCCAATTATCTTCATCCTTTGCAACGATGGATACACCATCGAACGGTTCATCCATGGGATGGATGCCGAGTACAACGATATCGCGACCTGGAAGCACAAGTCCCTTATCGATGCCTTCGGCGGTGCTGCGAAGGGAGCGAGGACGTACCAGGTTAAGACTCAGGACCAGGTGAGGGAACTGTTTAATGCCAAGGAGTTCAAGTCTGCGAATGTTTTGCAACTGGTGGAAGTTTTTATCCCGAAGGAAGATGCTCCAGGGGCTCTCAAGATGATTGCGGAGGCCAGTGCGAAAACAAATGCGAGCTAAGTTTGAAGTATGGGAAACAGTAGGGTATTAAAGGTTGAAAGTAACCTGTAACGTAAAATAAAAGTGATCTTTAAGTAGTACAGCTAATTAATGCTTGAGTTATGAAATGTTTTTGGAATATGGGATAAATTGTGGAAAATAATTGAAGTTAAATAAATATTGAAGAAACAAACACGGTATTATTAAATGTGGCTATTCTTTCGCATTTAAAGGGAAAACCAGCATTAAAATCATTATAATTTAATTATCATACAAGAACCAAATAGAAACAAAGGCAAGTATATCGTAAATGAGAAGGTAAAGGGTTGTTATTAAAATATTTGTCTCTTCCTAATTTGACATTGAGCGACGACGTCGTCACAAAAAAATTCGCTTGTTTATATATCGCGGAAAGCGTGATGGGGGAAGCACCTGACTTCCACCGACATCGCCACATTTTAACAACCACAAAATGGCCGACACTAATAAGCGGAAGTCAGGCCCGGGAGATAGCAGAGATGATAAGCAAGGCAAGAGAAGCAAGGTATGTGTTCTGATTTTCGTTTCGTTGTCTAATTCTCGCTGGTTCATTTGGGCGGCATTTGGTCGGTGTTTGGTCAATGGGACGACGATGCACGTCGCCCAAGTCGAACAGTGTCAGGATAATATGCAATTGCGACTCAGTTCTTTGTCTATCTCAGCGGGATTCGGCGCTGTATCCCGTGCCACGGCACACTATCTCATGAGTATACTGACATGATCGCAGGGCGGGTCAGGTGGAAAATGGCAAACGCCACACCAGAAGAGCAAAGCTAGCACTCCACGGGGCGGTGGGAAGATTGAGCCTGGCGATGCGGGAATCTGGGCTACCTGCATGAAAAGCAAAGAAGGGAAAGCTACAGAGGAGTTGAAGAGCCTCTTTGAACATGTAAATTCACGCGGCACGAATTGGCCTGGCATAGCTGACCCCCCATCTAGTCTGCGGAGAAGTTCTACAACATCTCACCAGTGAAAGAAGATGAGGATGAAGATGAGGATATCGAGGCCTCCATCCGGAAAGAGATCAGCGACATGGCGGCGACGAAGGATGCGCCAAAGTTGTTCCAGCCCGTCTTCCTGGACGTGCAGTGTGTGTTGTTCTTCAAGCTACAGCCCGCAATTGAGCCCGTCGACTTCGTGCATCGGATATGCGAGGAGGCAGCGAGTAACCCCACTGGTAGGAAGCACAGGTTCTTGAACAGGTTGACGCCAATGACACGTATGGGCCGCGCGACGCAGGCCGACCTGGAGGGACTAGCTAGGGAGGTCCTACAGAAGCATTTTCGGCTAGTGGATGGAGACGGGACGGAAGGGAAAGCGGGCGAGAGTGATGCCCAAGATTTCTGCTCGGTAAGTTTTTTTTGATTCAGCTTTCGTGGTTCTAGACATGCGTGTTGGACTGGTTCCTTTGAGGCAATCATGGACGAATCTGGAGTTTATAGCGATTGATGCAGGCACACGTGCTCACATCGTATGCACTCTGGAGGAGACATCAATTCTGACACATCACAGTATGCGATCCGACCAACAATCCGCAACCACAGCCTCTTAAAGCGTGATGTTGTGATCAACACTATCGCAAATCTCATCGATAAGTCCCACAAGGTCTCGCTCACTAACCCAGACAAGGTTATATTGGTCGAACTATATCAAGTAAGTGACTCCTCCACTGCCGGCATACCAGTCACTTGCCGTCGATCTCATCCCTAGCTTCGTCGCGCACTCCGTTTGGCAGCTCGGTTACACGATGTGAGAGCTACGCGATGCGATGCCCTCAGGGTCCATACTATAGCTCCGCAGCTACATGCATGCTACGATTTCGCCTCGGCTCAACCACAGAGCTGACTTTTGAATTACAGAACGTTTGTGGTATAAGTGTTGTGGGAAGCGATTGGGAGACACTTAAGCGCTACAACCTCAATGAAATCTACTTGCCCACTCCAAAACCGGGGCCGGCGGCACCTGTAACAGAGGGGGTTCCTGCAGCCGCACTTTCGGCGCCAGATCTGGCAACGAAAGACGAGACACACGTGGCCGATGAAAATACAGTCGCGGAGCCGATGGCGGCGGCACCGTAGGGAGCGGTATCCCTCTAGCTATATTGACCCCGCACTCATGCATACAATGGAGCAGTATATAGCTGAAATGCACCCCTTACCTAGTTCTCAAATCCATCGTGAAATCCAAATCAAACCCCGCAAGCGATTGCGATAGCGATTCGAGCCCGTGCTGCTCCCGCTGCCGCGGACAGCCGGTGTCGAACCCTGCTCGTCTATTGTAATCAGTGCACCTAGGCTTTGAAAATAGGTCTGTTTCAAGATGCGGTCTTCTATTTCCATGCCCAAAACATGACTGCTTCGGTCCGTCGGCAACTAAAGTAGCACCCCTCAGTTGCTGCAGGCTAAGGGCGCAGACCCCGACGCGCGTCGATCGCTTTAGATTGTCGCACCCCAGCAGCTGGGCCATATTTGGTGTGCAATGCGAGGGGTTCCGATCCTACGTCCTCGTCTAAGCAAGGCTACGCACTGTAGCGCATCTGATAATGCCCGTTACGGTCAAGGCGCGAGGGGCCATGATGCACTGTCAGTTTCGCTATAGCCGTTTGAGACTCGATAATGCAGTTTCGGGAACTAGCTGTCTTTGGGCATCAGTGTACGATTCTGTGCCTACTCGCGTAGGTACGCGTACGCGAGTTTGTTAAATCCTCTTTACTGGCGGTGAGCACATTTGCGGACCAGACACCGAAGATAAAATACTGATATTTAGGTCCATCCAAAGTTTATCCATTCGCTTACAATCCCCGAATCGAATGGCGACCGGGAAGTGTCAACCGAGCTAACCGCTTCGCGGCAATTTTGACGAGGCTATGTAACGTGTGATGAGCTTATATGAACGGAGCTTCGTCCCCAGCTTTCTGACCTCTGGGAGCCGTTTCGGGTGAACATTCCTCTTTCTGGGTAGATTAATTCGCAAGTTCTTCCGTTAATTTCTCACTTTTTTCGGTGAGCTTCTACAAGCTATTACTGGATGGGGCGTGTTTTTTTTTGTTTTTGTTTCGTCGGATAAGGGGTTATCGTCGGCATCCCATCCCGATCAACTAAGTGAGAGTGGGAAGAGGCTTTCAGCCACTGTCATGGAGCCCAGTGATGCACCGGAGGTAGTTCCGGATGTAGCATTTACGGGTTGTCAGTCCGTATTTTCTGTGCCGCCACCAAGCTACCAGCCGAGCCGATGGGTGGAGTACTCATGATGGGATGGAAAATGCTGCTGAGGTGAGAGGACGAACGCGGCGCCATACGGCCAAAAGAGCACGTTAGAAGCAACAGAAACGTGCTTCTAGAATACATTCGCTTATCTTAGACGTCCCATGCTTGGTGCTTCGCTATTCCCGGGCGTCTGATATGGAAGAAAGGACTCAGCAGGGCTCATTATCCCCGTCATCTCTCCCACCCAATCCCAATAGCCATATTCAGCCTTCTTCGCTAACTGACACGGCGGCCAAGCAATTCGTCTTGTTTCAAGAGGCGGGCGATGTGAACTTAACTAGTCTCCGCTAGCTAGCTTCGGTCTTGGGTCAACATCGCACCACCCCTCGGGTCGGATATACTCCACGAAGAGAAATTTCGCGTCTTGGAACCTCAACCACAAACGTGTGCGTATGAGAATGGAAAGAGGCCGGGTAACGAGTAACCCATCTGCCGTTGCTGAAATGGTGCTCGCTTGCAGTGATGGATTCCTGGATTGATCAGCGTGCAGGATTTGCCCGGTGAATGAGACATAAGCACGGAATTATATTTGAGATATTTCCAGAGTTGCATCGCTGACTGGCCTACCTCAGAAATTTCCAGTAGCCCCTCCAGCTGCCAAGAGCCTTACAACACGGCATTTGTTATATCTTGGCTTTCTTTAAAATCGAAGCAACTTTCGATGGAAAGTGTAGCGGAATTTCACATGTGCTTCTATCTGTTTCTGGACTCCAAAACTTCTCTAGTAGAAGCTAATTATTGCACTTGCTGGGTGCAAAAGAAGCATATGAAAGTGGATATTCGCTTTTAGACAGTTCCCCCCACTACCCGCTTCCTCAGATCCTCCACCTCCTCCACCTCCTCCACCTTCGCTAATCCTTACGTCATGAGGTAGGAGGTGGGTAGGCAAATTAGGAAAATAAGCCCTTACCAGCAACTGAAGCACACCCAGGCCCCAATGGCGTTCATGGCTGGACGGGCCCAAACCCACGAATAGGACAACGCGGCGAGCGAGACCATGACACGCTGCCGAGGATAGTCCATATTCATTCTCCCGCGACGGGATCTCACTCTCTCTAGACTGAGTATAAGCGAGGTGAGCTCCCCTTATGTGGCTTGCTCCTACTTGTAGCTGAGCTCAAATTGCTGTTGTGATAATGTGCGTAGCATCTCACTGCATATCCACGTTTCTCCAGCCTGCCTTCAAGATCGTAAAGTAGGGATTCTATTCGTCTACCCAGCAAAACTCCGGGGCATTTTGCGGAATTTCATTTAAGGGACCCTTTCTCTCCTGGATCAAACGCTCCCCGCTTACTGCCGCGTGGTCGATCTCCTCGGAGTATGTCTGGCGTACCTGCTCGTACTTTCGTCTCGAATCTCCCGAAAGAGCGAAGAGCGCCGGGGGCCCGACGATACAGCCACATTTGAAGCGCTTTCTTATTTAGTAGGATTTGCAGTGGCTCTTCGCTTGATGGCACCATTTGGGATTCAGCGTCTCCGCTGATACCGCTCACACATCTGATACCGGCGAAGTGGCCGCAGGCCCGGTCGGAGGCAGGGAGAGAGATATTACTCTCATATTTGGCTGAAGCTGCCCTTGTCAACACAACCCTTGAACTATTCACCCCTACGTTATTATTCTCCGTATAATATGGAGTCTCCATGCTATCATGCTGATACTGGTTTGTATACCGTCAAATATTGTGCTCCCGCGTCAAGGTCGAGTTTCTTACCGACATATTCTTCAAAAGCCGGTCCTCGACTATCAGCAATGTATACGCTGCCGATACTCCGCCTCAAAGGCGTTGTAGGGCAAATTGTACCAGATGCTACCCTCGAGTCCGTCCATGAGATCCCGTCAACACATATTACTCGCCTTTATACCCTGAATATATCTGGCTCTCGGCAGCTTCTCCTGTCTCTTCAGCCGTCATTAGCAGTGCGTCTGCTTCGAAACGAGCAGTCACTGATGTTATGTGAGGCAAACTTAATACAATACTTGAGCAAAACGCCAACTGGCAGTACCATAAAATCGCCGCCTAAAGAAGAAGGCCCAAATGGTTCACTATTGTCCTCGTTGATACCCAAGATGCTAAAACATTCTTCCAACACCAAAGAGATGGGCTATCCATATACCATCTTCGAACAAGTATCAGGATCCTCATTATCATCCCAATCTATCTACCTCACAGTGTCGGAACGGCGTCACGTCGACAACCAAATCGGGAAATTGGTGAGGGACTTGGCGTTAATAACATCGCCGACAGGTACCTTCGGCCCTGTCCTTAAAGTATGCGGGGATCCCTCCGCGCAGGGTGCATCTCCTGGTGCGGGCGCTGGAGGAGCAGAAACTTGGCCCCTTGCTTTCGACGCACTCGCAGAAAGCATTCTTCGAGATGGAGAGGATATGTCGGTGTTGCTGCCATACGAAATCATCAGACGACAATTCTCTCGACTGTCTTGGCGACTCAAAGCAGTGACGATACCAAGGCTAACACTACCCGATGCGGGAGACGACGCGGTTGTGTTGGTGGCAAGGAGGTTGGAAGAAGGGCTGTCGCCGGAAGACTCGGTGCGAGTCACTGGGCTACGACATTGGAGCCGTGGCGTCTTCGGCGATCCGTTAATGTCGAGCTGCTTTGAAAACCCGAGCGAGGGGTTCTCGACTGGGTGGAAAGGAGGGGCCGACGAAGATTTAATAGAAGACCCGGAAGGCGCCAACACACGGATGATGTTATATCGATGCTACAGAGCCATCATAGATATAGTGATCGAATATTACCGCCCACGAAACGAAAGCAGCAGATTCGAAATGGACGCGAGGAAAAGGCTGACTGGTGTGCTCACGGAGTTGGAAACGGTCGACATGGAAGGCAACCAGACACCGAAACGAAACAGGACAGAGTCTATGGCGGCTGCTGATATGACTATGGTGAAGAAACTCAAGATGGAGAGCGATGAGGAGTAACATATTGGGTATTGAAAAGAGGCGTTTTCGTGGCGGAGGCATTATATACCCATAAAAGATAGAGGAAGGGGCGTACATAGATTGGATCATATTTGGAATTAACTACTTATCACGACTGGCCAGTGAGTCGTCCTCATCACGAGGAAGTTTCATACCCATCATGCCCATGATATTGCCACCGGGTCCAGCCATTCCAGCCTGGCTCTTGAAACTCTCCAGCAGATTCTTGGCTAGATTGAAGTCGATGTCGACTTCTTCATCGCTTTCATCCTCCCAATCCTGTTTTCCGAGTAGGTCTTTGCCCTTCGATCCTCCTGAAGCTTCACCTTGCAGTGCTGCTGCTTCCCTTGGTTTATAATCGAGTTCCAATGCACCAGCTTCCCGCAGCTCGGCGCCAATTCTCTCCATGACCTTCGTAATCTCCTCAGCCTCGTCCTCCTCTTCTTCATCATCGGAGTCGAAATCATGCGATTTCCCCTTAGCCGCATTCACATTGTCCCCCAGATCAGGAGCAGGTACCCCCATCATCTCCCTCATCATTCTTGCAAACTCCTTGGGATCAAATGAAACATTCTCATCTCCATCTTCGTTTTCATCTTCGTCCGAATCATCTTCGTCATCGTCATCGTCGTCGAAATCCATGTCATCCATCTCTGCCCCGTCTACTCCGGCATTATCGTCGTTCAAAAATGACTCGAAGCGCTGCACCATCTTTTTTAAATCCTCCTGAGTTTTCGCATCTCCAAACCCAGAGGGCGCACTTGGTCCAGCAGACCCTTCAGGTACAGTGCCACTTCTCTCGCCTTTATTACCCTGCAATTCCTTCTCAAAGTCCTCAAAGTTGATATCCAGCCAACTTTCATCATCCTCTTTCATGCTGTTTGCCCAGACTTTGATCTCGGCATCCGTTGGTAAATCCTCTCCTTGGGAAAGATCTTCTATCAATATCTGCATTTCGCGAACAGAGCGGTGGTCGCGCTTAATGCTATCAGTAACCAACATTTCGAACCCGGAAGTAATCTTCATCCCTGTTTCCAACCTTAGCAAGTCCGCCAACTTTGTTGGATCAGATTTGGCTTTTGTTTCGTTCTCTGAAAATATTGGCTTCCATGCTCGTGGAACTTCAAATTGCTGTGACTTTATCTGAGCGTAGAGGACCTTCGTAAACTTTACGCTCACGGTAACCAGGTCCTCTGGTGGGAATACCAGGCCTGAAGATGGGCCGTCAAGTGGCTTTAGGCCTATAGGGTCTCTCAAATAAAACGCCTCGACTGCGGGCGCAATAGCCGCGGGGCAATTGTGAATGATGAAGGCTAATTTTCGAGGTATCCTCGTGAGTGCAGAGTGGATTGAGTTAGAGATTTGAGCAGGGTAGTTCCGTAAACGGAAAAAGGCTTCTGTTTCCACAAGGGGCGAGTTTATAATAACATTTGGCGAGTCCTTTATTACGTCAAGGGCTTCTTGAAGTTCCAGAGGCCGCGAGACAGGATTAGTTTTGGCGTTGGCCGACGCCGCCGTGGCGGCTGCGAGAGGAATGATCCGTAATTTTTGGTTATTAATCCACACCTAGAGATTAATTAGATGGGTTGTGGAAACCGAAATAAAACATCACATACCCTATTATCTGCAATCTCTGGATTGAGCCACCTAGGAAGCGCGTTTGCGGCCTCAATGAGTAGGAATTCCCCATCAGTATCAACGACTTTGACCCATAAGTCTGGAAACTGCTTGGTGAGTTCGCGGAGAATATGCACAATCAACCACTCGTCCTCAACCGAATCGCCATAATTTGTTAGACCGCGAAGGTGCATTAATCCTTGGAAAGTTAGTAATTGTGGCGGGGTAAACCATCAAACAAGGATCTCACCAGACGATTGCTCCAGCTTCAAGTTAAAGTCATCTCGTTGCCATATATAATCTTTCAATAGAGCCCCTGTCAGCTTCGTTGCTTCCTTTCGGACAAGTTCGAGGCGAGCAAGTACTTCTTTTTGTGCCAGTGATTTGTCGATGATGAAAAGAGTATATTCCACAGAGTCATCAGGAAGTCTTTTTGGAAACCCATCAAAGCCTTCCCCGAACCATTTCAAATCATCTTTTTGGCCGTCCATGACTTAATTAGAAGCACACGCTTGCCTGCGTGTAATAGTTCGCAGTTGAGGCGAACTGGGGGAGGCGATGTCATATGAAATAATATTGTCAGTAAACGGAGGGATGCCCCACAATTGTGACGGAGAATTTAAGGTTCGGCCGGGGCATCTGCATAATTGCCTGAGGCTGCCAAGTGGTGATGTGGATGTAAACAAAGACGCGAAACCTGCAACTACTCAAAGTCGCGATTACTACCAACTTTTAAGAATACTAACCCCACGATTCAGTATTTACGAACTGCGACCGGCGTTCATGGCTACAGCACTTGGCTTATTATATTTCAGTACCAACGACCACATTGCTATATTTTACCGTTAACGGAGCTCTAAGAGCTTCTTAATTCCCCACCATGGTACAGCCGGGTATTGGGCTCGACACGCCTCGAACAGCTATTGGAGATGCGACATACCTCAACAACCCCGATTTCGACATATCTGAAGAGCAGTCATTTCAGTCGCCTTCGAAAGATAACAATAACCTCGTCCAGCAATTACAAAATGGCCGCCGAGGCATCAACCTGAAGACTCCACGGAGTCGCGCGCCTTTTGGAGACAGGCGCAACACAAATAACAACGGCTTCGGAGGAGAGTTCACACCTTTGCTGAAAAGCGCCACTAGAAACAATGCTCTGAAGTTGGGCAAGGAAAATGGCGTCCCCAGAACCCCAGCATTCCTCAGGGCCGGTGGCTTGGACAACATCGCGGAGGATTTAAGCCCAGTGCCGAACATGGACTCAACGTACGCCGACTCGTATGCGAGTGGAACGCCTATACCCCAGATTGATAGCAGCAGCCTCGCATCGACACCGCTGGCTATGTTGCCGCGGCGGGCTGAAGGAGCGAATGTACTTCAAGACGGCAACCAGCTCTCACTGCGTGAGCAAGAGAACGTGATCGACAAAATCGAGAAGGAGAACTTTGGTTTGAAATTGAAGATCCATTTCCTGGAAGAGGCGCTACGGAAGGCAGGACCAGGCTTCAGCGAAATGGCATTGAAGGAAAACACGGATCTCAAAGTGGACAAAGTCACCATGCAAAAGGAATTGCACCGCTATAAGAAGACATTGACTACGGCAGAGCGCGACCTTGAGTCCTATCGGCAACAAATCCTGGATATGCAAGAGAAGATGAAGCGGAGGCACGCCGATGAAGGCGCACAAGAAGAGCTGGACCTTCTCCGCCAGGCTTTACACGACAAGGAAATTGAAGTACAGGATCTCCAACAAAAACTCGAAAACTCAGCAGATCAAAACGAGGACGCGCAAAAGTTACGGGACTCGGTCACCGACTTGGAACACGATGTTCGCGAGAAGGAACGCATGATAGATGAACGAGATGACCAGATTGATGACCTGAAGGCTCAAGTCAATGAGCGCGACGACGAAGTCGTGGAGCTGGAAGAGAAGGTCAAGGCAGCGAAGCGCAGAGAGATTGAGCTGGAGGAGAAGGGCCAATGGAACGACGAGCTTGAAGAGGCCAAGGAAACCATTTCAGACCTCGAACAAGACATCAAACGCCTCCAAATCGAGCTTGATGATGTCAAGGACAACCGCGAAGAATTAGCCTCTGAAAAGGAACGCGCTATAGCAGACCTCGAAGAGCTTCAGGATGAATTGGCAAACAAGTCCATCACAACAAAGGGACTTAGTCGCCAAATCGAAGAGAAGGCCAACCGCTTGCAGGACGACTTGGAGGACCTTCGTGAAAAGCATGAATCGCTGGAGCAGGAGCACCAATCGAAGATCCAAGAGGCGGATAGGCTGCAACAGAGAATCACAGATCTTGACCAAAGCGGAAGTGCCAGGGAAATTAAGCTCCGGGAAGAGTTGGATTCGGCTGTCAAGGATAGAGATCATGCAGAAAGCCAACAGCATGCGCTCGAGGCCCAGCTGAAATCTATCCAGACTGAGCTCCAACACACTACAGATCAAAAAGATCTCCTCCAAGTCCGCCACGATGCACTGACTTCCGAATCCGCTCAGCTCCAGACGGAGCTGTCGCGAGCGAAAGCTAGAATCGAAAATCTTGAAGAGGATCTACAGAGCGAGAAGTCGTTGTCGCTACAGAATGAGCGCGAGGTCAGAGAACAATACAAATCGGAAATCGATCGCCTGCATGACGAGATTGAAGATCTTCGTGCTGATGTTCGAGAGAAGGAGCGTTTGTACGATGACGATAACGACAAGTGGGAGGGCGAGCGAAGAACCCTTGAATCGCAGCGCGATCTAGCAGAAGAACAAGCCGACGGTCTAAAGCTTACAATTGAGAAGCTGCAGAAGGTTGAGGGTACTCTTTCTGGCAAGGAATCGAAACTACAAGAGGCTGTTTCCCTTGAGAAGGAGAGGCATTTACGCGAAGAGGCTCTCTTGACGAAGCAAATCGACGAGTTGACCTCAGATCTGCAGCTTCGCCAAAACAGCTTGGACGAGGCTCGATCGGAGCTCTCCAACGTGAGAGAGGAGTTGCGACTCAGCCAGCGTGAGCACAAGTCTCTTTCCGAGAAGATTGAAGCTCTGGAGGATGAGATCGAAGTACTTCAAACTTCCTTGGATGAGGAGAACGACAGGGCGCAGGTTAATCTGGAGACTGCCAAACACGAGTCGGATGCTCTTCAACAGCAATTAGAGCAGCTGAAACAAGATGTTGCAAAGGTCGAATCCAAGTCAAACTCAGCTTCGATCCAAGAGCAAAGCTCATCTCTCAAGGCTCTTGAGACAAAGCTCGCCCAAACCACCAAGAGCGAACAGGCCCTACAAGACCAACTTGCCAACATCAACCTCGAGATGCACTCTCTCCGCAACCACTCCAACGAAGTAGAAGCCGAGCGCGACGAAATGAAGAGCCAGCTGCGCGACCTAAAATCACAAGACGACACCTTCCGCGCCGACCAAGAGAAAATCGATCTCCGCACCGCCAAAATGAAGCTCGACGTCGAAGTCCGCCGTCTCCGCGACGAGACCCGAGTCCTCTCCGAGCAAAAGACCATGATCGAGATCGAACTCCAAAGCGAGCGCGACCACGCCGACGCCGACCACGCCAATTTCCAACAGCGAGAAACCGAGTACATCCAGCGCGAATCCGCGACCAAGGAGACCATCCGGACCCTAAAACGCCAAATCAGCTCCCTGGAGCGCCAATCACACAACCTAGAACTCTCCATCCTCCAAACCTCCTCCCCCCACTCCTCCCCCAACGGCGGCTCCGCCCACAAGAGCGAAATCCTCGAAGTCCGCTCCCAGCTTGCCACCGCCCACCAAACCCTCAAAGACCTGCGCGCGCAACTCAAGGAAACCGAACGCGACGCGGCCAAGAAATTGACGTCTGCACACCTAGACCATCAATCCCAAGCCGCAGAATGGGATTCCGCCCGCTTCACCCTCGAGCGCGACCTCTCCGCCGCTCTGTCCGCCAAATCAGCACTAGAAGCCCAGGCCACGGCTGCGGAATCCACGGCTGCGCGTCTGAAAGCTAAGATTGCACGCTTGGAACAGGAGTTACACGCTGAGCGCGCGACGGCGGAGGGGGATCGCACGATGGCGCTCGAACGACACGATCTGCACGAGATGCTGAGGGAGACGCAAATCCAGGCCGATAAACTCGAAATCGCCGTCCAAACCCGCGACGCGTCTCTCGCAGCTCTAACAACCACCGAGTCCTCCCTCCGCGCACAGTTGAAGCGCATTCGTGAAGAACGCACAGCGCAGAAGGAGCGTGCTAGCCGCGCTATGGGTGAGCTTGAGGCGCTGGAACGCGAGTTTAGGGGGGCGAAGAAGGGGTGGGAGGCGGAGAGGCAGGGGTTGACGAGGGGAGTTAGGTTTGCGAATTCGTCGTCTGTGTTGGAGGGGGGCCAGGAGGCGGAGGTTAGGCATACGAAGGAGCTGAGGGGGTTGGCGATGCAGATTGAGTGGCTTAGGGCGAGGTGTAGGCGCGAGGAGGGGTTGAGGGCTGATGCGGCGTATGCGAAGAGGTTTATGCTGCTGCAGGTTGAGTTGTTTGGGGCTTGGTATGTTTACTCTCCCTTTTTTTTTCTCTCCTCCCCCCCCTCCCACTTGCACATTTTTTACCTCGTCGCGGACTTGTCACACATCTACACATACCCCAGGCGAAGCACACAACCTAACGTTAGAACAGCAACCAAGCAGACCTCCAAATCCTCGCCCAAATGGGCATAACACCCGACCGCACTGTCCTCCCCCCCCGCCCCTCTCTCCGTCGCGTGGGCTGGATGGTCATAGCCTGTGTGCGCATGAAGCGTGGCGCGGAGGCGTGGGCGAAGAGTAGGAAGGTGCATGAGAGGATTGTGGGGAAGTTTGAGGGGATGAGGAGGGCGAGTTCGGGGAGCGTGGTGACGGGGACGGGGAAGGTGGAGAAGGGAGCGGAGAAGGAGAGGAGGAGGAGGAGTGATGGGCCGTCTTCTCCGGCTGTGGGGGTGAAGAAGGAGTCGAGGAGGGTTAGTGAGTTGAGGAGGGAGTGGTAGGGATGTTTGTGAAGAGGGATAGCATGTTGAAGTGGCGTATGGGTTGTGGGAGGTGTTTTATATTGTACGTTGCTGTTTGATGTCTATATGGCTGGCTGGCGTTTGGATGGATGGATGGATGGGTGGCGTGCATACCAATTAGCATGTTGATTATGAAGTCGTTTTTGTTCGCCTTTCTTCCTTATTATCTTGATCTTCTGTTCATGTTCACTTTGGTGACCTATGACGCACTCACTCGGACTACAGATAGCATGGTTCACTTCATCGACACAGCTTAACTTCAGAAATGACAGGGTAAGTAGGTACACCAGTAATGTCCTCGATTCCATCTACGCTACCAAACAGACACCACGCTGCACGGCGCTATACTGTACGAGTAGGAAAACCCAGGCATCATATCACATCGCAACGCATCTAAATCCAACGAGAAAAAAACAACGCAGCGCGCAAACGCCAGCCCTTTCCTTTCCCTTCCTTCCCAGTCCATCATATCCTGAAGACGCTTGAGACCTTGAGACCTTGAGACTGTACGACGATTTTTTGAGTATCAGAGTTGTCATTTGGAGATGACCTGTGCTTCGTTCTATTCCCCGTACACCCGCCATTCTTTTCTTGGCGCAGTGAGGGAGGATAACCCGTGAGAGGGGGGTTTACATGACGAAGAGGAGGTTCGTGTCTATTTCCACCATTAGCACTCATCCTAAAAATAAAATAAAAGCCCACCCCCAAAACCCCCACCAAGGGAAGCGGGGGAAACGAAAAAGGAAGGGGAAAAACCTACTCAAAGGATGACTACAGCTCAACTGCGGCTTCTGCGTATACTTCGTCGCCAACTCATCCCTAATACTATTAAGCAGCTGCACATAGCTCTGCTGCGGATTCTTCTTCATCGCCGTAATAAACGCCCAGCTCATCGCCCCCGTCGCCTGCGACGCAATCGACGCATCCGCACTCGTCTGGTCATCCTTGCTCCCGCTCCACATCACCACATCCGCCGGCGACGTCTTCGTCGCCACCGTCCTGTTGTAGGCCTCATCGCCACTAGTAGCTTTCTTGAGGAAGCCCATGACGTTGCTTGCCACTCCGCCCATGTCGCCGCGGGAGTAGGACGAGATGACAGACAGCAGGCCTTGGCCGGCTTCCTTGGCGAGGTTGGGCTCTTTGAGGATGCCCTGGGTGGAGTAGATGTAGGGAAGGTCCAGGGCGGTGCCGGAGTGGCAGGAGTCGAAGATGGCGGTTAGGCGGACGCCGGGGCTGAGGGGGGTCACCATGATGCGGTGCATTTCGTCGTCGACGATGTGGCCGACTTGGCGGAAGTCGACGGGGTAGATGACCTCGTCGTAGCCGTCGGGTTCGTCGCCGTCGAGGTCTTTGGTTTGGCCTCCGTGTCCTGCGGGTGTTCGTTAGCCAGGGTCCCCATTCAGTAAGTAGGTAGGGAAGTAAGTAGGGCGGGGTAATATCCCAGCAACAGAGAGACCATCGGACATACCGGAATAATGAAAGAACAACGCATCATTCGGCCTCGCATCCTTAACCAACCAATGCATCGCCCTCAAAATATTCTGCTTCGTCGGCTGGCTCATTGGATTCTGCAGATCGTCCGTCAAAATCACCATATCCTCCCTCTTATACCCAAAGTTCTCAAACAGGTAACTAGACATGTTCTTGACGTCGTTGATGCACCCGCGCAGCTGGCCCCGCTGCCCGAAATAGTTGATCCCGATCAGCAGCGCCTTGCGACGGCCCGTGCAGTTCGAGTATTGGAAGTTGTAGTCCTGCGGCGCGCCGGAGCCGAAACCTTGAGGCGCGCTGGGAGGGGGCGCGGGAGCTTGGTGGTTGCCGTGCACGTAGGCGTTGGAGTTTACGGTTGGGATACCTGGGGGAGGGGGGTTTGTTAGCTTCGTGGAATTCATAGGTTTTTCTAGCCGGTGTGAGCGTCGTACCTGGTCTGCCATAGTCGGCACGGTTCTGGGGCATACCGTTGTATCCGCCATACTGTTGAGGCGGGGGCTATATATCTCGTCAGCTTCATCGCGCAGATCACCAACCATCATCAGAAGCTTCTTATTTACCTGCTGTTGCTGCTGGTACCCACCACCATAGTGCTGCTGCGGCGGCGGTCCCTGCTGGTATCCGCCGCCATATTGCTGCTGCTGCTGGGGAGCGCCGTAGCCGCCGTATTGTGGTTGTCTGTTTCAAGAACGTCAGCTGGATTCGGACGCGAGTGCAAAGCCTCGAGCCTACGACTGGTAATGCTGTTGGGGCGGGTACTGCTGCTGGGGAGGACCATATCCACCGCCGCCGCCGCCGCCGCTATAGCCCGCGCCTGGATACCCCGACATGGTGAGGATTTATGCAAAGGCTTTGTGTGTACTTGTGTGTGTGTATGTATGTGCGAGTTGTGGTTTTGTGAGGTTTTTGGTGATGTCGAAGCGGCGACAAAACAGACGCGGCTTTTCCGTGTGTTGTCGATGTGGAGGAGGGAGGAGGTAGGTGAGGTGGACGGCGGAACTTGGGTTTGGCCGAGCGGTTGTGTGGGGTGGAAGGTGAGGGGGGGAGGGCGGTAGGATCGGGCGGCAAAAACGGAGGGGGTCCTTGTCCAGGGAACTTATAGTCTCGGCGGGTAGGGTAGGGAATCAGGGACACGCAAGACAAGACAGCGGAACGACAAGGGTTCAGTGCGGACTGGAACAAAGGTGATGTGCAGCTGGGATGATGAGTCTGCCGCTGTGGAGATGGGGCGGGCAGTGTTTTATGTTCGGCGATGGGTGTGGTTTTTAGGTAGAGTAGGGTATTAAGTTAAGTATAGATTGGGTTTGTTAGAGGTGTGGTTAGAGGGAGGTTAACGATGGGTTGTTCGGCAGGTCGTTTACAGATTTGTTTATTAGGGTGGCGGTTGTATGTATGTATGTGGTGGTATGTGGTATGCGGTGGTAGGTGGTGGTACTTACGGAGTTAGCGATGAGGCTACTGTTAGTACTGGTGTTAGTAGTGAAGTTAGTACTGCAGTTAGTATGTGTGGTTGTACCTGTGATGCATGCTGTGCCTGCTGTGCCTTCCTGTGCCTTGGTAGTAAAACAAGCCTATGGGCCATAAAGTGAACCAAATATGCACCCGATAATCAGTTGGCTGGTAGAGACTATAGGGAGACTATAGTGATTGGGTGTTAGTGTGAGTGTTAGTATGTGTGTTTTAGTGCGTGCGTGCGTGTGCATGTCTGGTATACGGATATGGTGAGGATATGCACTACTATGAACTATGATGAACTATTATGAACCACTGCTACCAACTGACTAATTGTTACTAACTGCTACTAACTAACTATTACTGTTAATATCCTGCACAAAATACAAGTATAACTACTTAACTAAACTAAATAATCTAACTATAAGTATAAAATGTGCCTTCATCCCGCTCGCTTACTATGCTCTCCCGCACACAAATTTTACTCCCCCATATATCTCAATACCCCTCACCACTTCAATCAAGTCGGACAGATGGCCGAGCGGTCTAAGGCGCGTGACTCAAGAACTTACAATTCTTCTTGGTCGATTTAAAACGCCTAGTGCATTCACGTATCGAAAGATGCGGGGGTTCGAATCCCCCTCTGTTCAGATCTTTTCTTTTTGTCTTTTTTTTTTCTATTTTATTAATTAAATATTATCGCTATATCTGAATTAATTTGTATGTTTTTTTATTTGAGTGGCTGTTTAATTAATACGATCTTGGTATACTGTTGGCATCAATCGCACACACCCAGTAAGCAAACGTCAGGTATCAATTTTTTCATCCCATGTACACGTATTAAGCCAACTCACAGCCAACTCATAAAAAACACCTCATATCCTCCCTCCTTCCATAAGCCCAACCTCCCCATCCTATACAAAATCCCATCATCCATCCCACCACCCATCGGCACCACCGTCCCCCGTCCCACCCACCACCTCAGCTCCATCAGTTCGTGTACCCACCCCACCTTATCTATCTTCGGCCCCACGGCACCGAGATCCTGCACCAGCTGTGTGCGGGGCGCGGCGTGGCCGATGTGGCACACCAGCCACAGGGTTGGATGCACAGCCGCAAACAGGACACGGACTACCGCGCTACTACACACTACCATATACTACCACATACTACCACAGACTACCACGCAGGTGAGTGTAGGAGGGACCTTGTTCCCACGAGGGAAGAGGGTGTTGATCAGACTTTTGGGATGCTGGTTGTGCTGAAGATGGGTGGGGGGTTTGTACGGATGGGGGGTGTTCAGCTGGGTTGGTGATGGCTTGGCGGGGTAGGGGTGGTGATGTCTCTGGGCGGATGGAAGGGGGGGATGCCCCTTTTCTGTTGTGGGTTGAATCGCCCACGAGAAAGGAATATATTGTGGACGGTATAATCGTACGTCTAATTGAGTTGTAGATTGAATCATCTACAATCACACACATCTATTGAACAGTATAGTACAATACAATACATACATCTAACACATTATCCCCCCCTACCCCCCTCCCCCATGTTTATCCATCTCCCCCTCCCCATCCCCATGCAAATCCTGACTCCCCCCCCTCGCCACCATCTCCGCCTTACTCGGCCGAAAAGGCCACCTCATAAACTCCTCAAACATCTCCCTCAACATCCCCTCCGTCAAACTCCTCACCGTCAACATCTCCAAATCCACCACTCCCCCCTTACCCACATCCCTCAACGCCGGACACCTCGGCAGGATCCACTCCTCCGCCCCCGGCGCCAGCGCCCTCAACCCAGCAACCACACTCTGCTTCGGCATGATAAACAGCGCCGCGAGCATAAACTCAAAGTAATCGTAGCAACCCAACCCCTCCGCCCTGAGGCTCGGCCAGATGCTGCGGGGCTGGAAATCAAGTAGTGCCATTGGTTGCGCGGGCGCGAATTCGGATGGTTTGACGATCAAGGGCTCCATGGCGCGGCGGTCCCAGACTAGTAGGGCGGGCTCGGCGAGGAACCCGCGACGCTCTTCGAGGCGCTGGGTCACTGCTGTGACTGTTGTGCGTGCCCCGGACTCTAGGGCGCGGCGCCACTCTCGTATACCCTCTTCTACTCTAGCCATGCCCTCTTCGCGCTTTGGATCGTTAGAGGCGCGGAGGGCAACCCATTCGTTTTCAAGAGCTTCGTAGCTGTCGAGCCGTGACTCAACTAGATCATTCACGACCCCCACCGCTTTAAGTCTCCATCGTAGGGCCTGCAAGCGTCGGAACTCCTCTGTGCGGCGCCTCGTGCTATCGAGCGAGACCTCGGGCGTCGCGACGTGATGGTCTTCCACTTCATCGTAGAACTCCGGGAACTCTCCGGCCGCGTAGCGTTCTTCCAGGGCCGTGAGTTCATCTTCAAAAGGGCGGCGGACGCCGATATTAGGCGTGCTAGCAGCGAGTTGCGAGGTCCGCGCTTCCCTCTCCATGATCCCCTCGCGGTGCGGCGGGGTGTGCAGACCCGCAGCCGCCATGGCGGGAGCGACGCGCTGGCCGGAGAGCATGTCGATTGCCTGTTCGCGGCGGAAGTTTTCGGTTTCCAGGTCGCCACCCGCTACTTCATGGATGTATTCGCAGGATATCTCGGCTTCGATGCTGGATTTGCGACGGTTGATGATCAGCCGGGGGAGGACGATGCGTTTCTCGAGGTCGTGCATCCAGATTAGCATGCGCACTTGCCCGTAGCCTTGGAAGACGGAGTGGGCGCGCGTGGCGGTGAGGAGTTGGTGGACTACGAGGGTCGTGATGGAGGGGAAGCCGATGTAGGGGCGGCGCGGCCAGTAGCCTAGGTTGGCGGTTACGAGGAGGGTGGTGTTGGGTTTTTCGAGGGAGGGGTCGCTGGGGGAGAGGAGGGTTTGGTGCGGGAGGTGGCCGTCGCGTTCGAGTTTGTTGAGGTTGTTCCAGATGATGCCGGACATGGGGAGGAGCTTGTAGGTGGAGTCTTTTTGGTTTAATAGGGGCTCGAGGTAGGGTTTATATGTCGAGGAGTCGGGTTCCATGAGGATGTGAGTCCGGGGCTTCACGATATCGTGCAGTTTGGACGACCATAGGCCGACTCCGGGGTTGATGTCTATTATATCACATCCCTTGTGCTTCTCAAGGCTCGGAGCTAGTCGTTGTATAATATCATCTGGTTGAGGTTAGCTATAGAGCTCTGAGAGGTTCCATGCAACATCCATACCACATAATTCCTCGCCGATAATGTTCTGACGGGCTTTGTCTCCGCGTTTGCCAAACGCAATTCGTGATAAGCTTTTGACGCTTTTCCGCTTGCTAGGTACTACGCGAATCCTGTTAGTACCATCTTCTTCTGCATACTCGCCTAGTACTGCTTTGTTCCCTTACCTGAATCTGTCTCCGCTTCGCCTTCTGGGATCGCGGTTCTGGCTCCATGCAACACATCTTCAAATGCTTTCTTCAAAAGAGGCCCCTTGAGAACCCCTGCATCACTCCTCTTCTTCCTCGGTTTTGTTGATGGGGTCCTGGGTTTCGGCGGATTCCCACTATTATTACCCCCCCTTGATGTTCCTGCGTCACTCCTCTGTTTGCGCGGTTTCTTGGTAGATTTTGTGGCCTCCGCGGTGGACTCAGCAGTCTTCGGGTTTTTCTGCCCAGCCTTGCTGCCGCCTGTCACATTTGTCGCTATAACCTGACCTCCATCGCTGTATGCTCGAATTAATCCTGTAGCTGGCCGGCAGCACGGATATGCGAAGGCTGCGATAGGACGTAATCGATTTCGTCGTCTATTTACGAGACGAACAGCCAACATCAATTCTGATTGCACTGTTTGCGAATTTGAGCGGCTCTGGCGTCTGGGATATTATGCTATTTCAAAGTATTCGAACTGACGTTGCTCTCTCGAACAATCAAAGAGGATGCAGGGACCGCCTTAATTCTGCCCTCGAAATGTGACAAATCGACTCACCGCCCTAGCCTCGTCGGCCTGTCGACCAACAAGGTACAACAACCCCCCCCCATGGAACCTGCGTCATCAGAAATCGCATCGTTTGCCTCAGCAAACTTCGGAGCTCCCCAGGCACCAGCCAACCTTCCCGATCTCTCTGGGACCTCCCGTGATGGTTAGGGAGTGTTGCCTCAGCTTTTAATTCATCAATCATCGAACCTCATAACCCCGCCGAACATTCTACAACCCCGCAGTACCTACGATTATCACGAAACAAAAGATGGCCAGCTCTTCGGCCGAGGCAGCGATGCCGATGAGCATTGCAGAAATTGCTGCGCGCGCCCAGGACTTCGAATATAATCCTTATATCAAGCTCAAAGTCTGGTTGAGGACTGCTGAGCTGTTACTGCGCGAGGTTTGCCTCAACATTACATCTCCATGCATATAGCCGCTGACAGTATTGCGCCAGGCCCAGATTTACCAAGACGAAGGCAATATTCAACAAGCTTATATGCTCCTTATGCGATTCGTTACCTTGGTCGCCGAAAAACTCTCTGCCCACCCCGACAGCAAAGACCCCGCGAATAGAAGGGCGCTGAAGTTGATGATCAAGTCCATACCCGACGCAGTAGATCGACTAGAGATGCTTAAACCGAAGATTGTCGCTCGATATGACGCTTGGCAAACCGCGCATGAAGGACGGAATAAACCTGCGGCAGATTTACGGGATGGCCAGGGACCCGGGTCTATGAGGCGACTCTCAAAGTACGCGGAAGCGGACCCTGCGATTGCTGGAAGAGCGAAAACCCTGGAGGCATCTGAGCACAGCGGCCTTGCTGTCAAACTTGCACACAAGGAAATTCGGAGACGAGACGACATTCGGAGAACGACTCGGCAGGGCGACGACAGAGATCAGATGGGTTACGAGGGGGGTGACGACGGCGTCGATCTGCAACGCCGCATGGAGGATACCAGGAGGAGGATGGATTCCAGAGATCGAGACACGGACGGAACACGAAAGAAGCTCACGAAATTGCACCCATCAGCAAGCGAGCCAAGTTCATCGGCGCCGCGTAGCAGCGAATACAGATACCCTTCAATTGCCAAGTCAAGGCCGTTTAAGTACGAAGACAACAAGCCTGCGGAGATCGAGAGGAATTTCGGCAGAGAATCCGCCCCTCCTATCCCTTCAAAGCAAGTAATCAAAACCACGATATCATATGAGTCCCCAGCTCCGTTGCGGCCAGCGAAGCTTCTCAAGGAAGCTCCACCAAGCTCCACCCCTTCTCCTGTCGACGACCCCTCCGCATACACGTTCAAACCATCAGCCTACCTCGAAAACGGCTCACCCCTCCGAACCCTATTTCTTCCTACCACGCTCCGCGAGTCATTCCTATCTATCGCTCGTCCCAATACCCAAGCGAATCTCGAGACCTGCGGCATCCTGTGCGGGACCCTCATCTCAAATGCACTTTTCATTTCACGATTGGTGATACCCGAGCAAGAGAGCACCTCTGACACTTGCGAAACGACGAACGAAGGTGCGCTGTTCGACTACTGCGACAAGGAGGATCTGATGGTCTTGGGATGGATCCATACGCACCCGTCTCAAACGTGCTTTATGAGCAGCAGGGACCTGCACACACATTGCGGGTATCAAGTGATGATGCCGGAGAGTATCGCGATTGTGTGTGCGCCGAGCAAGAGTCCCTCGTAAGTCCTCCCATTCACTTTCTCTAACTAGTAACTCAAAGCTAATGTCTACACAGTTGGGGCGTTTTCCGCATGACTGACCCCCCAGGCATGAAATCGGTGCTTAACTGTAGACAGACCGGGCTATTCCACCCACACCCGGAGCCTAACATCTACACCGATGCGATGAGGCCAGGGCATGTTTTCGAGACGCCAGGACTGGAATTTAAGGTCGTGGATTTGAGGCCCTAGGCAGAGATAGTGGTGGGGTAGACTAAGACATGGCATTAAATGGCTGGAGCATAGCAGAGCGTTGGCGTCTTGGGCGATGAAGCATGGGCTAGACACGGCGTTCAATCTGCCAACTGGCAACCAGGCATTGTAGTTATTTGCTTCAGGGAGACAATGGTACATCTTTCCATATCTCAAAAGTCGAATACAATCTTGTGATACAAGCTGGCCCCTCTGCCTCTACCCGTTACCACGTCAGCCCCACTATATGTATATCCTTTAACCCCAACCATTCCCTCTATAGCAGACTGTATCCTGTATCCCATTGTCCCATCCAGTCGCTCATAGATCGCTACCCCGTCACATTTGATTAACCCTACCCAAGCACCCTCAAGTATAACCTATACGTCGCTATCAAAATCAACACCCACATCAACACCTTCACCCAAGGGTTCTCGAGCCACGACTTCGACGCAATCACATCCAGCGCATCTTTTGGCGTCGTATGTGCCCCCGATTTCTCAGATCGATGCCCAGTAAGCCCGTGATCGTTCTTGTGGTTTTGGTAGTCGAGGTACGTCTTATGACCTGACGTCTCGTAGGCGGGGAAGTCGAGAGGGGGATCGTTAGGGTCGAACTTGAAGCCGGGGTTTTCGGTCGTCGGGGTAGTCATATTCGATTTTCGAGAGAAATTGGATTATGTTGGTGAGGAATTGGGAGAGTCTGGAAGTTGTGGAATTAATGAGGAGGTAGGTCGTTGAAAGGGTGGTTGTTGGGTGCGATATTCATGACGTTGAGATGACGATTTATCATGACGACGGTAGCTTTCGAGACATTTATCAACAAACCTGAAAGTAACAACTCCCTCAGATATGTAACTCTGTCATAATAATAGAGCTCGCCAGCCAATGTTACTGGCATAAAACTTGATTTTGGGGTTGATTAATGGCGGTAATCGGGACTGGTTGGTGGCCCTCGTGATAGCTGAGGTCGGCGAAGCTAGAATAACCACCAAACCGACGACATATAACTTGGAAAGCGTACCATAGATGATGTGTTTCAAGCCATTAATTAATTAGAGTTGAAAGAGGTCGCTTGGGAGCTTCTACACAGCTCAACCAAATCTACCTCGTTCGGAAGTGTCGTGCTTATGACTGACTCTCCTTGCTATTTTTCGTCCGCCGGCGGACAGCTTCATTATCTTTCCCTTTAAGCAGTGTGGTTTCCTTCCTCTCTTCTGCCTGGGACGTATTATTGTCATTCGGATTGGCAACCCAGGTATCCACCACTTCCCTAACCTCCTTCACTGCCCTCTCCTCCATGACCGATTCTTTAACCTTCCTAATGTATCCGAAATACACTCCGACTTCCGCCACGGCCACCAATATGCTTCCTGCAAAAGATAATGCCAATCGAGCGGGTGTGCTCCACCACTTCGAAACCATCCACAACGCCGCCGAGCATGCTATGATGGAGACGAGTACGTTGAGGATAAGGGTGAGCTGGCGGGTGACATCGTCGTAGGTTATGTCATCATCGGGCGAAGCTTCGATATATGCTTCTGTCGAGGCGAAAGCAAAGGCCGGTGATGTCGCTGGTAGGTTCCTGGAGTATGTTTCCGACGTCGGGGCTGGCTTTGTCAATCGGACATAGTCGCGTTCTTCAGCATCGCGCCGGAGACGGGCCATGAGAGCTTTGTATTCGGCGGTTTGAGCGGGTTTAGGAGACGGAGGTGGTATGTAGACATGAGATCCGCGGAGTAGAGCATCGAGGTGGCATGGTATGGCATTGATAGACTTTAGCTGTCGGGAGAGGGCGACGATTTGGAGGTGGCTTATAGGATTGCCAGGTTTTGGATCTTGCAAGGACGGCTCGCTGGAAGGATTATTGAGGGAGGTATTTCCAGGCTCCGGTATCTGTGCTCTCTGCATTTTCTCCCCTTTCCTAGAATCTTGAATCTCGTTTTCGATTGCGCCTGTTTCGTTGGAGCCTGGGGCCAAGGCTGCATCTTCATGAATACCCTGGGAAGCAACCGCCCCTGTGGTTATTGTAGACGTCTCGAGGTTACGAAGACCCTCCACAATGACGGGGGTCATCGTAAGTAGCACCATGTTGACCGAATTATAACCTCGAAGCCAAAATAAAGTGGTCAAGGTGCATTGGTGTTTCTGGATACTCCAGTGGACAACTGAGGACTGCAAGGCTGAGGAAAGCGCGACGGAGTAATAGTTTATCCGTGTCTTATCGTCGGGATGGGTCGGCCCAAAACATTTGTGATGTGCGAAATCAAGCTTCTGCCAAACCAATCTTCGACGCAATTGAACCCGCAACACCTCGCAGCGCGCTCTCTGCTGTCGATAGGGGAGGCATTAAGACGGGGCTGCAGGAATTGCCCATATATCCTGCTTAGCAGACCAGGGAGGCTATGAGAATCCGGTCGCCGAGAGCTTCATTGCTCTTTTCTCGTCCAGGAGTAGCAACCACGCAACCTCGACGAGTCTGCCTGGAATGCCTTTCCGCCAGCCGGGCGCAATTGTCGCCTTCTAATTCGAGGCTATTTCACCTATCAAGCCGACAACATGCGGGATCATGGGCCCAGGCAGCTAAATTGGCTGCCAATGTCATTTCCAATGCGACATCACAACAAGGCAGGGTGGATCGCCAAATCAGCATTGATCCCCTGAGGATAGTAGCAAAAGAGATGAAATTCTTGAGCGGGAATATCAGACAGCTACTAGGTTCCGGGCATCCTAGTCTGGATAAAGTTGCGAAATACTACACCCAGGCAGAAGGGAAGCACTTCAGGCCACTTCTTGTCCTATTAATGTCGCGCGCCACGGCACTGGCACCAAAATGCTCGACATATGATCCCTCGAAACCCTCTGCCAATATAAACAGTGGCATTTCGCGCCCAGATATTCTCTTAGATCACAATCCTACGAGCCCTGGGACAAACCCCTTGACGGATCCGGCATATGCGTATTCACCAACCGAAAGCGACATTCTGCCTTCCCAACGGCGCCTCGCCGAAATAACTGAGCTCATTCACACGGCTTCTCTCCTCCACGACGATGTCATTGATCACTCTGACTCGAGGCGGGGATCACCATCTGCCAACCTTGAATTCGGCAACAAAATGGCGGTGCTGGCAGGAGACTTCCTCCTGGGCCGCGCCTCCATTGCTCTTGCTCGTTTACGAGATGCGGAGGTTGTTGAGCTGCTCGCTACTGTCATTGCGAACCTTGTTGAGGGAGAATTCATGCAGCTGAAGAACACATCCCGGGATGAGAAGAACCCTCAGTGGACAGAAGAGGCGCTCACATACTACTTGCAAAAGACATACCTCAAAACGGCTAGTTTGATCAGCAAAAGTTGTCGTGCGGCTGCGCTTCTGGGAGGAAGTGATAATGTCACAGTCGAGGCGGCATATAGCTATGGAAAGAACTTGGGTCTGGCGTTTCAGCTTGTGGACGATATGTTGGATTATACTATTACTGAGAAGGAACTCGGGAAGCCGGCCGGAGCCGATTTGGAACTTGGCTTGGCCACAGCACCTCTTCTATTTGCCTGGAAGAACAACCCAGAGCTTGGTGCGTTAGTTGGGAGGAAGTTTGCCGAAGAGGGCGATGTCGCAAGGGTAGGTGACTTCTGAAAAGGCCCAGCAACATTAATCCGTTTGAACAATCTCTAACATGAAACAGGCGAGATATATCGTTTCTCAAAGCGAAGGGATTGAGCAGACACGTGCCTTGGCAAGGGATTACGCGGATCAAGCTCTTGCGGCTATTGAGCCCTTCCCAGAGAGTGAAGCCAAGGATGGGCTGAGGGAGATGGTCGCCAAGACGATTAACAGGAGGAAGTAGGGTTGTTCGATAGCGTGTATACATATGAACTAGACGGAGCGTGGTCGGTGGTCTGAAGTTTTGTATAGATCAATGTTAGATGTATTATATATGACGGGTAAACAACGCATCCCACTGTTGCGTTGAAAGGTAGAACTGTAAGGCAACATATATCAGTATTGCTTTATTGTACCATGAATTAGTATCATATTTTCGTGGATAGGTTTGCTGATTCCTCAAATATAGCTAGCCAGCTGAGAATAATATCTTAATGAGTCGAAGTGCTCCCATTAAACCATTTTGTAGTGAGTTGTCCACTTTAGGCTTGGCTTACTTACTCTAGCTTCAAGCGAGGCGTTGATAATCTGCAGCGCCACACTTTGCTCACGTGCTTTCGCGTTATCGTTATCGCTTCACACAACGCGCTTTTGCGCTTGCGCCACAACTTCAAGCCGCATCACCATCAGTCGTGTTCAATGAACCTATGTTTTCATAACGAAAATCGCCGCGACGATGGGATTAGGCACCGCTACAATGGTGTCGTCGGTATTGGGTAAAAGGTAAGCGTTACCTTCTACAAATTCACACTCAACTACACACTTCTGACACTTTTCCAGATCGCGTATGCGAACATACGCAAACCGCGTCAGGAAAGACACAGCGGATTCACCAGGAAAGAGAGTCTGTATCGAAGTTGTCAAGCCTCTCCAAGACATTACGAACACTCTACCTGTCGTGCCTCTGCCGGTGCCAAAAAGCAAAAGGTCAATTACGGACTATTTCGCAAAACCACCAGCTTCAGCAAACCCCTCATCCTCTGACACCAACCCCTCATCTGATCAGCCTCAAGAACACATTCATTCCAGCCCTTCCTCATCGTCGAAGACTCCCCCATCTTCACCACCTCCTCTGGAACCATATCATACCGGCATAAAACCAGCAAGTCGAAAACGTCGGAGGTTAACAACAAGGCCACGGGCTATCCAAGCAACAAGACCTCAAACCACCAAACCTGACAAAATGATGTCTCCTGAATACTTCGACCGTCCTGTGTCCAGCAGCGACTCGGACAGTTTCTATTCTTCCAGCTGGGAGGGTAGTATTATCGACGGATACACTGCAACCCAGGACACTGCAGCCCAGGGCGCTACGCTCCAGGACAAACTTGCCAAACATCCCATGGCTACCGCGATCTTCCGCTCTAACTCATTTACGAGCTCTCCTGCCAAGGGTCCTAAGGAGACCGGAAGAGCCCGATCCAAGACGAGGGCAGGTGGTGAGGGTATGGTTGGAGAATTTTCCGACATGGTCTACCCCATTCCAGCCAACTACAGCTATATCATCATGGGTCCCACTTGGGGAACTACCACTCCCACCGAAGGCTCTAAGGGCCGTGATGCTGAGAAGGCTTACCCAATTCCAGCTTACTCTGACTCTTCCAGCAAGGTCGAGGTCAACCCAGCCAGATCCAGCAATGGAGGAAATGAGGGCGGACAGAAGGAGAATACCAAGCCTGCCAAACTTGTTCAGACTCAGATCAACCTTGGTCAGAATCCCATCACCACTTGCAATGTCTGCAAATTTACACTCAACCGTACCGTCGTTGAGGACGTCAAGGCCCACGACAAATTCCACCAGGCGTTTGTCAACCTTGCCTCGAAGCTTGATATGGATGAATTCTGAAGACGCAAGAAGATCGACGGGTTCTGCGCCGAGTCAGTTACAAGCACATATCGGTGTACAGGCTTGAGCTTTGTTACAGTGTTCATTGATGCGGAGTTAGGTTTCGGTGTTTCGGGCATATTCACAGGGTCGGCATATTCATGGGGCCAGGCATATTCATGGGGCCAGGCATATTCATGGGGTCAGGAGCATATTCACGGGCGTCGGCGCATTATACCCTACATTGTGACTACTAGCTAGGTATATTGCCTCAATGAAATCCTGACTTGTACATTCCTTATTCCGCATATGATTGTTGCCGCTGTCTATTCGAGTCTTCAGACCGATTGTGGCAATCTATGTCGCCATTTATGGCCCATGAATGACAATAATCGTGCTTTGTAGTTGGTACATGAGGCAATATAGAATAGAACACAGGCAGTGAAGAAATTCTATAATTGTTCAGAGTTTAGATTATCATATCCGTGTTTCTTTAATCTCGAAATACAAGCTTTAAAGGTGACGATCTAGATCGTCGCACGTGGCGTGGCGAGTTGCACTACAACGCCTTCCCCCACAAGGTACCAGAAACGTCAGCATGGTCCAAGCGTCCTGATAAGCCGCACCGCATCGGTGACGTCCCGACTGTCCCGCTCTATAATGCAGCGCATCGCAAACCTCTCCAATGGCGCCCATATGACCAGAAAGTAATTAATGTTACTACGATAGCAAGCTGGGCACGATGGCCGACTTCCATGGCTCTTCGAACCCCTTCCGACGCAGGACGCCCGCCATCCAAACGAACATAGAGAATGGAACAAAGGCGGAGGAAAGCACAGGTACTAGGCAGCTACCCATCGATCAACCGATGCGGCATGGAGATGCGCCAATAAAAAATAACGACAAACCGATGAAGCATGTTAGGGTGCAGTCGCCGCCGCCGAGTAGCCCGGAGGACACCATCCAGGATAAACCTCATACGCCACTACCACAGGGAGACGAAGGTCATGCGCTTGGCAACGATCCATTTGAGTCCGTTCTGTCCGATGAGTCGTCAGATGACAATGACGATGAGATACCACCGATAATAGGTGCCGGCAATAATGGAAGGGTGCCTATAGCACCGATAAGTGTTGCTGGCAATGATGAAAGAACGCCTATACCACCAATAAGTGCTGCCGGCAATGACGGGAGAACGCCTATACCACCGACAAGTGGTGCCGGAAACGATGGGAGAGCTCCTATGAACCCGTTCAGCAAGACATTAGCTACGTTAGAACGGACGGAGGGCAAAGAGTCGACCAGCGAAACTCCACCGGTGGTGTCGGGAAAGGCAGCTATGGACGTGGAATCTTTTAAGCGTCTACTCATGACTGGAAGCAGCGGTATCGCAGCTCCGGAATCTCTGCCCAGCCCTCCCGCGCAATCAGCTCACGCAGGGCCGGCAGACGGAAGCAGCACAGAGGCATCCTCAGTCTCACGGCACTCGATCTTCGAGAACATCCAAGAGAATCTACCTGAGTCACCCCGGACCTCACACGAAGTCTCCGATGCAGATGACGAACGGCGGCGTATTCCTACAGCCCTCCAGCGCTCTGCCTCCGAAAGGAAAAAGCCGCCACCACCCAGTTCACGGCATGGGAAACTCATAAACGTACAACTAAGAGATGACGCGCGGCCTCATTCTCTCTATGTAACATCTACATCTGCCCCGTCACCACTATCATCCACAATCCCTACGCTAACCGCCGCGCAACGGTCGGCCACCGACCTCAACAAGCCCCTTCCCCCCAACCCCTCCCGCGCAAGCCACGAGTCAGATCGTGAATCCATCTTTGACCGCGAATCCGTCGGGAAGGCGCCAGAGCCGCCTTCTCCATCCAACTCACTACGCCGTAAAACCGCACCTGCACCTCCCTCGGCACGCCGCCATGGAGTCCCCGTCGCCGACCCAAACTCCCCGCATCTGCCTCCCAAGCGGCTCACTAACATGGGCGACGATAGCCGCAACAGTTCAATACAGGATCTATCATCATTACACCCCTCCACCAACCAACAAGCAACCATTAAAGCCCCTCCACCTCCGCCGCTCCGCCGCCCAGGCTCCATCAGAAACTCTGTTATCTCCCCAACCGTAACAATGTCCGACCTCGAAAACGCCCCTTCAATACCCCGCGCTCCATCCACCCCCTCTAAACGCCTCTCCGTCGTCCCCCCTCCCCCTCCTCGGCCCCGCGGTGCAAGCGGGGCAAGCATCGACGCCAACCCCTCCAACCCTGCCGCGTCGACCACCGAACGGCCAGACATCCTCGCTGACCTCAGCGCTCTTCAGAAGGAGATCGACGCCCTTCGCGGACGTGCGGCTTGAGCATCTCTAGAGCTTCGGATGCCGAAAGGCGCTCGGAGGGACGGAATCGCATTAGACCCTTGATTATTGGGAGGAGAGGCTTCAGTTCTTCGTCGAGGACTCTTTTCTCAAATCTTTGTTCAAGCTTTGATTGATTTGGGCCATTGTTGCCTGTTAGCAGTGATCTCGGCGTTAGCTGTTGTTCTAACTGGACTCTTTGGAGTGGCGTATGGATATCTTCTTCTCTATAGTTTTAGATCAAAACAATAAAAAGGCGCTTACATTCCAGGGGCTCTCGTCCGGCTTTCGAACGCATGTCCCTGTATTTCTCCTGCCATTCGACAGGCAAATCCTCGACGAAATTAATCATCTGCGCCACCAGATCATTGGCATCCCCAAAAAAACTCTGAAATGGCATCCCTCCAAATCCAAAGAAGTATATCTACATGACACTATTAGTTCCACCGCTGTATAGATCCTCGAGGGAGCACTCGTGTATCCTCACCGCGAATCCCACGCGCCACAAATCAATTCTGTAGTCAAATCGGTCCGTGAAAATCGTTTCAGGCACCCTCAGCACTCCAGGTTGCGCGATCCGTTCAGGTTCTGCGCCTTGGGTGAAGGTCTCCCCAAAGTCGATGAGGCGGATATCCTCTTCATCCTCATCTATCCACTCCGTCCAATCTGCTGCCTTGACGAGCTGGTTAGGGAGGCCTTGTTGTAATGGTGCGCCGTCGATTCGAGCCAGCTCCTCAACTTCTGGGGTCCCGACCACTTTAAGGAGGCTTTCTTCGTCGGCGCAGTAGGATAGATTACTACATGTAAAAGCGATGTTTCTACTGCTTATGTCTGATTCAAGTTAGTTACATATATGGAATGCTGGGATTGCGCCGCCGCTGTACCTCCATGTGCCAAGCCAGCCCTGTGAATGAAGGCCGTAGCTTGGAGAAGCTGTTCAGAAATCCTCAAGATCGTTTCTGGCTCGAGTTTCTCGTCGTTTCCATAGAAGTCCTCGACAATGCGGACAACAGTAGGGCCGAGAAGCTCAAACACCAGGCATTTATGGGTCCCATTTGGGCCGTTATGGGTGAACTCATCGAGTAACCGGACAATGTAACGAGCGGCGAGACCTTCCTGTGACGAACTTGATAGTGTATGCAAATTGACAAGCTCGCGTGATTTATCCCCGCTCTCAGCCGTCAAGATTTTAATTGAAACCCATTGATTGTCCCTTTTTTTTTTTTTGTTAGCACAGGTTTAGACTCATTCTACATGATGTTTAAGAGAAAACATAGTACTTTTTGTCCCGTGCTAGCCAGACCGTAGAATATCCACCCCAGCCTAGCTTGTGGAGGACAGTGTAGCGGGTATCATTGAAAGTGTCACCAAGGGTCACTGGATGGTATCCGCCCTGGCGATATCTGGATAGCGGTTCCTGTGTATATAGAAGATTGTGGGGACGGTAGACCGATACATCTTCCATTATTGGATGAGATGAGATGGGAAGATAGGTGTGCGCGTTTACATGCGCCGGTCTGGTTTTATCTCATTCTCTGAGAGAAGTTATTCGGAAGGAAACAAATATAAACTTTTTGGGGCTTCGATATTTTGATGCGGGGTCGGTTTGATAGGGTCTCAGCTGGTTTCACGTCGTCATCGTCACGCTCCTTGAACTCTCACGCCACGAAGCACGATATTGCAATGTGATACCTATAAGAATACAAAATGGGTAAGTTTGTATTATAATTTCCGAAAGTATACATTTTCTTCTCGGCTGTGATGGTTGCGTGGATGTTAGTAGCAACGTTTCTTTATATTTTTACAAATTATAATTTTATTCCGATTTAATACGATTAATATGATCTTGTGATATGATCCAGGAAAGCACGAGTCGTACAGAGCATGCCAGGCAGAGTAATTTGCAAGAAATTTAAGACGAAGAATTAAATGGCGTCTCTAGCTTTTCGTCTCATAGCTTCAAATTATCATATATATTGAAATGGACTTATCCCAGCTCTCTTTTCTCGCGCAGCACTTTTAGATGAAAGCACATCATTAACACAAGGCGCATTCGCCGTCTTTTCACTTGGAAACTGGTAGCTTGGATTGTATGCATGTGCCAACGGCTTGCCTCTTATGCTAGGCACTTTGCCTAGATGTATTTGCGGCTCTTTCAGCCTCTCGGCGTCCGTCCCTCCAAACATACCTCCTGGCATCTAAAATGCGGACGACGGCTGTTGTCTTACCTTTCATTGCTTAGAAGCCCACTGGGAGTTTGGTTCGCCAAATTATAATTCTTGAGTTGAGTAGTTGCTGTTCAAGATAATATCGTTGGTCTCCCACAGCTGCTTCTTGTCGACTGCCGCCATATGTGCGATGTAACATACCACAGCAACTATCAGCAACAAATTCTTGGTCAGAGATCACCCCGACCACCATCAAGGCCAGGCGCTGTTGGAACACAACCGGGCTAGTGAATGCAAGTCCGAATAGCCACATAATAGTCTCAGTGAAAGTGCATTGTTATGTAAATTAACGACGAAGAGGAAGGCTAGATCAGACGGGTATAATACATTCAACTCTCAGACTCAAATCCCTGATTCCAGGGCACCCAAGATTGGTCCGAAAAATCAGACATACACTTGACCTGTTCAGGTGGTTTATCATCCCACACAATCTTCAACGACTTATCGTTGCCCTCTGCCTTCACCGCGTCAGAAACATACCCATGCAACGTCTTGGCCTTCTTAGCAGACTTATCCGAATAGTCCAAGTTAACTGACGGTACCACCGCAATCTTCGAATACCCCTTAATCCACAGGTCCTTGCAGAACAGTCGCGGTTCACCTGAATAACACTCTCCAGCCTTCGACTTCCTAAATCGTATATTTTTCTCAATCAAAGGCTTTGCACTAAAGACAACAGCGCCATTCCAGCAGGCAAAAACCTGGAAGGCCTTGTGCTCATCGAATCGCTGACGGGAAACTGGGTGGTTCCAGAACAGATTCGAGGAAAATCGCCACCCTCCATCCGGGGGGATCTCCCAAAATGTGTCTCCATTGATAGCTCTCGCAATCCAGATGTCGTAAAAGATAGGCGCAGGGTCTATGTCTGACCAGTCCATCGCACATGTCATGTCCGCGTTCTGGAAGACGCGTTGGTGGACCAGCTCCAGCATATCCTCCATACATATGGCGACGTCATTGACGAAAACCACCGCTGCGTCCGGGGAATACCGAGTCGAATTGTTGAGCAGTGGTTCGAGAGCCAAGTTTCGAAGACCTGAAAGACCTTCGATTCGGTCTCCCTGCTTAGGATCGATGTCGCTGGTTTGGAGGTGAAATTCCAGTCCCAGGTTTTCCATGTCTACGCGCAGCGCATCCAGTACTTCACGAGTCCCATCATCGGAATGTCCTTCCACTATCGATAAAGCGCAGTTTTCGGGACCGAGAAATCGCACAGTTTCCACAACGGATCCCAGCAATCGAGGGAGTATGCCTATGCATTGTCGCAGATTGAGCGCAAAAAAGTATTTTATCTGCTTATCGCCGGCTTCCGCATTTCCCTGGCCGACTCGAAGATAGTCGTAGCGCTTAGTAGCAGGTGCCGGGCACAGAAGTCGCTCAAATTCTTCGTCTTTGGGGTCTAGTATTGCTTTGACATAGTTGTATTTGGGCGCTTGCGCGTCGAGGAGACTTGTAATCGCCACTTGAGATCCTGTTGCAGGTTAGCTGGCGGGTTCAAACAGTAGGTGTCCTGGCGAGGGAGAGGGGGGCTGCTTACCAGTCTCCTGCTCTGCTGTATTGCTGCCTCCGTAAGAAGGGAGATGTAGACTGGCGACCAGTTCAGACGATCGATTATGTAGATCTGAGAGGGTTGTGAAGACAATGATGATTGCGATTGCGATGGTGATGACCAATAGCCTCTTTCTAGGTAGCCATGATCTGGTCAGCATCGTCTTTCAGATGCACCTCACATTTAATAATAAGAAAAGAGAATGCGACGGCGCTGGCACATGTTCATCAGTATTAATTGAGATGAAGCTGCTGTTAAGTAACGTAACAATGACATTGATGTGTAGTCGAAGGGTTCAGACGACAGCCGCGGCCCGCCGCGTCCCCGCCAAATGCCCCTGGAATACTGTACAGCACAGAACGCCAATGGGCCAATGATTTTCTGGCTTGTAGCCTCCCGGAATAGATCCCTGACATTTCTCTGTGGAGTTTTGCCTTTAGTGCATTTTTACGCGCCGTACTACGCGCTGTCCTCGTCTACCGTACCTCACGATCTCACCTCAGAGCTGAGCTTAGTTACTCTTATCTTTAAAAACCATAGAGTGAAGGCTTACTATTCACACTCAAATATATATAAATGAACAAAACTCAGAATAAATATAATGACATCAAAGCCTTCAGTTTACTTCGAATCTGCCTTGCGCAACTTTGGTATAAAAATACTACGCGCTGGCGATGTGCTGTCTGCACATGCAGGGGTTAACTACGGGTAGAACGACAACACCTGATTTGCCTGCATCTTCAAACACCAACACCAACACCAACACCAACACTGATATTTTGGTCCGAAGCCGTTCTAAGAGGAAAGATTAACGCCTATCCAAAAAATGGGTACGGGGCAGCGAGAGCCCCGTTTTAGTGGAGTCGCCAGCCCGCGGTAACCTATAAGCTCTTGCTACGAATGTTTCCGTAGCCTGTCAGTTGAAGCATAGCCCTTTTTTAGACCTGTATCTAAACATGGGCAGCGGCGCCTATATAGTACTGAGTATGGGAGTGTCGAGAACAGACCAGTGTTGATGATTTCCGATTTTACATATCTTTGGCATGGTGGTCGCTCCTGGTATTCCCAACTATTTCTTTTTTAGTTCGTTTTTTCCTCGTTCTTGACATGATGCGCCGCCTAGTGGTCTTCTGGGTTGGGGTTCTTCTATTCGACATTCGATATGCTGGAGTGCAGGCACAGAAGGCGGTTTGGAAGACCCCGGTGAAGGGCGAAAATCTGGAAGCCAACACGATAGACTCGGTGTTGTTGGATTGGACCTCGACCCTTCCCACCACAATCCTGCGGATGTGGTGCCAGAATAAAACAGATGTAAATAATCTGGTTTTAGGTTCGTTGTTTTCCCTTCTACAATTACAGGCGCAAATGTAACTAATATGCATTGTGTTTTTACAGCTAGCTCCTTCTTTGTCGATTCCAATGGACCCTTCGAATATGTTATGGAGGAATATCTGCAAGACAAAACGGAGTTTCCTCTTGCTTGTCATGCTGAGCTGGCAGAAAATCCAGTGGGTGGCGGCACCGATTGCCCGGCTGCGATCGTGTGGTCGTCCAACGCAGGTGAAGCTGCAAAGACGGTTTCGCAGACGAAAGCAGCTTCAACCGTCACCGTAACACCTACACCGAGCTCAACTCCACCAAGTACGACTCCAACCCCAACTCCCAGTTCAACCCCGCCTTCGACTACGGACTCTACTTCTACCGACTCGCTATCAAAGCCTACCACCTCTGCATCGAGCACAGGCCCCGAGAGAACCACCAAGTCTTCGACGAATACCTCAGAGGAACCCGCCACGCTTCCGACTAAGATCGCAGAAAGTCCCTCTGGTGCCACAATAGCACCCGTAGCACCCGCATCTGCAAGCCCTAGCAACATAGGGGCCATAATAGGGGGTGCAATCGGCGGCGTAGCCCTCATAGCCTTCATCATCCTCGCAGTCCTCTTCCTGCGAAAGTTCCAACGGAACCGCGCAGCCTCTCCCATTCCCACCGATTCGACACGGCGAAGTTTCTACCTCTTCAACGCCTACAACAAAAGGGGGCCAAAGGCGCGTACTACGGGCGTCTTTGAGAAGGATGGTGAGTATGGGCTGGGGATACAAGAGAAAGAGGCCAATGATGTGTCTCGTGGTGTGAGGGTTTATGAGTTGCCGGAAAGCGAAAGGGAGAGGCGGTATAGTCCTGTCGAGCTGCCAGGCGGCTCGGTTTATTATCCATGACAAGGTTGTGATGGGTAGGAGGTGGAAGATGGCTACGTTTGGTGGCGATATATACGATTTAACGATATAATTCATGTAAGGTATAAATTATGGCATAAGCACAAGAGAGTACATTTATCCTTGAAAAGTATCACATAATCGCTTCATATATTCATTCAAATAAACGCAATAAACGCAGACACACGTGGCATAGAATATAAAGTGCATCGGGCATTCGAGGAGTTTGTTCCATCTATCGGCCTTGCCGAACTTGGAATCGCGGAAATTACGTGCTGCAGCCCTGTGATACTACTCTGACTGCTGGATGTCTGATAGCATTCTCGCAGGGGTCAGGGGTCAGGGGTCTTGGTCCAGGGGTAAAATAGTGGCGCGCCTGGTTTGAAAAGCGAGCGTCTAAATACCATCACGCCACTCGCCGCCACCAAAACCTACTCTGAATGACAAATTCCAACATCGTGCTCTCAAGCGATTTCGGGAGATAGAGCCTTCTTTTAACGCCCGCCCCAAGAATGAGAATATAACGAGAGCCCGGTTTCAGTGGAGAAGCCAAGCACTCGGTAACCCATGCAGTGACCCCCACCCCCCAGTCTGATTAGAATGATCCACCCGACGGTAAGACACTGCCAGTTGTATCCTATTATTTGCGCCATCTGACATAAGTCGCACTAGAGGTGGATTCTGAGCCGTCAATATCTTTCAGCTGGTCTCACTTCTCGTCGTTCCTGACCTGTCAGAATAGGTGCGGCTTATATTCAGACAAGGGACCCGGCGGCTATATAGGAGATAGGGCGAAAATGGCAAAAATGGTCTAGTCTCGAAGATCTAGGGCTGTACATATATATGTGGGATGTTGGTCTCTTCTCTACATTTTTGACTGTTTCTGCCTTTTCTTCACTCGTGAAATGATGCTCCAGCGGGTAGTCTTTTGTGGGGGACTCCTCCTCAACGTCCAATATGCCAGTGCCGCGGCGACTTGGAAGACCCCAACGACGGGCGCCGATTTGAAGGCCAACACGCAAGACTCAGTGTGGTTGGATTGGACATCAACCTATACTGCTCCAATCTTGCGGATGTTGTGCAAGGACGAAGCAAACGGAGGCAATCTCGTTACAGGTTCGTCGTCACTTTCCATCAGCAAGTCAAGAAGGCTCGAGTGAAAAACTAACATCAGATTTAGTTAGCCACTTCGAAGTTGACACCAATGGACCCTTCGAATATATCATGGATTCTTTCCTTGAGCCAAACAAGATGAAGTATCCCCTTGCTTGTCATGCCCAACTGGCAAAGGATGAGGCGGACACAGCCGGGCTTGATTGCCCAGTTGGAATAGTCTGGTCATACGACGCAAGTAAAGCCATGAAGACGGTTTCGGCGATTCAAGCAGCAGCGGCTCCTACCACCGCGAAGTCAGAGGTGGCTTCAACTCCAACTCCAACTCCAGACCCGGTCGGCAGTGCTTCCACCACCGGCTCGCCATCAAAGGTGATAGCACCTCCATCGGTCGCGGAGAAATCCACCACTGAATCACCGTCACAGGTGACGACAGTACCTCCGTCGACCACCGAGAAACCCACCACTGAGAAATCCACCACTGACTCGCCATCGCAGTCTACCACTCCCCCATCGAGCACGGATCAATCCACCGACTCCTCTTCCTCACAATCCACAACCAATCCAACATCGAGCAGCACGGATCAACCCAGCACACCTTCAAAGGGCTCCTCAGCAAGTGACTCCAACACCTCAACAGCCCCCGTAGCAACCACATCCTCCAGCTCCAACAACACCGGCGCCATAGTCGGCGGCGTCGTCGGCGGCATCGCCGTCCTCGCCTTCATCGTCTTCGGTCTCCTCTTCCTGCGAAGACAGAAGCGCAATCGCACGTCCTTTACGCCCGTTACCAATAACGAATCGTCGATTTGGAATTTCTACTTCTTCAACGCCCAGAAGAGACGGGAACAGAAGATGGCTGCCGGGCCTGTGTATGAGAAGGAGGGTGGTGGTATGGCGCGTGAGTTGGAGGCGAATGCGGCGGGTGGGAAGGGAAATCATGCGGTGCCTTATGATCCTGTTGAGTTGCCGGTTGGATCGAATCAATATCCATAAGTTTTTGATGGGAAGGGAGTTGAAGGTGACTTAGTATGTTTGTAATATATTTATTTAACGATATAACATGACCTGTAAGGTATATAAATTGACAGACCTGGCCATATCCTTGACGCTCTTCTTTGTGTTATATGGTTGCACCACCTCTCATTCTCATCTTGTGCAGGAGTATATCGTATGCTGCGCTTAACACATCGCTCAAATCAAAAATTCTATAATCGTCATCCCTCCACCCCCCTTACCCCTTCCCCACCAACCTCCCCCAAACATCCCCCCAATGCGTCCTCGCCCCTCTCAACAGCGCCCACGCCAACAACCGATACACCACCGTCGCAATCGCCACCCCCAGTAACTCCAACCTCTCATTCCCATCCAATCGAAACAGCGCCAGCACCGCCTCTCCATCCGGGACGGTGCATGTACCATCTGGCAGCGCCTGTGCAGCCGTGCATGTCAGGGTGATGGGACGGAGGGTGTAGGGGGCGAGGTTGCGGATGACGTAGCGGAGGGGGGAGAGGTAGTTGACGCCGCGGAGGAAGGCGGGCATGGAGATGGAGAGGATGCCGGACATGATGAGGGAGATGGAGAGGATGATGGAGGTGAGGTTTAGGGCGAAGCCGGAGTGCGAGAAGAAGGTGTTGAACTGAGAGTCGTATGTTAGCTTGGTGTAGTTGAGAGAAGTTCAGGGGAGAAATAAAAAATACTAAGGGGACAGGAGTGAGAGTGTCGGAGGAGGATAGAAACAACAGAACAAAAAAAGTGGAGCAGAACTCACCACAATCCCCAAACTCTCCCCACAAGTAACAATACAAAAGCAATTAAAAACCACCACCCAAAACACCGTTGCCGTCCTCGGCAACCCCCCCGCCAAATCCGCCAACACCGCAAAAATGATACACGTCACGATCCCAAACGGGATCTCCACCGTCGTATACTGCGCCAGGAACGCCTCAACGCTATACACGCCATCATCATGCTCGCGGTAGAAGACTGCTTTTTCTGCAGGGTATACAGCGACGTTCTGGAGCATACCAACGAAGTACAGCGCGCAGAATTCTTGGATAAAACCGACCCGGTTCTGGACGCTGAAGTAGTCGAATTTGAGAGGCGCAAAGAAGAGAGTGAAGATTATGGCTACCCCGACCACTTGCATGATCCGCGCGATGAGCAACTCGGGCTGACGACGTAGGTTAACAAGTGACCGCCTCACAAGGAGCGGGTACGCTGTACGAAACGGCGCAGGAGCTCTCATCAACGCGCCCAGCTCCGCAGGCGTGGCAATCGCCCCTGGTGCCGCCACAACAGCAGGTTTCTCCCTCCCCCACGCAGCAATCAAGCCCACCACACGATCCCGGCTCGCAGCCTCCCTATCCGCAGCCTGTAAATCGACTGTAATAAGATCTAGCGCAAAATCCGCCGGGTTCGTACGCGCAGGACACGGATGTCCCAGCGCCGAAAAATGTGGAAGCATGCCGCTTCCCGGACCGGCATAGCAGGGCGCACCGCCGCGCGCGAGGAGGAGCACGGTCCCGAAGTGGGCGTAGAGATCTGAGCGGGCTTGGTGGATGGTGAGGATGAGTGTGCGTCCTTCATTCGCGAGGCCACGGAGGACATCCATGATGGATGCAGCTGTGAAAGCGTCGAGTCCCGATGTGGGTTCGTCGAGGAGGAGGACGCGCGGGTCAGTGAGGATCTGGACAGCGATTGTGACGCGGCGCTTTTCGCCGCCGCTGATGCCCTTGATCAGGTCGGAGCCGACGATGTTGTCAGCGCAGTCTTTGAGGCCCATTTTGAGGAGGATGGCTTCGGCGCGGTCGTGTTTTTCGGCGGTGGTCATGTGGGAGGGGAGACGGAGGACGGCGGCGTAGCGGAGGGTTTCGCGGACGGTGAGGGAGGGGAGGAGGGCATCGTCGTCTTGGCATACGTAGGAGCACACGCTGCGGATGACGGCGTTGGAGGGCACGGCTGCGTTGAAGGTCATGGTTCCGCTGCGGAGGTAGGTCGTGCCCATCCTGTCGAAGAGCCGGAGCGCCATGGCGTTGAGGAGGGAGGTCTTCCCGCTACCTGATGGGCCCATGATGACATTTAGCACGCCGGCCTTGAATGTTGCATCTACGGGATTCAGGATCGTCTTCCTTGGAAGCTTATTCCCCAGTGCAGTCCGCTTATCGAGGTCGAGAGCGAAGCCGGATAATCCAATTTCAATAGCGCGTACCTCCTCTGCTGAACGCACGCTCATTTTCTCTTTGCCGGACGAGAAATCTGCATCCGAGTTGCGAGCGCGACCGATCGCCATCTCGACTGGTATGTAGCGTAGCCCGAGGCCCGCTAGGATATAGAATAGGATAGCAAAGCCAAGGAGTGCCAGTATGGGCGTCGAGACCCAGTCATGCGGGAAGCCGAGCGAGTCCATCACATACGCTCCTGTATACTGTTTACACTCCGGATTTGCCTCGCCGCCTTCGAGCGGGCAATCGTAAAAGTGCCCGACGAACTCGTTGGCACAGAGAGCACCAAAAGCGTAGAAGACGTAGCTTGCCCATTTTAGCCAGCGCACATAAACCGGGATGGTGTTACTCTGGATGAAAAACCCACAAGCAAGACTCTGGATAGTGTAGTTCAGGTTCCCGATCAGCGATGCGCCAGCAAAGCTACGATCCGCGGAAATGCAGGCGGAGGCGAATGCGATGGCGATATAGTGGTTAAGTAGGACAATCGAGAAGAAAATGAAGAACTGTGCTGCCTCAGCGCGAAAGCCCGCCATAAAGTAGAAGATCACACTGAAGATAAATGGAACAGGAAGGTCCTCGATGAGGAAGCGCGCGAGACGCCGGCTCAGGAGGAATGGGATGACGTCGACGACGCCCTCGCCGCGCTCGCGGTCGAAGAGCTCGATATCGATTGAGAGCCGGTATGTCTCGTACATGAGGATTAGGTAGCCTTGTAGTCCGGCTGCGGTATAGAGCGCGCCCTCGCGGGAGCGGATCCCTGGTTGGTCCTCGCCGAGGGAAAGGAAGATCCAGCCAGTGATGATACCCATGAGAACGGCTTCGATGATGCAGCTCGCCATTCCCATCGGGTCGCGTAGGGTGACCTTCGTCGTGCGCGCAGTGAGAACGAATAATTGCCTGTAGAAAGCCGAGCGCCGACTATCGCTGTTCCCTGGAGCAATAACAGCACCGCCAGAGCTATGTTCATCTCCCCATTTCCGTAGCGACTCCTGGTTCCAACCTTCCTTCAAATGACGCACCTTCTCCAACGACGCTTCCTCCAGCTCCGGAGACCGGTTATCAACAGCCGCAAGGTCAATGAGGAACTCGGCCGGATTGACAAATGGCGGTAGAGAGTATCCCTTCTCCTTAAAATACGGCAACGATCCATCTGCCGGCCCACTATACACCGGCGAGCCCTTCGTAAGGATAGCCAGATTATCAAACACCCCATAAATCTCTGACCGCGGCTGATGAATCGTCATCACAATGGTACGCCCCTTAGCCGCCAGACCTCTTAGCGTGCGCACAAGCTGATAAGCGCTCGTCGCATCCAGCCCTGTCGTCGGCTCGTCCAGAAACATCACACTTGGGTTGCTTAGCAGCTGCACTCCAATGCTCGTGCGGCGCTTCTCCCCACCCGAGCAGCCCTTATGCACATGTGTCCCAATGCGCGTATCTGCGCACTCCTTCAGTCCCAGCTCAAGAATAACCTCCTCCACCACTCTCCGCCGTTCCTCTGCTGTCGTAGGTGGCGGTAGCCGTAGGTCAGCACTATACTGCAGTGTCTCTCGCACCGTGAGCGTTGGCAGCAGCACATCCTGCTGCATCACATACGCGCTCCTAACACCTCCCAGTAGTCCACCATTAAACGTCGCCGAGCCGCGCGCGCGCAGCCTCCCCCCTCCGTCCCCCATCCGCCCCGACATCAGATTCAACATCGTCGTCTTCCCGCTCCCACTCCCCCCAATAATCGCCGTCAGCGTCCCCCGCTCCATATCCGCGCTGACATTGTCAAGGAGCGGGCGCCAGCGCGACTCCGCCGGGGCCTTGGGCCGGAAGAGGTTCGTGAGTCCATCGGCGCTGTGGAGGTTGCGCGGGTTGGTGTCGACGCTTACCCCGAGGGCGCGGACGCGGATATCGACAGGGACGACGGAGGAGAGCGAGAGCTGCGCGCTGTGGGAGGATTGGATGGGTTGGAGGGCGTTGGTGGGGAGGCTGGCGGGGTCGAGGCGCGAGGCTTCGTGGGAGGTGCTGCGGGAGGGGGACTCGAGGTTGGAGTCGAGGTCTTTCTCTTTTTCGGGGAGGAAGGCGGGGGGAGGGGTCGAGGTGTCGCCATGAGGCGGGGTGGGAGGGGAGTCTTTCTCCATTGTGGTGACGGGTAGGGCGGTGGCTCAATCCATAGCCGCGGAGGGTGATCGTAGACAGATATGCGTAATAGGAAGCGCAACGAGCCGTTCGAGGGCAGATACTCGCGATATCAACCGCAGCCTCGACTTCAGCTTCAGATAGACCAGTGACAACGACCAGCGTAGTAGCAATGGCCTGACACTTATATTTTGCAATGAAAGGAAAGAAAAATGAAGACAGACAACAAAACGAAATACGAGCTTCCACCCGCCTCTGAGCTATAATTTACCTCTAGCTCGAGGAGATCCCCTCAGCCGTCATCGACCCCATGCTCCACCGGCGCGATCGCTCCATGTCAATTTCGCACGATGCGACTACTGGCACGCTATAAACCTTGACATGCCACATGCACCCAGGCTAAACTATCGCCAGCTAAAGTAGAGCCAATACTCTAGCCGACATAGCGGAAGTCTAGACGGCGCCAGCTACAGTAGTGTGAGTACCCGTGGGATTTGCAAAGGTACTCGAATAACCCCCATTGCTGCTACCACAGGACAAGAGAGCGTCATTGCAGATAGCAAGGCGTGCAATAGGAAGGTCTATATCTGCGTCAATTCTGCACTTGCCGATAATTATCAGTTGGGGGTTCAATAAGGCAAGGATACCGTATAGTAGAGTTAGAGTAACAGTACAGGCCCAAAAGTTCCTCTACCCCCCATCCACAATCCCTTCAGCATCTCCGCTTCCCCCACCTCGCTTAGAGCAAATAACCCCCATAGCTCCTTCTTCAATTGCCAATCCCACTAATACCCCCCGCCCATCGGTCCTTCCTTCCACTCACAGCAGCCAATATACGAGATTAGCACCTCGTTCCCTACCCACAGCACCCCTACTGCAGCATCACCCCGGGAAGCGATAATCCCGCTGCACCTCGCTTAGATTTAGATGACCACCAGCTTCGTACTCGGGAGGGTGATGTTATATGATGTGATGTTATGGGATGGGCGTCATGGGATGGACATGATGGGACGAGATGGATAGATGTGACGAGGCGCTCGGAACCGATGATTTCCGCTCGGTTGGGTGGAAGAGGGGAAGGAAGGGAAGGAAGATGCATATGCATATGCAGTCTGCAAGCACACACCAACATCTCACGATCTGCGACGGAGGAGGAGGCTCGGTAAGACAACAATGTTGTCTGTTCGGCGATGTATATAGTAGGGAGTACTCGACACGGACAGGAGAGAAGACGCAGGGACGACTCTGTGGAAGATTAGAAGATCTAGTCTAGACGGGCTCTGGGCCCGTTCCTGCCCCGCTGTCAACGGGCCTGTCTAGACCTGGTCTGCTTGGCAGCAACTGATTTTTTGACGTCGCGTCGCCGTTGCTGGGCGCTGCGCCGCAGAGATGGATGTCTTCTCCCCTTTCCTCCCTCCGATTTGTTCTCCCAAATACCCATCGTGACGTCGTCAAAATGCGTACAACTACCCTCCTCGCCGTGGCCCTCACAGCCTCCATCGCCACCGCAACCCTCCCAGCATCCATCACCCACGCCCCCCGAGCCCAACCCACCATCTCCGAAGACCCCTGGCAGTGCGTCACCGAGAACCTAACCCAATACCTCGACGTTCCCAAGCCCACCGGTCTCCTCTTCAGCGCGCTCCAGTCCTACGCCTCCGATCTCTACGAGCCATGTCTCGCCGCCATGTCCACCGCCACCTACCTCGACTACTGCTTCCCTCCACAGTCAGAATGGTGCGCCTTCACCACCGCAGCGCCAAAGGACGTTCTTCCAGCCTACTCCTCATACGCGAGCCAGGCGTACTCGTGGTGGTCGGCGCGGAGCTCTACGATCGCGTTCCTGAAGCAGGATTGCCCTAATAACTGGGATCTGAGCTTGTGGCGTGTTCCAGGCGGCGAGGAGTGGCTGAATGATACTATCGCCTTCGCTGGATGCTATGCTGAGGCGCTTACGGCTACTGGACCAGCGCCGACGGGATTGACTACGGGGGGGGCAGCAACGACGGAGACGACGGCTACGAGTCGCGAGGGGGCGGCTGTGGGAAGCGCGACTCCGACGGCGACAGACGTGCCGAATGGTGCTGGGTGGGTGGGCGTAGACATGTGGATGGTTGCAATGGCTGGGTTCGCTGCTGTTGTGGTTTAGAGAGGGGCGTTGTTGGCGAAAAAGGATGTGATGCGCAAGTCCTAGACGAGCTCCTGACGCCGCCTCCGGGCCTCAGTCCCTCCAAGAGGTCGGTCGACCGATTATTATATTGTAACTGTGCTTGGCCATGTACCCCTGTTCTATATATCTATATCTATATAGAGCAGGGCTACATGTCTAATCTCAGTTATAATATAATAATCTGTGGACCGCACTCTCGTACACCGACTCCATCATCCCCACCACTAACCGGATCGAAGTCCGCGACCTCCTCGCTTTATTATCCCCAGGACTTCCCCCCAGATATCATCAATAGCCTAATATTCTCCCGCCCTATCGCCCTCATACTCTACCATCCAGACCTGGCTGTCATTTGTAAGGGCGGCGTGGGCAAGGTATTTCTCGCGAGTGAAGAGACCCTCGCCCACGCCGCCCTCACGAACGACATCTTCCGCCCTCTGCGCGCCTCGGTGTCCTTCGTTTGTAGGTCGCTTCTTCTGCAGGACTGATGAGCCTCCGCCGCCTCTAATAGCCCATGGTATCAAACACGCAACTACCGCTAATGCCGTGGCCGTACCCGTACCTGTCGCAGGTGTAACTACTGTACTATGTTTATAGATGCCAATATACTAGTTTTTAAGATGAAGTTAGTAATAGATTATATGGTAAGACTCATATAAAAGCTATTTATAATAATGTATATACAGATGAATATCCCTTAGTTATAAGAGACGCTACCCTAATATTACTACTAGACAAATCTAAGTTTCTATAAGTAGCTACATGTCTATTTTCTCTTTAGCTACATTTTCTCCTTCTCTGCGAGTGTAGCGCATCACGTCTATAGAATCATGAGGTATAAACCCTTTTCATACCCTTCTTAAAAGCCTGTCAGCTCATACGTACTTATTTCAATACCCATTCATTCATTTATTCAGAAACCACTCACTCAGGCACCCGTCCAACTCGTAGCAACAGCGTCACGACCGCAGCAACAGACGGAATCGTTGCGACCAGCGCGAAGATCTGCCCTTATCCCCACTGGTTGCGGGACGCAGCGAGGTTCAACGCAACCGTCTTCTCAGTGTCGAGGATCAAGATGCACGCTAGAAACAGAGAAATGATGGCTCGTTGGTAGCGCGGGACACGAATGGCGAGGAGAGCGTCGTGGTAGACTCTTGATGCCCAAGAAGATGTCTCCGCGCTCGTCGGCGCCTTGATCCCCGCCCGCGCTGTCGTCTCGTCGTCATACTACATAAAAAAACAGTTGATGGCGGGGATCGCCCGGGGGTTTCTAGCTCGGATCCGCTGCGTGTCTGCCACGCGATAGTTTTGAATGCTCTCCTGTGTTGTGTCGATGTATGCGGTCCATGCCTGTTTCCGCCTCGTAGATATCAACGCAGGCACCGAGCCCCAGGCGTGCGCGGGCCCATAGAACCATACGTGTGTTCTGAGAGCGAAGTATCCCGCGACGAGCACAAGGGCGAGAATCCAAGACCGGTTGAGAGACCTGGTGATGTGTCCGCGGAAGCCGAGAAAGCTGGTTCGTGTGCATAGGTTACACTGGGATTCACTCCCTAGACACGGCATCTGGAAGACGATCCAGAGCCAGATGCCGAAATACATTATGAGTCTAAGCTGCTGCGCGAGAAAGATGCCGGGCGAGCGGACGCGCCAGGACTCGAGCACGTGCGTGGGGAGCATGGTGATGTTGAGGAGGGAGATGGCGAGGGTGGCGTGGTAGAGAGACAGCTGCGTTTGGGAGGAGAAGATCGTGGCGAGGGATGTGAGAATAAGACTTCCGTAGGTTGCGGTGGTGCGGTCTGCACTCGAGACGAACCCTAAGTATAAAACATTACATATCGTTTGCGTATAAGTAGCAACACGTACCTAGTTTCCTCTGTCAGTCTCTGGCATGGGAGGTGCGGAATGACTTACACCGATGCCTGCAATGTCTGGATCGGCTTGAACGACACAGGGGTCCTGACATTGGATGATGTTCGAACAGACCTTGCTGTCAATTTGCGACCACTTTGGTATGATTCCTAGGCAGATGACCGGAATTATCAGAACCAGCGCAAGAGATCACTTCGTTGCGGTCTGTATACGCCGCAACCAGTAGCCTGGCCTACCCTCTGCATCTACCAGTGATCTGTGTTGCTAGTAAGTTTATGCCATCATATTTGCAGCATTTTTGAATGGCCACATACGGTCTGTTGAGCCATACTGGGATCCAGAATGGCGGTTACACTTGGGAGGTGGGATACATATCGGGGTTGCTCAGCTATGCCTCAAATGTTGCTGGCGGTGAGAGATTTCGATGGTCAGCCATCACAAAAGAATCCTACCTACAAGTCACATAAATAAATAGAGTCAGGATTCGACAAGCTAGCGGGTGTACTATTAGCAAATTGGGGACAGAAGGCGTCGAAGCTGAGAATCTTTTTGTTGTAAACCGGCGCTAAAGTTAAATTCACTGTCAGAGCACAGGTCCGTAGACCCGACGCCTTAGAACTAGGTAAGCCACTCCTCGTTTCGAGGAGCTTTTATGGCTACCCGTAGGCCTCCCAAGTGGCAGTACAGATAAAAGAACAGAAGGCAGCCAACCATTTCCCGTTTCCACGAAGCCGGTATCGTGATCCTAGACACAAGATGCGGCCTTTCAAGAGGCCTGAGGCAGATTTCAGAATCGACCAACTGTTTCGCGTTTTTAAGCGCTGTGCAGTTCCAAGTCCAGGCTACACCACACTAAAAATGTTAATCCACACATGTGCGCGCGTATAGCTATTTATATACCCAACAGCGCTCTTAGGCCGCTTCGGTCATCGAAAATGGAAATGGACGTGCCTAGTGGCAGTGTAGGTAAAAGCAGGAATGGTTCTGGAGGGGGAACATGGAAGCGGAAGGCTGACAACGGGGGGCGGTTTTGGTGGTGTTCTTGTGGAAGAGATCATGGGAGAGAATTGGGCATCTCTGCCAGAGATGGTCGCTAAATGCAACGACTTTGAGATTTCTGTTGATGGGAACTTGATAACCAATTGCTGTATCGCGTGAACAGTTCCGAGGCTAATGCTGCTTTTATCTAACATCACCACCATACGGAACAGCTAAACGTATATAGCTATTGCAAAACAGGAAGATGTACAAGCTAGTGCTTTATAAGGCAGACAAATACTGTAGTAAGTATTGTAATTATTGTATAAAGTTCTCTGTTTTCTAATATTAGAAGTCAGCTTTCTAAATCCTAGAAATAGTAAATTGGCTGTCTAGAGGTTGATTGACTCCTTGCCTAAAACCTCCCGACCTTAGTTCATTAACCACTTACCTCTAACACCTCTTTATTCTAAGATTTAATTTATTCTATTTTTTCTAAAACAGCCTAAGTTATCATGTTTACATTTTAGACATAGTTGCAAAACACTTAGGAGTATAGCTTAATAATTCTATAGATGACACTTTATTATAGAACTAACTTCTAGCTAGTGAATAGAGGCTTAAGAGTTAAACTTACTATAAACAGCTTGCATAGCCTTTAATTAAATCCTATTATTACTTAGAGAAACGCTAGCGTAAGTAAGTAGATCCGTTTATAATAAGTAGCAAGTTTAACTTCAACAGGTACTATATTAACGTTAGCCTAGTGTAAAGCCGTAGGCCTAGGGTCACGCGGGAGTTCAGGGAACCAGATCAGGAGGCAGTAAGGTGAGAGTATATAGCGTAACAATAGGTCTACCTGAATACAGCGACTATTGACTGGAGTCCTCCACTGAGGCTCCAGCCCCTGATATATCTTCCTATACCGTGAACCCTAACAACCGGGCTATACCCGAATGACAGCTCTACCGTAGGGCTGCCTTCAGCGTGGCACCTCACGTGCCATCACGTGAGGACCGCCTTACACCTAGATGGGGAGGAATGTCTTGTAAGGGAGTCTCATTGTCTAACTATAGGGCGCCTAAAGAATTTCCTAGCCTAGTATGCTAAAACTAACAAGGGAACATTAAGCAGCACACCTTTACAGAAGCACTTTAACCAACAAGGTATATAAGTATGGGGAATTATACGGCGCAGATGTTGCTTTAATCATCTATTAGAAGGGGCGTTATTACACTTACGTATCTCCTTGTAACCTATGTTTTCCACCATCTAAGAAAGAAATCGTAGGTTTACCCCTGATTTTAAAGGTATTTACTAAATAGTAGCAAGATGAATTCGTTTCTAATCCCTATAAATATGTTTCCACATCATTCCGATGTGAAACGTAACCCGGAAGGTCCAGAACAGGCAGGGAGTAAAGAGTAGGAAAAAATTAGGTGTGGATATAGCAACTTCTACAGTGCTAAGAGGGCGGGATGCAACCCCGGCTCAACTAAGTCTGTTCGGCCTGGCCCTAGAACTCGCCCGGCCCTTCACAAGTTGAGGGGGGCATGGTCCACTAATCCATCCAAATTAGTGCTAGATGTCCTAACCATCTCTCACCTAATGATATCGATGATTCCTGCCGAATTTATTGTCGAGAAGGTTTTTTTACTGCAACAATCACTTGGAATATTATGGCTCTTTTATACTTAATGTCACTCGCTAGCTATATTAATACCGTTGCTATTTTTACTTCGTTGTTTCCACGTGACTCTTCAAGCGATCAGGCACTTGATTGACCAAATATAGAATTCTCAGCTAGGTCATGTTGGCGAGCATTCTATAAGATGGGGCGGGGTAAGCTCAGGTGAATCTCAGCTCTACACTAAGTCACAACAACAAACGAGTAACTTATTCATCAAAGATAGCGATGTATTGTCATGATTGTGATCGATTATTTGGCAGTCATCTAGCTCTCCAGCAACACTTAATTTCTCCAGCTCATGATTTTGAATGCGACGAGTGCGATAAGTCCTTGAGGACCCGACGATCTCTCGACCAGCATCTCGACTCACCAGCTCACAACTTCGAATGCGACGAGTGCGATCGGACATTTAGAAGCCAACATAGTCTTGACCAGCACCTTGACTCCCCGGCTCACGATTTCGAATGCGACGAGTGCGGCCGGACCTTCAGGGCGGAACGGTCTCTCGTCCAGCATCGTCCAGCATCGTCAGTACTTTGCCCATAATCGAAGGTTGGGGCCGGCGCGAGAGATAATGTGAGTTGGGGCAACTTCACCAACTCCACCAAAAGCGAGGAGAAAGTGAGCCGCGTGCGTGGCTGCCGGCGCCATTTAAAGTACTTATTAAAATCCCCTGCCTTTTCTGATGTGTTTCGACCTGGGCGATAGCTCCATGGCTACAAGCCTAGCTTAACTTAGTGCCTCTATTGCCTCAATGCGCCATCACAACACGTGACCCGAGTTCGAAGGTCGATGGTCTCTTCGATTCAGGGTCTGTCAGGGTAAAAAAGGGATTCGCTGCAGGCAGTGTACGAAGTACGACGAATGTCTCAAAAGCCAACGCATTAACCAGTAAGGCGATGACACTAGCTCAGCATTTTGCATACACCAGAGACAAAGACTCGTAAATACGGTCCGAGCAGGCACATTTAGCTGATAGCCACGTCCAGCCACGCCCAGACACGCCCAGCCATGACAGCCCAAAAAGCTTGAAAATCAAATCAAATGAAAAAGGTACCAATGCGGCTACCCTCAGACGAATAGGTGCCACTGTGGCTGAGCTAGCCACTTTAGCAGCCTATAGCTAGTCGCGTCGGGTAAATCAATAAACTAATATTTTAAAACTAACGATTGTTTTCCTCCGTTTGATCCCCCGTCCCATCAACTTCAGCTGTTGGACTTGCTGCTTGATATGGTGCTACACTAGTACTTTGCATACGATCGAATTTTAACTAATCCACTTTGAAGTAGCATTTTATTGCCACGCAATTCACCATGATCACCAACAATGTGCTATGTAGTGCAGTAGCGCGGATAACAACTCTTGATTGAAATGCTACTTCATGTACTGTAAACTCTTTCATTCTCTCTTTCTCTCTCTCTCTCTTTCTCCTCTTACACTTCCCTTCCCTTACACCGAGTACTAGTACTCCCTGTTGCTTTTCATCTACTTGCATGCTCACTCGCTTGCTTACATTCGTTTAATATGAGGGGTCTTCTCTTCCTAACGCTCGCTGCTAATCTAGGCTCTGCCTTTGCTCAGGTTTGTCTCTCTCTCTTTCTGTCTCTATCTCTCTTCCCCGACGGAAAGCTTCTTTGGCGACGATTCTAACTGTTGTTGTAGGTTGTTGACTTGGGATTAGCGGCGTCGTATGGGGTTCTTGCTCATGCTTCAATCTCTAACTCCGGCCCTACGACTGTTAATGGAGATATTGGAACTACCGGCACATCTATAGTTGGATTTCCCCCGGGAGTCTACACTGGAAATAGAAACGTAGGCTTGCTAGCTACTACTGCTTTCAACAATGCTGAAGCCGCATACACAACCCTTGGCCAACTACCAGGCATTATTTTAGTTGGAAATCTAGGAGGAAGGCTTCTCCCGCCAGGAGTTTACAGGTTCCCTACAGCTGCAGTATTGTCCGGTACCTTGATTCTTGCAGGACAGGGTTCCCCTTGCGACTCATGGGTCTTTCTAATCGGCAGCACTCTGTCTACTTCGGTTGGATCATCTGTGATAGTAACGGGAGGAGGGAATCCCGGCAACGTCTTCTGGAGGGTTGGAGCATCGGCTACTATTCAAATTGGCAGCCAGTTTAGTGGAAATATACTTGCCGGAGTCGCTGTTACGTTGAATCCAGGAGCTTCCATTCAGGGGAGTGTATATGCTCTTGGTTCATCGGTTGTTTTGAACAGCAATGAGGTTGCAGCACAGGCAAACTCTTGTCCATTGGGTGCTTCAACATCAACTTCTGTATCATCAACTTCTACAACCGCGTCCTCGGATTCTTCGACGAGCACTGATGTCTCAACAACCACGGACTCTTCAACCTCCACGACCACGGATGTGACAACAACCACTTCGTCGGATTCTTCAACAAGCACTGATGTCTCAACCACTTCGACAAGCACTGATGTCCCGACAAACACTTCAACCAGCACTGATATCCCGACAACCACAGACTCTTCCACCTCCACGGATGTGACAACAACCACTTCGACAAGCACTGATGTTTCGACAACCGACGTTTCGACAACCACTGATATCACAACAGCCACTTCGACAACCACTGATGTCACAACAGCCACTTCGACAACCACTGATGTCACAACAGCCACTTCAACAAGCACTGATATCCCAACAGCCACGGATGTCACAACGGCCACGGATACCACAACAGCCACGGATATCACAACAGCCACTTCCACCTCTACGGATGTCACAACAACCACTTCGACAAGCACTGATGTCCCAACTACCACAGACTCTTCATCGTCAAGCTCCTCAGTTACATCTGCGTTTGCGTCATTAACATCGACGTCTACGGCTTCATTACCTTCTTTGACTAGTTCCACAATAATTTCTGTAACAAATTCATCGGCTATATCTTCTCCACCAGCATCAACCACGTCGATAGTCTATGCAACAACCGTCTACACGATCACGAAATGCCCAGCAACTGTCACCAACTGCCCTATTGGCTCTGCCACCACAGAGCTCATCAGTCTATACACGACTGTATGCCCCGTAGCCGCCTCGGCAACAAAACAACCACCCTCCGGATATACCGTCTCAACCGTCTTCACTACTATCGTCTACACGATCACCAAGTGCCCTAAGACGGTCACAAACTGTCCTGTGGGATCCGTCACAACGGAGATCAGAAGCCTCTACACTACCACCTGCCCTGTCACACAATCTTTTGTGAACAGTGTGCTAACTCCTCAGTCTAGCATTCCTGCCCGTCCTGCTTCTTCCCAGCTTCCTGCTGCGGTATTGCCAAGTAGGATTTCTTCGATAGCTATTGCAAGCCCTGTCTCCACTGTGTCTCTAGCTTTGGGGCTCTCTGGTGCAGCCCCTGTCTCCTCTGTCTCTCCCGCCTCGGGGCCCTCTAGCGTCCAAGGCAGCGTCCTAGTGATTGGAGCACCACCATCATCGAATCTTGTGATCTCGACCGTCACGGCATCTAAGGGCACGGTTAACGTTTCTCAAACTTCTCAGCCTTCAGCTGCTTATACGGGGCCAATTTCTAGCAGTGGTGTAATGAATAAGGGTACTAGTGCAAGTTTGTTAGTTCTTGCGATTGGGGCTCTACTATTTTTGTAAGCCTAATTATTGTATATAGGGGTCGTACGTACGGCTCACAAATATTTAATCTAATTATATAAATTTTACTTCTTAGGGATGTCAGTTCAGGATTTGGAAGGCAATGTAGATTGTTATATAACTGTAGTAAAACTGATGATGTTGTTTAGAGAAATTGGGGTGAGACCATGGTGAGTCGACGGATGGCACGACAGTATTTAGGGAACCAGTCAACTGCTTTCGCGCTTCTTAGGCACCGAAGCCAGGCAACCATCCCCCGTTTCTAGGAAGCCGCTGTCGTAATCGAAGACACAGGATGCGGCCTTTCTAAAGTCCTAAGGCAGACTTCAGAAATCGACCAACCGTTTCGCGTTTCCCGGAAGCCACTGTCGTGATCGAATACACAGGATGCGGCCATTCGAGAGGCCCGAGGCGGATTTCGGAAATCGACCAACCGTTTCGCATTTTTAAACGCTCTTAGGCCGCTTTAATGGTCGCCACAAGTGGGGAAGTGTGGGCCTTGAGGCAGTCTAGGTAAAAGCAGCATTAGTCCTAGAGCGGGAACACGGAAGCGGAGGGCTGACAACGGGTGACGGTTTTGGTAGTGGTCTTGGCGCAAAAGTGATGGCAGCTCACAGAGAATTGGGCATCCTGTCCGCTCTGCCATACACAAGCTTGTGTATCCCTCTGGATAATAGCGTCATTTAGCCACACTCAAGCCACACACTATGTAGATGGCGTAGGGTACTAGGCGAGGCTATATTGCACTTTTCTATATTTTACTCTGATATATTGTAGTAGAATAAGGATCTAACTATGCTTTTGCTGCACGAAGCTCGTCAAATCTCAAAACAGAACCAAGTAATACCTGTGCTCCTGTGGCACATTCCTCTGGAGAACTATATTCTACAGGGTTATGGCTGATACCATCCTTGCAAGGAATGAATATCATAGCCGTGGGACATCTTTTCGAAGTATATACACTGATGTTGATTAGAAAAATGGTTGCGATGAGATTCCAAGCCCGGTGATAGAGTAGCATACCTGTCGTGACCAGCTCCGCTTATCATGCCCTCTTTCATAAAATCATCTGCCGCGATGCCAGCTTCCGTTGCAACAGCTTCTGCACTCTCGGAGATGCAACGGATACAATCCGCATCGAAAGTGGTAGCTGTCGACGTAGAATCCAGCTGCCACTCAATCGAACACCCTCTGCCCTTAATACCCGCCCTGGTCGTCCCTGGTACAAGTTCATCCTTGGCAATAGTCTCAAAATCCTGCTTGAGCTTTTCCTCTAACAGCATTAGTTGAGAATCGGCGCCCGAGCGAATGTCGAGAGAGAATGTGACCTCTCCAGGTACGGTATTGGTGCTCCCAGGCTTGAGTGTGAGCACGCCCGTAGATGCCAACGACAAAAACTCACTTGCGAGTACGTGGGAATGAGAGATCATTCTCGCAGCCGTAAGCAAAGCATCTGAACGATGCGGGAAAGTGGTCGCTCCAGTATGGCACTCGCGGCCGCCGACGGTAATGGTATGCCAGCGATAAACTTGTGCGCCCTTGACAATGCCGATTCGTTTGTTCTCAGCCTCGAGGATCGGACCTTGTTCTTGATGGAAGTTAGCCTAACTCCATTCCACTCCTCAGATAAACCGAATAAATAGTGGGATCATACCAATATGGAGCTCAAAATGCGCTGCTAAAGGCGTGCTCTCATAGCTTGCTGGTGTGTCGCCGAGGTACCCAATCCTCTGGAGTTCAGATTTCATAGTGGCATTACCCCCGCCGACTTCTTTGAGGTTATGCGCACGCTCAAGAGGAATTGAGCCAGCCCACACACCAGAAGACACCATTGATGTCGGGAATCGGGCACCCTCTTCACTAAGTAATCGGTTAGTTTGATTTCTCGACGAGTAAGGCAACCTTACTTGGTCCAGTTGACAAGCCCAATAGGGAATGCAGTGCTGACTTTGTTGTCCTCGAGAACTCTCAAGGCCTCCAACCCGGCCAACACTCCAAGTACACCATCGTAGCGGCCTCCGCTAGGCTGCGTATCCAGATGGCTACCCATGAATGTTGCCGGTCCTTCGTTGCGTCCAGCACGAATAGCAAAAATGTTGCCCATAGCGTCGATGTGTACCTTGCAACCCAGAGACTTTGTCTGCTTGACAAACCAATCTCGGACCAGCTTATCCTCTGAAGAGAGAGACAATCGTGACATTCCCGTGTCATTTACACCGCTGTCAATCTAGTAAGTAAAATAGTTATCTCTAATAAGGGCACCTTGCCTACCTTCCCCAAACTGCACCCTTACCCCACTGTGCAGTGTGGTGGATATCTTTCATGAGACGAGCTCCATTGACCTTCAGATTTTTAAATGCAGCGTTCGCCATCATTATTTTTGCTGAAAGATAAATCAGGTGACGAGTTTTAATGAAGTGTTGAAGGTAAACTGACACCGGATGAGGTTTTGACGAAGGCCAAGGTCGGCAGATCCCCGAGACTATATATGCAACTGATCTCGTGATGTTGGGCGACCTATTTGAGGGGTAATTTTTGTAATCCGGTACCCACATTCACATTGGCTTTCTTTTAGCAAGATCGTAACCTAAATATTTATTTGTAACAAGTGATATCGTGATGTTGGGCGACGTACTAGAGGGGCAATTGTTTTTGATCTGGCGCCCAAATTCATATTGGCTTCCTTTTAGCAAATCGTCAGCTAAATACCTTTATGCAACAACTGATCTCGCGATGTTGGGCGACGTATTAGAGGGGTGATTTTTTTTAATCCGGCGCCCATATTCATTCATACTGGCACCTTTTAGCAAATAATAACCTAAATACTGTATGTAACAAATGATATCGTGAAGTCGGGCGACGTACTGGGAATTTTTTTCCACTCCGGCGCCCTTATTTGTATGATTCTCTTCCCGTGTTATGAATCATTCCGCATCCCTCGCTGTTTTCCATATCTCACTCTTCTGCGTCTGCCATCATTTTTCAATAACGCCTTGTGCCAACGAAATGTTTGTCAATTCCGAAGCTCGGGCATGGACATGCTCTTCTGCAATTGATGCTAAAATTGATACATTTCACTGCAACCTACCAGGGTATTCACAGACTCCACTTCTTGACTGTAGCTCAATTTCAGCAGAGTTGAGCCTGAAGAACGTCTTTCTCAAAGATGAATCAGCCCGTATGGGCCTTCCAGCATTCAAAATCCTGGGCGCATCGTGGGCAACATACAAGGCCATTACAAAGCTGCTTCAGCTTCCGACAACGGTCAATGTCCAGACGGTCATCAAGGGTATTGCTGAGAAACATCAAGGCTTGACCCTCTTCGCAGCAACCGAGGGAAATCATGGTCGAGCAGTGGCTAAAATGGCAACGCTGCTGGGAATAGCATCGCAGATCTTTGTTCCCCAGTATCTGAACAAATCGACGCGCGATTTGATTGAGAAGGAGGGGGCATGCGTAGTGGAAGTTCTAGGAGACTATAATGAGGCTGTTGTCAGGGCAAAAGACACAGCACATGAGCTTGGAATTGATGGCTTGTTGATCCAGGATACTGCATTTGACGGCTATGAAGATATTTCGCAGGTACAGTGCTCTCTGACCCTTCTCAAGCCAAAGCCAACTAAAATTTCCCAGTGGATCGTAGACGGTTATTCAACAATGATGAAGGAAGCCGACTCACAGATCTATAATATCACACAAACTCGACCAGATGTTATCGTGGTGCCTGTTGGTGTCGGTTCTCTAGCTCAGTCGGTCGTCACCCACTACAAGTCCCAAGGCCATCCTTGCACCATTATAGCAGTTGAGCCAGAACCAGCAAATTGTCTACAGATGAGCCTGAAGTCTGACACGTTAACCTCGGTCTCGACTGAAGATACGATCATGTGTGGTCTGAACTGTGGCACTGTGTCTTCAATCGCTTGGCCTATCCTTCAGAAAGGGGTTGACGTGAGCGTTTACGTCACAGATGCTGAAGCTCATGAGTCTCTTGTCCAGCTCAAAGAATGTCAAGCAGTGATTGGGCCATGTGCAGCAGCTACTTTGGCAGCATTGAAGAAAGTAGTCAGAGGGCCTGGATTGGACAAAAACGCCGTCGTATTGCTTCTTGGTACAGAGGGTATACGAGATTACGAAGTTCCAACTTACTGAGAATATTTACATCAAATGGTTGATTACTACTCAAACTTCTCTCTCCTCATCTGCCGAGGATTTACATGCCAGAAATTCTGGAGGTGATGGCAGGATTGAAAGTGCGGGGCTTATATGAATATCAAGATAATGTATTTCGATCCATGATATACAACCGCTACATAAATAGACTCTCGTATTAAGAAAGCCAGTTTAATATCAATACGTCATCGAAACCTTGTATGTCTGCAGAAAAACTATAATATAACTGTGTTTGTTACTATAATAGACATGGGGTCGTGCTGTACCACCTTTCAGATCAGCTTTATGCACGAATGTGCCCATGTCCAGCCTGAGGCATAAACGGATCAGTCACACAAGCAGTCACGAAGTCATCAAACAAGAATAATAGCTGAAAATCAGTTCCGCTCGCTCGCTCGCTCATTGTATTCATCCACACCCCTCGCTATCTCATTTCATCATACAATCCCACAATCCCACTATCCCTCATCCCCGCCGTGAGGCATCTCTCATCTCCTCTCCCCTTATCGCCATTTTTATATCCCCCACGCCCCCAACCCCCCCTCCCGCCTTCCCAGCCCCCGTCCGTCCCTAGTACCCCTCCCCTCCCTTCCATCTAGATGAGGAACCTCTGCTGTTAACAGGCAAGAGTAAGTATCTAGACTTAGCCGTATCCATTAACAGCATGAGTTCCCCAACTTAGATGGAGAGGGAGGGGGTAAAAACTAAAAATAATAATAATAATAAAAAATGATTTCACGAACAGCCGCCACCCGAGCCCGTCGCTGTGCACCGACCGGCCTGGATACCGGTTTCATAAATGGATAGCAAAAAAATGCACAGTAAGCGGGATTGAAAACAAAATAGGTTGAGGGGTCGTAGCCCCTGAGATCCGTCGCTCGGGGCGGGGAATATGCGATGACGGGTTGTAGGTGTAGATAGACGTCGATGTATATTGATAATGTAGATGAGGTGTAGGCGTGAACGCCGATCCCATTTTTCCCACCTGCCCGAACGCCGTGAGATGCGGTTTGATAGTGAGCAGCGTCATATATAGCAGTTGTGTATCGGGTGACGTATGGCGACAGTCGTATGCCTGTCGATATGGAATCCAGGGGGGGGGTCGTGTATCGCGCGCCGTCATCGTGGGCGGCGCTTTCGAGTATACCGATCCAGCTCGCGCCAGGACAAGGGAGTCGACTTTCCCATCCACTCCGAGTCCATTAATAGGCGCGTCACGCTCCAGCCGTAGCATCCATAACTCCGGAATTCCCCACGCCGCCAACCTCCCCCGCGCTGCTCCTCCAAATATACTCTCCCTCCGCCTTTCACGTAGCCAAAAAGTCCATCCCCATATCACTCGCAATCCCCTGCCAATCCCAACTCCTCTCATCCCTCTTATCCATATACCTCCACACCTCCTCCAGCACCTCCAGCGCACGATCCGCATTCCGCAACGTCGTATACGCCCTAATCCTTCTAATACTCTCCCTAATCGGTATCCTCTGCTCCGGCTCAAACGCCGCACACCCAATAATAAACGTCGGCGTCAGCACCACAGTCTGGCACGGGTCGTTCGCAGGGATCAACTTCAGCAGTTCCAGCGCACCGTTAACAGCGGACGTGATTTTGGTATCGGGCGCCCAGCGCGTTGCCTTGGGAGGGTAGATGCTGCGCCACAGGTACACCCAGAGCATCTGCTTATATAACAGACCTGCGACATGGCGGACCTCGCCGACGGGCCATGCGGACTGCCAAGCGCGGATGGAGGCGTCGATCTGGGAGGCGCGGTAGAGGGCGTTGTAGTCGACGATAGGGTCGATGTCGGATTCGATGTTGATGCGGATTTTGTTACGGAGGCGGGTGATGGAGGACATGAAGTAGAAGAGGTTATCCTGGACGCCCATGAGGCACTCTGCTTCGGGCTGGAAGAGAGCGGGCGGGAGGGACAAAGAGGAGTCGTCGTCGGGGGCTGGGGAGGATGTGGAGGAGAGTGGTGGGGAGGCGGGCCGGTGGACTAGCTCGTCGACCGAGATGTGGAATTGGAAGTACTCCTTGATGAAATCCATGAAGGGGGAGTCTTCAGGGGGCGTCTCGCGGATGAGCTTCTGGTAGGCTTGGAGGTGCACGCGATGCTCTCCTGTCGTCTTGCCCTCTGTTAGACTCTTGACGACGAAGCAGAGCATTTGACCGTAGCGCACGGAGAGCACGACGTTCTCTGTCGTGCCGGAGTTCTGCCGCTCGATGTCGAGGACGAACTCCTTGACTGCCTCTTCCTGGTGGAATAGCGCGCGCTCGCACAGGCTATTCTCCGTGACGTCCGGGTGCTTGGCTAGGATCGCGCGCCCGTATTCGCTTTGGTAGTCGAGGTTGCTACTTGACAGCGCTAGGATCGAGTGCATTAGACCGAGGTGCTTGACGGCCATCGGAAGTAGCATATCCTTGAAGGCATTCTTCTGCGGGCCCTCGACCGTCAGTACTGCGCTCAGCCTGAACACGTAGTGCTCAAAGAAGATGCGGTCGCCGGCTGTGTCGACTCCGTGGATCACGGGTTGGAGTTGGATGTTGGGGATGCACACGCGACTGAGTTGCGCGGTTGATTGGGCGAGCATGGAGGTCGAGATATCCTTTGACCAGACCGCCGTGCCCTCTTCTGCCTTCTCCTTGCCGGACTTCCAGATGGCCCGCTCTGGGTAACCTTCGCACACCACGGCGTTCTTCTCGCAGTTATTACCTATAAGGTGTTAGTCACGCTCAAAAACTTAAGTTGCTAGCAGAGCCACAGCGACAATCAGGGGACAGCATACATCTTGGCTTCGCCTCGTCACACTTCTTCTTCCGTTTCCGACACGTAATACACCCCGTCTTCGACCTCCCTTTCGTAATCTTATTGAGCGACTCTGGCACAACGGGATGTTTCCGCGGCCTACCTCTCGGCCTCTTCGCTGCCACCGGTGACATCAATTCCATCGACCGCCGATGACTCTCAATTAGCGCTAACGCCGCGTCGTCCCCTGGCGACTCGACCTTCGGCTCAATTAACTCGTCAAACTCCTCCTCGGGTATAGCATGTCCACACGCATCGACCTTCCTCTTCACCCCCCTCTGCTCCTCCCACGAGCCCGACGGCGTCGGCGTCGCAGAACCTCCATCCTCCTCCTGCCTATTATCCACCACCCTCTCCACCGTCCCCGCACTCGTCGTAATAACCCCCGCCTTCACCATCCCCAGCATCCTCTTCCTCTGGCCTATCGTCCTTTGAATCCGCGAAATATGCGCCAGATCTTTCCTATCGCCTACCCGCCGTATCTCTCCCCTCTGTAGCACCTGCCCCGAAGCCCCCTCGTCGTCCGCCACCTCAAGCGGCCCTGCGTGCTCGAATGTCCCGCTATTGATGTGCGCGTACCGGGCGCGTGCGTCCATGCTCCGCTTCTCTTCGTCCCCGTTGCGCGGCCGAGGGTTAGGGGCGCGGGGTCGTAGGCATCGGGGGGTGGTGAGTGAGGGCGGCTTTGGTGGTCGGGAGAGCTGGAGCGCGGGAACTCGGTATGGAGTTGAGCTGGTTGGGTGGTGGTGGTGGTGGTGGTGGTGCAGCTCCGAAGTCGCGGCGGTATTGGTTGGCTCGGTTTGGTCGGGGAAGGCGGTCCAGCGTCCTACTCGCTCGTAGCTATCTGTTCTGTACTCTCTTCACTCTACTCTTCGATATCGCGGTCCGGGAAGAAACAACAACGGCACAACTTCAACACAACACAACGTCAACACACAAACGTTAACAGCGGCGGTAGTACACGTAGTTTGAGGAAGCTTCGATCCATAAGAGATTCGAGCGGAGGAGCGAGCGAGTGGAGATAGATAGCGTAATATCTAGCTCCTTGGGGGGGTGTGAGTGTGAGTACGGTACTTTCGCTTTTCGTTTCCGGTTCAAAGTACGGGCGTAGCAGGGGTTTGGGGGATGGGAAAGGGCATGGGAAGGGAAGGGATTGAGTACATCAATGATCAATTGTCTACAGCTGCAAGGATGCGTGCGGATTGTTCGCTTGTGGGCTGGATGTGGGTTGTTGTGGGCTGCCTGAGAATAATTTGCAGGGGTTGGCATTTTAGTAGAGTACTAGGAGCTACTAGGAGTTACTAGGAGTACCCTCGACGAAGGGATGGGATGTGGGCGTTATCTGGAACGAAGTGGATGCGAATAGATGGCCTTTCGCCGTCTGACAATGACAAAGTACTGACCAAGTATTTATGGGATTATATGTAGTTGGGATAGTAGGGAATTAGAGGTTTAGGGGATTAGAAAACTATCAGGGCATTAGGGGGTTAGGGACCCCGAGCGAGGGATTCAGGAGGGAGGGAGACGTACGTACGTGGAAAGTGAGGAAGTGAGGACGGAAGGACTAGCGTATTGGGGGAGCAAGGGACGGGCTGCTCGACAGTAGAACAGACGTTATGTAAGAGTATATGCCATTCACTCTATACTGCCTATTTCGTGTGGTGTCAGTTCACCCGTGGCCGTGGTAAAGTACTCCCCTAGCACAGTCCAGCAGTATAAACCGAACCCCAAGTCGCTTGTCTCTCCGTCCGGGTCGCTGCAGAATCCGTGCAGTGAGAAGCGTGTATTGTAGCGCACTTTTCTCATCTCTTGATCCCCTATATTCGCTGAGCCTTGTTGGTTAAGATTACGTGGGACGAAATGGCACCGCGGGCAGAGGGAGCGGGAGGGCAGGAGCATTATGCGGTTGATGCAGGCCCGTTGCGCATAAGACACATGTGAGAATATACATCTGTGAGACAGGCGTTGCGAGTGGGGAGGATGGGGGGATGGGGGGGATAGAGAGAGTGGAAGTGAAAAGACAGCGGGTAGGATGGGATGGGGCAAGGAGAGTGGCACCATTAGCAACTAGCAACTAGGGAGGGAAGCTTCGACTGTGCTGTGCATCACCGATGGTACTATAACCATACCAGACTATACTACTGTATGATATACCAATCTATACTGCTACTGTATACTATGCTCTATACTACCCAGTTCGGTATACGTGGACTCCATCCCCCAAGAGACGCCGAGGCATGGTTAGTAAAGTAATCAAACAAAATCCAGACCCACGAGTCAGTTAGTCTAAGAATGTCGCAATCCCCCCAAACCAGAGCCATCCTTTCCCTACTCGTACATAACTTTACAGTAATGGTACTGTACAAATACTATACATACGTACATACTTGCGCACTCATCCCTCATCCCTCTCATCCCTCCAGCACGACGCGCATTCACAGTCGCCCATCGCTCCTCCCTCAGCGCCGATCTCACCAACGCCCCCGCGCGCCATGTCTCACTCCACCCTCCACTTCACCACAATATCGATATCTCGTCGTTGGAGAAAACCCATCCCCTCATATCCAGCTGAGCCAGTCCCATACATACCATGCCATTCTCTACTGTACGCTGCAAATGTCCCCCATCCACACTACAAACACCACAAAAACCCTCCAAGCCGCCCAGCCCCACCACCCAATCTCACAAACACTTCTCTCCGACCAGTCCAACCCGCTGTCCCGCCCAGACCCACTAAATCCCCTTCCTCCCCTTCCCTCCCTTCCCCAATCGCACTTCTATCAAATATCCATAGCTTTCGTCTCCACCGCGCCCCGTCCCTCCAGCCGCGAATAGTGTCGGATATTCCCCGGTGCGGACTGGACCGCAACACAGACTATCAATCGTCATCATCATCATCAGCACCAGCGGCCAGGCCGTCGCCAAACGGGGTAATCATCGTCCTAGAATGGATGATGGCTTGAGAAAGGGCCTTGTTTTTGGGGGCTGGGCGCCCAGACTGCGCCCAGAGCGTGGGCCATCGAGTCGCTGGAACGGGCGAAGTGCATGGGATAATCCAGGCGGGTACTTTGTTGGGGAGAGGGGGAGGGGCATTGGATGGACGACTGGGATGGGTGAGGTTTGGTTTGGAGAGCAAGGACGGCAGAGTAGTGTACAAAGAGCGGGTGGTGGGTGGAGCCATGGCACTCTCCGTACTCTCCTTCAAGATAAAAATCCAGCCTATCTTCCCCCTCACTAACCACGCAAACGCCATCAACGCCTCATAAACCCCAACTAGCAATTCACGTACCCTCCCCCCCCCTTCCCATAACTCCCGTATCTCCCACCCCCGGTCCATCACCTCGCCGCCCGCCCTCACAGCACTGTCACATCGCCCAGCCACGAAACGCATCCACGCCACCACTTGCCGATCGTTAATCGGCTGGACCAGACCAGCCGAGAGCGCTCGCCGGATGCGCGATGCAGGAATGAGAAAAGGGAGTTATGCTTAGTGTCGGCATTGATGTGTGAGCTGGTGATAAGAGGGATGAGGGCGAGACGGCCAGACAGGCAGACATGCGGCTTGACTCCCATCCATGACAGTATTCTATGCGCGCGGAGAGGTTGCATGTGCAGGCAGGAATGAGGAGATCGCAAAGCCCGGATCAAACACCGTGCCTCCCATGCTCTCTGTGCGCACAATACGTACAGTGCATACATACACATAGAGCACCCTCAACACCAACAACCAGGAGCAGGGCGCGATATTACCCAGCATCGCGCACGCTCCTATATGCGCCACGATGGCATAAAGATAAGGGCCGATCGGGGAGTCCAGCATGCGTTCCGGTGTGCTCCATAATGCGGGCACTATAGATATGCAGGAATGCTTGGTTGTTTGGAGACCAGCCAGGACCAAATGCAAGGGCCGGGCAGAGGAGCTGGGGGCGCAGGTTTTTGAAGATACCCGGTCGGCGGTCGATGGAGGGAGCTGACAAGAAGTGCTGTAAGGTACGAGGAAGGGAGCGGAGGAGTCTCCTTGATTGTTGGTCATCCACCGCCATTTGAGTGCGGGGATGGGGAGGAGGGATTAGGGTGGTATTAGGTGAGATCGGTCGGGTCGGATATATGAAAACAAGTATCAAAAGCTACAACCAACTTTCTAAAAAAGTACCGTAGTATCCCTCGAAATATACCCCAATTGGATCATCCACCCTATCTCAGCACACAGCCCGTCATGCTCGCGCTCACTCTCCTCATCCATCCACTACGGCCATCGACAAACACCCAGGCTGCGCGGGGAATCATATCGTAAGAAGAATCAAATCCAAACCGAACCAACCAGCAGCAGCCCAACCAACTGACTGACCAACAAAAAAACGCCCCCCTTCCCTCCCCCCAGCTGCATCTTCACATCCGCACAGACCTCTCCACGCCCTTCGCGTCCCGTCCCCCCTATTCGCCAAGACACGTCCCAAGCAGCTCCCACGGTCGTCGAACGTGGAGCGGGGCGGGGCGGAGGGGAGAGCGAGAGGAAACAGGCTCGGCGCTGATAGTTGTACACGGTTGGTCAGGGAGCTAAATGTACCAGCCGGCCGTGGAACCTCACCGCAGATTACCGCCTCGATACAAAATATTATCGCATCTATAAATACTCCTTTCGCGGCCAGCCAACGCTGAATATACCACGCCGATGAGCGGGGCCGGCCATCTCATTCCACCGCCCACACCGTGGAGTAAGTTAGCTTCCGAATATCACCGTTGTAAGCGGGCCCCTATCAGCCCGTCCCCGTCCTAGGCCGTCTACGAAAGAGTGAGGGAAAGAACACCAACCCATGCAACCCACGCATACCTCTCCCCCACCGTACCCCCATCCACGTGGTTGGCCGCCTCTTCGGATCCTACGCCGCCTCTTTCGCCCTTCCCCGCACGCCGCGCCGCCTAGCGAGGGTCTTAGGGGGCGATCGAGACCGCGCCGTGGCGTCTGCGGACGCCGTGGCGTTGTTGGATTGTGTACATTGTAAGACCTCGCGTGTGCGTTGTAAGCGAAGTATTGGTTGACATGTTATATTGATGTTGGTATTTCAGCTCATGTCGGTTTCTGCAGGTGGGTATGCGCTTTGGATCCTGGGTGCTGGGCTTTCTTGGAAGGGGGTGTAAAGGAGGTATTATGGGGGCCTCGAAACGGCCGATGGTGTGTGTGTGGGATGTGAGGAAAATCAATCCTGCAGGGTGACAGGGCAGAACACCAACGAGACCTCCGAGATCTTCCTCTTCCCTCCCATAGCTGCATGTTTGGTTGTTGGCCCATTGCGCAGATGTGCGCACGGTTTGTTGGCCCCCTGGGTGCTGTATAACTCTCACTCGCTCGCTCCGCAAGATTATTCCTCCGCCACCCAGTACTCCCAAGGCCCAACATCCCTTATCTCCCTACCCCAGTCCCCAATGTCGTGATCCCATCCCATCTCACCTCACGTTCCCCCCGGTGCCTTCCGATTTGTGGAAACGGCCACCAGTAAGCAGGGGAAACGGTCATCATGGCTCCTCCCCACCCATCACGCCCATCAAACAGAGACACGGTACTGCACTCTACTTGAAATACAACACAAATCGGCCACGATAACCGTACCGGTCGTACCCGTATCACCAGGGAAGTGTAGCACGGCAGCCCTGTGGTATGGGCCGGGGCCCTGTCCGGCATGCAGACGGGCACTCCCGTGGGCGGGAAGGGGGTGTTGGTTGAGCCTCCGTGGGAGAGCGTGGGAAGGTTCGGTTGGGCGGCGATGGAGTGGTTGGGTTTGGTGACCTGTGAAGACTTGTGAGCGGTTGATTAGTCGCCGCGCGCTTGTGAGAGGTAGCTTCTGTTTCCGGTTTCTGAGTGTTGTGGTATTGAAATCGGATACAGTGTGCAGTATTGCTGCGAGAAGGTTGGGAATCTAGATTTATTGCAGAGGCAGACAGTCATGTTTGTTTGTTTGCCGGATATATTATCATCTTTATGATGGCAGAGGGTTATAAAGTTAAGTACATTATATTATCATATAAGTATAGCATATGCCCTCATGTTTTGGTTTACACAAACCCATAGGAGAAGATAATGACGTCGTTATATAATTAATATCAAGATCTTAAAAAAATCCTACGAACTCCCCATTCTCGTAGCCACAAAGTCAACCAAATCAAAGAAACTCTTCTTAAACCTGCGTTCCTGACTCGTCCTATTCACATACTGAAGACCAAACTGTTGCGTATAATCTCCAAACTCCCAGTTGTCAGCGAAACTCCACGCAAGCGCGCCCATGACATTGACACCATCCTCATGTATGCTCTTCAAGATCTCACTCATGAAACTGAGGTAGTACTGGCTCCTTGGAGAATCGAAGAGTTGGTCCTCCACAGCAGCACTCTCAGATTCCGCGAAGACGGGGAAGCCGAATTCGGAAACAAGGACGGGTTTCTTAAAGGTATTGTAGAGGTAGGATAGGTATGTGCGAAGGTACGTCGGCGTAATGTAGACGTATGATTGTGAGCGGTACCCGATGTTCCAACCAAAGACGTTTTGCGTTTCTTGCGTCACGCAGTAGGGGAAGTTGGGAGAGCTGGAGTTTTTGGCACAGGCTTCCACGCCCTCCGGTGGCTGGCTGACAACAGTTGCAGTGTAAGGATCAATACCGAGAAAATCGCTGGTGTTTCCAACGTACGCCAGATCTTCGGGGGTGAGAGGGACATAATCTGGAATGGTGATTTTGAATGCTTCGGGGTAGTCGATACCAAGGAAGATTGGATTACAGAACGTTGCAAGCTGGAAATCGTTGAAGTGATTTGTGGCATCTAAATCGGATTGGTTCTTAGGGTCTTTAGGGACGCCGAAGTTGTCGTTGAATTTGATGCCGAGCTTTCCGGTGCCCTGGACGTCTTCGTGATAGAAGTGATAGAGCTGTGCGTGGGCTTTAATGACGTTGTTTACTGATTTTCCATTATCGCAGTAGAGAAGCGGTTCGTTGAATCTATTGTCTTTGTTAGGCAGCATCAGAGGATATTGTGTGGAGGGGAGACTTACGTAAACCAGATTGGGACTCGGTCTGCATAATTTGTCAAGAGTATTTTGCCATAATTAACAAAGGCATCGGTGAATGTCTCGTTTTGATATCCCCCATTTACATATCCAATCAACGCATCATCCGCGGCCTGGCTATTATTACCCCCAAAGAATTGGAGAGGGGTGTCAAAATGGAACATTGTGACTGTTGGAATCATCCCTTTTTCAAGGATAAAATCGATTAGATCACTGTAATGATCCAATCCTTGTTGATTGACGGGAGTTCCAGGAAGAGCGAATGGAAGAATTCGAGTCCACGCAATGGAAAAGCTGTAGTACTTCACACCCATGGAAGCAAGCCTCTCGATATCTTGCTTGTAGAGATAATAGTTCTCATTTGTAACGTAGTCCTTTGATTTCCCTTGTGCTCCTGGGAGGATCTCCATCAGACTTGGGGACTTGCCTTCCATCGCAACGGCACCTTCGATTTGCGATGCTGAGCCTGCCACTCCGAAGATAAAATCTTCTGGGAAAGTATAGCAGTCTGTTGGGCCAAAATAATCGGCTGGGGGAAGAATTAATTCGCTGGTTGGTAGGGCTGTCGGACTGACGGTTGTGGTGTAAAGTGGAACCTCGGTGAAGTTAGACACATTGGCTGCATGCCACATAGCAGTCCATGCTGCGTTTCCGTATGGGTTCGCAGAGTCGGTTGCCTGAGCCGTTGCATTCGGATCCCAGTTGCCCCATGTTGTTGTAGAAATATCAGGAACAAGGGTGCTTAAGTCTGAGAAGTGGGGGGCATAGGAGGCAGTCGTTGAAGGGACGGGCCTTGATGTTGCCGTCCGATAGGTTTCAGTTTGAGTAAAGGAGAATTGAGTGAAATGGTATGTAGGAGTGGTAGTGTAATTGCAAGATTCGCAATTTGGTCGATGTGAGGGACCATCTGCAGATATGTACACCTGTTGACCTAACGTGCTCGAGGCACTAAAGGCTAGAAGAACACCGAGCTTCTGCCCTATGGATATCATGTTGAGGATATGAGAAAACAAGGGAAATAAAAGATGAGGCCATTATTGCAAGAAGAAAATTGCCTAGCCTTTTTATACTCGTGGAGAGCATGCCTCATGACAACGGCACTCTAGGCTGAACGCATTGCCGTCTCATATTCTCCCATCTGCCAGCCCTTTCAAGCTGTTTGGAAGGCCCGATTATGCGGAGCAGGAAGCAAGAATGGGGAACCCCGAATTCTGTAAAAAGGTGCGGTAAATGCAGATCTTCGTCATCGAACTAGTTCGAGTAGCCAAAGAAGGTTACATTCCGTGATTATCATAAAAAAAATCGCTTTTACCCCGCAAACCAGAAGACTGAGCCTGCGGGGTACGGAGCCCCATTCGATATTTATTGATGTGGGATAAATGTGACGATGGCGGGGCCGAGGTAACCCCGTATAAAGACGATATTCCCGGACGATCACTTTAAGCTTCTGGCATCCAGAAACTGAGCATAAAGAAACTACTCCATGACGCTTAAAGAGTTGTATCGCATTTCGAACTATCTCGAGGCATAAATGTGCGTGTGCGACGATTAAGTCGGGGTGCGGGAGTGTTCTAAGGTAGGCAGGTGAGCCCCGTAAAACTGCGGCGAAAGATGCCCTTGTCACGAGCCTCTTAGACTTATATCAATGGGGAAAGGAATATTTGCAGAAGTTATAAAATGTCAGTTTGCATGGTATGCCATGCAAAATTAGGCGATGCAGATAATGAAGACTAAATTAGTTTATTTATCATATTAGATTTTATATGTGAGTACTAGTCGGGGATTCTCGAGTAGTACTTACAACTGTAAGAGGACAATGCTGCAGCCATCTAGTAAACATATCTGAAATTGGGATTCTCCTTGTCAGTTAAATTCTCCCAGAGAATCTTCTCATTTCCCGCGGACAAAGAAAGACCCTCTTCAACGGCTTGACGCTTGTCCTTCTGCTTGTTAGCCCAGACGTAGTATCCGAACAAAACAATAGCAACGACAGCTCCGCCAGCTTGTGTAGCCATAACAGCAATCTTAGCTGGGTAATAGCGAGGAGCATCTCTAGCCTGGAAAGTTTGCGGGCCGATAATGTTGCCAATGGAGAAACTTCCCGCGATAAGAGCAGCTGCAACGCTTCTCTTCGTATGCCCACTAACGTTTGCCATAGTCCACTGGTAGATGACTGTTAATGTACCCGTGATGGCGTTGACAAGGTAGATGCCCGCGAGAAGCCCCGCACGATTACTAGCTGGCATAAAGGACATCAGACCGCCACCAATCATGCCTGGAATACAGCAGAGGACTAGCCATGCCCAGCGGCTTTCAGATTTGCGGACACCGAATCCAACTATCAAAGCTGCTGCGATGGAAACGAGACCGCTTGGCATGTTCAAGAGAGCTGTGCGCTTGGGGGTGAAACCAAAGCTTTGGATGAGTGTTGCAGAATAAGTTGTGATGACGCCACTTGAAACGGAGATCTATAAGGCGCGTGAGCTGAATTTGCACATAAACACGGATGTTGGTGTACTTACGCAGATGGTGCAAATAGTGAGTAGCCAAAGTTGGGGATCTGCCAAAACTTCTAAAGCTTGTCTCATCTTGAAATTCTTGTTTTGAATTCCAGTTTGGTTGATACTAACATGCTTGAGAAGAGCAGCCTTCTCCGGCTCACTGAGCCATTTCGCTTTCATCGGCGAGTCTGGTAGGATGAAGAATGTAGCTATTCCAACCAAGGAAGTGGCAATACCAACGAAGACAAACATTGCTTGCCATGACTTAAAATGCTTGTTCGTGACATGCTGGAACGCGAAGGATATAAGGCCTCCAATGATCTGCCCGAATCCAAGACCAGAATACCAGATAGCAAATCTAGGGGCTTGCTCGGACTTGGTATAGTACTGACTGCTTATCAGCATTAGGCACGGGGCGATAGCAGCCTCAAACATTCCGAGGAAGATACGGGCGGCGAGAAGAGAGTGATAGTTGGTTGCTCCTGCGGACGCTGCACAACTGATCCCCCAGAGACACACGTTAATGCCCAGCCATTTTCCAGGAGGAAATTTCTGGAGGATATATCCTGCAACATATGTGTAAGAACTTTATTTGCTGCATTTGAGGGGGCAGACTCACCGGTAGGGACCTCTGCGATGAGGTAGGCGATGAAGAACGCGGATCCGACGTTGGTGAAATTGTTCTTGGTCAAGGCTAAATCCTTGTTGATTCCCATAACGGCGGCATACTATGAAGCGACATTGTTAGAAACATAACAGAGAGGGTAAGAGAAGGGTTGGGAGTTTCAACTTACATTTATGACGACTTTATCGACGAATTGCAAGACATAGCAAACGAACATAATTGGCACGATGCGCCAATCGATCTTTCGTCGCAAGGCAACTAGATCGATGCTTGTGGACTCAGCATTGGCATGGTCGTGTAGATACTTGAAGGCATCGTCTAAATCATCTTCGTGCTCTGCGCGGACAGTGGGGGATGCCGGTGAGGTCGTATCTGTCTCGGAACCAGCCATGGCCTTTTCGTTTCCGGCTTTCATTTTCTCATTACCAGCAGCATCAGAGGCGTTGGTCATTGTGTAAGGGGTGCAGAATCGTGCCCCGTATAGCTCGACAGAAGAGTTGGCGATCAGCAACGAAGAAGAAGAGCTGGAGACCAACGACAAAGAGAACAACAAAATAGTCTCCTAGACAGATAAATAAAATACCGACCCCGTCAGGTATAGCCAGCTAACACCACTGTCTTAACTACTACCCCTCCCCTAGTATGAATGTAACGATCCACTGTTTTTACTGTCTCACCGCACCTAAATTAGGCGGAACGGCATTTAGTTTTGGTGAGCTATCTTGCCAAGATCTGCCAATACTACAGCAGATCGTTACGACTATACTGGGGGGTAATAATGCGGTAGTTAATCTCAAGACCACTGAGGTATAGTTTCGTGTGCGGGTCTGCGAGATCGAGCCAAAATGGGCGGAGATATAGCTTATGTACATCGCGGCACCTAATCGTCCCGCCTCGTTCCAGAAGCTTTTATAAACCTCATGAGTTGCATGGTCGAATACGCAAAATGGTCAATCAGTGTCTCGGGAGACCTCATGGATCCTCAATTCAATGTTAGTAGTATTCTGCAGCACTACAGGGCCAATTTCCCCTTAATTTTAACCCCCTTCCCAGTTGGGACACACGAAATCCCAGTTCAGATCCTACGCAGCTCCTTGGCCTGAGCACGCCAAAACAATTGTACCGGATATAGTGTCCTCTGCTTTTTATGGGGCTTATGGCCGGGCGATCGCTGTTGTCATTCGGTAGATTAGAACCCCTGTTGACACCTGTTTTCGGCATCTTGCACAGAAACCTTAGGGTCGGAAACATATTCAAGCGTCATTCAAAGAGACAGTTCTATATACATTACGGCAGAATTAACTCTGAAATGTTTGCAGCTACATTAAAATGCAGCATTCTCCCGAAGGCCAGCTGCCTCGGTCCTTAAATGAACGTCCATCAGCTCCTGCCGCAGGTGCAGACTCACATATCCTCATTATTGGAGCCGGTGTCACGGGACTGCTACTGGCCCAAGCAATCCGCAAAAGAAACCAGAACAACCCTCCAATCACCTTCTCAATCTATGAGCGGGATGCCGACCCCCTCGCTCGTGGAGCAGGATGGGGCCTGACCCTTCACTGGGCTCTAGGACAGTTTAAGTCACTCCTTCCGGGCTACCTAGTTGAGAGACTCCATGAAGCATGTGTTGATATAGACTCGGCCGCGCGAGGAGAACTGGGGAACTTCAAACTGTTCAATCTGCAAACTGGCCAGGATGATTTTATGACCCCGTCAGGCGATAGCCCCCGACATAGATTTGGTAGAGAGGACTTGAGGAGGTTGTTGATGGACGGCTTGGATATTGAGGTTTGTTAAACCCATACCCGAAAATTACTGACGACTCACTGACCCCTTTTATTTTCAGTGGTCTAAAAACGTTGTCGACATCCAGGAACTTGGCTCAGATGAAGTCATAGCTAAGTTCTCTGATGGGACAAGTGCCAAGGGTAATATCTTAGTGGGATGTGACGGATCCCGGTCTCGAGTCCGTCGATTCCTATGCCCAACTAATTACACAAACAACGTGGTGCCAGTTCGCCTCCTTGGCACAACCGTGCAATATCCAGAAGAAAAGTACAAGAAGATCCAGGCCCTAGATCCATACTTCTTCCAATGTTGCGATCCGGCATCTGATACGTTTATGTTCTACGGATTCCTCCACGTACCAACGACTAAAGAACAAGAGGCTGCAAATGGCAGCTTGCCGGCCACCTGCCAAGTTCTGACGAGCTGGCCATACAAAGCCGGGTTCCTCGGGAATCCGGCACCAAACGAGGTCCCAAAGACCAACGCGGAACGAGTGGCGTGGATAAAAAGCATTACGTCTGGTTGGGTAGAGCCATTCAGAGGTCTCGTACAGGATATTCCAGAGGACGCTGACCCCAAAGTCATCAGTCTAGAGGACTGGCCACCGCGAAAGGGTTCATGGGATAACCGTGGAGGAAGAGTTACTTTAATTGGGGATGCCGCTCACGCTATGACAATGTGTAAGTCCTTCAGACTCCTTTGAGAACGCTTCTAACATTGACGTTTTGGAAAGATCGCGGAGAAGCAGCCAACCATGGCGTTGCAGATGTGCGAGTCTTCCTGGAGCAATTCCTCCCCGAAAATCACCAAGATCCTTCACCACTGTCACTCAAAGATAAAATCGATGCTTATGAGCTCGAGATGATTGAGCGTACGTGTCCTGCAGTTTTGCGATCACGAAAGGCATGTATGCATGCGCACGATTATAAATCTGTCACGACCGAAAGCCCTCTCATCGCAAGAAGAGCTGTCGTTGTCGACGATGAAGAATAGATTTCAAAAGATGACAATATATAATAACGGTTTGGATATAACGAATAAAGATGTTGTGTTGAAAGCTGTAAAACCCTGCTATTTATGCTAGACTGGTTGTTCAGTAAGAGCGCATAAAATGCTACGCGGAGATTGGCGCCCATCCGGTCGAGAAATGCGAGTATACGATTCTACCATCACCATAACTTTCGAGTTCTATAAAAGGGCTTCACTGTGAAATCCGTTTTCAATGGCGCTTCAATTATGGGTTCCTGTGCCACGTCAACGATATTCCTTATTCGGTATAGCTGGATGCAATTAATCCCTGTCTCGAATACATGGAGGGGTTAATTTGACGGCTCCATGGGATCTATCCCACATAGAACCACTTCCTCCATTTTGTATTTTTCTGGCTTTCAGATTTTGCCACCTCTTAAATCGTTGATAATGACGTTATCTGTTAAGGCTGCCAGTAGGCGTCAGCAAAACGAGAGCAATAAACATGTCGATGGCCTGCATCTCAGAAGCCCTGGTCCCTACGCGACCACAATTACCTCGATGTGCTCTAGAAATCCGACATTAAGATACGGAGACGCCAAATGGATGGGATCCGACCCAGACTATGGAGCTTTGACGGTGCTGGAATTTTATGAGAATAAGCGTATATCTCGTATTGATCTGAAAGGCTCGGAAATGCTCAAAGACTATCTTATTAGTACATCTGGAGAAAATCCCCAACGTCGATTGTTCCTGCTCGAAGGGGTAGCAAGAAACTTTGTCCAAGTATTTGGCTCTCATTTCGGCATGGACCCTGATTTCTTTGCGAGGCAGAAAAGGACGCGGTCCTGGGAAGTAGCTCACAACGGAGGAAAGACACCAAGCTTACCTTCGTTGAAGAACCCTAAAAGGTCATTCATGATTAAATACCTCGAGTTGCGCTACTTTCCCCTCGTCCCGGATGAAACGTCTTGTCAAGAACCAAAACCTTTAATACCCCAGGTTGATTATTCCTACCTAGAGGACGTGACTGGAAAGCGGAATATCAATGTTTCAAGAAAGAAAAGGCCGGTCGACTCCGAGAAGGACATTATCGGGGAATTTGACAATGTGGGTAAAGTTTCACGATGCGCATCCTATTGGGGAAAATCGTATGCAAATGGTGGTTGGGATGGTATGCGCCTCATCTTCGTCTAATGATCAGCTAATGACCGAATATACAGCCATTCTCCTGCTCGATCCTCCACTGAATGAAATTGTTAAGATTGATCGTAATGGCCACAAAATTGACAGAAAGCCACTACACCATGTCCCGTTTCAAGGTGGTTATTTAGACTTCATAGAATACCCAGAAGAAGGGACATCCACAGCAGCCAAATTTTTCAAGAAACACGGTCCGCCACGGACATCAGTTTTGGAGGATATTTGCTTCTACTGGATGAACCATGCGGATGTTGTTTCTGTCGGCTCCGACCCATCCATCAGCACGATATTTCTGAAGAAAATAATCGCAAGCCACTGGATGCACTACGCAGAATACGTCACCAACAGTGCACATAGTTCAATTTACCACATGTCCCGCGGTGAAGCATTTGAAAAATACACTGTTGCTACAACAGAAAAATGGTGGACCGATCTCCACGATGCTCATCGCGTGTGCATGCTGGCCTGCGAAGATGTTGCGGCTATTCTGGAATCGCTTCGCATTCCCATGGACCAACCAATACGAGAATTTGACCCCGAAAACTACTTAAATAGCTCGGGAGATTTCGTCGCAATATATGAGAAGCTGCTTTGGAGGAAAGACCATCTCGAGCTATTGATTAGTTCTGCCACTGGCTTAAATGCGATTGCAGGGAATAAAGAGGCTGCTGTAAAAAACGCAATTGATGCAGACCGCTCACATAAGGAACAAATAAAATCCTTAGGGGAGGCCAAGAAGGCTTCCATACTCACCTTTTTGGCATTGATATTTGTCCCCTTGGCTTACACAGCGAGTTTGTTTAGTATGGCCGATGACTGGCAGCCTGGACGGAGCAAGTTCCCGTACTATTGGGCTATAAGTCTCCCATTGGCTGCAATGGTGGCCGTCACGTTCTATATCATCTCGCTAGGATCTAGTAGCCCCCCTAAAAAGATTTTAGACAAGAGGCAGATCTATAATGGAAGTGACAGAATGGACGTGGAAAGGGGTCAGCCAAATCTTAGTAGTTAGGTTAGAGTTAACCGTAAGTCAAATGTGCACATTTGATGATTATCTACATCACTGTGTAATCTAATCTTGCTCTTCAATGTGCTTCTCTATGACAACATCTTCTGTCTTAAGAGTGTCCTTTATGTCCTGTATAATCCATTCCATTGGCGTCAAGTAAGTAATCTCAGCTCCAAATGGTATATTCTCCCCATTGCCGCTATGAAGCATACTGACAATTCTGCCCTCGATATCAATGACACATGCGCCTGAATCACCTTGGTACGAAAAATAATTTAGGCCTGGGATGTTAACAACGCAATACTCCATAGTTTGACTTCCACTCTCGGAACAACAATCAGAGCGGATTTCATTAAGGAATCCAGCCGTCCATCCGCTCGTGCATCCATGTTTAAACACATGGAGACTTTTGTAGTCTTGATGTCCTAAAGCCCTTAGTCTGTCGCGGATACGATTCAACCTTTTAGAGACAGAATTGTGGTTATAGTCACCACATTATACAGGAGACCGGGTAAGCCAAGGCTCCTGCTGTAGACCTCCCTTATTTTACTTCTCTCAACAAGTGTAAAATGCGGTGGGGGAAGCTATACCGTTAGTAATCTCCACACTAAGCTAACGGAAATAACTTACGACATTAGGTGGTAGTGTTTGAAACATTTCATCGTTGAGTTTCACTAAAGCCCAGTCTCTTTTGTGGTTCGTGAGAGGGTGCGTTGATATTCCTGGAGCATGAGCCAGGATCCCAAATGGAAGACGAACGTTCTGCATTTTCAACTTGTCCGCAATGCAACGATTGAGTTTATTTAGAGACAATTTAGCTTCCTCGCTCATTCCCTCTAGCACGGGCGACGCTCCTTCCTGGTTAGACTTCAGCTTCTTAGCGTCGAGTTCTTCAAGAACCCATTTCTCTTCCTCTATGCCATAATCTCGGTCGGTTTCATAGTCACGTAGGTCCTTCTTCGCAGGTTGAAGGATTGTATCCGGGTCATTTCGAGGTGTTGATGCCTCCGATGAGGTGGTAACAACATGTTCACAAGTTAGGGCGTAATTAGAGCCATCAATCTTTAGGAATACGAATATTGATCCCACGGAACCCGAATTAGCGCGCCCGATGCTCGCGCCTATCTTAGGCACCGGGAAAAGCTCTAGCGGATAGTGCCTATTAGGATAACAGGATAACTAGGTTCGTCTTCGTAGCCGAGTCGGACCACATCTATTGTCTTCCATGTAATGCTTGATAGTATCTCGTGGACTCTCAACCTTAACTCGCTATCGTAAATGGTCGTGATTTTGTGATTCCCAATAGTAAATATAGCTTTCCGTTTCCATTCCTTCCATGGGCTTCCATAAGGCTCGTCTCGTGTTTCCTCAGTAAATAGCTGGAATGGATATGTTGAACTTTGTGCAACTAGTAAGCTCACGACGTCCATCCTAGCATCGATCCCGGAGTACCAGGACTCGCTCTCATCTTTTGAGGGCCTCATCTTGTTTTCGCTAGACTCAGATGCTAATACGCAAGAGAGCTAGAAACAAATCAGGGGCGTCACAAATACAGCCACAGACACCGTTCTTGTTGTAGGGAGGCACAGTTCCTGAGGGACATGGGTGGCTTTATAGGAGGAGGTTTGGGAGACTAGCCGCGGGGTCTTACGTCGAGGTGAGTCACCCCTTTTTTGTGATGGAGACGACATTCACTAGTGGCACAATGATGGTGATTGTGATCTAGGCTAGCTAGTAGTTCGAGTATTATATTATGGCCCTACTTAGATGTTGTCGAGGGGAAAGCTAGTGATAGTGGGCTGTTAGCGCTTCATCTTCAAAATGATTAGTCCAGAGTTAGTGGTGGGAAGTAGCTAGAGGCTAAGAAGCACTTGTAATTACTACTTAGTACAGTCTCTACAAATATCTTAGTTATTATGAGTATTTGTCCCGTATGAAACCCACTAAAAGATCAACCATACAAAGATATGGTAAAGAGTAGGTTTAGATTAAAGAATAGCCAAATTTGCCGCTGCTCACTTATCTATTCGCTTTCCCCCAACCGAATCGCCCCTGCCTTCTTCACATACTCAAACCTCCCTGCCATCCCTGGCAACCACTGACTCTCCAGGTCTTTGCCAAAAACAGTTCCCGGATACCCAACATCAAACGCTTTCGCGGCCTCGATCTCCTTAACATCCTCCTCTCCAAGCTCCACCCCCAACGCCCCTATATTCCCCTCTAAGTGCGCCAGCGTCCGACACCCAATAATCGGGAAAATATATGGCGCCTTGACTAGCAAATATGCCAGCGCAACAGCCGCAATTGTCGTCCCCTTCCGCTGCGCAACTGTCTCCAACACCCTCGACACATTCACAGCATCCTCGCTTGGTTCGCCCCCACGACCCTCTTTGGCTTTCCCACGCATCTCCGCAAACTGCGCCTCCGTCCTGAAATTCCCTCCACCGAGCGCACCCCATGCCACAAACGCCATCCCCTCATCCTGGCACATCGGAATGATCTCACGCTCAACGTCGCGATGCTCTGCGCTCCAGCGGCCCTGGTACACGCTGAACTGACGGAAGCCATGGGCGCGGGCATAGGCATTCGCCTTGGCGACGATCCAGGCGGGGGTGTTTGAGATGCCGAGATAGAGGACTTTTCCTGAGACGACGAGGGCGTTGAGGGATTGCATGATCTCCTCGACGCCGGTGCTGAAATCCCACCAGTGTACGTATAGGATGTCAATGTATGAAGTGCGCAGGTTGCGGAGGGAGGCTGCGAAGGAGGTGTGCAAGGACTTGGCCCCGTTACCCATTCCGTTTGCGCGGATCTCGTGTGGGTGCGGGATACGGATCGCGGTGGTGTATTTGGTTGCCAGGACAAGCTGGTCGCGATTTTGACGTGAGTGCATCCAGTCCCCGATCCACTTCTCCGAATCACTGTTCTGATAGTGGTTTGCGCTGGGGTACTGTTAGTGACACAGCCATGAGAGACGAAGGACACTTACGTGTCAATGAAGTTCCCGTTGTTCTCGTAGTAGTAGTCAAGAATCTTCTCAGAAGTCTCCTTGGTGCATTCGCCCATGAAATCCTTCCTATTTTATACGGTCAGCAGCTAGTAATCTGAAGTGATAAGAAAGTTCAATTTCATTCGTAGTATGTGAGAAGGGATGCATACCATTCCTCGCCAAAGTTCATGCCTCCGAGGCATAGTGGACTAACCCGCACTGCTGCACTTGGTGCGAGCAGTCGGTAGATTCCCAGGGAGCTCTTCAACTCTGGGGCGGTAATATCAGGCATGGTGAGAGTAAATGTGCTAATAAACTGGTGTGGTGTTTCTGCAGATTGGGAGAGCTGGAGCGTGAAGGTTGTGTGGCGGGCATTCAGGTTCAACGCAACTCGGGAAGATGCTGAATTTATAGACTTTCTCTTCGTCGGGCGCTCTCCATTTATAATCCTCTGCCGCAGGCATTTGAGGCAACGCCATGATGCCTAGAAGTTAATACCTCAATGGAATCATGCTGAGATTTTCTGGAAGGGGACCATTCTCGCTGTTTGAAAGGCCTGCGGCCGCGTCTTGGCTTGCGGCCGCTTCATTGTCTACGGCCGCACCTTGACAAGCGGCCGCATGTCAAAGTCTGAAAGAGTATAGGGCCAGCATATAGTTTACACCAGTGAAGCTAGCACAGGAGTGACGAGGACACTAGCCAATGGGATTTAGGGCCAAGATGGCTGAGGCGAGCTCCACTTACAGGTTATATAGACCTACCAGGATATTTGAACAGTTCTGTGCCCTATTTCTTGTCAGAATCACTGGGTTTTCGTGGTATTTGGACCGGTTTGTGAGGGGGGGGATGCCTTGAGGAGCTGTCAGAAAGAGATAAGCCCGGGCCAATATTAACCCGACGGAATATGGAAATGGTAGATGGATGTAACTCAAAAATCCAATTAGGCACTTCTTAGCTAGGCGAAGAGCTTCCTGGATGCGGCCGCCGGGCCCGCTGTTTCTCAACTGGCACTGAGTCTCCAGAACAGGATAGTTGAACTTCGGGGTACAGCAACACGGTAGCCATGCGATTGCAGGGTTATCTGTAGTATAGTTGCAAAGGGCGGGCGAAGGTATTATCTGGCTAGGACTAATCACGTCTCAATCTCTTATCCTTAGGGACGAAGCAATTAACCGCTGTCAGACGCGGATACTTTTCCTCGAGCCACCAACTCCTCATGCAGGACCAACTCTGTCTCGGCTCCATTGAGCGCAATATCCACCATTGCCACCGCCAGCTCATCAGCGCCAATAATCGGCTGAATTCCCGCCGTTAGTGACCCAATAATAGAGAGTGTGCAATTATCTTTCGGAATCACAGTTCCCACTCTCGCCAAGAATACTTCGAAGCTGTCCGGGTTCCTCTCCGCAAGATCAATCATACGGTTCTCGAGCTCGCCCTTATCTTGGTCTTAGTTCCTGTTCAGAAGCATTGTTGTGTGAGTTGTGGGGGTGAGGAGGTAAGCATACTTTGATCTGCCGGCTGTCTTTGAACATGCATAGCTTTATATTCATGTCTCTCACAGCCGACATCCCACTCACGCTGAGGAAACGGAATCTTCTACCGTCGCCTTTTTGGGTGCGGAGGTGCACGATTATTGCCGCAGCTGCCGCGAGGGGATACTCGATGTTAACTTCTCGTGCTGTCTCGACATTCGGGTATTTGCTCGCCATACCCCCGAGGGCCCTATTCGCGCATTAGTCTATCTGCCCATTGGACCGGAGATTCCATGGAACTGGAGATTGGGAAGTACCAGATGCATGCTTGAGCGTCATCGAGCTGGGCCAGGACCTCATCGGGATAGGTGAGAAAATCGTTGAGAATTATCACTTTTAGCTTTGGGGATGAGAAATGAGAAGAAAGTGGACGCCGTGAGAGGACGACGATGGAGGTTATGGAGAGGTTATGGAGGCACTGCTGGAGTACTGCGCTCCCAATGACGCCGGTGCAGCCGGTGAGGATGATTTTCATTGTGGTGACTTTGTGGGAGATGGGTTATGGATAAAGCCTATTGATTGATTGTTTGGGAACGAAGAAATATATACAAAAGTAATCGACTATTATTTACTGTCACCTACGACACGAACCCTTTGTGATTGTATTACAAAGACATCCCATTATAAATGAGAGAGTTAAGATTGAGGCAAATGATGTGTGATCGGGGTGAAGAATTTAAGGTTCCCATTGTATCCCTTCGACTCGGCAAGTTCGGCGGCCATTTAGTCGCCGCTAGGGACGTTCACCACTCCGAAACATCCGCTGTTCGGTTCTCGATTCTTTCATCAGACATCACAGAAGAGATGCCATAGAGTTAGAGAGGACTTGGCCAGAATAAGGTTCGGGGATTTTTTGCGCTGCCGTCCCTTGCATCCAACAAGCGAAGGAAGGATGCATGGTCAGATAAAGAAATGCCGAGTGACTTATTCCCTCGAAGGATCAAACCACATTTGGCTTCGGGTTACGTATGGTGGCCATTAGGGTTAGAAACCGAGGTCTCCAATCTTCGAAACTATGTCGCAATAAAGCTTTGAACTAGCGATCTACTTAATATGACATGAGCCCTTCGCATACCACCTGGCTTCCAAGCGGCAAGAAAACACGGAAGGAACCACCAACAAAGTCAACACGGAGAGTACCAACTTGACCATAAGTTAACACGGGGAGTACCAACTTGACCATAAGTCAACACGGAGAGTACCAGCTTGACCACCTTGTCCTGAGAACAGTCTTCGACGATGGCATCGTTTCGCCAAATAGGCACTCAGTTCTTCCCTCCGAAGCCGACCTTCACTGAGAAGAATGTGCCCTTGCAAAGAGGCAAGGTCTTTGTTGTGACCGGGGGAAACTCGGGCGTCGGGTTTGAGCTGTGCAAGATGCTTTACGGCACTGGAGCAACAATCTACATGGCATCGAGGTCAGAGGCGAGTCCACTGGCACTGCAACCCTTCCTATGGCCTGTCTAACTCTCACCAGGAGCGCGCCTCACAGGCTATCAAAAGCATTACCGATGCATCTCCAGCCCCAGAAACCCCTGGGGCGATGAAATTCCTCCTCTTAGACCTCAACGATCTCTCCTCGGTCAAATCCGCCGCCGTAACATTCGCCCAAACCGAGGATAAACTCGATATCCTCTGGAACAACGCCGGCACGGGCGCGAATGTTGTCCAGCCTGGCGCGCGCACCGCACAGGAATTTGAAGCTATGGTCGGCATGCACTGCATTGCAACACTACTATTTACGCAGCTCCTCCTCCCCCAACTCCGCGCCGCCGTCTCGGCTTCCTCAACCACTCCCGGCTCCGTCCGCGTAGTGTGGACATCGAGTCTTTTGGTGGAGACTGGAGCGCCGCCGAATGGGATCGAGTTTGAGAATCTAACGACGGGAACGGCGGATCGAGTGCGCAACTATACTGTGAGCAAGGCGGGGAGCTGGATGCTGGGACGCGAGATGGCTCGGAGGTGGGGAGAGATGGGCATCGTGAGCGTGACCCAGAACCCGGGAAATCTACGCGCACACTCGTATGATGGGACACCCGCGTATAAGATGTTCTTCATCAAGCCTATGCTGTACGAGCCGCAGTTTGGGGGGTATACGGAGCTATTTGCTGGGCTGTCGCCTGAAGTGACGTTGGAGCTGAATGGGGCGTACATTATTCCCTGGGGCAGGATACGGGAAGATCAGGATTGCTCAAGGAAAGACATTGTGAAGGCTATAACGCCGAAGGAAGAGGGTGGTTTGGGGTATGACTGTCGGTTCTGGGAGTGGTGCGAGGAGCAATGGAGGCCGTTTGTGTAGATATCCACGCTCATTGGCCAGCACCATACGTAAACCGAAGCCAAATGTAGTTGCATTCTTCGAGGGAAGGAGTCGCTTCACATTTCTTTGTCTGGGTCGTGAATCCTTCTCTCGCTGGATACACGACACTCGGCCGACGGACGAAGGTTACCCCGAGTAGGAGCTGGTTCACAGCACCATAATCAAAACGATTCCACGTGGCCATGTGGTATTTTCAAATTTCAACATTTCACGTGCTCGGTGACTGACGATCACATACGAAATGCAGGTGTTATCATGCCTTCATGCCATGCTTATAGAGCCCAATATCTAAAGCAGCGCCTGTGAAAGATCTTGGCAAGCCATTCAGCTTTCAGCAATCCAACAACTCATCCACACCCATGGGTCGTATAAGCTTAATTCCGCTGAGACACGCTTTCTAGCACTAGTTTAAAAAAGATCGTATAAGCTGTTGTACTCACAAGCCAGAAAGAAAACGTGGGTATCTATTCCTACCCCGCATGTATTGGATTAAGTTTGGGATTTAGTGTTAGCAATGGCGTCTTGATGTGAATAAAACAGGCAAGCACCATCAGCACTAACTCCTCGGCCATTATCCCATCGGTCCGTTTCGGCCAAATATTCATCTGTCTTTCTCCAGTTTCCCAGCTTCCCTGTTTCCCTGTTTGTTAAGGTTAACGCGTGTACGAAGTAAGTATCTTATATAATATACTGAGCCGGCCATGGCTGTAGCAATTTATTCCATTGGGTAGATAAATATCGATTTCTTTGGCAATGACTTTATTAATAATCACTCTTCTCATAGCAAACCTCTTTGGGGTAGCTTTGGGCCAAGGTCCTCTAACGCAAACTATCGAACTGCCAATAGACCACTTTAATACTTCTGACACGTATGTATTGATTATGAATTTTATTTCAAAGAATAGCATTATGTGGTTACAAGAAAATAATATGGAATACTGACTCTCTACAGCCGTACCTTTCTGAATCGCTTCTGGATCAATGACACCTTCTACGAGCCAGGCGGTCCCGTATTCTTCTTTGATCAAGGTGAGGCAGGCGTTGGAGATACCCAGCCCGAAACCTACTTGGGGCCACAGGGCGAATTGATTCAATTTGCGCCCTTGCTGCTCGCAGAGAAGTATAATGGCATTGCCATTATCTGGGAACACCGCTTCTACGGCTCCAGTCTTCCGTTTGAGGTCGACAACGAAACCGGGCTTGCTCTGGAGGGATATGGTGCCTATAAATATCTGACCAACGAGCAAGCCTTGGAAGATGCTGTGTACTTTGCCAGGCATTTCAGTCCCGCGGGCTATGATGAGAAGGCAGCAAAGTCTCTTAGGGCAGACAAGACGCCGTGGATCTGGCTGGGCGGCAGTACGTATCTTACATCACCCCATTTTATTGCTGCAGTTAGGAGATTTGCCTTCCTGTCTAGAACTGTCAATTTTCGTGCTGTCATTCCCCTAACTAAGAATCTCAGGTTATCCAGGAATCCGCGCCGCCATGATCCGCCAGCGCAACCCCGAGACCTTTTTTGCAAGCTGGTCTTCCAGCGCACCCGTACAGGCAGTTGTCGACGGAAACGCGTATTACAACACGATACAACAAACAATGAGCCCGAACTGCTCAGCCGATATGCACGCTGCCGTGACTTACGCTGATCAGATCCTAAAGTCTGGCACTGCGGACGAGATTGCTCTCTTCAAACGTGCCATCTTCCTTACTTACACAGCAAACCCTGGAAAAAATAATACCTTTAACACCTTTCCTGTCCCAGAATCCCCGGAAGATCTGACAGAATGGGCTATTGCCTCCATAATCACCCATACGCTTCAAGGTTCCCTCGTCGCCTTCCAGACATTTGGGTATGCGCGAGCCCTTCAGCCCTTCTGCAACGACTTCGAGACGTGGAATCCGGCCAATTTCACTGGCTTCACGCTCTCATCCCCCATCACCTCTCTAACTGAAAACTCCGGGGGTGGTATTCCCACTCCCGACGGAATCGCCGCTTCCTCCTCCCCGGAACTGGCTTTCTACGCCTACCTCTATGCCACGACGCGCAAAATGGCATCCGACTACATCTTCCTCCCCAACGCCTATTTCTCCCCTTCAGACCGCATGGCCTGGACATGGCAGCTTTGCAGCGAATTCGGAGAATTTCAAACGACGCAAGCCCACTCAAGCCCAGCGACCAACATCGTCACAGAGCATTACGACGTTGATGGCACCATAGCATCATTCTGCCATGGCCCGTTCCCGTATGCACCAGCATATCCAAATGTATCTGCTGCTGTTGGCAAATATGGCAGCTGGGGGATGCGGCCGAGCAATGTCATGTTCACGAATGGTGAGCTTGATCCACTGCGGAGCATAGGCGTCCAAGCGGATAAGGGGATAAACCCCGAGGCGCTGGATAGGAAGAGCACGGAGACGGTGCCGCCATGTGGTGTGCCGCCGCCTGGGAATGATGTGTTTGGTGTTGTGTATGAAGGCGCGGTACACGTGTCAGATCTGGCATTTGCAGCTTCAGGACCAGCGCCAGTGGAGAAAGGGAGGGCGTTGTTTGAGAGTGCGCTAGATGTTTGGTTGGATTGTTTTGGAAAAGAGAAAGATGAGTGTCATAAGCAGTAAGTAATGGGTTACATAGCTGCGTAATTTAGAGGGCGAGCTTCAATTACAGTGATCAAAGATCAGAAGCGGCTTTTCGTTGCCCAACCCAACTTGAGGCAACAGCGGGTCACAGAGGCCTATGGGAGAATAACTGCTCCTCTTGCGCCTACTTTCTCATTAGTCTGTTTTTTTTCGTTGTGTACATTTACATCTCACAAAACCTGCATCAGCATCCTTATCTGACAACAATGCCTACAGTCTCGTTTTCAATTTTGCGTCACTTGTAAGCATTGTCATACCGAAGGCAGCCTAACCTTTATCGGTGTCACATAGTCACTGTAATCATATAGATGCTATATGGTTCAAATTTGAGATTATCATTAATCCCGAAATTCTTCGCATGATTGGGTAGAATATCAGAGTCTAATCTCCAGTCCTTGCTCCGTTGGCCTGCTGCTCGGCGCAAAATAGTAAATCAATAAGCACTGTAAACCGAAAGAGATCAAGCAACGAGTTGGTTGAGATGTGGTCAGCCGCTGTTGTAACAATGCTGGGAAACCGGCCATTTAGAGTCCCCAATCCGTCGACGCTTCACTTAGAGTTCCCATTGACCAGGTTTCGTGTGGTTATCAACAAAGTTGATGAGAGTCGTTTTAATGAACTGTCTTTTAGGATCCAATATCAAATTATCCGCTGCGCTCCGAAGGGTCTGGGCAAGATATTGATACCTTTGAGCATCTACCCACTCTTCAGAAGAATCGGTGGGATAGTCAGAGGATCTTCCTGCCGCAATGAGATTTGCCAGAGTGTGCACACCACATGAATTCCTGGCGGTTTCTTGGGCAACTCTCCCCTGTATCATCAAATGTGGGATCACAAATCTATCATAGTCTTGCAGGCGGAAGCGCAGCCAAGTAAGTATTATCCCCATGCCAATATTCTCGTCGTATAGTGAAGTGCTAGCCTGATGAACATGTGAGTCTAAGAGTTCTAACGTCATCGTAGGAAGTTTGACGCCCCGGCGGACCAGTCGCACAACTACACCAACCCAGTGATCGCTCATTCCAGTATGAACAGGGCATAGAATTGTCGTGGCCTCGGGATGAATTGCCATTGCCTTGTTGATCATAAATGTTCTGTTGTCATGGCAGCTTCCGTATTGAGATGCGCGGACGTAGATGACATTCGTGGGGAGATCTGTAGTCGCGAGTACACTGGCAACAACTCTTTCATTGAGCCGGTAGGTAGGTTTAAAAGCTCTGAAATCGCTGGCAACACTAAACCCCTTCAAATCACTAGTAGCGTTGAAGGTGAATTGGGTTCCTAGCCTTCCTACTGTAGGGCTTGGTAGACCTCGTAGGTCCCATAAATGCATGAAGCTGGTAAGAACATCGTACATACTAAGTGGACTAAAATCCTCGTCCGGTGAGACTCCACTATACCTGAATCTGTGGAGGTAGCCACAAGCCACATGAGGTTGTATCGTTCCCGTTACCCATCCATCAACCCAGACAGACATATGATTGATGAGATTTTGTATAGACGGGAATCGGTCTGTGCCTTTTATGAACTGGATCATCCCGGACACGAACACCAAGGGCTGCTCGTGCAAAGCCAACTTTGTCACTCTTTGTGCCTTCGAAAATGGCCAGATTAGCAGGGCAGCAGGCGTCCCCATCTCTTCGACGAAACTTTGGATAGCATTACTGTTCTGGTACAGCTTATTAATTGGCGCCATCGCTGTAGTCTATATATTATTAGCGGGTGGTTGATACTCGAGATGGAATGTACACACGTAGGCTTGCTGATTAGTCTCCCTCCATATCAACAGATCTTGCCTGTTCAGCCCCGCGTTCGCAGAAGCAAAGTCTAACTTGATATCTTCAATAATGCGGGTCCTGCAGGTCTCACAACTGCTAGGAAGTATAGGGAGGCGGCGAGATATCTCAGTTGCAAAATACCGACTTATTTCCAAAAGCCCAAATGCCTCTGTAATAATCTTGGACCCCAAATTACGACCAAAATCATGCTTTATCTTTAGCAGCAGTCTGTAAATGTCCGGGGAGATGGCAGTATCTCGAATCTGTTCGTTCGTATCCACTATCCTTGGACTGGAAAATATGGAGAGGACGGTCTCTGGACGGTGAATGGTAGTTCCGTAATCAAACAAACCCACTAGCTGAGAACCCCATTCCATATATTTCTGCGATGTCTGATCCTTACCAAAAGCCTCTTTGCTGAGCGTGCTATTTGCAGCTCTGAAAATATTTTCCAAGCGGATAATGTCCGGATTGCGAACATCTGTCGTCGTTGTCGGGAGAGGCTGTTCCACCAACGATTCGGCTGCATGTTGAAATGTACCCAAAGGGACATCTTGGTTTTCAATGGTATCGGACCGGCTCGAATGCTCTGGAGAGTGAACAGGAATTACCTCCTCCATCGGTTCATCCTCAAAACGGTCTCCAAGTCTCCCTGGGGTAGACGAAACGGGTGTGTAAACCGGAGACGTAGGAATTGGCTGTATGGATTGGCCAACTTGCGCACGCAATAAATCCCTCCGACGGCGATGTCTATCGTGTTCACGGTTGTGGGTCTGATTCTCAGAGAGTACGTTTTGTCTTTCTCTGGTGGATGCCCGGTTACAACTTCTCCGGAGTTGGTTGGAATTGGATTCCTCCATCTTGTATTTGAGGACGAATGCAACTTGGAGTTGAAGTGAGGTTGATGTGGTTATCGGAAAATAGTTGGCAGTTGTGATCTGGCAGATATGTTAGATACTGCTGTAAACATGCTGTAATTGCGGAAATAGCAGATGAGCTTACAGTGGCTTATATTGATGAGATCGGAGATATTGCTGTATCAACAGGATATGCACCTTACAATAGATGCAAGCACGTTAATGGTGCAGTTCCCAGATGGTGAAGTAATAAGGTTGTTGTAGGAAGAAGGTTATTGAAGAAAGAAACCTGCCGGAGGAAGGCTATATAGAGAAGTGTCTTGCGAAGGAAGAAGGTTGTGAAGGAGGAAGGTTGTGAAGGAGGAAGTTTGTGAGGGAGGAAGGTTGTGAAGGAGGAAGTTTGTGAAGGAAGCAGGCTGTTGAAGGTGAAGCCTGTGAAGATGAAAGTTGTGAACATGAAAGCTGTGAAGGTAAAGGTTATGAAGGAAGGTTATTAAAGGATGAAGGCTGTCGATGTAAGGAGAAAAATGCGATAGGAAAGATGCAATACTGAGGAAGGACATCGAGCCAGCTCCACTTACACCTCACCCAACATCAAAGCTTACTTATATAATGTCGTCGCCCAAGAGCATGGCCAGAGAGGACTGAGCAAGATACGATATCTGTCAGCTATATATTGTAGATTGCAAGAAGAACATAGAGGATCTAGATTTTCGCAACGAAGTACTGGGTATTTATATTTCCGATTATTAGAAAAAAACCACAAATATTCCCCGTAAATTTAAAAAATCCTATACTCACCCCCTCGTCGTTACTTCTCTTTGCTATATCCTACCCCGCCGTCGTCGTCGATGAGAACAGCATTCTTACGACCTATCCTTCCATCCCCCCTCCGCCTCAAACACCTCTCCAATCGCCTTCCCAGCACGCAAAACATGCAAATCCGTGCATCTACCACCTACAACCGTCAAGCCAACCGGCAACCCCTTCTCGCCCACAAAGCCCGGTACATTCAGTGCCGGCGCGTGTAGCACAGTCCACATGGCACAGAAAGACTATTTTTAGTCGTCGTCAGCGGTGAACTAAAGCCGAAATCACTCCACAACCACGCCATGGTTCAAAAAAGGGGGGTTCAAGAAAACATGTGGGAAAGGGAACTCACCGCATCCCCCGTATACCCCAACCCCTCCGGCGCCTCACCAGGTACACTCGGCGTAATCACCACATCAAACTCCCCCGCAAGCCCATCCCACACCGGCCTAAGCGCTGCACACCCATCATACGCAGCCATCAACCCCGCCCTCGAGACCCCCTTCACATTCTCAACTTGCCCTTGAATCACAGAGTCCAACTTCTCCTTATCCTGCAGGTAGTAGCCAAGGAACGACGACCGCCCCTCTCCAGCATGAATAGTGCGCGCCCATTCGCCCACTTCCGCAAATGCGGCGGGGAGATCGAGGTCTACCACCTCTGCGCCACGGGCACGTAACAGCTCCTTGGCCTCTGTAAAGGCATCGATCGTGCCTTTTTCGGCTTTCTCCCACACCGGGGTCTTGCAGAATGCAATTCTCGCCCCCTTTAACTCTAGTGGTGTCTCTAGCACCGGCTCAAGATCTTCAATCCTATACGCCGTAGCCAGCAGTTGCAGATCCGCGACGTTCCGCGCAAAGAACCCAATCGTGTCGCAAGTTGGTGAGACCGAGCTTACTCCGGCAAGACTCACGGCGCCCCAGGTAGGTTTATATCCATAAACCCCGTTAAACGCCGCTGGGCGAACAATACTCCCTCCTGTCTGTGTGCCGATGGCGAGGGGGACATGGAACGCTGCCACGGCAGCGGCAGAACCTGAAGAGGAGCCGCCGGGAGTGTGAGCTTGGTTATGCGGGTTTGTGGTGGGTGGACCGCGGGTAGAGATGGCGAATTCAGTGGTTGTAGTTTTGCCCAAGGGAAGGGCCCCATGGTTGGAGAGAACAACGAGACAGGGGGCGTCTTGTGTGTTGGGGGGAGATGGAAACAGTGGGGAAGAGTGGGAGGTTGGCATATCTGCCGAGTTAGCAAGTGGATTCTAGAAGGGGAGGAGGGGGAGAGAACCCTTGGTGTGGATAATATCTTTGACGCCAAAAGGGAGGCCGAAAAGGGGCCCGCGCTTGGAGGATGGAAGCTGATCAAGGCGGCGGGCTTGGGTGAGGACGAGGTCAGGGTTGAGATGGGCCCAAGCTTTGATTGTAGGCTCATTGCTGCGAATATGGGTGAGAAGGGCAGTGGCATAGGCTTCGACGGTGAGAGCTCCGGTTTGGAGGAGATGGAGGGCGTCGGTTGCGCTGAGAAGGTGGGGTTGCTCTGCCATTTCTGCGGTTATGGGGTGGATAGGAGGGACTTTGTAGCTCGCAGCTGGCAATGCTTAATAGTTTGAGATTGAGGAGAATAATATTTATGATTGCTTATATATATTTTTTAATACAACAGACGAGAAAGCGAATAACCGGCATCTTGCTGGAGCCTGTTTGTCACAGATCCGACGTCGGTGCAGTCACGGGTGTTCTAAGTGATCAGCACTTGCATCTGTGCGAAGTATCACAAAGTCGCAACTCAACCATCGCAGCTTCCCATTTCGACTTCCATATATGAGACAGACCGACTAGAGTTTATTCTATAACCGACACCAGCAAGACTTATATTCTCAAGCACCATAGGTGCTTCTTATCACGTGCCGTCCCTTTGTCCAGTCGTCTCCAATCAATCTCCAAATCCCCAACTTCTTATCCCATGCCCCTCACCTCACTATCTTGGCCCCGCTCGGCCCCACGACTCCGCTTTCCATCTCCAAATTTCTTCCCCCCAGGATTTCTATACCGCCTAGATCTGCACCCAAAACGGAAAGTCCAACACTACCGGCGTCTTCCACCAATTACTTCAAGCCGCCCTTTCAATTACAACATGCCCAGCCTGTGCTAAGACTATCACTGTGCCGTTATATCCATCATCCCATCAACGCTCTCAGCCCCCTCATCCACTCCCCTCCTCCACCCCCTCCTCCACCCCCTCACCCACAATATGCTACTGTAGTCTAGTAGTATGTAAGTCTATCACTCAGTGCCACTTATTCACACCAATAGCTAATCACAGTAGCCTCGGGATGCCATTCCCGAACAAAGACCACGAATGACACCCCCCAGACTCAACGTACAACATGCAGGCAATCCTGCGGCTTGCTGCAATGCTCTACTTGCAGCTATTCTTGCTTATCCAGCAAAAAACGAATAGCATCACAGCCCGGATTATACCTTTACGAGTTACGTTTACGGAGAAATAGAATCATCGGCCGTAAAATCAATCATAGGCTTCACAGGTCAAAATCGGCAATAGCGGCCCAAGATCAGTTACCCGAACGGCTTGCTGTGGCTTTCATTCCGTCCTTCGGGCCACTAACTCGCCACTAAGTTGGCCTGGGCTCGTATAGTAATCACCATTTCTGCCCACTTTTTTTTATCAATTCCCGCGCTAAAGCCGGCATAAAACTAACTAAAAGCTTCTGGATCTAAAATGTAAAAAGAGTCACTCGCATCCAGTTTTTCTGCTTGGACCCAATTACTCATACAAGTCTCTGGTTGCGCTTTGGAATTAGCATTCTTACTTATATCATAGCTTAATTGACATGCTTCAGATGCACTTGATATACAGGAATACCATATATACCATTTATTAGAGTTTTGTAAGTTTCCAATCCTACATATAGACAGAGGTGATGGTGGGGTTGTCTTAGACACCCGATGCGGTGATCCAAAGCTGACTTACAGCAGATACAGATATCCGGAATATTACACAGAGCCAAGAATGCACGACATCTCCCAAGGTGCTCCGGGGGATCGCAAAGCCATAGATAAAGAGAAGGGCGAGACACTCTCCATCCACAGCAGCGACACCTCGCCCGATAACGAATCGTCGTCGTTAGGGAAACAAGATGGCGAGGAATACACAGGCTCTGCCCCTATATCTAAAACAGAATCGAATGTTGTACGACGGGTTTTAACTCATCTATCTGCTAGAACCTCAAATGTCAGCATTGGCCCGCCGCCGGATGGAGGTTTCCACGCATGGCTTCAATGCGCCATGGCCTGTATGACGGTCACCACGACTTGGTAAGTGCACTGCAGTTCTCTCCAAGCTCAACCAACTAATACGTGCTAGGGGCTTCGTCAATTCTTTCGGCATGTTCCAATCCTTCTACGTCGGCTTCCTCAACCGGCCGCCGTCCGACATCGCCTGGATCGGTGGTTTCCAGGTCTTCTTCCTCTTCTTCGTTGGCACCTTCAGCGGCCGCCTCGCCGATGCCGGCTACTTCAAGCAGGTCATCTTTGTCGGCAGCTTCCTGCAGCTGCTCGGCATCTACATGGCCTCAATATCGACACAATACTGGCAGCTGATCCTCTCGCATGGCATCTGCGTCGGCCTCGGCAACGGCTGCATCTTCGCTCCCTCCGTTGCTCTCGTCTCTACCTACTTCTCGACTAAGAAGTCTCTCGCGATTGGTATCTCCGCCTCCGGTGGTGCTATCGGCGGTCTCATCTTCCCGGCCATGGTCCAGAACCTGCTCCCGAAAATTGGATTCGCCTGGACTATGCGCTCGCTAGGCCTAGTCGACGCATTCTTCCTACTTTGCGTCAACCTCTTCGCGAAACAGCGCGTGCCACCGCGCCGGTCTGGCCAGTTCCTCGACCTGCAGTCCTTCCGCGACATGACGTACACCCTCTACGGCATTGGCATGTTTTTCACTTTCTGGGGCCTATATTTCCCCTTCTTCTACCTGTCGGCATTTGCGCGCGACAAGATCGGCTTCGAGCAGACCAAGTCTATCAACCTGGTCCTACTTCTCAACGGCGTCGGCATCCCAGCGCGCATCTTCGCCAACTACGTTGCAGATACCTGGACGGGCCCGCTGAACCTCATGCTCTTCGCAGCCCTGGGAGGCTCCATTGTCATGTACACTATGGCTGCGATCCACGACACCGCCGGCCTGTACACCTGGACTGTCATCTACGGAATTCCCGGCGCAGGAGTGCAGTCGCTCTTCCCTGCCGTTTTGGGCTCCCTAACAGCAAAGGACCTGAGCAAGGCTGGTGTGCGCATCGGTATGATCTTCACAATGGTCAGTTTCGCGGTGCTCTCCGGTCCGCCGATCTGCGGCGCGCTCATCACGGCGGGCAACGGCAGCTACCTAGGCCCACAGCTATTCACAGGCTCGTCGATACTGCTCGGCTGGGGACTGATGTGTGGCGCGCGGTTTGCGACGGCGGGGACGAATGTTAAGATCAGGATTTAGGGTTCTTAGGATGAGACTTTTCAGAGACTGATTGATACCCGTGTTTTGCGGGGTTATGATGCATGCATGGCGTGGCGTTTTGGGCATATTTATGGATGGGGCTTGCAGCGTTGGATGGCGCTTTGGACTGTCAAAATTTCGTGCGCTGCATAGCTTTTTGTTGGGAGCCTGGATATAAAAAAAAGGCATATGAGAGAATAGTAATAGATATATAATACAGTAGATACTTTAGCTTCAATATAAACAGAATAGTTTACTTTGAGCTCCCACTGACTGGCTTTGATTGAAGCATATGCATAATATACTAAGGGCAGGGATCCGTTGATATTTAGAGATAAACAGCGACCTAACCAATCAAGTCCATCCACCCCAATGAGCCGAAGTCCTCCCATCAACCACCTGTCTCGCCTCAACGCCCACAGTTCTCCCGAACTTCATCCGTCAACACACCCACCCGTCGCCGACGTTCACCCAAACGCCCACATGTCGTCCTATCCCCCTCCTCCTGCATCATACTCGGCCTCCTCCCTCTCTCACCCCGACCAAAGCGCCGACAACAACAAACACGACCTCCTCAACCAGCTCCACACCGCGTCAGCGCAGAGCTACAGCTACGATGCTAACACGCGGCCTCTTCAGTTCCCTGGCATCAACTCCATCCCCAATGCCAGCACGCAGCAACAGCATGTAGGCAATGGCCAGCACGGCGGAACTCCCACTGCCGCCCAGATAGAGGCGCAGAAGGGGAATCGTTTGCGCAAAGCCTGCGACTCTTGCAGTATCCGCAAGGTGAAAGTACGTGCCTACTCCCCCCTGACCCCGCCCCCGCCATCAACAACGAGCTAATCGCCGTCCAGTGCGATGAAGCAGGCCCGCCCTGTCGCGCCTGCGCCGCCCTCGAGATCCCATGCACATTCGAGCGCCCCTCGCGGCGCCGCGGTCCCCCAAACCGACACGCTGAGAGCATCAAGCGGCGGCGATTGGAAGAGGGCTCGCCCTCGCGCCAGTTCTCGACGCCATCCCCCTCGAGCCCCTCGAATGTCGCCGCGACACTCGCGTCCTTCTCCTCGCACGCTGTTCTAAGCGCCGAGTCCATATGTCCCTTCTCGATCCTCGAGCTGCTCGTCGACGACTTCTTCACATACATCCACCCCCTTGCGCCGTTCCCGCACGAGCCCAGCTTTCGCGCAGCCTTCAAGCAGCGCGAGGACCTGTCGAACCCGTCATTTCTCGCACTTTTGGCGAGCATGATCGGCGCGCTCGTCGCGTCATTCCCGCGCAAGCCGATAATGCATCTCAAAGCCCAGCACCAGGAGAAGCTGTTCCCCAACTCGATTTCACTGGTCGAACGGTGCCATAAGGTCGCGGTGGAGGCGAGAGGGGCGGGATACCTGGATCGCGACTTGACGGTGTATGACGCCGTAACGAGCTACTTTTTGGGGCTCGCAGGCGCGTATACGATTAACTGGCATCAGTGCAGGTTATACTTTGGGGAGACGTTCACGATTAGTCGTGCGGTGGGGGTGCAGCGCGCGAATGAGAATGCGAAGAGGGGGGATAATAAGATAGACTTTATCAAGCAGGAGATAGGGAGGAGGATGTTCTGGGTCATGGTCGTAGGCGTTCGGTGAGTCTTGTCTTCATATCTCCCCCCCAAACTACCCATCTAACCCAACCAGCTCCATGCAACAACTCGGCGCCAGCTTCGCCGAACTCACCATCCCTCCCCCAACTCCCTCAAATCCCTACCCCCCTCTCCCCCTCCCCATCGACGACGAATACATCTTCGCCACCCACATCGTCGCCCAGCCCCCCGGCTCCATCTCCAAACTCGCCGGCTTCAACCTCGGCATCCAGATCTACATGACCTGCACCCCCCTCGCCACCATGGAACTCGCCTACGGCATCGACGAGCTCTTCGACTGGCCGCGCCAGAAGCGCGTCCTCGAAGAATGCGTCGAGAACGTCAAGCGGACGCTTGAAAATATCCCCTCCGAGCTCCGCCTCGAAGCCGGCAACGAGCCCGGTCGCTTCGGTCACGAGCCACCCCACGGCAATAACTCCACCGGCGACTCACACCACAGCACGATACACTCCCCTCCCCTCCGCGAAAACACGTCAAAACCCCTCTACTACCCCCACGCCCAGCCCCAAGGCTTCGGACAGATATACCCCCCTCCCCCTCCGCCGCAGCGCCACACAGCCAACGAGCCACCCGTAGACGAGAAACGCCAACTCCAGTACGAGATCCAAAAGACCAATATCTACACCTCGCAACTAGGGACGCGCAGCTACCTCGTCGAGAAATACTTCAACCTCCTCGACGCGCATGAAGCCAGCCTCGCGGCCGCCGCGTCAGGCCAACAACCACCATTACAACAACGCGAAAGCACCTCCCACGACAACGGACGCATGATCAGCCCCACAGGCACATTCCTCCAACCCGTCCCTGCCCCGATGGATATAGCAGCCGAATCAACCTCCGACGCCATCGCGACACGCATGGCCGCCGAGCGAGAGACGATCGTCCAAGACCTACTCCGCGTGCTCGGTAGTATAAGCCAAGTGAACATGGAGCCCAACGGTGGGTCATTCCTCAATAAAATCCGTCAGATCGCGGCGACGCTGCTTGATACACCGAGGAATCATAAGGGACCGCTTGCGAGGCGGGCGGAGGAGTATTTGGGAAAGTTTCTGGATGTGTTGATGAGGTTTGAAGGGGGGGGGAGGGGGGAGGAGGACGAGGGCGAGAGTGAGTTGAGGAATTGGGCGGATTTGAGGGAGCACCAGAGTCGGTTTGCTAGGGGAGGGGGTTTTATGAATGAGGTTATTTAGGGGGGGTGGTGTGGGGTGGGGTTTGGCTGGTCTCGTGGGGAGGGGGTGTTTTTGGGTGGTATCTGATTCTTAGGGTTGGCTGGCGCTTGGGATGTTATTTATGGGAGGGGACTTTTGGGTGAAGGTGCAAAAATAGCGATTTTATTGAGTTTTTACCACCACATATAAACAGTGCGATACTCCTCCCCATATGTTCTTCACTGCAACCCAACTAGCAACATGGAGGAACTTTGCATCGTGGAGCTCCATAGGGACAAAGTCTCAAGAGGTACGTGACCACTCAATATCAGCTACTTCTTGCCTTCACTTATGGCGGTGATATTCCTGTTGCGCCACCTTCTCGCTGCTAGATGTCTCTTCCTACCGCTGTAGTTTCTTGCCGTCACAGACGTATTCCTGCCACCGCCGCTGTGGCACACGAACTGCGGGGAAACTAAGACGGGCTATATCCGTGAAATCTTTTAAGGCGGCTCCATGTGTTATGGTGCCTTGTTCCAGGAGAGCACTCTCCTATTTAAATGTTCTAGGAGTTCACTAAACTTAGCATCTTAATCCTCTAAACTGGCGACATCAAATCCGTTTACTAATTCGCACGATTCGTAATATCTTTTCCAAGGATACAATGTATGGTCCAGGTTTCGATGAAAGTTGGTTGTAAATCTTTTCAGCGCAGTCTTAGTATCCTTATTACGACCTCCAAAGCGTTGTTCGTAGAGTTATTCACTGGCAGACGGCACTGGCAGATAGCTCTCGAATTCGATGAAATACTGCAACGACTTGCAGCTATTAGATATGTATGTACCCATACTATATACTCTATATCAACCCATATATCCCCAATTATAGCACAAATCCCTCTAGTATTCCCTCGCCGACAACGATCTGGCTGCTCCCAGCCGCCATAGATTCCCTCGCCAGCAGCGACGAAACCCACGACCACCGCGAAGGAGCCAAACCCTCGCCGCCAAGGAAATACCATAACAACTTATAGCCCAGCCCATAAATATGTAAAAACAGTCCCCCATCCCCCCAAATGCCCATCCCATATATCCAAATACAACCCCCCAAAACTCCGCATCCCACCCACCACCAAAACCCCAAAGCCAAAAAACGCCCACCACACACACACATACACACACGCCCTACCGCCTCCTCGCGGCCCACACCGGCGTCTCCCCCCCATTCCAACTCCTCCTCCTCATCCCATCAGGCCAATAAGACGTAAACCCATTAACATCCCTATACGACCACCCCTTCCCCGCCCTATCCCACTCCTCGAAATTATACCTCTGCCACCCCGCCTCATCATCCCTCACGACGCCCATGTGCCCATCCTCGCCGACGCCCACCGCCCACCCGAGATCGCGGGGACTGTTTGTGCGACCCTCCGCCCATCCTACGTTTCTAGAGCGGCCGTTGTTGTTGGCGTTCCACTGGTCCATGTAGGTGTGATGCGGGTAATTACTCGCAGGCGCAGCATTCATCCCCACACTAGCAGTCGTCTCATCCCACTCCCCCAGCGCATCGAACGACATCATCGCAGCCTGTAAATTATGCATCTCCCGCTCCTTCAACGGATCAATAGCCATCCTCGTCTCATCCCTCGCCCGCAGCTCAGCCTCATAATCACGCACGCTCTCCCTCTCCCCTCCCCCACTCATACTGTCCGTACCACGATCCGACGCCGACACCGCGCGCGCGCGCTGGTTGTGCGGCGGGGTGATGGAGCGAGGCCCGGGGATGGAGGTGTAGAAACTGGTGTCGCGCCAGGGTTTTGGGCCTGGGACCGCGTCGGCGGGGGAGGCGGGGGAGGAGACGGAGCCGCTGTGCTGGTGGTGGTGTGGTTGTGGTTGCGGGGGGTATGCGAAGGAGACATCAGGGCTCACGACGGGGGAGGAGGGGTTAGAGATACTGCGCGGAGCAGCCCAGGTTGTTGAGGGTGGGGAGACGGCGGACCATACGGGGTCAGAAGACGGCCCAGCGACGGAGGGGGTAGATGTCGTTTGCGCGGTTGTGGTGCTCCTGATTGACGGCGCCGGGGACGACCAGGGAAGATCCGGTTCGCCGAGTCGGAAGCGCGAGGGGAGTTCAGGGAGAGGTTTGTGTTCAGGGAAGTGCCTTGTCGGTCCCCAGCGGAGGGGAGGCGCATAGTTAGGATTGAGCGAAGATGTGCGTTGCGGTGCTGGCCTCTCGGGATGCGGGTATGACGGCTGGAGCATAGTGTATTGCTGGTACGACGGAGTTACTGTAGAGGCGGGGCGCATGAGGATCTCGGACCTGGAGCGCGGAGAGGGGCGGGCGTCTTTCTTTGTGCCACGGCCGCGGCGCGCGGAGGGGAGGAGGAAGGTCGGGATTGTTTTTGCGAGGCGAGAGGTGGTGATGGGGCGGGAGGCGTAGGAGAGGGAGACATTGTGGGTGGAGGTTGGGGCGAGGGAGATGCCGAATTCCATCTTCATGAAGAGAGCTGGTGGTGGCCAGGAGGGTGTTGGGTTGGGGGGTTGGTTTGGTGTCGGCCAGGTCGTGTGGTGCTGCGGTGGTGGTGCTGTTATGGTCGCCATGTTCTAGCGCGGCGGTGAGGAGGTGAAGGGGTAAAGAGGAGGTGATAGTGAAGATGCATGGAAGGAATGGTTAGTTTGGAAGAGTTGCAGCGAGACGGGATGAAGAGATTGAAATGTAGATCTATAGACAAGGTATCGCGGAGCACTAGACAGAAGGAGGAGGGTCTTGTATCTAATACACAGCCGACGATCCTATTGCCAGTCTGCCAGGGCGTTCCCCGCGAACACCGCCGTACCGAGTACCGACTGCGCCCTGTCAGTTGAACGCCACGGTATATTTGTTTACAGGGAAGGGCTTTGATGATGTCGGTATTTCGAATGAGTAAGAGTAGGAAGAAGAAAGAAGCGGAGAAGCTTCCTTGGTCGTCTCAGTCGGTCATGTCCGATACGGTATACGGTGGTTGATGCGCGCGTAGTTGGACCAGAAGGGGATTGATGGCCGATGTTTCATAGATACCAAGGAGGCCAAGGGGAGACAAAGGCGGATATTTCGTTTGGGAAAGTTTACTTCTAGCATGAGAGTTTCGCCGTGGTATACGTCGTTAGGACAGGTAAAGTGGAGAGGAGTGGACAAGGAGTGGAGGAGATGGACAAGGGATGACGGATTTGCCCTTGGCAAGGATCGTGAACCCTGACTTTAGTGTGGAAATGGGCAAATCTTGTGGTGGCAAGGTTGCGGGCGGAGCATTGGAAACATCATGAGCACGAGATGATGTGAGAGATTACCAGCCAGCTATATATAACTCTGCCAGAGCGGGATGATTATAAACATCGACGACGTAAAAAAATATAAACACGGACAAGGCATACTGAGAAACATGATGAGAAACACGAGTATGACAATGACAGACAACAACCGCAGTACTGCCTCATCGCTCTCGTGCCCGTCTTACATCCATCTACCTACTCCTTGCTCACGTACACTCTCCCTCCATGCCCCTTCGCTCCTTCCTCCTTCAATCGCCACAGATTGCCACCATAATGTAAGTAAAATGCAAACTAACCCATACCCATCTCTCATCTCCGCAATGCCACCGCAATAAAGCCAAACCCCCCTCCCCCTCCCGCCACATCCGAATCCTTCCAAAACGTCAACTCCCCTCCCAATCACCGAATCACCCAGTTAGCGGCCAGATACTCGGGTTGGCGGCCCAGTCGGCTTGCTTCTCTCTCGTCTACCCAGTTTCCACGGGATCAGGAACCGGAGGCGAATGGAGCTATTTTGGTATTAGGGACCCGCTGTAGAGACTTTGTCGGGGGGAGAATCCTTCGGGGGGTGGAGCAGGGGGATGAGGGCGCAGGGGGTGAGATGAGATGAGATGAGACGTGTGATGAGAGGTGATGAACTGGTGTGCGGAGAGTCACGAACTGGTTTGGGTGTTTGCATGTGTTAGTATAGGAATGGTGACTGTATTGGAGTCGTGTGCTCGGTCATCCGAGCGACGCACTCACTGTATTGCATTGCATTGTATAGCCATAGTAAATGTATTGTAATTGTATCATATGGTATCTTCTGTCCAATCCGTACTGCTCGCTCTATAACTAACTGCACGGCCCATCCCGTCACCACCTATCTTTATCCAGGAATCTCCTACGTATTACATACCATCTATATATACCTCTAATCCAAAGGCCGACACCAAATGAAACGCCCCCTGACACGCTCGAACCTCGTCGCAAATAACAAACGAAAGTAAAAGCCCCCAAATCCCAAAATGGAAAGAGACCACGACCCAAAGTGACTGATCAGACAGACGCCTCAACTCCGCGTCAAAACTAGTCTCCTTTCTCCCGTCCCTCAACTCCTCGTCGAACTACTCTCCTTTTTCCCCTCTCAACTCCTCGTCGAACTACTCTCCTTCCCCCGCTCCCCCCCTTCCCTCCCCTCCCCCGCCCTCCTCGCCTCCTCCTCCGCCACCGTCGGCAACCCCTCATCCTCCCACCACTTCTTATCCCTCCTCAACACCAACCCGATCAAATCCAACGGATCAAACACCACCAACAGCGCCGGCCTCTGATCCTTAAACTCCTCTCCCACCCTCTCCGTCCCATCCGGTCTCAGGAAAATATTATTCCTCTTCGGCAAATACTTCCCCGGGTGTCGCCAGTTCAACAACGCAGAGTTGGCAATCATGAGCATGCCCTCGAAGACCCAGAAGAACCACTCATACCGAATCAATGGCGAAATAACCTCCCCAGCGTCGTAGGGCGGGTGTAGGGCAGCAGCGAAGAAATACTCCACCGTCCGATAGATAGTGCGAACAGTAATGAGACCGCAGGAGCAGTACAACGTGATGAGCACATTCCTGATATCCGCCTTCCCCTCATGCCTGGCCAATATCCCCGCCCTCGCCGCCCGCCGATGATACGTCCCCGCCACCGCAAGCAACAACCCCATAACCCCCAACTGCAGCACCAGCGCTGCCTTCAACAACGCCTTCCCCGTATCCTGCTTCGCCACCGTACTCCCCGTGATGGACTGCGCGGCGCCATTCGCAGTCAGGACTTCGACCCCGACGGAGAGCCCGAGGAAGAGGGTTAGTGTGCGGTGCGGGTGCAGCGGGGAGAGGTGGGGCATGTAGTGTAGGCAGCGGGAGAGGACGAGGTAGTTCCCTAGTTCGTAGAGAGGGGGGGCGGCGTAGAGGAGGACTAGGGAGGAAATGAAGAGGTTGATGTTGGAATAGTGGTAGGCGCCGGCGGTGCGGAGGGCGTACCCGGCGATGAAGAGGAGGGAGGACCAGGAGTAGATCCAGGTTATGCGCCAGGAGGAGTGGTGGGAGGATTGGTAGAAGTGGAGGGCGCCGGAGAGGGTGAAGAGGACTGTGAAGACGATCGGGGCAATTTTGTTGGGGGCGTAGTACCAGAGGCTGCCGTCGACTGTGGGAGTGTTAGTTTGGTGGTGGTTGAGGGGGGTGAGGCGGAGGACGAACCATATTTTCCGTCTTCCATGGTGGAAACGGTGCTCTTTCGAGACTTGGATTCGGTGGGAAAGTGCAGTCACGGACTGGAGATGATAGTACAAACGAAAGATCCGACGAGAGGAAAAGGCGTTGATAGAACCGGTGATAAACCTGGAACCTGAGTGTAGGAATGTTGTATTGTATAAACTTATCTAACACAACCTCACCAAACGGGGACACACCCCATCTACTTATACAATCCCCCCCTCCTCCCATCCACGCCCAAACCCCCTCAAAACACCGTTACGGCAGTGCAAAAATCGCGCCTGCCTCACCCAGAGCCTCGCCGTCGCTCCCTCGTTCAACGCTCCCGATCGGGACATCAACCAATCGTATCGCTTCGCGAGCACCACAACCGCCTGCCATGCGGCGGGTCTGTCACCTTGATCGCCCTACAAGGCCACAAAACGCGATCATGACTTTACCGGTTTGGGGGGATATAAGATGAGGGGGTGGATGACGCGCGGGTTAAGCATTTTTGATGGGGCTTGTGTCTCGCGTTTTGAGGGTTATTTGGGTGATGGTGCGAATACGTTGTTTGGTAAGGTGGGTTGGCTGGAAAGCTATGGGCGTGGTAGTGAGTGACATTTCCCGATTGGGGGGGATTGTGCGAGTGCGACGGGAGGTGGGATGGGTCACGGGTAAGTCACGGGTAAGTCACGGGATCAGTCGCTCCTTCCCTTCGTTCCTTCCCTTCCTGTGCTTATCACGTGCCTTTCACCCCTCAATCTAATGCACCACAACAACACAACCATGTCCCTCCCTCCTCTACCTTCTCGCTCCACCACCCCCATCTCTCATCCATTAGACTCACTAGTCCTCCTAATCATCATGATATCAATCCACAACAACCCAATCCATCACGTGCACCACACACAACCCCCACGGCCAATCTCCCACCACTATACGACTCCGGGCACAATCGGATCTGATAACAATTCGCGTACGTACTAGTTTGTTATCAGATCCGCCTATACCCGTATCTTCCTATCTCCTCTCGCCTCCCCTTCGCTCACCTCCTCCTCACTTTTCTCCGCCCTTCTCTCCGCCTTCACCCGCCCTATCCCCCATCCGTCCATTCTGCCACTTCCCATTCCCCTAAGTGCAGGTCTACTCGACATGTTCTCCATCTCTCTCCAACAGTCAACCATGCTCCCATCGTGATAATTCCCTAAAGGCAGGAATAACAATTCTTTGACAAACAATCTCACCAACAACCCGCACTTCATCAATCATGTGCGACCATCCACCAGACACTCACCTGCACTTAGGGGTCTAGTCTAATTATCCCAAATCCCGCATATATATTAAAAGGGTCTTTCTCCCACCGCTCTCTTGCTTCCCTTTTCATTTTCTTACCCCTCCAAATATCCTACCTACTCCAAATCACTGTCGTCGTCATACCCTTCCCCCACCAACGCCCGCCCATTTTTACCTGCCCCACCACCGCTTTCAGCCAATAATACCGCCATTCTCGAATAGATAATACCCCAAAAGCAAAAGATAACACTCCAAAAAACCAATCTTCTCCTACGAGGATACCTTTTTTGCGTCTAATCACCCCTCAATCGCAACAATGACCACCACCAGCATGGTCAAGCCCAAGTTCCTCACCCGAGGCAACGAGCTCGGCGTCGTCGCAGTCGGCTTCTCAGGCGGCCAGGTACGCTCTCCCCTCCTTCTCTCCCATTCTCACCACCTATCTAACATACACCCCTAGACCAAAGCAGGCGTTGACGCCGGCCCGTCCGAGCTGATCAAGAACGGTCTCCTCACCCAGCTCCACGAGGACCTAGGCTATGATATCCACCACGACGGCAAAGTGCACAACTACTCCGACGTGATCCCCGACCCATCGGCCGACCCCGACCACCGCGGCATGAAGCAGCCCCGCGCCGTGTCCGCCGTCACCCGCGCCCTCTGCGACCAGGTCTACGCACAAGCCATCACGGGCCGCTGCGTTCTCACCCTCGGCGGCGACCACAGCATTGCCATTGGCTCTGTTGCTGGGACCGCGAAGGCTATCCGCGAGAGGTTGGGGAGAGAGATTGCGCTCATCTGGATCGATGCGCATGCGGATATTAATACGCCCGAGATGTCGGATTCGGGGAACATTCACGGGATGCCTGTTGCGTTCCTGACGGGGTTGGCAAAGGATGATGATGAGAGTATGTTTGGATGGCTTAAGGATGAGATGAAGGTTAGCTTGAAGAAGCTGGTCTACATCGGTCTTCGCGACGTGGATAGGGCGGAGAAGGTTCTCCTGAGAGAGCACGGCGTCAAGGCGTTCAGCATGCATGATATCGACAAGTAAGCTCACCCCCCCCCCCACCCCCCCCCCACCATCCATACGTAACCCCCCCCCCGCTAACCACCCCACCCCCCACAGATACGGCATCGGCAAAGTCATGGAAATGGCACTCGCCCACATCGGCAACGACACCCCCATCCACCTCTCCTTCGACGTCGACGCCCTCGACCCCCAATGGGCGCCCAGCACCGGCACCCCCGTCCGCGGCGGCCTCACCCTGCGCGAGGGCGACTACATCGCCGAGTGCGTGCATGAGACTGGTAGCCTCGTCGCTATGGATATTGTGGAGGTGAATCCGTCGCTCGAGCCGGGGTTGGATGGCGTGGGTGCGTTTGAGACTGTTAGGGCGGGGTGCTCGGTCGTGAGGTGCGGGTTGGGGGAGAGTTTGTTGTAGATTTTGGGTTTTTGGGGGGAGGGAGTTTTTGGGGTATGGGAGGAAGGACTCTGCAATTAGACGGTGGCGCGGATTGCATTTTACCCTAGAAGCTGTGGTCCCGCATTATATGCGTCTTTGGCTTTATATTTTCCAGTTACTATAAAAGGAATATTTTTTATGATGTTAGGTTCTGGTTGTGGTTGTGATTGTGTTCTCACTCATGATTGGCACAGGTTATGACAGTTTGTATTACGCACAAGGTCATCTTGTGTCACTGACATGTCAGAATGCAGTAGTGACAGTCATAGTAGCCCCCATCGGCAGCTACACCGTGAACCCCAGGCTCTCAGTATCGGCAGTTCCAAGACGACCACCATCCACCACGGCGCTTACTGACGCCCTGCCAGACAGCCATTACTTCTTGTACACTTTCCCACTAGGCGCCGTGTATGAAGAGGACCCCTTCCCGTCGTTGTAATACGTCGACTGATCGCCGTTGGAGTAGTAATAACTCCCGTTCTGTACCCCGTCAGCTTCTCTCTCTCTGGCCCCACGTCTGATTTAGAAATGGAGGAAGAGGGGAGACAAGGCATGGCTCACGGTGTTGCTGTAGTGATATGCGGACCCGGAGGGCTGGCTACGGGTGTCGTAGCTATTCCCCTGGAAGTGGTCAGGGAGGCTGGTGGACAGCGGGGGAGAAGGGGGGGGACCTGGCTGTTTGTGCCGGTGCTGGTGGTGGTGTAGGGCGTGTAGTTGCTGGAGGAGCCGGAGCTGCCGCCGCCGCTGGAGTTGGATTTGCCGGACATCTTTGCCCGTGGTTTACGATCTTATTTCTGTATATTGTGTTGTGTTGTATTGAACAGTTATCAGCTTCGATTATGAGAATGCTCGTTCAACGTTTTGGTTCCCTCAAGGCGGTTTTGGGTGGAAGATCATTCCATGGATTGCGGGGATGCGGGGTATAAGTATGGTGACCATGATGGGCTCATGTCCAAACTGTGCCGTGCTTGCTTTTGTACGTGATGATTGATAGGTTGATGTTTCCTATCAGGGATGTTTCCTTGTTGGTAGACGCAGCGCGCGCGTGGGCACGGCCGGAATAACTGCGAAAGCGAACATCAAAGTACGTACCGCGCGGCTCTGGAGCCTGCCTGCCGTAAGCTACCTCAACAAGCAAGACAAGCAAGCAAGACCAAAGCTCTACCTCCACGCCACAACCTCATCCACAAACAACACAACAATCCACTGTCGTTCATCTCAACCCACCCAACGACCAAACCTCACCTCACCACACCACACATCTCCCATCGCCATCAACCACAACC